AGGTATTCTGCCAGATATTAGAAGTAATGAGGGTATCGCCAAAATAAAGGTAGGAAGGTCAGGTACGAGGCTCTAGGTAGATCGAATAAATCGAACTGATCGAACTGATCGAATTGACTGAATTGACTGAATAGATCGAATAGATCGAATACGTATTTACTAAGGTAGGTAGGTGATTGAACTGATTGAACTGATTGAACTGATTGAACTGATTGAATAGATTGAATAGATTGAAGTTCAAGGAATGATTCTTACCTAGGTATAAAAGCTTTAGGTTAGAAGAAAGTGAGGTTATTCGAACCTTGGAAAATAGAATAATTATTCATAATTAATTCGATTGCAATCTAAGGAATAACACTCGAAGGAATAGGTTCATAATTGATTAAATTGTAATCTAAGGAATGATACTTGAAGGAATAGGTGTTATTGATGAATTCGATTACGATCCAAAGAATGATTCTTTATTATTTACTGATTCGATTGCGATCTAAGGAATGATTCTAGTAATATTCGAAGGAATAGTTATTGTAGATGGAATGATTCAATAAGGGGGAATAATTCTTAAAATATTTCTGGAAAAGTGAAGCTATTCGCATGTATTTTATGGCTTTAGAATGATTCTTAAACATGATTGATTCTCTCGATGTACCTTGCCACCAAATTTGTATGGGAGGGTACTTAAGACCGGTGGAAATATTCCCATAAAAAGAATAATTATCTTATAAGAATAATTGTATAAATACCCGCTTTGCCGTTACGGTAGCCTTATGTCTTCTGAGAAGATCTTGCTGAGTTGAATACGGAACATCGGGTACGACGTAGTATATAAAGGTAGGTAATATATTGTAAGAGGCCGCGTAGAATGCGACTTCTTGCACATGTCTACCTGCCTAACTGCGTACCTGGTACCTAGTAGGTAGGTATGCTCTCTCCTGGTAGGAAACAAGCATCCGATGGACCCATAAGAACAAGATAGAAAAGTTCCCCGGGGATTTAAAGGAGCGAGATGACCATGGACGAGAAAGGCACAGGAGAGAAAAAAAATGGGGGAAGTGCATTCAGGTGCACCAACACCTAGGTAACTTGTGACGAGCCGGTGTTATGTCAAAATAAGGGTAGAAACTTTGATGGCGTTTTCGCATAAAATTTCGGTACGCTAAGAGATTTCGAAGCGTTTAAAGACTTTAAAGTAGTTATAGATCGAACTCATGTTGACGGACCATTGTGCTAAGGGTGCACTAAGGGGCGTATATCCCTGTTACACACATAGCGCAACCTCCCTATGGAGCACCGAGTACAGTATACTATGCACCTACCTGGGATGAAAATATAAATTGTTTCCTGGTAACATCGCCAACAACACGAGAAACATCCGAGCGAAGATAAGAAATCTTCAACAATATCAGACGATGTGACATCGCGTAGGTTGGACATCTGGTGTTGGTAAGTTTAGTTAACAAGCGAAAGTGAAGCTATGGGCTGTACATATTCCTAATACCGTGATATAAAATTTCTAGTCCACGCGAGTTTCGTCCGGCGGCGTGTAGTCCGCCAAGGCTGGGATAATATCCAGTTTTGGATTTAGTCCTGGAGGGTCTAGATTTGGATTGGGACTGGGGAATCCATGTACGTAATGGCATGCTTCTACCATAGCATGTAGTAGTTAGGGCATGAAAGGATCTGCGCATTGGTTTTCCTTGTCGTTGATCATGGTATGCAGCTAAGTCGTTCGAAAATGTAGCACATCATATAGAAACTTCATCGGTTATGTGTTGGAGAAGTTACCTTATATCGAGACCTCATTTTATCCTTGGTAGTGTTGCAGTGGCACCCGGTTACTTAGACGTTACTTAGATCCACGAACCGTTGCGAGTCCACCGTCGGAATATATATCAACGGGACGACCCATCGCAATTTTCGACGACGATCTCTACTCATTGAGTCGACTCATCCCCGTTTCGATCTTGAGCTTATCTGTGTAGTTGCTGCACAGATGCTCTAACGATCAATCACCATGTCGACCTCTACAACAACTACTACGAACCCTAATCCGACAAGCTGGCTTCAAAATTTGGGTATTGCCATTGAGGTGGTATGTCCTGCACTTGCACTTATAGTCGTCATCTTGAGGACATATATCAGGCTCGACACAAAGAGCTTCGGTTGGGGTATGTTAAATATATTTATAACATTTATAAGATATGGGACCAACGCTAACGTAAATCGAATCAAGACGATGGCCTGATCGTTGCTGCAATGGCCTTGAGCATTGCTCTGGCAGTAGGCTCAATTAAAGGTAGGGGATTTAATATTGCGCTCGCCAAAACTATACTTGATCTAACGAAATATGCCTACCTAGTTATGAAATCGCTTTTTATAGGGATTCATTATTATGATGTACCGCCTTTTGATCCTACAGAGGGATTGATCTGGATCTATGTTGTCGGTGCCGTCTATCAGCCCATCTTGACGTTAGTCAAGCAGTCCGTCCTCGTCTTCCTACTTCGTTTCTCGGGTATCAAATCCGGTGTTCGATATGTTGTATGGGGTACGATCATCTTCAACACGGTTCTTATGGTTGCTATATTTATCGCCGTCATCCTACAATGCATCCCCATCGAGATGAATTGGCATCCACTAGTCGCGGGCCATTGTATCGAGCAATTCAAGTTTGGTGTAGCAGCTGCCTCCTTAACAATTATGACGGACATTGTCTCCGTTGCGCTCCCATTCTATATTTTCCTCGGATTAAAAATAAATAAGAATAGGAAGATTGCCCTCATCGGCGTCTTTATGTTGGGTGTACTGTAAGAAGCCCCTATTCCCTAATATTACTAAGGAAAATCTCTAACATGATTCCTGCAATAGTGTTACAGTCGTCAGCATCGTCCGTCTCTACTTCCTCGCTCAGAATTTCAACGATACGAGCCTTGACAAGAACTTCTCTGTCGGCTTCTGTGTCTCTTCCATCGAGTGTAACTTGGCGATCTTAACTGCGTCAGCTCCTGCGTTGTGGCCGCTTGTCCGTCGCTGGCTTCCGGGCCTCAAATCGACTAACAACCAATCATACTACGGAAAGCACAAATATGGTGTCTCATCGCACGCACAACAGGGCTATATAAGGACTACAGATGGGCCAGACAGCGGTATTGGGTTGAAGGACATGAGCGGAAGGCGAGTGCATACTGAAGTTCGATCATCGCGAGACTCAGACGAGGAAATCCTTACTGGAACGGGCATCATGCGCACTACACAGTTCACGGTGTCGACCACGGATAACCGCTCTCTTGCAACGTTAAGTCGCAATTTTGACGATCGCACAACAAATTCTAAAATATCTAGCAATGGCTCATTGTGAGTCATTTAACTACCTCTGTATATATAGATATCATGGTGGACGGCGTTAGGGGACGATTGCTTGGATGGAATAAGAGCAATATCTACTGATACCCTTCCCCCTTTTTAATTATTGAACCCGTACTTGAGCAACGCATTTTTCCTAGGTAGTGAATACCTACAAATTTACAAGGAAACTTTATTTCGTGATCAAGAATCTGAAGCTCTATCGTCGAAAAGGGGATAGACGCCATCTACGAATACGGCTCCTAGGATGGCTGTTCAGCTTTCATCATAGTAGAGCCGGTAATCTTAAGACGGTAAGGACTCGGTGTCACTGTAGGTCAAGATAATGGCAAATGTTGGTATTCAGCTGAATGACGACATTAGCTTAGCTCCCTCAATAGTTCAAAATGAGGTTATCTTGGCCGCACGGTCCGCCCAAAAGATCAGATTTGGCATATGAGATATCGGGTCCGATCCAAAACAAAACTAGCACCTACTTAGGTTAAGTGCATCCGTATAACAGGGGACAGATGTAAATTTACAGTGTACTGAAGTTCTGCTGTTGTCTTTGTTTTATATGCTGTTTCATTATTTTATGAGATCTGCGTACTGGAAACTGAGAGATCCCCAGGGCGATGATCGAGAAGCTCTTGAATGGTATTCTAGAAGGTCGGGATCGCCCGCATATAGCCTCGCCCTAGGTAATAAACATGACACAAAAATCAGACAATGGTGTACAACGAAGACAGCTGTGTGATACCTTGAAACGGATTCTCATAAGAGGGTTTTACAGCTCCGACCTTCTACTACATAGTACTAGGTTCATGTCTGTGCAGTAATCTCATCCATAACCCTGGAAACTCAAATATCGTGCTCTCCATCGACACCGAATGATATGCCACCGTAGCTTAGGCACTTAGTTTTCGACGAACCACCTAACGTATTAAGAATGGTCATGGAACTATTTCTCACGATCCCGGCGTAGATCAAAGACCGCACGGTCTCCACGCTAGCATTTTTTTCGACGCTCCATAAATTCCATCGATACTAAAACCACGATGCTACCTTGAGATGCATAAGATCGCTTGCCCGGGAACTTCACCCGCATATATTCATCCGTGATGTGTTACGTAGCACGCCCTTCAAACTAAGTCATTTTAGTGTCAAAAGCCGTCGGAGTTCAAGACGATCGGAACATCCCGAGAGAGATATTAGGACCGAGTGCGGTATGATTTAGGAAGTTCTTAAAATTTAGGTCGCCTTGCTGCACAAACACCACCGATACCCACAATTCGTTCTGTATTTTTTCCCCCAGTAGGAGCCAACTGATGTTAGGTATTTTCCCCTAGAAGTCGTGCATCGCATCACGTAGGGACGTGAACGTGGTTTGCCCGAACGAACCGGGTAGGTATTGGCCACTAGTATGTTCTGGTATATCTAGTGAAAGCTATGCTCCGTCCTCGAAATGACTCTTTGCCATGATGAGTTAGGAGCAATTGTCTCGTTTAGCGAGTAGCCGCTAAACATCTTCCAAACTGCCTCAATTGGGTTCTCCATAGTCCATACCTCTGTACTCCACCTGTCAACACATTGACAGCTTTCGGCATATCAAGACGAATATGGCGGATTTGCTAATTAGTGTGGAAGTGTATTCGGCGAGCAATCTCCGGGAGGTGGGCACATCAACGATGCGTCTATTTTGGCGTACTTACTACCAAGTACTAACCTACGTGGTAGGTAATTAAGTATTAGCAGTCTTGAACATCGTCGCTAGGTAATGTGAACGTGATAGTGCCGATGCATAGAATAACTTTCATATGCGAAGATCTTCATTAAGATATACGGTAGGTGGTATAGAAATGTATAGCAACAGTTATTTTGAAGTTCTATGTGTGGGCTGTTGTAATATGGGAGAAAACTTGGGTAACAGATCAATCGTGAATAATTTGGTGTTGTAGTTTTCAAGATCGGGGGCTCACTTCCAAGGTTCGGAAAGCTTTGGCGTAGCTAATGAAACTTATGTAAGATGAAATTAATGAAGGAAAAAACAAAAAGCAAATGCACATCAGATAGTAAATTGAAAAAAGAGAAAAAGATAAACGACACAGGCCCGATTCGAACGGGCGCCTCCGAAGAGATGTGATCAACTCAAGGTTCGAGTCACACGCGTTAGACCACTCCGCCACTGTGCCTATGAATCAACTTGCTGGAATACCGAAGGTATCCGCTGATGATAACCTGACCGTAAATAGGCTACTTATAGTAATTGCACAAAAATGCAGGGACCTTGTCGGAGATCTTTTTAAATCTAACCAATGAACCATCGTCTGTTAGGGCTAGCGTCGTGGCCATGTGGTGCCCATAGCCATTAAGTTTCGAAGCACTATACGAAGTAGCACTGGGGATTCATTAATGCGCAGCATAGTATTTGATAAGTGTCAATGAGGTTATCGCATGAAGAGCGTGTCATAGCATATTTGGAGGATATTACGTTTACTTTCTAAGGTTCATAGATATGTTTTCTGCACCGACATTGAAATTGGTGGTCTGATGCTCACCTCACTGTCCTGGCGTTCGGCCAGTAATACAGTGGTTCCAAGCCTGTATGTTATAGGGACCTTGGTACTTGATTCCCCTGTATTACAGCTGTCAACGGCACCTATTTCAATAGCTCTCGCAGCCAGATACTTTTATAACTTTCAATACTACCTACCTAAACTGCAGGCTTATTAACATGCACGATATGCTACGAAATAAGCCGTCAAACAAACACTTGGCCGCGACGTGCGGTCTCGACTTCTAATGCTTGCCTCTTTAATGTGCTGCTCTAAGCATTATTTTATTTAAGCCCTACCTGGTTATGCAAATAGGTGGCTTCTCTGAACGTGATCTATGCTTCATTGAAAATAAATAGACGTGATATATAAGTAGTAACATCTTACCATTGCTTAGTAGTTAAAATAGGTAGATGGTTGCTACTAATTATAAACTGTATTCGGGAATATCTCGATCAAGGTTAGAAGGATGTGTTGATATAATCTCGGGTCAGTAGATGGCGTTAGGCGTGTGCTTCCCTTTACTTAATGTTAGCCGAGTCGACATCCACGCAGTTATTTGTGAAGAATATGTGTATATAAAGGTAACCAGTCAGACTGTGAAATTTAATGTTTGTGTATCATCGTGATAGATCAGCCAAAGCAGGCCAAACAGTGTTCATCATATTGGAAAACGAAGAATATGGAGTGATATGGGAGGGTTATTTGGAAATGGGAAATACCGTACCATGAGCTGCCTATGCGTTTATTGAGAGTACGCTCAGCGTATCTGGAGACTATGGCCATTACCTACGTGTCGGTAATATGAATACACCCATAGCTGAGAATTTGACTCGATTGCCGTAGTTGTCGTTGAGAAAAGTTGAATTGTAGGGAATTTTGAAATTTCTAAGTTAAGATTTTAGGAAAAGGATTGGAGGGATCACGGCTGCACGGTCACGGTAACAAGTTCTTCCGAAATTTGGGGTGTGTGGGGTATGATTTAATAATTGCAAAGAGGGGGTTTATTGTATTTAAGGGATCAATGCAATTACCCCTCTTCAGCTTTATTTGGAAGTAACCACAATAATAATTCTGGTTCTTCATTCATCTTTTCAATCTACAAGTTGCCATCTTTTTTTTTCTTTAAAAAAAGCGAATTTTCCAAGAGAAATTCAACATACGAAATGGCCTTAAATACTCGCTATGTGTGCCTACTTGAACCTCGGTGAGAGGCAACATGTTGGCTCTCATTAATATCATATACCTAACGCCAGGTGAATATGTGGCTATGCCGTAGGTTGCGCATCAAGGATGTCGCCGTCGAGTATTTCCTAGGCAGCACCTTTGCTCGGTCTATTAGTTTGGTTTGGGGTCCGATATTCTCGCTTCATTTTCCGTATGCGAACTTGACCGATTACGCCGCAGCGTCGGTCGGCTTTTGGGTCGCACTGCTGCATCGGTGTGAGACGTATCGACACGAAGCTGCCGTAATTGTGTGGCGGCATATACCATTGCCGCATGGAAGAAACAGGTGATCTCCAAAAGTTAACCATGTAGCTATGTTGAAGTGATGGATGGATTCAATCGCTGTGATCCGACGGCAACGCCTGAGATCTGAGATTACCCATGCACTCGTATCGATGTGCTTCGCCGCGGGTTTCGTCTGTGCCTGTTGCTTACATCGGACATCTCGCTGAAGAAACTTGCATTCCCGTGCATATGCTTACCTCCTACCTGGTAGGTGAGGTGATTAACTCTAGGCACCAAGGAAGCTTTCGGAACCAATAGCCAACAGGAGAAATGTATCTACGCATTACTACCATTTAAAATGCGATCGATAAGCGTCGGAATCGAGCCGATCGGCTGCTTTTTCGATATGATCTACTCTAACTCATCTATAGGGAGCCTCACAATGCGGCGCTGAACCGGGTTTTGGCAAATGGTCCTTGACGCCGACCGGGTTCCAATGTGGGAGCCTAGCAACCTAGCTCGTGCCCCAATATGATTCCGGTAAAGACGGATAGGATGCACTAGTCAAATAGGACTAATAAGACGTGTATCATGTCACGTCGCTTTGAAACGTTGATCTACTTTTAAAGCGCCTAATTTTCGTAGTCTTTGTCCTTGTTTATACCGACGCGCTTCAACGATGTTACTCAATCTCCCTCAAGAGTTGCGGGATCATATATTCACTATCGTTTGCCTTAGTGCACGCTCGGAGCCACAACTGCCAACATATCGCCGGGAATGTCGTAGGACATGTGAGCGACAGAGTTACTCGTTAGCGCCCTCGGCCAGGGATCGCGTCTGGTTTGAGAGGACGTCCTTCCAGAATCCGTTGCTTCCGCTACTGCTAGTCAACCACCAAGTTCATCGTGAGGCGCAAGATGTGCTGCGGCGGATGAGTGAACCACCAAATTATGCCATTGACATAGCGTTCCTGAAAGATGGAACTCTATGGCCGACATGGCTGTCAGTACCGAAGCTTCAACGGACATTAGGGAACGTGTATGCACAATTTCGGATCTTTGCCGTTCCCGAACAGCTGCAATCACATCTCTCAGACGACCCATATCATTCGGACGAACTAGGACCGCCGCCAATTATCTGGCTATTCTATCATCTTCTGGCAGGGTTCCTCCGAAATGGCCCAATAGCTTTGGAAAGGGATAACGAGAGCGGAGGGTTTACGGTTCAAAATCTCATATTGGACTTCTTGCCGGCTAGCGAAAAAGGGATCTTACCTCTCGCGTCCTTCATAGAATACTTTAAAGAAGTTGAGGATATGGCAGGACTTACAGACACCGAGAATGACTGGACACTCAGCAAGGATGAGGGCCTCCTTGCCGCCGAGTGTCTGGCTCATTTTGTTAGAGCCCTACTTCTCCGAGTCCTCAACCTTGGTGTTTCGACGATCAAGTATGGTAGGATCTTATACGAGAATGTTGGCGATATAGAAATCAGGGTCGATGGTCGGATGAAATGGCACCTAGACCTTCCCAAGATGTTCTCGAACCTCTCGTTTGACCATGAGATTAGTATCTCACACAGGCTGAAACGTGAACATATGTTCGCAAACTGGAAAGAAATGGCGTCGGAAAAGAGACTAGAAGCTGGTTTACCTATCGAGATACTAAATACTTAGATACCTACCTAGGTACCTATATACTTACCTAGGTAGGTAGGTAGGTATACATCTGGTCAAAGTGGATTGAAATTGAAGCATAGGGTTTATATGTACGACGTCGGGCTTACGATGCTCCCCGCAGCTCTCTTTTCGCGTACAAGGATTCTCGGGTGGTAGATAGCGATGTGAGTGAAGTGATGGGGACTTCTATGCAAAATTACGTCGAACCCGGGTGCTGGGACGGATGAGGCGCCTGTGGCAATCCAATCAAAGCGCTGAGTTCCATCGGCTACTTGCAGGTGCGCACATATGAAATACCCTCACTAAAGGTCGTAACGGAAGCCTGTCGAAAAGCTGTAGATTGGACTTAGAATCGTGTACGAAAAACTACCTAGTACTTCGTAGGTAATGAAAGCTGATGTCATGGATAGGTTGGCAGAAACATTTAATCTTGTCAAGTTTACGAAGTAGCCGACGATCTTTATCTTGATATTGGCCAATTCGGAATGGGCGACGCCACAGCACAAGCCACCACCGTTGTCCTCCTATGGGGAGCCGTTGCGGGTTAAATTAGCGAGAGTCAATACCTGTACCTGTACCTACCCCAACCCCCAACCTTGAACTCTCTCTCATCACTTTTGCATTTCATCGATTTTACATGTTACAAGTCTATTTTCTCGGAATTATCGTCGACAATTCAAAATTTCAATCTTATATCCAATCAAAGAATTGAAATCCTATACCGCCTCTCACAAACCAACAATGGATCCTAGGACCGAATTAATTAATTATAGCATAGCATATCTCAATTACGAATTCGTTGTTATGGCTACTTCGTCACCAAATGAACCGAAGCAACTCAAAAAAAAAACCATGTAACGAACGGTGTAGCAATCATGCACGCTCTTTAAAAACTATCAATAGAACCGTCAACCGTTCCTTGTCGCTTCAACGATAACCTATAACTAGATGCATATCACTGCCCGGATCAGACGATCTATCGTGGGTGGTGTCAGATGCGAACGCTAAGAGGCTCGTAGGTATTTGAGAAGCCGAGGGGAGGTTACGTTGAGCTGCTTGAGATGCATCTTTTGAATGCTATAGTCACCTAATTAGGTAAGACTACTACTATATTGTATGCACGTTGGGCGCTGTCGAGGTAGGCTGGATGGGTATGCAAAGACCCCTATTGGATCCATTTTAGATGCTGACGCGGGTGCCAGACCATTCATACAGCTCAGCTATATCACCAACACTCCTTCTTTTAGAAACGCTGCGCCTCTGCGCCTTGAGAGTGCGCTATAGGTGTGGAATAAGAATTGCACATATTTGTGCGACCTTACGTTGAGGGGTAATAATAACTCTTCGAAGAAGTTTCGTCGTTCTGGACCAGTCTACCGATTACTGCCTGCGCTTACAAGCTTACAAGATGTGAGATTAGACATTGTTTAAATTCCTTTCCGCTGCCGGGATTCGTGATAATCATTTCGTTACCTTACTGCTTTTCGGCTCTGCGGCGAAACAAACACTCGAATTAAAACCGCCTATTAGGTAAATATACCTACGTTGTTATCACTCGGACTATGCGGGACTGGGTAATAGATACCTACATGACCGCTTAGCGGCGACGTCTAGTTTCCGACGATGCATCGTTTGCCCACCGGATGGTCCCGTATCGGTAACGGTGGTTTTGCCCCGGTTCCGCAAATCGATACTCCGGACGAACATGACAATGGCTACCAACAGCAACGGAGGGTGACTCCTGGAGACTTTAAAAGTCAAGTTCGACAGGTACTCCAACGAAGAGTATTGGAAGAAGAGCAGGAACACGACCACAGGAGTGTTAAGGGAAGTGTCCACAGCTCTCCCGCCTTTTCGGACACAGCCCTTATAGGGGGTGATTATTTGGATGTACCAATCCATCATTACGACGAAGTGAATCTCGGTGGAGACTATATCGAATATCATGAATACTACGCCCCTCAAGTTGCAGGTCTTACGCCAAGCATTAAAGCCAGTGACGGGCTGGAAGTCTGCTCTGGCCCTTCTTACTTGTCCCCTGGAGGGTTCCATGTTGATGACCCCTTGAGTGACTTGAGCTATCGTGGCTCAGAAGGGAAGATCGAGGAAGTTCCCGGCGAACCTCAAAACTACAAGCCGCCCGCCTTGAGAAGTCGGTTCTTACTCATCCTCTTTCTGATTCTCGTAACTCTCGTTGGGTTGGCTGAGGTTGCAATTAAACTTCTACCCAACGATTCTGGTACCACTGCACCTTCTCAAGTTCTCAATGACACGGTTGAAATCCGTCCACGGTCTATTTTCGTTGGTAGAACTGGCCTATATAAACCTGTCGCACTCTTTAAACGCCAAAATAGTACTACTCCATCAGAGACGACAAGTGTAACCTCGACGGAAAGCTCATCAGCTTCAACATCGTCAACAATTCCGAAGTTTCCGGGTCATCATGTTAGCACGAGTACCATCGAGACACCAGTGTCGTCAACCACAGCCCCAATCATAACTTGGCCTCCAGAGATTCCACCCTCTGCTAGTTCAACTCCACTAACAGATCCACCCCTACCCTTACCTAGCACGACGTCGTCTTCACTTCCCCTATCTTTTTCTAGTACTGTATCGCAAGCTGAACCTCCACCGCCTCCACCTCTCCCTCCGTTTCCACCTCCACCCCCACCACCAGCTGCTTCCACTAGTTCTGAGGATAAACCATCACCACCTGAAATTCCTTCCGCAATTCCAAGTTTTCCGGGAGAGCAATGGCCGTCACATACATTAGATCCCTCCACTTTCACATCTATTACAAATCCTGATGGAACTGCTCCTCCCATCCCCCCTTCAACCTCGTCAACGGATCCCAATAACCCGCCTTCGCCATCGTTGCCTGCGGGTCCTCCAAATCCAGAGCCCACGCATTCCGATCCCTCGCCAACAGGTTCTACAGCGCCTTTACCTACAGACACTCCGTCTTCGTTTCCTCCACCCACGTCAACTTTGCCTAAACCTCCATCCTCGTTGCCGAGTCCCCCAAATGGGCCTGTACCAGATCCTCCATCTGATGCTACTACGCTCTCATCCACGAGTACTTTTACCACGGAAACTTTAAGTACAATTACTGGTTCAACTTCTCCCGATTCTCCGACTGAATCAATGAGACCGACAGAACAGTCATCTTCTGGAATATCAAGTAGCGTAAAAAGCACCTCCATGCCTAGCACAATTACGACGACTCATCCAGTCGATACAAACGCGCTGCTGCCTGCTAGCAGTACTCCAAAGCCGTTTTCGACAATTACCATAGTACCTGATACGCAGCCACTGCCTCCACTTATCACGACAACGATAACAACTTCAGTATCGCAGCTTACTGGGCTCCCTATAGAGACTACTTTTGTTAGCATCATAAACAATGTTAAAGCTTTTGCGGATGATGACGTGGTAGATATCGTTTCCGTGTACAAGGACTCTCATGGCAAGCCAACTAGGACAACGACAATTCATGCGCAAAGAGTGTCTGTCGGAACAAGCCTAGTTGTCCTCTACAACCCTATGGAGACGACCCTTACAGATTACCAAGGAATTGGAACGAAAACACAAGATTATTATATCAGCTCGTCCACGCGGGTCTTTTACGATAAGAACCATCGCCCGACGGCCACAGAGATTTCAACAATCACGGAAACCTTATCACTTATGACTCTTACCGATAGTAATGGGGTTCCGACGAAGACGAAAACTGAACTTGTTCCCATGTCTTCAACAATTGTTACTACGGTCGTATTACCGACTTCAACAGCCTCATCGAGCTCGAAGGAGAATAAGGCCCTACATGTAGTACCTATCTCTAATGGACAGTATTTCCTGGGCCTCATGTTCCCTACCTTCATTGCGATTATGGTGTCAATTCCGATCCGAATCATTGACCAAAATGCGAGGCTTTACCAGCCATTCAATGCTTTGGTGTCTTCTCGAGGAGCCAAAGCCTGTGACACATTATGCTTCCCAACCACTAGCACTTTGTGCCTGGCAGGGCGCATTCGCGCGCTATTAAATGGACAGATTCTCCTTACATTAACAGGGTTATTAGTATTGGGAAGCGTCATAATGATTCCCTTAAGTTCCGAAGCCGTTGGGATCATTCTGGAGGGGCCGGACTGCGCGACAGCAACAGGGGACACTTTAACCTGTTCGATGGCGCTCGGTGTCTACTCGGCACGAGCACAGATTGCTGTAGCACTTCTGGCATTGATGGCGGTCATCGTCGGACTATCAATGGTCGTGCTTCGAAAATGGAAAACTGGGGTCAAGGAGAACCCGTGGAGCTTATTTCGCATGGTACACCTCGCCGCGAACGACGAAATAAAACTTCTGGTACGAAGACGCCTACGCAAGAAGAACGGCCATATTTCAAATAGCCAATTGAATGAGGCCTTTAAGGGAAGATCTTTCGTCCTCAGTTATTGGAATGATAATGGAGATCTAAAATATAGCATCCTCATCCCAAACGGAACGCATTCATCGAAGAAGGATGGGAAGACAGTCGCCTTTAAAAAGGGTAGGGCCTCACAACATCAAACAAAGGGGGATACGATGCCTTTCTTCATCCTAACATGGACGGGAAGGCTTCTATTCCTAGGCCTATTATGCGCCATGGATATTGGTTTATTGGTGTATACTATTGCGGGCGAAGGCCAAGGATACACAGAATTCATGACAGGCAGATGGCGCATTGTGCGATTTATATTTACTCTTTTCGGCGTTATCATCTCGCTAATTTGGGACGATTTCTTCCAAGGTGAGTGCAACAGATGGGCTACAATATCCTTACACTATGGCTTTTATTAACCCAGCTGTCCAGCCGTTGCGTTTCTTAGCCCCCACAAGCTTTTCCATCGGATTCGACTCTATCATGGGGATGCCGGAAAGATGACACCTCCAACAAATGCTTTTAGTGGTATAAGATCTTCACTAAAACACGAACGGCAAGATATCTACCTCGGCATCGTTTCGGCCACGTCTATTTTATCCGAGATTCTACCCCTACTTCTTAGCGTAGCGTTGGACAAGTGTACAGAAACCTTTTGGGCACACACGGTATGTCTTTGGATGGCCGTATGCCTCCTGAGCATAATGATTCTCACGATAGCTGGTTCATTTTTCGTCTCATGGCCAGACATGCCCATCGACCCCAGCTTAATTGCTGGTGGGATTTATTACGCTCTGACCAAGTACATGCCTATGAGTCCATCTTCGGGACTTCTCTTCGGTCGAGTAAGCCCCGGATTAGTTTGACGAATTATCACCAGCAAAGAGCTGTTTTAAATGGGGGACTTCTTCATTATGGTATGGGTACCTAACCCTACCTACATAATATTATATTTACATCCGTTTACCACCCAATATCTAATGGTACTTGAGGCCATTCTCATTGCGGTAAATACCAATCTTGGTTGCCTCATCCAGGTCTTCTTTTGGTAGACCCAAGGTGTCATTAGCGATACCTCCACGTCGAGCCTCGAAGTTACCAACGCCGTCCTTATAGAAAATTCTGCTATAAAGGAGCGTGGGGAAGGCTGTCCGGTCTCCGCCAAACACCTTCTTTTGGGCCTCCTGATAACGCTTGGTGCTATCCTCGTACTTGATCGTCCAGTCGGACTCCTTGGTTCCCGTTACTCGAAGAACGGAGGCGAACATGTCCTTTTGGCTAACTAGGAATGAGGACACGTATATGAACTTGTTCTTGTAGCTTGATAGGCTCGGGCCTCCTGTCGTCTCGGGTTCGATGGGCAAAGAGAGCAGTTTAGCTACGGCTCGTCCCGATTGAGGCCAAGTCTGCGATTTGGACTGGTCAGCATGGCTAGAAGATTTTGGCAGACCCCATCAGTCAACTGTACTCACGCTGCTGTTAATTTTTGTCTCGCCATCGTCGTAGAAGGTCCACGTCTTGTCCTTCACTTCCATGCCATAGCATTGCTCGCCCATACCCAACGAATACTCGTACCAAAATCCGGAAACCACGCCGATCCACGAACTCTTGCCTAACTCTTCGACCAACTTGCGAGCGGGGACTTCGGAGTTGCCCAAGAGGATCTCCTTGCCCAGCTGCTCATCCGCCATGTCGCAGCCCCATTCGTTGGGCAGCACGTAAGGGACATTGGCGGCAGCGGCAGCACGGATAAGTTGCAGCTGCGTGTCTGGGGGCGCCAATGTGCTCATGGTGATTATCAATACCTCCTGGCCTTTCAGGGCATTAACGAGAGTCGACTCGTCACTATAGTCCACGGCGGCGACCTTCACACCGGCAGGGATAGAGCTGGCGGACGGGCTGTCCTTGCGCGAGATCGCAGTCACTTCATGCTTGCCTAGCTTCAGAAGTTCTTCTACGATGAACTTTCCAACTGTGCCGGTTGCCTTTCGATAGGTTAGTGGGAGCCCAACATAAACGCCGTCGACGATGGGGATATTGGGTTACTTACACCGACAATGGCAACTTTCTTAATATGGTTGTTTGGTGACATGATGTATAGAATAGAATGATGTAAAGATGGGTCTATATATGAGCTTGGTGCTAGTCTTGATGGTCTGGGATAATGGGTTGTTGTATCGAGAGAAGTAACACAAGGAATCGAGCTTGGATTTATACACGACGTGAGCTGTACTAGACATCTGTCTCGGGCTCTTACTTGACAAACTTCCCGTACCATTTTCCAAGACGTCTCGCCCACGCATACTGCTCTGCATGGTGGATTGGTGGAAGCAGGCGGAGAAGTGCGGAGTTAAACGCCAAGAGTTCTCCACTTTATTCGGGTCGGGGATAGTAAATTTCCAAATCGGGACAAAGTCCGATGTCAAAGACGTAATTCCGCATCTCTCCTACTCGCCATACCCAGCTACCAGCAGCCACAAAACCGGCTCGGTCTTTATGAAAGCGCGAGGATTACATACGCTAAGTTTTGGTCGTCAAATCCCTTAACGTGGTGTGAGGAAAATAGCTTATAAATCGGTCTCGGTAGTTTGGGTAGGTAGTAAGTGGGACATACCCCTATTCAGCAATTGTTCAGTTAGGCAGGTATGTGAAACCAAGCTGAATGTCTCTAAGATTCATCCGCTATAGAATATAGAACTTATGTCATTGCAATAGCTTCTCTTCAAACAAGGTAAGTGTACCTAGTAGACTAATTACCCTTACCTACTAGGTAGTACGCTTACAAATCATCGTATCTTCCTACCGCGGAAATATTATCTGTTCAGAAGGATCTCCTAATGACTTTACGAGGACACCTTGCTATCGATTACTAAGAAATATGGTGTTTTGAGTGAGGATTATATTAGCGAAAGGTATTGACAAATCAATCCAGATTCTTCAGGTCGGTAGTTAATCTCAAAATTCTAGAAAAGACGCTAATCTTATTCCTAGAGCCTTGGCCCTCAATCTATACCCAGGATATTTTTACGTGGAATCTAGAACTAAGAAGGTACCTATTTGTAAGCTCGATAGACCTTCAATAGAGATGTCTTGGTAATGCTGAGTTTTAAAAATCTATGTACAATGCTCAGTTCCATCGGCGTGAGTATGACATTCCTATCTCAATGGTTAGTGACCGTCTCCCATGTTTCAAGCAAGGTGTACTCAGATTAACTTACGGTAGCTGCTGTGGTAGTTGAGGTTGGAACTGAATTCGACATCGTCGTTGCTGGCTGTGTAGCAGAAGACTCCGACTGAGGAGCTCGCCCTGTACATCCTTCCCCAGGGACTGCGATGTCGAATGCATAAACATCTAGCGCAAAGTACTGCAAGGTATGCGAGTTTCGCGCCGCTTCTGTTGGATTACTGATCGCTAACTCAAGGCATTCGCTATAGCTATCGGCGTAGTGCTCGACGATTCCTTCTCCAATGGCCGGGAGATGGTACAAGCGATGGATTAGGTCGGATCCGAAGTAGAAGTTGAGCTTCCCTGCCGCCACGGAATATCCGTATCCACAGAGCCCCTCGAGCGGCATCCGGGTCGTGTAGGAAAGGGGGCAGATAACTGTTTCCTGGGTAGCGTTCTCTCCACGCCAGTGCCCTCCCCAGCCTATCAAGAGTCGTGGTTAGCTTGTATCCCGTTGTGTGATGGTGATGTTAATACTTACCATCTTGGTGACAGTTACCGTCAACGTCATCGCAGCGAAACCAGATTCCGCCGCGGTCCGCGCTCACTATCTTGTCGTACCATCCGATAACTTCCGCCGTCGGTGCCATGCCAAAATACTTGGTATAGATATCTGAGCTGTTTCCGAAGCGGAGCACATGCTTCTTCGCGTGGTCGGCAAGCTTTATGGCGTCATTGATGCCCCTAGACAAGAGAGAGCGTTCTGTGGCGTTACAGGAACTGTGAATCGGGTATTGTTCTGTTGCGCCGGCAGCCCAGTTGTAAGATGTGGGCTTCGGACCCGAGTCCGTGATTGTCTGGGTAACGGTAACTGCATCCTGCCTGACAGGTAACCTAGCCGCAAAGCCGCAGCCAAAGCTGACGCCAAGGCAAATCAGGAGAGCTTTCATAGGTAGATATCTCATGTTGAGGAACTGCTCTTGATCGATCTTGAGAAAGTTATTCGGGAAAGGATCGGCCGATGAAACCTCCTCAAATTGATACCCTGAACCAGCTCAGCTCAATTGATTTGCAGAGCATATTGACCGGGTTATATAATTCGCTCTCTCCGTGGAATATCTTCATCTCCCAGCTAGAAAAATCCTTTCGACCTTGTTGGACATCGTTAGTGAGTTGAAAAACCTCCCCCTAGCTTCTCAGCTCCATTGGCGAACCGAACACTCATAGTGAAGACAGAGATGAAAATTTCGACAACTTGGCATCGCCGAGGATCAGGTTAACTTCTTATGCCAAGGTGATACGAGATTGGACATATATCTCTTGGAAGAAAGGCCAAGATTTATAGTCTATCAAAACTGCCATCAAGGTGCTTTGTTTATACTTGTACCCACTTCAGTTGTGAGACTTTAACGTCAACTTCAAGGATAATGGAGTTTTCGTTAATAAACATGGCAACTCACGAGACCGAGATTATCCATGCTGTCGACTTGGCAGGAAGTGCGGATGGCTTTTTGTCGGCCTCATACCCGAGACTGTACTGTTTACCCCTTAGTTCACTCCGTGAACCGGATGTATTTTTGCATGGCTCTATGCTGGTCGGAGACCATGATACAAGGATCGCATTCATAGACATCACCGAGGCCTAGTCATTTCAAAGCACCTTTTGACCTATTCGAATGATTTGATTAGCTGAAGTAGACATATATAAACTAGGTACCTAGCCAACTATCTGGTAGACTCGGGTTTCAGCAGCTACCTCCCACCACTCTATATTCTCGCGAAGTTACTTCTGACATATAGAACCATGGGGAATTGTAACATTCTATTCACTGCTCTCCTGACCGCCTTGTGCGTGGTAGCGCAAACCTTGCCTCCATCACCAACTGCATCTGTCGGATGTCATGCCCACGAAGATCACTGGTGAGGTCTTAGAAAGTTTCTTTTCCGGTAAATTATGTGATATACTAACTTCTTATAGGCATTGCGACGGACCCGTTTCAACTGCTGCTTCCTTGGCCGCCTCTACTCAGACTCCAGCATCAAACTCTACTACATCTCCTATCACCTCGTCAACTAGTGAAGAACATGAAAAAGGAACTGGAAGCTTGGCACCGAGCCCGACGGAGTCATTTGGCTGTGAGCCTCATGGCGATCACTGGCATTGCGATGGAGCTGTCGTCGCTAGTAGTACATCAACTGCCCAGCCAGCGGTGACAGCTGGTATTGGGAAAGTAGAGATAGATAACGCCGCAATTATAGGGGGGTTACTCGTAGTTGCGGGGATGGGCCTTTAGATATTAAAGATTTTCGCGATCTACCTTGGGTCGAGTGAAGGAGTAATATAGACACCTATATTTCAACTCAAGAAAGGAGACCCTGATAATAACGCTGAGTCGTATCCGACTTGGCAGATCATACATGTAGTAACATTGAAGCAATATAGACATAGTGGTCGCATACTGCAAATGCATCATCCCGTCGCGAATACCAATAGTAGCGTGTATGGTTCACATATCTTCATATTATCGCATCTTTGTTATACATGATATATCTGTTCATTCCAATGCATGTTGTCCCTTTCGCCAGCGCACATGATCTTCTGAAACGCGGCTGATGTGGTTAAATAGAAGATACTACCAATACCGAAAGGTCCCACAACAACCATCAGTATCCGTAGCCCAAATGTCTTTTATCTACAACAGAACAAGATAATTCCAAGCCTTTCCCTGAGAGCGATGTCATATTTGCCCAGCAATTGAACGATGTTCAGGGGTGTCGATGTGTGACAGGGGGTATCTATCTACTATCTACATGACATCGTAGCAAGGCCGAATACGGTGCCAAGTACGACCTTCCAAGTATAGAAGAACTGTTGAACACCCTGATGGCCAGAAAAGTTTTCGTGATACGTATAATCCACATGCTCTATGTCTTCGGAGTTAGTTTTAGGGTGACTACTCGGTTTATAACTATATTTTGCGGCTCTTTATATGACGTTGGATGCTTCCTCGATAATTTTCGACAGCGAGTAATTACTACCCTAATAACTAAAATCAACTTCACCTGTGGATTTATCCGGAAGTCGCACTCAACTCAACTTAGTCACCATGTTTTACCTCCCAAATCAATTGGCGGAGGTATTACTCATACTCCTCCTTTCATCACATATATTTCCTTATGTTATGGCATCGCGTATTGCCCCGATGACCACGGCCCATCCGCATCATATACTCCCTCGAGCGACCGAAACTTTCTCTGCGGTGTCTAGCTGTCATCTATCCGTAAACTCAGTGTAAGAAGACAATTCTTCCGATAGATGTTATGTTTTGCGTTAACGTTTATCAGTATCTGTTTGCACGGCACGACGGAGCTTCAGGTAGTTGTCCCGGCGACGGCAACGACTGAAATTCCACCCAGTTATACGGGCTGTCATGGACATGGTAATGAATAGTAAGTCGACAAGCTCTCTAATGCGTATTATATAAGACTAACAATCTTGTTAGCTTCTGCGTTGCACCAGACGGTTCTGATGTCCAGGTTCTCGGGTTTAACAGCGAAAGTTCGGCCTCGGCTAGTTCAGGGGAAGAAAATACTGGCAGTGGAAGTGGAGGACAAAATTGTCACTTTCACGCTGGAGTTGAGTAAGAAATTAAACATCTACTAGGTACCATTCTTGCGATGATCTTCTGACCTTCGTAGACATTGTACTAGTTCTGAAAGCGAAGAGAGCCAAAGCACTGCAGAACAATGCTCTAGACGCGATCGTGAATACAACGTACCTCTCAGGATAGGTCTACTCTTCGTCATCCTCGTGACGAGTTTTATTGGTAAGTAGGTACCTATTGAAAGAGTTAACTGACTGGACACAATAATCTCACAAAGGATATATAGGGGTCTCCGGGCCAATCTTCCTTAAACCCGTCTTACCCCGAAAATTCCAATCGGTCTTTATGGTTCTAAAACAATTCGGCACTGGAGTTGTAATATCAACAGCATTTGTCCATGTAAGTTTCCAATAACAATAATCGAGATTTACCTACGTTACCTAGTAGGTGACTGTTGTTGACGAATACTCATTTCTAGCTTCTCACCCACGCACAATTGATGTTCAGTAATGAATGTATTGGAGAACTTCAGTATGAAGCTACTACATCCGCCATTGTTATGGCAGGCATGTTCTTCGCATTCACAGTAGAGACTGCCAGCCATCGTCTAGCCCGAAAATTCTGGACGAGAAGCCGATATAACGACGAAGTGGTCGGTGTTGCGGTACTCGAAGCTGGCATCTTATTTCATTCTCTCCGTGAGTTAAATGTTATGATTGGGTACCTACCACTTATAAAGGGGTCTAACTTCATGTTTAGTAATCGGGGTCACTCTAGTGGTTTCGGGGGATAGCTTTTTCATTACCCTTTTCGTGGTCATCCTCTTCCACCAGATGTTCGAAGGAATTGCTCTTGGCACTCGTATAGCCTCTGTTGGCCACCATGTTAGGGCTGATGTGGTCAATCCCGACCACGCGCCACCAGTCATAACCGAATTCCCACCTGAACAGGGACCAAAACCGATAAGCACCCCGGACACATTAGATGAAACTAGGAATTGGAAATCGCTTTCCATGCCTAGGAAGCTGCTCATGGCTGTTCCTTTTGCCTTGATTACTCCGATTGGTATGGCAATCGGCATTGGAGTGCTGAGGCAATTTAACGGCAACGATCCCAGCACGTTGATTGCTCTTGGTACGCTCGACGCGTTATCTGCAGGTATACTCATATGGGTCGGCGTGGTAGAGATGTGGGCAGGTGATTGGATGTTTGGCGAGTTGGCGAATGCAAGTCTTGTAGAGACCACTCTCGCGGGTTTTGGATTGATAGGAGGTGTGATACTCATGTGCCTATTAGGCAAATGGGCATGAACATGGTTGTTACCAACCTACCTAGTAGGTATACGAGAAGCGTACCTAGTTAGCCCTCCTGTCGAAGAGAGGCACATGCCTTGTTGCCATTAGAATCGCATTATCATGAATTATAATGTTACCTAGTTTGCGATAATATATTGCTACCCCGCATACCAAGAGATGTGTATTATGATGATTTGGGCAGATATCTTGGACTTACTCTATGCCTTCATTCGCCTCCTTACATCGTTCAGCGCACCTAGGTACTACCTAGGTGCAACTCCCATTGATACTTCGATATGTACGATCCGTATGTGCAACCCATCCACGTGCCACCTCAGCTGCAATGAAATGGTTACTCGCGAAACGGTCCAAGACTTAATTCGCGGGAAAGAATGAGGTCGATTGGTCGATGAATCTTAAACATACTTGGGGTTTAGACCAATTGCTGCTCTCCTTGTCTACCCCCTTTCGGTCCTTTTCTAGGTATCGTTCACGGCTTACGCGCGAGTTCAACCTCATAATATATTTTGTGAGTGTTTTTCATATGGCTTGGATCTACTCGTCATAACTCGAAGAATTTGTATTCTTTAGGTTATTTGATTGGGTGAGCTCAAGCCAACCTCGGGAGGCTTGTGCTTGGGCTTGGGCTTGGGCTTGGCTTGCGGCGGGTCGCCTTTCTTCGCCGGTTTCCCCAGATGCCCCTAACATCAATGTGTCCTACCAAGTACCTTTGAAAAAAACATTCGAGGGAGATGAGAATGTCCAAGAGCAAAAGGACAAGTGGGATCGTACGTACATATGTTGTTTACCTGGGTACATTCTCGTTCCTCGTTTAGCATGTTCCACCCCCCTGTTTCGATGATTGGATTCGTTCTAGCGTCCAAGCGGAATAAGAGCGGAACCGCGGAATATTTGACAATATCAATCGAGAATGGCAGAATCGCGAACTCCAAACAACTTCTCGCGTAGGAATCCATCTCGCCGTACGGCGGATGTAACCTTAAGGCATGATAAGCTACTGCCAGATGACCCAAGGATTCGGTCAGCTACTTTGCCGAATGCTTAACTAGGAAGGATCCTGGAAGACGAAGAAATCTAGAAGTTTGTTACGATAGTTCCTAATACAACTATTTGAGTTTCATTCCGCGAGCACGCCTTCAACGATTGGTTTTGCGTCAAGGTTGTGTAATTGTAACCTTCCCATCTTGGCCAATCTCATGCGCAACCCTGAATCTTTCCATGCGGTTTATTCATTTTTACCCGATACAATTTACGCTATCTTTGCCAATCAGAATTGTGTGATACAGGTATGGAATCACCCCTCCGCTTGATTTCGTATGTATATTAAGACCGTGGGGGTTCCCTCAGCTTGGCCTTTCATTTGCTCGTATGGTTATAGCCAGTCTGGAAGCTTACATTACGAATCTTGGGATGATCGTGTCTTCTTATTAAGAAAACTTTATAATGGGTATTTCGTTGTTCCATAATACTTATGTTCTCGTCAAGAGGTGTAACTAATAAGTTGTGTAGCGGAAAATGTCATCGGTCTCAATGTCGAGAAAGTCGCGGAGCCGGGCGCAGACCAGGGTGTACCTGTGTCGAAAGCGCCCGGTACTCCTGAAGTGAAATCTACGCCTGCATCTCTAGAAGAAGCCAGTTCTGGCATCGACGACGAAAACTACCCGCCCCCCACCGATGAAGAACGAAAAACCTTGCGCAAGGTCTTCGACTCGATTCCTCTGACGGCATGGTCACTTTGCTTTGTGGAATTGGCGGAACGTGCTTCTTATTATGGCGTTAAGGCTGTCTTTAATAATTATATGCAATTCCCCCTTCCTGCAGGTGGCCCGGGCACAGGAGCTATCGACAAGAGCAAGCCGAATTCGCACGCCGGCGCCCTCAACCTCGGTCTTCAAACGTCCTCTGCATTGGGTCTTTTGTTTACCTTTCTGGCTTATGTCGTTCCCATCTTTGGGGCTTGGATCGCGGATACTTATTTTGGCCGATATAAAACTATCATCTGGGGTGTGCTCATCGGAGGTGTTGCCCATGTTATCATGGTAGGTGGTGCTGCGCCGGCCTTGTTGCAAGCCGGAAAAGGAGTCGCACCCTTTTTGGTCAGGTAAGTTGCAGTCTCCAACAAGATGTTTAAGAATACTCAGTATTATGTGAAAATGGGAGCTAATGAGATGCTACCTACAGCTTTTTCCTTCTCGCAATAGGAGCTGGAATTTTCAAGCCAAATGTAGCACCCACCGTGATCGATCAATACAAGTACCAGCGCGAATATACCAGGGTGTTGAAGTCTGGGGAAAAGGTTATTGTCGACCCGGAAACGACCGTCAGTCATATCATGCTGATCTTCTACGCCTTCGTTAACATCGGCGCATTCTTCTCCATTGCCATCGTATACGTCGAGAAATATCACAGTTTCTGGTTAGCATTTCTTCTGCCGGGAATTGTTTATTTCTTACTTCCCATTTTACTTGCGGTGATGTATAAGCGCACGATTAGGAAGCCACCAAATGGATCAGACTTGACCAGGTTTATTAAGATCACCCTGTTGGCGTTGAAGAAGAGCAAGGGCAATGTTTTCTCGAAAAATCTCTGGCACAATGTTAAACCTTCTGTGTTAGCGGGACAAGGCATACACGTTAGCTTCTCAGAAAAGGACGTTGACGATGCGCGACGCTCATGGCAGGCTGTCTCTATCTTCCTTTATGTCCCTATTTGGAACCTGAACGATGGCGGTGTTGGCGCTGTGTTAAGCAACCAGGGGGCCGCTATGACATCCAATGGGGCTCCAAACGATTTGCTAAACAATTTCAATCCCTTAGGTATGTCGACTTAAGCTTTCATTTATCTCACTCGCATACGTTGGGAGTAAGACGGGTGTAACTGAACGGGCTTATTAAGCTTACTAAGCCACTCATGAGCCCCTTATTTTCGAGTCTGTCGGCGCTTACTAACCATGATTTCTTTAGTAATCATCATATTCTCGCCATTCATGGCCCACGTCGTTTATCCGTTCCTCGAGCGCAGGAAGATTAAGTTTGGACGTATTAGCCGCATGACTTTTGGATTCAGCCTTGCCATCCTCTCTGGTGTAATTGGAGCTATTGTGCAGTATCGCGTATACGAGACTAGTCCTTGGTGAGTGGTTGAACTTGCGCATCTTTTTTACCGTCAAATACTAACAGAATTTTCCTAAAATAGTGGATATTATGCCAGCGATTGTGATGGAGTTTCGCCTATCTCGATTTGGTGGCAGATTCCCAATGTTTCGCTCGGCGCCATATCAGAAATCTTCGTTAACGTTACGTCGTACGAATTAGCATATGCGCGTGCCCCCGAAAACATGAAGGCCACTATCTTGGCCCTCTTCCTGTTCATGACGGCTTTGAGTAGTGCTCTGGGCGAAATCTTGATCCCGGCTATTGCTGACCCGACACTCGTATGGGCTTGGGCAGCCCCTGCAATTGCGCTTTTCGTCCAGACCGTCATCTTCCATTGGAGGTATCGCAATCTCAATGATGATGCCTTCATGACCCATGAAGAGGACTTCGAGCAGTTGCCATCCGCAAAGGAAGAAAAGGTCGAAACGAAAGTCAATTAATCAAATATCTTCGACTGGGCGGTCTTAGTGGTCTATCTTACTTGTGTGGAGACTACGGGTTGAATCAATCGGAATTGATGTTTATTATGAGATATATATCATACTATATTTATCTCGTCGCACTTTCGAATAAAGCATTATAAGATCCATATAATGTGGTTTTCTAGTTCCGAGGTCCGTAATATGTTGGTTTAACAAGCGTACCTATGTGCCACATATTGAGGCCACTTATGTAACCTAATAAAATTTACTACTACTACGTGGACCGTTTAAGTGACCTAGGATCACTGATTACAGATTCTAATGGTCTTCTTAAATGGCCTACACCCACCATTTCAATCTCAAACCGGCTATCGACTTTCCGATATCATTTAGGTGAAGGAAAAACCAATCTAACTGGTGTATCACGACACTGCCACCATACCTTACCCCCGACAAGCAGCACTTACAGTATCAATACTCTCTCTCCATTCATCATTTCTAGTTCTATGCGCGACGCTCTCCAACCGAATATCCATTATGCAACCATTTTCCTATGTTGCTACCCAACTAAACCAAGATTACCTCCCTACCTAGGTGCCTTTTGGCGACGAAAATGCGACCCTACTTACGTACCTATCACGTCCGATATCTTATAGTTTCGGAAAAAGTGTATTGCAACATCTGAAGCCTCGTTGAAATATTCGCTACATATAATCTGTATGGTTCTCGCTATGAACTCGTCATTTTAATATTCCTGTGAGTAATTCTAGGTTTAGCTTCGGATTCCAGTGTCGGTTTTTCTGTATTGTCGATGACAGCTTCGTCAGCATGGAATCCATCCAAGTGCCTAACGACGTGGAACTAACTAAATCCCTTGGTGCGATAATATTTCTAAATGCTGTTGCTGGCTGTTTTGTTGCTGTGCGCATTGCGGCAGGTTGTACCCGCGGGAATAGGAGGCTATTCGCTGATGATAGTGAGATTCCCCATAAGCCTTTGCGAGAGTACATAACCTAACAACGATGAATATGGATTAGTTCTTTCACTTGTCGCCCTCATCATGCTATCATCCTATTCCGCGGTAACATATACTTTTGAAACACCAAGCGGTATAATGTTAACGAGCATTTCAATCCCGACCGTGAACTACGTGCTACATGTAAATTTATGAAGAAGAAGCCTCCCCTGAGTACCTACCTACCTACCTAGGTAGGCATGTCTCGTTTTACTGACATTGTATCAATCACAGCAGACTATAATACTTACCACCACTGCTACATTCGCCATGTATCTTTCGAAAACTCCTCTTCTCATTCTATATATACGCCTCTTCGGGGTCAAAAACTGGCTGCGCATAATATCGTACGTTACACTCGTGGTATATCTTATACCATCTTTGACGACCGTGATCGTTGTTGGTGCAACATGTTCTCGAAGTGTTGCAGCCATAGATGACATCTATATCCTCGAGAAATGTCTCGAAACAACACTTTCGGTCGGCGTTGTGAACGGATCGACCGCAGTCATTACCGATATCATTGTTATTCTTCTTCCGCTTCCCGTCATAGCCAGACTCAGCCTTCCGTTCTACAAGAAGGTTGGAATAGCTATGGTTTTCTTGACAGGTATCATGTAAGTCGTTCCCTTAGGTATCAATATGCCGTCTAGATGAGGTCCTATATATTTATGCTCTCATACTCATGTATTCCGTAGTGCAATCTTTGCAAGTGCCATATCTCTCTATTTCAAATCGATGTCCTTAGCTGGTCATTCCACGACACTGGTAGCAACATTATTTTGCACGTAAGTATGGTATCGCGGCAATCCTTTCTAGACTTTTTAACATGTTGTCCTAGGATCATCGAATGTTCTCTCGCTATTATAGTCGGCTGCGTACCAGCGGTTCGAGCTTGTTGGTCTTCGTACAAGATGAGCGACTTACATAGCAGGATTAAAGTTGCATTTTCAAGATCTGAGTCTATCGAACTACTAAAGAACGGCGAAGAAGGTAATTCAATTAAATAATGGACTGAAACCACGAAAGATTACGCTGTAGACCGTCGATACTAGGTACTAGGTAGGTATAGGGGAGCAATTACGTAATCCTTGATTACGTCACCTAAATTTATTCTTGTGATTAGTTCAGCTAGGAATCGCGAAAAGAACTTGGAGATCTTGCTACTCGGGTAATATCTACCTACCTACCTACCTACCTACCTAGTAGTTACCAAAGGAAGTTGATGGTTAGAACTATGAGAGATTTATACCAAATAAATTGCAATAGGGGTTCTATTAGGTACTTCCTCCTATTTGATAGCGATGTGGAATATCCTTAACCCCTTTTCCAACTCGGGTAAAGTTCGGGTAATAATCATAAACTCATCGTCATTATCAATCCTCCGTAGCTTATCTCCGAGATTTTCTCTCTTTGCCACAGCGCACTCAGTATCTGGAGAGTCGCATTTGTGCTCTAACAACACACAATGACACCTTTCTGGTCATTGTATTGTATAAAAGGCGTAAATGGCTAGAGGAATTATATCTCCGTACATTTGCGCTCGATGCGCTCAAGCCCTTAGTCGAAATGCTCGAGTTCCCCCAGCTAGCCAATGGAGGAAGTATGCCACCAAGTCTCCCACCAATTCAGAAAGCGACAAACCGAAGCGCGAATCCAAGAACTCGACAGATAATGCCACCGAGTCTGAGCTAGGACCCATGGCCCGCCGCCTCGAAGAGGCGACAGAAGATGCTTTGCTAACGGGAGGAAGAGCGGGTCGACGAGCTGTTGAAGACGCGGGTTTCTCGGATGAATTGAAGGAACGTCTGTTAGCTAGAGTAAAAGATGCAGAATTCCGATCAGAACACGCCGCGGCTTTTGCTGAAGCCGAGATGCCGTCTTCAGCTAGCGCCGGCACTCGTCTTACGGCGACAAGTCAGCCGTGGACTGGAACCGAAACGACCGAAGATGCTGTTCTACGGATGCTTAACGATGCGCATAAACCTTTGAAACGAGAACTCCGGGGACGCCCGAAAATCCCGGACCTTCAGCCTGTCGACATGCGAATTAAACAAGAACCGAAGATGAATGCAGGGCGCAGAGCTGCAAATGCTAAAGACAAGGCTTCTATGTACACAGGCATGGGCATAAAGGAGCTAGATGGGAGTCTGAGTGAGAAAGAGAGGGAGGCACTGAGAAAAGAACTTCGCGACCGCTTTAGACCTGCCGCTCGGGCAATGCCGAATACATTATCGGGATTAGCTTCGTTAGCGAATGAGAGAATTGAGGACGCCATCGCGAGAGGCCAATTCAAGAATATCCCGAGGGGCAAAGGGATCGAACGAGACACGAGAGCGGACAACCCGTTTATTGATACAACTGAATATATTATGAACAAGATGATTAAACGTCAAGAGATAGTGCCGCCATGGATTGAGAAACAGCAAGAATTATCGAAGGCAGCTCATACATTCAGGAGCCGATTACGAAATGACTGGAAACGTCATACTGCCCGAATGATCTCAAGTAAAGGCGGTTCCCTCGAAGACCAAATGAATCGGGCAAGACTGTATGCAGAGACCGAAGAAGTTCATAACCCGCGTCGACGTAATGTGGATCAAATAGCGATACCTACCAACTCAACTGATGATCCTGTCATGGTCAAAATGCGACAGCAGGCAAACCAGGATACGAATCCCGAATCGGTGCCGGAGACGGGTGATGGTGGGGCAAAATCTCGGGATGAACCTCTCCCGCCTCCTTTTCGAGATCCCGACTGGCTGGCCACTGAAAAATCTTACATGGATCTTTCGATTAGAAACCTCAACGCCCTTACGCGCTCCTACAATTTGATGGCACCCGAACTTGCTAAGAAACCATATTTCTCGCTAGAGCGAGAATTGAATAATTGCTATGCCGATGTTGCGCCTCTGGTTGCGGATGCCATCAAGGACAGAGCTAGTGGGTTATCAAAACCCATGATTGATGGCTTCGCACGTACACCAAGGACAATATTGGATCGATTTGGCAAGGGAAGCCAATCTATTAAGCTATATGACTCGAAGACGCCCAATTATGGATTCAAAGAGATGTGGAGGGATCTTTGGAATCGCCAAGCTAGTTGATTTTCTCGTGGTCTTAGTCATGCCCCATGTTCGAGATGCGGCTGAATCGTCATGAGCTCTAGAATAACAACTGCATTGCTACCTGATACTAGGCATGTGGACTCGTACTTGGAATTGTCCATTGATATTTATCAGAACTTGCGTAGATATCCATAATGCTCTCCAAGGATGAGTAAAGTGTTAGGACTAATCGGATTAGAGTCCCAACTGTTGTTTCACAGCTGGGATGAGCTCTCAGCGTCTGAGACTCACGAAGCCAATAAATGGTGTCAAGTGACATGAAATCCTTCACCGAAACTCCGCTGCGAGACGGGAAGGTATCAAATGAATGTCCATTTGTTGTATGATATATTATTCTTCACCGGACCAAAGGAATTTCATGTTACTCGGGCCGATCCGTCTCCAGAAATCCCCTGAACCATAGCCGAATTAGTTTACCCAGAAACGGACAACCGGCGCAGGATCGTCGTCATAGTCAACAAAATAGTTCGCGCACTCGAATAGAATTACGGCATCGACAATTTGAACGGTCAACAAATAATAGACAAGACAAGAATTCACTCAGGTAATTGCAGATGAGATACATTATTTTCTAAATTTTAAGATAACTCATGATACATAATTAATTGACTTTTCCTGCAAGAATAATCACCTGTTGCAGTAGCCTGAATAGGAAAAAGAAGTTCAGGATTTGGGTAGTGGCACCACTTAGACGCCTAGACTTCACAATTTATGGGCTTAATGGACCTCGTTTTCGGAGCACGGGGGGCATTCGGCGTCCTCCATTTCCCCAGAAGCTTCAAATACATGCGAGTCGCGACTTTTAGCTTGGAGCCGTGGAATTCCAAGGGTTCTCCAGACTCTCCACTCCCCAGACTATTTTTCTTCAATTTAATTTCCTTTTTCTTAATTTGCGTCTTTTTCTCTTCTATTCATGTTACTGCTGCTTCTCAATCGCTCCCGATCGATCGTGCTCGTGCTGTTGCTTATGCGGTTGTATGAGTAGAATCGCCTCCGTGCCTCTCGTCTATTCCGTCATTTGCCCCTCCAACTCCAACTTATAGGTCTTACATATACCTATATTACAGCTGTTAACGAGAGCTTCTGAGCTCGGCTCGTGACAATATGGCGTCGCCCGTAGCTTCCGCAGCTCTCAAAGCTCGTGTTTTCAGACCGTCTATGCTGAAGAAGCTTTGCCGACCTGAGGATTTGTTGCATCACTTTCCCAATGGCGCTTACATTGGCTGGTCGGGGTTTACAGGCGTGGGCTATCCCAAGTGCGTAACTAAGTCCTCATTCCTACCTACATTCCCACCCATTCTATCGCGATGTCTAACTATCTTACCTCTCAATTTAGAAAAATGCCTACATTCTTAGCCGACCATGTAGAAAAGAATAATCTCCAAGGCCAATTGCGCTACACACTGTTTGTCGGTGCCTCGTCGGGGGCTGAGACGGAGAACCGATGGGCCTCTTTAGACATGATCGAGAGGCGTAGTCCTCATCAAGTTGGCAAGGCAATTGCTAAGGGTATTAATGAGGGGAGAATCAAATTCTTTGACAAGCATTTGTCTATGTTTCCCGTCGATTTAGTATATGTGAGTAAACCGAATCTAGCCGTAGATGGGTTTATGTTTATGAGTTCATCGGATTCTAACCCCACTAGGGATTTTACACGAAAGACCGACCGAGCAATAAGTTAGATGTGGTAGTTGTTGAGGCAACAGAAATAAAAGAGGATGGAAGTATTGTTCCCGGTGCTTCAGTTGGTGCGACACCGGAACTTATCCAACTCGCCGACAAGGTACGTAGAACCATTGGACCTCAAACAAGAGGCCAAAACTAACTTGGATGAAATATTAGATCATTATCGAGGTTAACACAGCTATCCCGAGCTTCGATGGGCTTCACGATATCACAATGACCGACCTACCCCCTAGACGAAAACCTTACCTGATTATGGGCGTCGAAGACCGTATCGGATCCACCTCCATCCCCATCGATCCTGAAAAGGTTGTTGGTGTGATCGAGTCCGACTATCCCGACCAAACAACCGACAACACACCCGCAGACGAGTCCTCCGCCTCGATCGCAAACCACCTAATCGAGTTCTTCGAGCACGAGGTCGCGCACGGCCGCATGCCCAAATCCCTTCTCCCCCTCCAATCCGGTATCGGCAACATCGCCAATGCAGTTATCGGCGGGCTCAGCGAGTCCAACTTCTGGAACCTAAAAGTCTGGACCGAAGTAATCCAAGACACCTTCCTCGACCTCTTCGACTCAGGCCGTCTCGACTTCGCCACCGCAACATCCGTACGCTTCTCCCCCGACGGCTTCAAGCGCTTCTACGACAACTGGGAATCCTACCACAACAAGCTGCTCCTGCGCTCTCAACAAGTCTCCAACTCGCCCGAGATAATCCGCCGTCTCGGCGTCATCGGCATGAACACGCCCGTCGAAGTCGACATCTACGCGCACGCGAACAGCACCAACGTAATGGGCAGCCGCATGCTCAACGGGCTCGGGGGGTCCGCGGACTTCCTACGCTCGAGCAAATACAGCATCATGCACACGCCATCGACGCGGCCGTCGAAGACCGACCCGATAGGCGTGAGCTGCATCGTGCCGATGTGCACGCACGTCGACCAGACGGAACACGACCTCGACGTCGTGGTCACCGAGACCGGGCTAGCGGACGTGCGGGGCCTGAGCCCGCGCGAGCGCGCGCGCGTCATCATCGAGAAGTGCGCGCATGACGACTATAAACCGATCTTGCTGGATTACTTCGAGAAGGCGGAGTTCGAGTGTCTGAAGAAGGGGTGGGGACACGAGCCCCATTTGCTGTTTAATTCGTTTGATATGCATAAGGCGCTTTTGGAGGAGGGGAGCATGCGGAAGATTAAGAAGTGGTAGGGGGGAGATGAGGTACGGAAGTTAGGGGGTGGGTGAGATCTATTGGGTTATATAGGTAGGATGGGGATTGGGCTGGATATAGTGTATATACGCCTGTCTTCTGAGCTTTGAATAAGTATATATCTTGCTCTGTTTACACTTGGGAATTTGGATGTGCTGTGCTTGCGAGATTTGAAAAGGGATGGATAACGGTCGAAGAGTTGGGTACACACACACCTGGAGATCGGGGATGACTTTCTAGAGTCTCAGAAAAAGGCGCAAAAGCTCGTCGGCTTTATCAACTTTTTTGACGGAGCTATTGTATTCTGCAGAATATAAGATAGACAATATATGGGTATGAGCAGGCCTACCTACGTATGTAGATACTATCACAAGTGTCATCAACAGTGGCAATGCGTTTCCGGGATGTAAGACACCCCCAACCCTCCACCACATACAACTCACCCATCCCCAACGATCATCGCCTCATACAATATCTATTAATCTTACGATATCGGGGAAATATTAAATAGATTCATAAGCAATGATAACTAACATACATACCTACCTATATAGTAGGTATGTACTATTGCTTATGGGGGATGAGGGTGTACCGACTTTGAATTACTGTTTCTGTCTTACCAACAGAAAGGGGAAGGGAAGGGCGAAAGGAGATAGCGAAGTTATCCAATCACGGCATGTGCTCCTATGAGAAAACAATCACTTGAGAATAGTGAGCTCGCTGCAAGACCTTCATCGCTGGATTTTGAGGTGCCCTGAGAGCCCGCTATGGCGCTTCTTAGACCTAATAGTTACGGTAGTGATTTTTCAGCTCCTGTACCCCAGTTTATCTACTGTTACAGGATCCCTTGTATGCATCCTTCGGCGATAAGACCAGCTCCTATCTCGCTGCAACAATGCTAATAAATACCTACCTATATCTAGATGCTTTACGGCGTGTTTCCCTTGACTTGGTTTCCGCATCATCTGGAGTAGGGAGCTTAACAAGGTGTGCTTAAGTAATCCTACTCATTTGGTAATCTCACCCTTCTACGATTATCGGGTAGAAATTCACCCCGCGATGGAGTCGCTCCCCGTTGAACTCCTTATTCAGATATTCAGCTCTTTCTGCTTCCATTGTCGATGCCCTGGCGACTTCCCCAACGCTGATCTTGACTATGTTCGAAGCGATAAGAAAGTGCTGGCTCATCTATGCCGGACGTCGAAATTCATCTGTTCGGTTGCGCAACCCATATTATACCATTTTTACGCCACTGGAAATAGTCGAATAAGGATAATACAGGCTGATGGATATGTCGGGTTCCCTAATGAGCCAGACTTTCTAGCACAATTTGTTCGTACCATCGCCCAGCGCCCCGATCTAGCATCGCAGATTACTACGATGCATATTGTGCGAACGAACTCGTTAATGGGATACGAGACACAAATGCAGACAGTAAAGTCGTTAATCGATTTTAGCATCTCGAAAAATCTCCTCAAAAAGCCTTGTCTACCCGATAATTGGCTTGATGGTCATTTTTCGCGCTGGCGGATTGGCTATCAGGAAGATTTACACCGCTGGTTGGCCACACTCGCTGCCGTGCTCTGCCCTCGGCTGAAGAGTCTGTTTCTCAATATTGATACAAACGCTCATTTTCCTGCATTGGAAGAGTCTCCTCATATCAAACTGTTGTCTTTGCAAACTTTGGGGGTAATGTCATTTGTAATCGATTATCATATCAGTGAGTTGCATGCACTGTACGCAGCTGCACCAAACCTCGAAACACTCTACGCATGCGATTCGTCGGGTTGGATATCCAAGATGCTCTTTGACACCGATTATAAGCTTCATTTATCCAACGTCAAGAGGCTGGCGATTTCAGACTCAACCTCAAACGACTTAGAAAACCTAGTGCGCTGCACCCCGAAGTTGGAAGACTTAGAGTACTATTGGGAAGATATGGACGAGGAGAAGGAGTACCATTTTAGAGACATGGCGGAGGTATTGAAACCCGCCAAGGATACGCTTAAGAGGCTTGGTGTTACCTTTCTACCACGCGCCGTTCACCTCGATCCATTCCCCAAATGGATCGAGCCGCCAGTAGTAGATTATCCTCCCATAAAAACTCTCCGAGAGTTTACTGTGCTGGAGAATTTGTCGATCGACTGTTTCTTGTTATACCGAGAACAGGACGTTGACACCGATGATCGGTTAGTTGATCTGCTCCCGCAATCAATTCGATCTCTCCGAATATCGTACGTGTATAGGGGTATACTGTACTGCCTGCGTCAGCTTGCTATCGATGCGCCGAAGAAGTTCCCGTTTCTAAAGGAAGTTATACTTGGCATTTCGGAGAGAACAGATCCAAGATACGACTACAAGATCGAATTGTCGATAGCTCTTGAAAAAGAATTCGAGGCGTCGGGTATCAAGTTCGAGTTACAAGATGATGCTTTAGGAGCGCATGCGCGGACTATCATCCCAGGTGATGTAGTCGGATCGAATATGGCCCCTGTACCGCGTATATTAAATGAAAGAGGATATTAAGAGAACTAGATTACAAATAGGTAACAATTATAAACGCAGAAACCGACGACAGAATAGCTCAAGTTATCTGTAGTACCTCGGTATTTTATGATCGAAGTATTGTGCTGATTCCTTTGGTAGCGGTTACTCCTCTTCCGCCCCGAGTTAGCGTTCTTTGAAATCGTTAATGGTCCAATTTTACCGGAGACTTTTCTTGTTAAGGCGGGTCTTGCTGAGTCATTATCCCCATAACCATATGAAGCCCTTATAGCTCAGTGGTAGAGCGCAGCACTCGTATTCTTATATTACAAGTTCATGCTGAGGTCCATCGTTCAATCCGGTGTGAGGGCATACTCTATTGCGCCTTCTACTTTTTGGCTATCCTCTATAAAACACCCTTTATAATCGCCTAGAGAAAATTAGATATCAATCATGAACCCCGTTTTTTTAATGTTGGTGGATGGAATTGAGGGGTTTTGTACGATTCAGGGGCTGAACTCATGCCCTAAATTTACTCAGTATTTTAATTTTTAGGGGCTATTTAATCCGCCTAAGCAACTAAATTTCAATTACATCCTCTATTTACTTTTCATCCCTCTGGAAGGACACAATCCCAACTTGTCGCGAGGCTCGTGTCATTAACCTTGTTCCATTTGCTGACTATCGGATAGGGGCAATATGCTGATCAAAGCGATGAGTATAATTATTCTATCTTTGGAAACCGGTAGGAAATACTCACTTCTCTGTGCGATTATGCTGCCTCCCATCGAATCGTTTTCATACTTCGTCCCAATCAACGTCTTCGGCGCGGCACCATTTTCAACCCATTCAACAAGCGCAAGAAGGGCATTATGGTCAGGGTCCAGTAACTTCTTATCGTATGGGTATTTTTGAGCATTCCCTATGCTCCATGCTCCCAGACCCCCTGAGCAATGATGCATACCCGGAAGGAAGAACAGTCGGTAGAAATCGTGAATCTCTTCTAGTGTTAGGTTAAGGGCACTTTGAACTCCAACAAAGAATTGTTCAGACAGCGCAGATGTCACGGTCTATGATTGTATGTTAACATCGAGCCAGAGATACTTCGAAGTTCACTTACTTCATCGTTTCTTCCGTGATACGAGATGATCTTGCCTCCCCTACGGTGGAAGCTTGATAGGTCTGTATCGTCCGCGTTTACTTGCCCAGGGTTGGTTTCCAAGGCAAAGTCCATATCCGATTCACTAAAACTGTTCGGCGTCCAATTACTATCGTTATAGATTGCTCCGCGCCAGAAATCCTGTAGGATGGTATAACTTAACTGCGCCGTTCCATTCTTTTGATTCTCAGAGAATACGTCGGTCTTAGATCCGAGTTCAAAGGCCGGGTACACAATTTGACCCGAGGTGCTCGCAATTGGTTCATACGCTTTGCGTACCGATTCAATCTGTTGCGGGCTAAGGCACATCGAGCCGTTAAGCACACCGGCGCCACAAGCCAGACTCATAGGGTCAAAGCGATGCTTCGTCGGCTCGTCGATTATCCCGTCCACCACCCCGTCCAATGGATCCAGCTGTCGGATTTGCGCTTCGACAATGGCTGACCATTGCTCCGGACGGACATATGCTGATGAATTTAGAAATGGCCATCCGATCCGTCGAGCCAGTATCCCTTTCGACGCCACGATATGAAGCCAATTTATACCCGGGCTTCCAAGGAGTAGCCCATCGAAGTCTTCCGGATATAGATTTGCGTTCTGAAATCCCTGGCGTCCTCCTGTGCTGCAGCCCGCATAGTAATTCTTCGTCGCTTCTGTCCCATAGTACTGCCGCACCAGTTCCTTACCAACCTCCGCTTCAACATGAATCGCTCGATGACCGAAATTGTTGATAACTTCCGGCTGATTGAGGAAGAACTCGTATCCGACCGAACCATTATGCCCAGCATTGGTCCCGAAAGCCGCGAAACCTAAGCCAGCCCCGTTTTGCATCGTGGCATAGTCAATGCACCCTCCAATCCCGCCATTTCCAGTCGCCAGCAATCGCCCATTCCAAATCTCAGGGTCAGGAAGCCAGGCTTCTAATTGAACCTCACTCGATGCAGTTGTAGAGACGACAAGCACAAGTCGACAGAGATCGGCCGTAGAGTTGACCGTTAGATCGGGTCCACCACATGATTCTACAGTTCCGGGAAGGGCGATATTGGTTCCATTGGGAAGATAGTTGTGAGCGATGATCGTGGTATTCGGGATTGAGATAGAGGTTACTAATGATGCGCATGTGTCTATAGAACACACTACTTGGTGGGCAACAACCCCTAGCAAAATGACCACGCTTTTTGTCAAGAGTGCCATTTTATAGAGTGAATGGTTCTCGAGGGTATTGATTAGAACGGCCGCAAATTATTCATATTTTTCTGTCTTTTAATTGCTCCCTTCCCCTCCCCGGATCCTTTGCTCATAACCCGGTTTGAGTGACACTTGTTAGCATGATGGTTGATGTATTAGGGATGGTCTCGTCAATAAATGGAGTAGAGCCGGGGATAAATGACCCGCTGGAATGGTAAAAACATCGGTATTCGCGGATTAGTGGTGGTAAGAGACCGAAGATACGGGACTCCAAAGCCGAAGACTTTTCCCCAGTTTCTCCGCACTGGGAATCTAGCCGCATCCTATTATGGATATGGATACCTACCCACTGCCGCTGTGATTAAACGTCCACGAATGCTCCAAGATGATAATTTCATGGGTACCTAGGTGGGGGAGTGGATGAGAGTTGACGCGTGTTATCCCATTGTGATCCAACCCGGGCTTGCATGTTAACATATAGGTACCTAGGTAGGTAGAAAACGAAACGAATTTATTAATAGGGGTAATAAAGCAGTCATTGCTTCTAGAAGTTTCCTGTCATACGACATCTAGCTTAAATCTATCATAGGCAGTGAATTTTTTCACGTTCTGGAGAAAGAAAGAAAGGAGCCGTGCATGATTCCTGACGCCGTAATGTGAAGGATTGTGTCCAAGTATCAATCGTAATGCGAAAAGAAAATAGGAGAAGGTATCTCGGTAAGAATTCGTGGAGATCTCCAGGAGCCGGTTGCTCCCTTAACCTCTTTGGCCATATGATGATAGAGAAGAGCTACCAGCCGATGACCCGCCAGGGGCTATTTGCCTTTTATCTTTTCCTCCGTACTTGTTACCCGAGCTGGAGTCCCACATCAACCCCGTACCGTTACATGGTCGGCATTCCTTAACCCTGATACATCTTTCGATTAGCATGGTCATCCAGATGATTTGTAAGGCTGTCAGGTATGCTTTTGAACTTACAATCTTGGAGTGCCAAGGCAGTATGAGCACGAATAAGGCATACGATGGTCAGGACCGAAACCATATATCCTTCTATCTTCCAGTGTAGCACTTGAGGTAGTGCTTTTTGATTGAGAAGACATGTTGATAGTACCTGATTTGATCAATTGGACCATCCAAGATTGGTAGGTACACAGATGACCGAAAAGTCTAGCTTCGTGTTTCTAAATCTAAGTAGAAGCAATCTAGTAGATACTTCGGGTTCTTTATATCGTTCTTGGTAGACCAGTATGGGAGAGTAAGGCTGCGGGTTGGAATAGGTACATATATGTCTTTCCAACATATGCATGGTACTCTACTTGAAAGGCAGTTTATATATACCTATTACCAGGGACTCACCGACTCTTGACATGCCAACTACCTTCATGCATAAAATATCGTAGGCGTTGATTCAAACAAGCGAGGTCCGCCATTAGAACTCGGCAGTAGGTAGTAGTAGGCTAAGCAGGCTTCGCGCCCCTGATTTGGTCCTTGATTCGAGAAGATTGGATTGGTTACCCAAAAACCTAGGTGTTCATTAATATCTATGTAGGATTGTTGGCACAAGATATTTTGGGCGACCAGAAAGCTGTAGCACTTCAATTCATGTCACGTCTGCACCTTATATCACGCTCTGAAGCCGGAATCGGCTTTCTAGGACAAATCATGTACGGCGCTTTGACCCAGGGAACTTATCAGGTTCTTAAAGGCCGCTATTCCTCTGCATATCGTGTATCGTGATCCTTCAGCGCCACTGTCGCGTATTAATAGTGGTCGGTAAGGCTCGTAAGTGGTGTTTATCTGGCGGTCCGATTAACTTAGTCCGGGAACTTTTTTTGGTATAAGATTTAGGGGGGAGTTGAATCAAGATTTAGCTGAGAGATCAGGCAATGTTCCATCTTTTCCATTGAAGATACGGACTGTGGCTGCTCCCAGGTTTGGCCGATCAGCTGCATGTAGCCGCAAGACGGGCTGATTATTTTGGCATCGTATGGGGACACGTAACAGACGCATCATCCGAAGACAATTACATCGTCGTTGATTGGCGTATCAGATCCTCGAATACCCGTATGGGGTAGTAATCGTGGCGTTTGGAATTCTCATCTTGCATCGAGTCCCAATCGTAGGTACTAGGTAGGGATGCAAGCAAATTGCTTGGCTTCGGGAATGTCTTTGATATACCACAACATCTTCCTACCCCGTCCCGGCGATCTTGAGCCGGTCCTCCGGCACCCATAGGCAGCTTCCCGTGACCTGCAGTCGGATAACGCCCTTGTTATCTTAGGTAGATGGTTATATACTGGTAGGTACTGCTAATCATGACATTAATCTTACGGAACGAGATTCTTCACTTTACAAAAGTCTCATGTTAATCAAAAGGTTTCACCTCAATCCTTTCGCACTAATCGTCGAACCTAGAGAATCACCAAAACAGTCTAAGTTAGATAACTTCTTCTCAGAATTGCCATGTAGTAGGAGTAAATACCTAGTAGATAACTGTCACTAATCTGCCAACGCAATGATACCAATACTTGGCGCCTAGTGGCTGAATGAAAGATAACCTTAGAACTTCGAATCGATAAAGGCAAGGTTGTATGGTTATTAGATAGGTACCTAGGTAGGTACCTAGTAGATATGTATCAGCATGACATTCAACAACAATTGGGTTCTCCCTTTTCTCCCCCTTTTTTATTTCAATGTCTTAGACCTATCGATTATGTAAGCTTTCGCGTTCCTAAAACGCCACTTTTCGGACGATCTGTGCGATTGGAACTTTTGCGCGTTTCTTGATTTTTCCTTTTTTAAAAGAAAAAAAAAGAAGAAAATACAACCTTGGAACATAGTGGATGGCAATGGAAAGCTGGACCGCGTCCTTCACCCCGAACCCTGTCCTTGACAAGACAGATCTGGCCACCACTCCGCGATGCTAAAGAACGGGAGGCAGAAGCGCGACTGACGTAGACCATTCTATTGCTTTTCGAAAGTTCGCCCGACCAACGCGCCCCATCCGCTCCCCATCTCCCGGTTGAGTAGCCTCGAGCCGGAGTTCTCTTCAGCCCAGCCTTCAACGTCGCACATCAGGAACTGCAACGCTGCGAGAAAAGACAATCAGTATCGAAAATGAGCGACGACAACGGTAACAGCAATGGCGGATCCGAACTATTATAAATCCCCTCCTCGGCCGACGACGAGCCTAATTACTGTTCTTGGATTGGGATGTCGAGGACCTGTCGCACTACTTTGGAGGTAGGAGTAGGTGTGAACCAGTTTGTCTTATGAATCTTCTTTAGTAGTTTAGCCGCTAAAGATAGGATAGCCACTGCCATAGAGCACTGTAACAGCCCCACCACTAGCGCACGATGATCCTAATGGCGGGGTAAAAATTTCAATGACATCCATTGGTTCGCAAACGATCAAGGAGCTCTAATTATCCCCCGTATCACCTAACTAGCGTTATCTTCAGCTATAATGCGTGTAAGCTATTTCAATAAGTAACCCAGGGGATTGTGAGTCTCAGTGCAGTCAGAATAGGGGGTTCATTGTGCACCACCTAACCTCGTGGTAGGTATGATATGTACCTACCTATTTACATACCACCTAGGTATACCGCTACTTCGCCTTCCCCTGGATGATTTCTTGTCCAATTCGGACCAGGTCTTCATTCTGAAGCGTATCCTTCTCGAACCCATTGACAACCTGATCTAACAGGGCCGCAGATATCTCACCAACATCGACTTTAGGAAGGCCAATGAGTGTTCGCCCGACTGTCTTCACTAAATTCATCAACAGACCACCTTTTCCCGGCGCATCTATCATCCCAGGCTTAGCTACACATACTTCCACCGTGCCTTTGGACTCTTTAGCGTATGTGAGAACTTTCGATTCAACATCGCCCTGTGGAAAGTCAGATTAGCCTTTATGAACACCCTTCATACGAGTCCCGGATCCAGAACGAAGTTACGTACTCTCATTACGCAGTAATCGCCTAGCACCCATGGCTTCTCAGCCGGGTCTCGCACGCTGCTAGATCCGCTGATGTACACCCAACGGAACGGCTTCTTTTCGCCGTCGCCACGAGGAAGTTGCGTGATCGTCTCGATGCCCTTGATGGCGTAGTCGCGGCAGATCTTACACGCCTGCTCCCATCCCATTGCTCGAAGCTGTGCTGGCGTAACAGCGATAGTCCTTCGTCTCACTATTAATACATGTTTGCGGCATTGGTAGGGGTAGGTGCAAATAGGGAGTAAAAGGGATATTGTACCAGATACAGGCATCCGCCCCAGCTAGCTCCTGCTTCGCGCTCTGGGGGTAATTCTCGAAGTCGTCGCATATAACAGACTTGAGCTTTGTCGTGTCGGCATTAGGTCCCACGTTTTCCGGCACGGAGATCTCGCGGCGCCCTAAGGCGATAAGAGACGTCACTTCCGGGTGGGAGAGTGCTTGGCGAATAATCTCGGTGCCGACAAAGCCGGTTGAACCTGCGACGATGAGCTTCATGATGAATGGCACACTCAATTTCTACCTAGGTAGGTAATCAGAAGAATTTTCTGTCGGTGAAAGTGATGAGATGACGAGAATAGAACGCAATAACTTCCTAAAATATTCAATCGGCCACCTCTTAAATCCGCTAGTATGTCCGGCGATTCGTCTCAAAGAACAACACTAAACGTGTAATATCGCCACTTTTAATCGCTAGCCAAACGGTCTCATCAAAGTCATCCCCAATAAAGTTAATTCAGCACGCTAGCAAGCCTTAAAAAGGGCGTGGAGAGGGCTATAGATAGAAAAAGGAGAGATCTGTGATGAACCTATATAATCTCTATCGTCTGAGATGGTCGACCCCGAAAATATTTCATACCACCACATTCTCGAGCACGGAAAAAAAAGCACCCACTCGAAGATATTTCCCAGCCTCTGAAGCAGGGTGGACGATTATACCATATGCATATCTGTCGGCATCCTCCTTTAATTGTCGATTTTGAGCCGACTCATGAGGGGTCAAAGTACCATATGAAACCTCTTCAATTTCTGGAAGCACTCCATAGACAATATTCTCATTCCTTATGTTCCCACGCCTATGGCTGGGAACCCCCCCCCGGCAATCCAAAGGCTAGTGTTCTCATATTTTTCTACTCCCCCTTCTGTCCAATGATGTATTCGAGCATCGACCCAAATGAAGTCTTCCTTAACTTCTCGACTCCCAATCAACACCAATGACAATTCATCAAAAGGCTCCGTGCTCTCGAATATATCCCAATCAAGGCTTATATCAGCAACGTATCCGCCGGGCTTGTTTTCTTGCGATCGTTCATGACTTAATCCTAAGGGCTCAACGTGCAACACAAGAGGTATAACTATACTTTCCATGACCAGTGTACCTCCATTAACAGCTCCATATGGGTTCAAGCCACTCATTGATGTTGATGCCCCGATAACATTGGATTCGGCTTCGATTTGGGGGGCCCTGAACCTGACATTACTGAGAAATCTTTGTCAGCAAAAATAATCGGATTTTCCCTACTAGCCCAACTCCATGATGGTGCGATGTATGAATGCGGAGACTGTAGGGAGTTGACTAGTTGCTCTCTCGTCAAACTGGGGCATTATTTAAGTTGCCAATACACAGACATCCAAAATAAATCGACATGTAAGTTGACAAGCCCGGCTAGGTAAGTTTTCGAAGAGCTGTCGAATAAACGGCTTGCGAGTCCCGAGATGGCTGGAAGTTTATCAGAATGATTAGTCAACTTTCGTTTCGAATACTCAGTGATCAGATTCATCCAATTCGTATATCTTTCCCAATAATCCCAGTTCTGCTGATAGAAAGATTTATCCAAACTGGGCCCTAGTCTCCTCACTGATTCGCATGTTTCTGATTGCTGCCCATTTTCGGTAATGCCATGCAGTTTCGTTCTACCGAAAATAACCACCGTCTGGGCCAATTGATATTCCTGGAGCACCCATCCACGCTGAGCCCAATCACTGCGCAGAATAGAATAGAAGAAACAATTAAAAGTCGCATCGGAGGGGTTGGGTACTTCACCAACAAGCCGTAGAATGTATGACCCAGATATAGCCTTGTTCATCTTCGATTGGTATCTTATGCTAGTCATAGTCCAGTCTCTGTTTAGGAATCCTTGTTGGCACGATGTTGAAGCGGGTGTACAGACGGTTACGGCAGCAGTTTCGTAGACGATAGACATTCGTGAAGACTCCTTCTCCCAGTCTTCTAAATCATTCTGGATAATGCAGACAGCATCCATCCAGAGATATTGAATCACCAGAGCTCGTGTGGTTAGAATAGCATCGCGAAGGACCGGCGAAACTTCGTCAAGCTCGAAGCCACCAATTCTATCATCCAACGAATATTTCTCCGTCTTAAATTGCTTGGCGGCATCGTCTAGAGGCCCCCAACAGTAGCTAAACGCGACATATGGTGTTCGAGAAGATTTTTTAAACGTAGTATCCACAGTCGTATCAATAAGCCGACATGATGTTGGTCGCTTATCAGTACCTATGTAAATAAGACGAGTTGGATATTCGAGGTCTGTATTTAGCGACTGTTTGCGATTTTGAAGATTGCGCAGGACCATGCCGAGGTTTTCGGGGCATAGAGCCTCATCTTTGGGAGAGGAGTCAAGTCTCAACCACCGAGCACAGGAACCTATATCACAGTCAACATCGTAACCAAGGCATACTTGCCTACCTAGAGAGTATCTATCGCCGATGGATATCGAATATCTTAATTCATGATATATGCCGACTAGACGAGTAGGATAGTACCTAGGGAGGTAGGCACCTACTTGGAGGGGAGTCAACGCCAAAATGTAGCCACGTTGATAAGTTTAGATGACCACCTAGTTAGAAACAATCAGCATCACTCCTATCGTCTCATCATGAATGAACAAAGGGAAAATATACCATTTTCATCTGTCCCGATCCATAGCAACTGGGCTATCAAAGACTTCAACCCAATAGGTCTATTAGGATCGAGATCGTTGAATGGGTACCATTGATAAAATAGAGAAATCAGCACCTCGTCAAAACCGGCCTTGGCATACTTCTGGATACTTCTCCTCAGCACGCTACAGAACCCACATCCTTTTTTCGCGGTATGATCAAGCCTGTCTAAGTCTGGTAGAGAATCAACTACGAAAAAGTCTAGCTTGACAAGCCTAGTTAGAGGCTTTTGCCAATCGACTGGAACTTCGAGGTAATGTCCCTCCGCTTTGGATCCCGCCTGATGCGCACCCGGCCAGATAAAGTCGTCGAATTCGAGGACTCGACATGTTTCGCATAGATTGGCAAGCGGAGGGATCGTGATGGACATCCCTCTGATGGGCGATATGGTTGTATTCGAGGTTGTTGATGAGGAACTTAAGTAGGTACCTACCTACGTACCGTAGGCAGCCTAATTTATCGGATTCTAGGTGCGTTACACGACATGTGCTTACCTCAATTACAAAATGCCTAGGGCATGATTAGTGGCGTTTATACTGTAAACGCACTATATTTTCCTCCGGACCCCGCTGTAGTTGGTTAATTTTTTTGAGTTTTGTAGGTATTGGGGAGGTACGTAACGACTGTTCAAGAACAGTTCCAAAAGGCTTATAGATCTTCATTGGAAATATGTAGAAATTATATTAGTCAATCGGTCGTCTAAAGCGCTTGAATTCAAGGTCAGTAACATTATAAGTGCATAATTATAAGACTTTGTTTTCAGCTGTTATTAAAGTAGGTGACCACCTAGTACCTAATAAAAAGGGGCTAAAAACACGGGTACTGGGTATAACTGCCCGCTAAGACTCCCTATAATCATAGCGCTGAATAGCGCTAAGCTACCTATAGGTAAGGCGATGAAAATACCTAGTTGTAGATCCTGATGACGCCACAAAATGTGAGGATGAAATGCTATCGCAATCTTCCCATTTGAAAATACTCCAGCAAGACTAATTAAACATAAGATCATGGCATTGCGAAATGCTACATAGCGATATCTTCCAGTCCCAGTTCCAACCAACCAAAGCCTATATCTATCGCTAGCCAATCCTCTACCATAGTTACGTCCCAAGGTATCAAACGCCGACCATATACTAGTACTAATAAGAATAACAAGAAAGAAAGAATCACCGCGCCGTCCTTTTTCCTATCAAAATAAAATAAAATAAAATCCCTATTGCCGAATCTTAGGTATTTGCCGATGCTGTGTCGCTCGGGTGAACCTGTAAGAAACCGTGTCTCACCTGACAACGCCACGATAAAAAGAAAAACTATGATCCGAGGGAATCTGAGGGAAGACCGGCCGCTCTCGTACAGACGAGGGGTGGTCTCACAGTCCGAGCAAGCCGACCCACGTGGGTGCCAAGTTTACGGTGGTGTAGCCTTTGTGTGCCACATTTGACGTGTTGACAACAAAGTAGGCAGGTATGTTTTGGAGAAGATTGGCTCTGAAATGGTGCATATCCAAGAGGTTATCGGCAGCGACGCGAAGAATGCCCCCGTAAATTTAGTAGATGAATAGATTATTAGGGTAATATTATATGAAAAGTAATCCCTATCGGGGCAATGCGGGACAAGTCAGTCTTCGTGGATGGAGAAGACGCAAGCTCATCCCGGCTGGATTGTAAGGCATATTTGACTTCTGCCTTGTTGTCGGCCTTGATGTCGTGGGAAAATGCCTTGGCGATTCCATCGAAGAAGTTTTGGTATCACAAGATGATGTTACATGCCGTTAAAAAAATCCTAGTGGCAGGTTTCGTGGCCATGAATGATGGGTTTGGTGTTATGAGGGAACGGGTACTGGCTTCCGCATTGATAAGGATGGTGGATTTTTTTTATGTGCGGATAAATGTTGGGATTTTGGATAATAGTGATCTCAAGGTCTTCGACGTCCCCGTTCGTGTATAGGATATGGAACATAATTTCCAGTGGCAACATCATTCACGCCGTGATAGGCCGCCTGTGTCGCCGTAGAAATTCTTGGAACAGTAGAGTATAGTGCTGGGTCTGCAAGAGGGTCCGAGGCATAAGTGGTATAATTTCCCGAGTGCCTCGAAGTCGGGCTAGGCATCTTCTCGATATATGGTCTCTTGCTGCTCGAGCGGACACTCGAGCTTGGGTTGACATTGATGCTGGAACTTCGGCGATGATGGCGCGAGGAACCAGTCTTCTCGTCCCTATAATCTGGATATCTTCTGCCCGTACTCTTGAGTTCTTTGTGGTCCCTATCGTGTTTACTTGTTGAGCGTCTCAGTCGAGGAGAGGGAGGTTCGCCAGAGCCGCCTCTCATGTTGCTGTCTATGATAGGATCTACTGCTGTGTGATATAGTTGTCGATAGTCATCGCGCTCATCTCTCATTTCATCGTAGGCAGCTTTGAGCTCCTTGATTTGCTCTCTCTGTGCATCTCTCTCTTCCTCAAGATTTTTGTTGGTCCGTTGTAGTCTCTCATTGCGTTCGCATTCTTCACGGTAGAGTCTGTCCGTGTCTCGGCTGACTCTGTGGGCTCTAGTTAACTCAGTGTCCAAGTCGGTACACTTCTTTTGATAATGTTCGACTTTCTTATTGGCCTGGCCTAGTGCTTCTTGAAGAGCACCGACGCTGTAGAGTTGGTCTTCGTAGTCTTCAGCTGTGAATCTACGATCAGGTCTTCCGCCAACGCTAGCTTGATCACTAGATGACGAACCCACTCCTGAGTCGTGTGCTAGTTCGCGGCTGCGGTAACCTTTTGGTGACCCTCTTGAGGGGGTTGAAATCTGAAATCTCACGTGCCTGTCCGACATTTTGTCGTATATGCCACTGAAGGCAATAACTTCTAGTAGGTGCCTGCGTGAACTCTTAAAACGAGGCGGCGGCTTGAGGGTGTGATTGACGAATGGGAGCTTTTGACAGCTCAGGATAGAGCGAGCTATTGGTAGAGTGGAAGTACTGAGTCAAGAAGACGGTTGTAGCAAATAGACGAATATATAAGTTCGAGTAATTCACTTCACAATATATGATAGAATATAAAAGAGAAATTTTTACAAAGAGGAACAAGTAGAAGGTGAGGAAGAGGGTAGGTGAAGTTTTATACAAAGGAATTGTAAAGCTTGTGATTCGCAAATGGCCGGTTGCTGCCTTCAATCTCGATAGATAGGTACTTTGTGTATGTATAACTCTTGCACCACGAGACTGACGACTGTAGCTGTGAACCGGTACGGCAAATATATGCGGGTGTCTGTACTGATGTAATGTAGCTGGCCGGTTGCCTCTCACATGGAGTCATAACTTTAGGCAACGGACCCCCCTAGTCTAAAGCATCCTAGTCGGCGAATGAGCCTCATAAAGATCCGGGGTTATCTTACTAGGAGAGAGAAGGAGAAAACATCCAAGCACCGGGTAATCCAGAGCGTAACTAGATTTGGGAGTACGCCACGGCGATAAACGCTTGTTTCTCGCACTCGCCATTAAGGGAGCAAGGCAGAGAAACGCCTTGCCCGTAGCCACGCTCTGCCGCGATCCACGCGGAACCGCGCAGAACCGCGCAGAACGCGCAATTGACAGATGGGAAGGATGGGCATTAAAGAATTAAAAGAGAGAGAGAGAGAGACAGTGCCGGAAAAGTCTAGCATTGTTAGACGGCATTTTGTGCTTCCCTCCATAGAGTGGGTTGGAACATGGACTGGCCAGCTTTACACCGAAAATTGAGCCAGTGGCCGTGTCCGCCTGACGATTCAGCCCCCAACTCGGTTCGCCAGGAGCGTGGCCTGGGTCGTAATGGAGGGGAACATGTAGGTCAAGATGGCGCAAGGATCAGAAGAGAAAGACCTGTCTCTCAAGTGCGATCTTGATTTTGGCAGTATTTTTGCGCAACTGCGTAGAGTAGATAGGTACTCGCGCTGGCGTGCAGAATACCTGCAGAGCATCCCGCAGAGCATCCCGCAGAACGCAGAACGCCTAGCCATCGGAGCTCCAACCAGTAAGAATCAAGAGGGGGTTCTCTGCGAGCTCCGAGCTACCAGCTACCGATTCAATGAAGGCTCAAGACCAATCGATGCCGATAGATGTTGGTACACAATAACGGACAGTGCATGATGACTCACATATGGATTGCATCGGGGGTTGCAGAAGAGCTTCATGCATTTGATACATGACGTCTGATAGTATCGAGATTTGATGATCTTCTGCCTGAATATTAAGAAACGACTAGGAGTAAATACCTAGCCCTAGCAGCCCTAGAGGGTCCGGCGATGCGCGAGTGCGAGGTACAAAGGGTAGATGGATTTGCCTAGCAGGGCTGAAAAAAAGAAGAAGGGGTCCCCGTCTAATGCTCGTCTGGAATTGATACCTAGAATTGGTGAATTTGGTGGATTTGGTAAAAATGGTGGAGATGAAGAGGCACAATCGGGGAAAGCTATCGAGCATATGATCTGATCCACACTTGTCCACTAGGTCGATTCCTATCAGCGCTATTGGTAATTTGGTATAGCGCTAGAGCCTAGAGGTAGCCAGGTACAGTAGCTCAAAGTTTCAACCTGGTAAGGTAACAGTTACCTTAAAGATGTGGAAAAACCGCGGGGTGGTAATGACATTTGGTAGCCTAATCCAAACCGGGTAGGTATCTGCACCGTGTAAATGGCTTAGTCACTGCATCTAAGTTTAGTAATGGATGTAATGGCTACATCATTATGGGGCACAGCCACTGCGGCTGTCTCTCGCAATGAGTTATTATCAAGGAAAGCATTCCTCGAGCATCATCAAACTACCTACCTCCTCAATCTTGGGCTGTCCAACCCTCCCAACGGCCTCTCCCGCAATTCATTGAGATCTAGATGTCCATTGGGATCCTCTTGCACACCATTAGCGACTATCCAAATCAGCGGTAACCCTTGCTAATTCACACCATTCGGATTTCCACGTAAATCCCCTCCCTAGGGACGCCCATTAATGAGACACAGCTAGCTAATAATGGACTGCGTAACGTTGGAGATACTACAGAATGCACCGGATTTACGCTCCTAAATCTAAATCTAAAAAAAATCCTCCAATCACTGGAATATTGGAAAGAAAAGGGTCCAAATTTGCACTTTGGAAAGATGTGCTAACTATAAACATACCTGGTAATACCGATGCTGAGTTGTCAATGATGGCATACGTTGTGGGATTACGCATCCGCATTCGGGTCGAACGGCTTGCGGGAAATGCATCAAAACCCACATAGAGATAAGAAAATCTTTGTAAAGATGCAATGATCGGACCTAAGGACATAGAGTGAGGTAGGCTACCATAAGTATCTCCACCTATGTGCTTGATGGAGTGGGTGGTTCGCGGCTGAGAATCTCACTTAGGTCATCAATTAAGGCGTCCGCCAACCCAAAACCTGGTTTCCCTCTTACGATGTCCGTCGGTCTTCCGCCAGGAACGATATCTAACCAACAACCAACAACCAACAAACAAACGCGCCAACCAACTGCGTCGTATGTATATCGCCCTGAGTACGTAAACTCCCGAGGTTAAATTTCCAATTTGGCATTTGATCGCAGACATACCTAGTAGTACTATATGAGAAGTACTATATGCCGTATTTAAATATGCATCAATTAACGGATGGGGAAACCAGCGAATGATAGCTACTAAATCAGTTAGTAGGACAATGCTAGTCTTCCCCTTTTTGGGATATCCCCCCCTTCCCCAGATCCCGAGTCATATCCAGGATCATTGCTAATCTGGTTAGGTAAGCAAGCATATGATTCCCCCTTATTCTAGGACAAGACTACCTACCTACCTACCTAGGTAAGTAGGAACATATCGGCGTCTTCTCTGCGGGGATATATTGAACCGGGATCGTTAAGGGGTTAAGGTGGTTGGCGACCTCCGGTAAGGCAGACACGCCAAGCACTATTGCTGCTATAAGACGTTCGCTTCAACCAGCTCATAGTAGGTCGTAGGAACACGAGACACCCGAATTTTCTGCCTAAGTGGCGGCCTAATAGCGACAGCCATGGACACAAGATGCTGGCAGTATTACGCAGTCGAACACAAAACTGCAGGACAGACGAAAGTGCACCTTTATGTGTGAAGATTTTCGTATACGGAATGACGGTGACGCCTTCTTGGGCTACGAGATGTTCGGGCATCGTGTGTCGATTCATCAATGTAGCCGTCAATGTAGCCCCCACGTGAAAATAGTTCAGGTTCGAGTCTCACGAAACATTGAACTATCGGACCGGCTAACCTAGAACTACTCACCCTGTGAATATGGTAAAGGGGTGAATCATCAATTCGCAAGATATTGCAAGTTTTGGCGTCACTGCGTGTAGAGTGCAGATTTAGGCAAACTGCAATATTTTCTCTCCTAACCGCGCCTAGCTACCCATGTAATTATGAATCGAGGACTGTGGCCGCGGCCTACCTAAGTCCTAGAACCCCCCCTTTACATAGGTACCCAAATTAGCCCTTCCTCAATCTGATGTCTCGGTGCCCATCCCCTCCCCTTCCTCTCCCCACGAAAACAAAGTAAACGAACTGAAGTTCTGGTATCAAGTTTTAAGTACAGGTAAAAAGTATCGCACATAATCATACATCGTAACATTGAAGAAAATGCAAGAGACCGAATTAGTTGGTTCCTCCAACTCTTAGCCCCTATCCCTAACCCCTATTCAGCGTAACACGCGAACTTTGACAAAATGAAACTGCAGAACTCGTAGCATGATACTTAGAGACTAGAAGAAACGAATTAACCCTCTGATACCCGGTAATGATGCAACAAAAAACGTAAAGTGAACTTACATGTCGTCCGCACAATCTGATGATGCCCGCACAACCCAAAACACATACCAACGTAAAATAGACAAGAACCTCAGCTTAAACCCCTTAGGTACAGCTATACCGCCTCCCACTCCGAAACGGCAGCGGGTCCTCCAGCCGTCTCAGCATCGCCCGCTGTTCCTTAACCAGGCGATCGCTCTCCTCAAGGTCCCTCTTGCGCGCGTGGAACATACACTTATACTTCTCGTACAAGCCCCTAAAGTGAGCGACCTGCCTCTTCCAATCAACCAACTCCCGAGTCAAAGCACCGATCGCGCGCCCGTTCTCCGACACCGTCTCGGAGAGCACGTCGACGCGCGTGGCGAGGTGTTCTTTTTTCCGCCGCAGGCTGTCGGCTTCCGCGGTGCGATCGCCGACTTCTTTCGTCAGCGCCGCGATGCGTCGCCGAAAACTCGCTTCGCTGTCGGTCGACCGCGAGCGGCGTAGCGAGCTTACCTCCGTTGTTAGACGCACGTTCTCCTGCACCGCGGTCTGCAGCTCGGACTTCAGGGTCTGGTTTTCGCGTGTGAGCACTTCGTTGGAGCTGGCTAGATCGCGGTTTTGGTCGATGAGGCCGTCCCACTTCTCGACGGGGATGCCGGCGCAGGAGTCGAAGCAGCGAGTTCGAGAGTGGTAATGGGAGTCGTGGTGGTGATGGCGGTGGTGGTGCCGGCCCGAGGGGCTGGTCTTGATGATGTACTCGAACATAGTACGAGTCGGCATGCTAGCCCGCGTTTGTTCGAAGATTGTTGGTACGCTATTCAGGATATTACTGTATCTATCTGCAGCTAGGAAGTTTGGATCTTGGTTGATCGACAGGGCGAAGATGTGATTTGGCTGATGAGTGGATGAGCGACGAGCTGGCACAGTGGAGTATAGATGCAAGCGTTGGAGCTAATGCTACAGGCAAAACGAATGAGAGGATATAGCCAGGCCAAGGAACAGCCGGTCGGGTCTGCAAGGGAGCTCTTTTCATTATATGTAGCATGTATACACTATCCCAGGCACCAGGTTTGATAGGCCTCCTCCCACGAGGCTATGGTGGGGACTAGGAGGCGAACAGGTGAAGTCTAAAATCTAGGGGTGGCTCAATATCACGAGGCTCTGTCTGTGAACCTCATGGCCCCCCTACCACACACTCGGCAGGGAACTTGATGGGGGGTGAGGATATTCAGTCTATGGATTGATTCACCCGCATCTAGCGAAGACTGCGTACGCAGCGTAAGCGATGGCGCCCGTGTTGGGCAGCAAGAGTTACTCATCGCGGCTTTACTCGAAGGGGTGGGCTGTATCAAAGATAATATTAAAAATAATAAATAGAGGGTTGGCCGAGAACGTCATCGGATGCGAGGCGCCTGAATACTGAAAGCCCTCAGTTGACATTGGTTCCTTGTCGTGTCTCAAAGAAGGCTCTGGTCACGAACTGTTTAGCGAGGAACTAAAACCCGAAGACAATCCCATCAATAGTAATAGTTCCTTATCCAGCACGAAATTACACATTGTGAGTCTTACTCCGGGACAGAAAATATGCCTCGCGAGAAACAAGGCCTTTTTCATCTTAAACATGGCTTGAAAAGTACTCGAACGAGAGTCGAAACAAATAGAATGGATCTTTAATCCGCGATGCCAATGCATGATCTGGGAAAGAAGAAAGCGGGCCAGATCGATTGTACCCGTTCGCGCATAACCGCTTCGTTGCATCGCTCTAATGCAAGAATATGCAGGTAGCCCGACCAATTAAACAGAGTGGAGATAAGAAGAAGGAGGGTACGTACCTGCGTTATCATGCGCACAGACACTCTCAGCTGATGCGACCCATGTCCCTGCCATTCCTTTCACGTCTAAATTCCGATGGTCTTGGGGAGGCCCGCTGAATAAAAAAGATGGGAAAGAAACAACCCTCAGCTCAGCCCCATCTGCCCCTACCCTGACCAGATCAGCTATGACGGCTAAGTCAAGCCATGGGGGGCTGATTTATTTCAAGGTCACCAGCCCCCATCCAGTTTCAAGATATGATTCTAAAATTCCTAGGTGTAGGATCCTTCGTTCTAGGAACTATGATGTGGTGACTAGTTTACATAAGAGGCCTCACCCTCCCACGATACTAACTAACTACTTCGTATCTACTACTCTAACCCCCAAAGTCAGCTCTTCTTTTCGCCACTCGAAATCTTCATCTAGGATCGCCGCTATCTCCTACCTACGTATATTCCTACCTGTGGATCGATCCATTATCCGGTGAACCCCCGAAAGCGAACGATAATTGCGGACGATAACGATGGTCAGATGGGCGGTGACAAACTTACACTTTGTCGAAAAGACATTCACCTTTTAGCACTTTTTAGCTCCGTCATCTTTTCGCATCTGACACGGGAGACTCCTATCAGTCGATGACGCACTTAGGCATCAACGAAAACAATAAAAAGTCAAGATAAATATAGCCGAAAATGACCGTTACATATCTTATTTCGCCAAGTAGAAGTACGCCATAGCAAACTAACTAGTTAATCTTAAATATATACACTGGGATTATTAATCCCATGATCTCACTCGTTCAGGTATGCTGGTATCTGGTATCTGGTATCACTGACCCGACCTTTATCATAGGTCCTCATACAAAGCGAGTAATCCGTATTCATCCACCTCGACGGTACAATAGTACACCTCGGCTTCTCTAGTTTCTTATCCCTATTTCGACTTTCGCGTTTAGAATATCGGGCCTGCTAAACGGATAGATACCGACTTAGTCTCGGTGTAGTTGTAAAGGGCCTCCTCTCCTAGTTCGCGACCGATACCACTCTCTCCGAATCCACCGAACGGTAAAGCGTGAGAAAGAAGGTTGTAGCTGTTGACCCAGACGGTACCTGCGCGTAGCTCGTTGCTGACACGGATAGCTGTGGTAATGTTGGAAGTGTGGACGGCAGCAGCCAATCCGTAAGCGCTGTCGTTGCCGAGCGCAATAACCTCGTCTTCCGTCTTGAATTTGGCAACAGCAACGACGGGGCCGAAGATCTCTTCTTGCATGATCTTCATCTTAGAGGTAACGTTGGTGAAGATTGTGGGCTTGATGAAGTAGCCCTTGTCTCCATGTCGCTCACCGCCCAAGGCGACTGTGGCACCCTCCTTCTTACCCTCCTCAATGTATCCCATAATACGGTCGTATTGTAGCTGACTGACCTGAGGGCCCTGGAAAGTTGACTCGTCGAATGGGTCACCGACGTTGTTTGCGAGCGCGCGCTTCTTGAAGGCCTCAATGAACTTGTCGTAGATACCTTCCTGGACGTAGACTCGAGAACCGGCACAGCAGCATTGGCCGTGGTTGAAGTAAATACCGAAGTTGACCCAAGAAATAGCTTGCTCGATGTCCGCATCGTCAAAGACAATGTTAGGCGACTTGCCACCGAGTTCGAGGGTGACCTTCTTTAGGTTAGATGCTGCCGCAGCCTTCATGATAGTGCGGCCAACGGCGGTAGAACCGGTGAAAGCAATCTTGTCGATGTCCATGTGAGCAGACATGGCAGCACCAGCCACCCTACCGAAGCCAGAAATGATGTTAAGAACTCCAGGAGGGAATCCAGCCTCCTTGACGAGGCTAGCGAAGATGAGAGCAGAAAGAGGTGTCTGCTCAGCAGACTTGAGGACAATGGTGTTGCCTGTGGCAAGAGCCGGTCCGACCTTCCAAGCCAACATCAATAAGGGGAAGTTCCACGGGATAATCTGACCGCAGACACCGACCTACAATGTGTTAATATTCTATTCATATCTGGTTGTATTATCGCAATTTTTACTTACGGGCTGGTGTTTGGTGTAGTGAAAAGAGTCGGGGTTAATATCAATAGTTTTACCCTCGATCTTGTCTGCCCAGCCACCATAGTATCTGATGCAGTTTGCGACGGCACCGACGTCACCCCTGGCCATCGTGATAGACTTTCCATTATCGAGAGACTCTACAGCAGCTAATAGATCCGTGTTCTTCTCTAGGAGATCGGCGAGCTTGGTCAAGTAGACACCTCGCTGCAGAGGAGTAATAGTTGTTCGCCACGGGCCGTTGAATGCTTTTCGGGCGGCGGCAACTGCAATGTCGACATCCTTCTCAGTGGCTTCGCTAACTTGGGTAATGATTTCCTCTGTGGCGGGGTTGATAACGTCGAAAGTCTTCTTGTCAACGCCTTCGACCCACTCGTTGTTGATAAACCTAAATAGAACAATTACATTAGCTCTTGGACGAAGAAGGAAATTTTATAGTCGCAGGACCATCGTTCATTGGTGGAAGGGAATTTCTTCTTATTGTTTAGTGCTGACTTACAATCCGGTTGGCTGGCTATATTCGCCGGTGATTGGCGTCTTGAGCTGTGTGAAGAGAGGCATACTGTATATGATAGGTCGTATTCTCTATATGCAATGGGTATAGTGTGGCTGTATGTGAGAGATGAGCTGCGTCCTACGTCGATCTGTTGTATCGTGGGATTGGGGAATTGTCAGTATAAGATGAGGAGATGCTTCAATGGAAGTTGACGATGGTTTGGGGGAGGTATATATGTAGGTCTTTTTCCTCGAGAGGGGGTCGTCTTTGTATGGTATGGAGCCGGGAGTTGTATGGAGTTCCCCCTTCAACCCCCCGAGATAAAAGGCGGGGTAAATTAGTAGACGGTGTCATTATGTGGCAAGAACGATATCCTAGATACAAAGACGTTACCCCAAACGACATAGTACCATTACTTCGCATTACTTCTTACATGATTTAGTCGCTACGGGTGTGGAACGGAGGATTTCCACTCTCCCGGAAGTATGGGGCTTTCGGGGTAACTAGGGAGGTACTTGCTTTTAGTATACGGAGAAGTCTGGAGTGCAAGGAGTTGATATTATTGGTCGGATCGGTAGAGAATCTATCACGACAACCTTGGAATTGGTAAATTCGGGAGGTTACTATTGCCCAGCTGACTTCCTTAGCGACTTCCTCGAAGAAGCACAGACTACCTAGTAGTTTGACGTTATGTCACCAATTTATGTCATTAAGTGGATATGGTTGTTTTAGTGTTGCCGTAAAGGATCAATTAGCTTTGAATATCTCCAATGATTCCATCGCTCTGTCCTCTTTCCCTAGGTATTGACATAGCCTACATAGCTGCATAGGTAGTAGATGCTTGGCAGCTCAACAGCTTGAGTAGAATTGAAAGAACATAGATGGTGGTTTAAGGGCATTCTTAACCCCGCACTTATTAAACAAATGGCGTTTCTTACGGCCGCTGTAGTAGTCATGTATTTATACACCAATTGCATTAATCACCCTGTCACCATATTCGGGTCTACATTTAGCAGTCTACTTACTAGTATAAAGTTTTCTTAATAATTGTGAAATCATACACGTAGTACAAGTCTTACGAATACATAAATCGGTAAGCTAATAATTAAATATTACTGATCTTACAAGATTAACACACCGACTTCAATACATCCGCAATGTAGTCGCATCGAACGATGTTTTTGCCACAGTCGTTGACCAGCATACAAAACTGACCGTATTAGCTGTTTAAGGGTCTGGTCTAAAGTTCCCCGCAGTGCGGAGGAACTCCAGTTGTGCGGGCGACTTACCTATCACTCTGGGGCAAGACAACGGGGAACGGGCAGGATGGGGTGCTTACGAATTTCCGAACCAGGCATCCAGACAGCTAGACAACCAGACAACTAGACGAATCCTGGAATGCGAATGCCTAGGTGAGTAGGTGAACGAAGCTACTACGCCAGCGTAAGTGGCGCCGGCGACGCGAAGACTCGATACGGACAAATGGAAGATTCATCCCAGAAGAATGGATGAGGAGCCTCAAAACCCATGTTTCATGAAGTTGTTATCGCTTTCACGCCGAGGCTCTAATTGCCTGTTCCGGACATTATTCGTCTAAGTTGACTTCAACGACCCCTTACTAGAGTCGGCTTACATGCGTCTGTTCTCACCTTCTTACATCGATAGCGTGGCGACATGCTTGGGATTGGTTCACCTATTGTCGAATGTATGATTACCTTACCCGGGTTCAACAGAATAGTGGATGTTGAATATGACCTTATTACGGACGAAAGGTAAAAACGGTTTACTGTATTTGATAACGACAGCTTATGAAACATGACCGCCGCAGACGCGGGTGGACCTCAAGGAGGCGTGTCTTTCTTCAATCCACTCGCCTTATACCCCACCTTACTATTTTGCCCTTACCTTTTTTTTTCATCACGCTCCCTGGTCTCCTTTCGGCGGAGGGGAAAACGGGGAAAATCCCATAGATCACTGTAGCTTCGATTAAGCGCTTAACTGCATGAGAACACGCGCCTTAGTGGATGTGGGTGACGATTGCTAAGCTTTGATCCCGCTTTCTATTTTTATTGTCGATTATCAGTCGATCTACATAAAATCATCTGGTCAAATTTCTTAATAGGTACCTAGATTATAACAATCAAGTCTCAATCGATTGGATATTCGAGAAATATACTAGGTACCTCAAATAGTACCTGCTATACCTCTTAATACAAGAGAATGCGACTAAATGCTATCTCGGGTTAGTAGGTAGCGAGCCAAGCCATCCCACTGACCTTGAGGGTCTATAAATCGCGAACGTGGCGCGGCCCTCACCGTTCCCGTCGAAACAATATAGTTCCAACATCGTCACGACCTGTCTATTACGGGCAAAAGGACATTCGACTAGTAGGTAACTTGTAAATCTGATTGGACCTACCCTACTTAGGTAGTTTATGTCTCTCATTTCATGTTACTCGCAATTATATACCTATTGAAGATTTTGAAGACTCCAAGTAACACAACTAAGTCTCAAGCGAGGTAATCCAATTGACGTATGTGAAGCCCTTCTCTTACGTATTTGAATATCTGATTATTTCCACAACTTGTCATCATGGCAATTACGACAACACATGGGACCTCAAATGTCGTGATGCATCCAATGATACCAATGATGTCTTTGACCGCATGTACGGGGTGTTTATAATCACCGACAATTAAAGCCCGGCATGCAGAACTAGTAAAAGTGGTGGGGGTCCTCAATCATAAAGCCTTAGGAGTTAGGAGTTAGACCTGGCCAGACTCCTTCTTAGCAGCCTCTTCCTCAAGCTTATATCCTCCTCTAGCCATATCTTCAATCGTTTTTGAGCCTTCTGCAGTATCAATGAATTTGACCACTTTTGAGATTTTCTTTCCATCGTCCGTGAAGTTCACAAACCAACATATTTCCATGATTGATGGTTTGCTTCCATCAAACTTCGTCCAGTGTTCAACATGTGCGCTTCCTTTACGCGCAACTGCGTCGATAGTGCTGTCGAGAATCTTATTTCGTGATTCTTCCATGATCTTAATCTCTTGTCCCATGTGCTCTTTCTGTTCTGCACTGGTCTTGACGCCGTCGACAAAGGGGTATTTGGTCATGAAACTGTCTGGTTTTATATACCACAAACACTCTGATGTGGTCATTGACGCCGGCACGGACGGATCAACATTGCGATTGAGTGCTTGATGTCCGAGGAATGTGAGCAATGTCGACTCCATTATGGAGCGTAGGTCATCCGTGGGTGATGACATGATTTATGGCTAGAGTTAACCGGATAGATAATTGAATGATGTTTAACTCGAGATTACCTTCTGGAAACTGCCTACTTACCCTAGGTACCTATAATATATATATAATACAACAATGAGTTACGACTTACCGGAACTTCCGACAACTATCAATAACAATGGATCATATAACTTTCTGTGCCTCATCTCGTAAAGCGTAACCTATTAAAACTTTCAACGTTGACAAGATTCTTACCTAATTGCATGTTGTAGGTACTTAGTATGTACCTACTGGCTTCGTAGATTCTTTGCTTGCTACATACAGTGTACACAGTAGATTATACAATGACACAATTATTTTTGATGAAATACCTATTTTATACGGTACATAGAATAAGAGATGCAATAGAGAAAGTTGAGAGACTACAGACTCGGGTGCCGCTATTGAGCTTACATGTATTTCAGCTCAGTGTTAAAGACTTGAAGTTTATGCGCATGTACTGTACTTGAATATAGACCAATAGCAATTATGGGAAAGTGCTTTCGTAGGATGGATACCATATAGGTATTAATTATTTTAGATTTATTTTGGGAATTAAAGTTCATAGGATTTTGTGTATCAGACAGTCAGGATAGCCTAAAATCTTTGGGGCAAGAATTGAGGGCAATCTTCTAATCTTATCGGACGCATTGACTAAATTTTCGCCGTATTATCTTTGAAGAGTGGTGGATTGAATAGGTACATCAAGACATACAGCTTATTCTGCATTCCGACACCAACAGCATCTTATCAACATACCATTGATATTTAAAACCGATGTCCTTATTGTCGCGTAAACGAAGTTGACCTATGGCTGACGTCGCAGAAGCTATTGCGGCAGCCATAGCTGCTGCCGCGCCGCTAACAAGTAAGTAGTAGTTCAACTTGATTATTTCTACTATCTTGCTTCGTATAGATAGCTACATATGTCTCACATAGTGAGCTTTAATCTCATCCATGAATACATAATAATATTAAAATACTCTTACTAACAATACGCTAAAGGTCCTGACATCAAAGCCGAGCCGTCGAACCACGATGCCATGATCCTCGACCCAGCTCCCGAACAGCCACAGTCGCCTGTTAAGAGACCACGAACTCCCGACGATGGCGGCGAACAAACGCGGGACGAAAAGCGACCAAAGATAGAAACTAAGGTAGAGAGCGATGGTGCGAACGAGATGGATGAGCTCGCTCTTCTTGTTCAGCAAGCCCAAGCCGAGGCTATGCAACAATTTCACCTGGAACCCGACAGAGTTGACGGCTTACCATCAAACGAGCACGAGCACGAACAAGAACACGTAAACGCTATATCGCACGAGATACCAGACTTAGAACCGACATTTGAACAACAAGCACCAACTCCCGCCGAAAATTCCGAGCCGCGCCCTGAATCTCTATGGAGCAATCCAAGAGACTTCACGCGTCGAAAACATATTATACCTGGTCTAGGTAGTCTGGTAGGTGTAATGCGGGAAAAGTGTTGGAAATGAAGATACTAAGAATTAGTAGGCGATTGATATCATCACCGCTTGGTCTGAACAATCTCTAGAAGATACTGTTGCGACTCTAAGCGGCGACCCTGAATCGGACATCGCTAAGGAGTATGCCGTTCTAAAGACGGCTTTTGACGCGCAGCGCAACCTGCTCTCTGATACACATACGCTGCTGTATCCTGAACAACTCAACGTTGCTAGCCAAGCTCGGGAGGTTATAAGGGTAATAAATCTTGCGACAGCTTGCGCGAGCGTATTTGGAACCAATGAGCTTGGGTTGGAGGAGATCAACGACCATTTCCTCCGTATTTTCGTACCCGAGAATCAAGAAGTGTCACGAGATGCCGCAGATTTATATCTAGGCTTAAAAACACAGATTTTCCTCGCTGTATTAGAGACTGGAGGAATGGCTAAGGACCAGCTCCTGGAGGATCTATTTATTGCGAGACTCGAAAATTCTTTACAAGAACATCATCCGGATCTGCCTTTGTCGATCATTGAATATGAGTTTATAGCAAATGCTAAGGCGCGAAAAGCTATGCTTTTCAACGAATCCGGCGATATCGACAGTATTCGTATGTTGGCGACATCTAATTGGTCTTGTGGGATACTAATTCTATCATAGAAGCACTAAGCAAACAATTTACCTACGAAGCTTTTCTTGACGGTCTCAGCACATTCCTCAATGATCACATAGAAAGCATCAGGGTACAAGGTACAGGTAAAGTGGAAACGACAACAGTTATTGAGGATATCACCCAGAATGATCATATCGATCACGACCACGGCCTAGATGATACATTTGACCTCAATGCTATGATCGCAGAGGCATCAAGGGCTGCTCAGAGCGCCCTTGAGCCAGACGGCGAAGTGCCTAATCTTAACGAATCTCACGAACTGGATGAATTATCTGCGTTTCTAGCAGAAAATGTTTCTAAAGCTGTCGAGCAGGCTAAAGGAAGCACCACGGAGTTACCATCAGCTATTGCATCTGCGGCTGAAAGTGCCTCGAGAGCCACTATGTTAGCTTTGCAAAGCATCCAACAGAATCAATATCAGCCAACATCACTTCCCCAATCCACTAGTAAGTCTCACACCACCCAAACCCAATTATAAGCAGTATTATCTAACTAGATTTAGCACCATCTCACTCGACTGCAAGCCATAACAATTACCAACAACATCAACAAATCCAACAACAGCAAGCACAGCAATCTCAATCACAGCAACAGTATTATCACTATCAGCAACATCCTCAAAATACTGGGGCAACTACATACCAAACAACTAACGATCACCTTCCGCCGAATCAGACCGACTCAACTCCGGCGCTCTACGAACGCGCCCGGCAGGCTGCGGCAGCACGCTCGTCAACCCATGCGCGCCGAGAAGGCTCGCATTCGACCCGTCGACCCTGGAGTCCCGAAGAAGAGAAGGCACTTATGATGGGTCTTGACATGGTCAAGGGCCCTCATTGGTCACAGATCTTGTCATTGTTTGGTCCCAATGGGTCTATCAGTAACATTCTTGCAGACCGAACCCAAGTTCAATTGAAGGATAAGGCCAGGAACTTGAAACTATTCTTCCTTAAGACGAATTCGGAGATGCCATACTACCTCCAGTGTGTTACTGGCGAGTTGAAGACCAGAGCTCCTACTCAAGCTGCTAGGAAAGAGGCCGAGGAGAAAGCGAGATTAAATTCAGAAGAACAACAAGCTCACGTAAATGGAATATTAACGTTGGCGGGGGGTTTACAGAACAACTCCGTATCGAGACAGAGTCCTTCGACCACGGTTCCTAGAAGTGCAACACCTAACCAGCCGTTGTCTCATCCCAACTCACAACCGGGTACACCAAGTTTTACCCAGCAACACATCCAGCCATCTGCGCCGACACCCACTCCTCTATCGCGTCCAGTTATCCCTGCACCACAACCGGTCAGCCTCCCCACCTTTACATCATCGGCTCACCAACATACACCGCCGCCTCCTATTCCCCAGGCTGAGCAGCAGATACTTCCCGCTACTACAACCGCCATGCCTTCCGCGACAGGATTGATATCCAATCCAGTCGCCTCTACAGCACCTATGTCCGTGACTTACCCGGAAACAGCCCCTGTTGTAGAAAGTATCGAGCCAGAGAGGAGCGAGATGAGTAGCGTCGACGCTGCCGTCCTCAACCTAGGGGCTGCATTATTAAGGGAGAGGGAAAGGGAAAGGGAATCAGCAGCCGCCTCTGATCTAAATAATGCCGAGGAAGGATATATACCCTCTAACACCGCCTCGGCTACACCGGCAGCCACGTCGACTCAATAGTTTTGGGACACGAACCGGTACCGCTGGGTGCGGAATGACGAGTTTTCAGGAGGTCCACCCTTACAGTAGCATTGTTGTTATTTTCCTTTTAAGTCAAACTCACGAGACTCATGTCATGCATGATTGATTGATTGATTGATACCCCTGGGTGGTTCTGGCGGTCGCGGTTTAGGAGGCAACAGAACAGTTGCCGTCGTTTAGTTTAGGCATTTTGCTAGATAGACAAACATCAGTCTTGCTGGCACGTTTATCGAATGGAACATGCCATCGATTCGGTCAAGAGGAATCTATTGGATTGTGTGATACACGTTCGCCTACGCCCGCCCTATTGGATTGTAAATGTCCTCCGCCACGGATGCTTGCGGATATGCGTTAAGTAGTGTTACTAGAAGACCTAGAATTCATTTTGTCTGGTCGTAATATTTTCCTCTAAGAAGGGGTTCGTAGAACGGCAGATTCTAGTGTTGTTGATGAGGCTATCTCATCGTCTCACCCTGACAGATATTAACCTGGCATCCGTATGCTCCTAGGCGTCCATACTTCAGATATGTTTTCATTCACTATAATCACCAATACGTATCAAGTAAGTAGAACTTCTACCGAAAGACCTTTTCGGATAAGGCTTTCTTAATTCGCTGAGTAACTGATCAGCTGTATGACGATGTAACTATGGTGTAACGAGCGAGCGGCTCTTTAATATGTTACCGACCATGGCTTAAGGCTTCTAGTTTTTCTATAGAAGCGGTCGGTTGCATTCCGATTTATCACGTAGCCGTCAGCCCTATAGCCTTTATTCTGGACGTGTAACGACATTTTAAAATGGATAATCAGGGCGACGTAAAAACTTCGTTTGATTGTCCTAGACGGGGACTCTCGCTATGGTCAGCTCATCCCATCGTCCACGTCATGTCCCGTGTTTGGCTCTTCAGCTACAAGGCATTCTCTACTCCCGATGTTTGGGAGGCGAGTACCTAGCCACCAGGACAATTATCCCCGTCCTCGGAGATTGGTCATTGATTCAAAGGGGTCGACTCCGAAATAGACCAATCCTCGGATGTTTCCGACTATTTCAATGGGCAGAGCCTCCATATATATTATATCTTATTCTAACGGCTCCCACTTCGATGGTATCCCTACTATTCCTAGCTACTAGGTAGGTAGCCAAAACATGAGATAATGGCCTTATCTCCTTGGCAGCTATGCTTCCATACAGACTCGAAGTGCCGTGTCCGAACTTGCAACAACAAGAGAATCATTACCAGCACAGTGTTCGCTCCATACTGCGGATACCACATTTGTTCCGTCTGTCTTAAGCAAAAGACGTTTTTCAAGCGTGGTCATGGGGAGGAGCGGATATGCCATCGCCGTAAGTTATCCAACTCCTCCCTTTTCACCCACTTTCTCTAGTCCCTCTCCTACAACACCAACAACCCTAAATACCTCCTTCCCATCTCCCAACTAACACCTCCAGACTCCTGCACCCACCCAACCTGCCACGCCCCGCGCTCCAAAAAACACCCCGACTCGCCCTACTGCACCAAACACGCCTGCAACGCACGATCCTGCGACCAGCCGCGCCAAAGCCCAGCCCAGTACTGCGTCCACCACACCTGCCGCGCCCGCGGCTGCGTCAACGGCGTACACCCACCTACCCCGTCCTCCCATCTCCCAGATGTAGGAGAAGCAGAAACAGACGAGCTGAGAAAACAACATTACTGCCCCGGCCACCAGCCCTGCCAGGCGCGCGGATGCCACAGTCTCGCGTTCCAGGATGTCTCGCATCGCGCGGGGAAATACTGTTTCCGTCACCACTGCGGTGCAGTGGCCGGGTGCGCGGGACAGCGTGTTGATGTTGGGGGAGGGGGAGAGGGGACGGCGAGTGCGTGTCGGGATCACACGTGCGCTTTGTATCCGGCGTGTAGTAAACCCCGTGTCGATGTTGAGGGCGGGTTGTTTTGTAAGAGCCATGAGTGTGCGGAGGGAGGGTGTCGGAAGCAGAGGTATGATTCGGGGAGGACGGGGGTTGTGGGGGTAGGGGTAGGGGCGGGGGTTAGGAGGGGATTAGGGGGAGGAGGAGGAGGAGGAGGGAAGATGGGGAAGGGGGTTTGGTGCGCGGATCATATGTGTATGGCGGCGCTGACGAGACAGGAGGACTGTCCGAATAGACGGGAGGGGACCCCGGCTAATCCGGTGTATTGCGCTGACCATGAGCTCTGCGAGGAGGTTGGGTGTATGGCGTTTTGCGCGGTGAGAGGACGGGGGGTCAGGTCGGCGAGGTGTGAGGAGCGTATGTGGATTACCCCTTTTCTGACCGTTTTCTTTTACACTTGCTCCGTGTGACTGGCTCTTTCCTTATGATACCCGTCTCTGTTAACTTAAATCGCAGACCTAAAATCCAAATGCGCCTTCCCGTCTTGCACTCTCGACGCCGAGGGCAACGCCGCCGCCTGCCGGTATCACGTGTGTCGAGCGAACGGATGTATAACGATGCTCGCTCAGACCATAACGCCGACTTCTGCCCGTACGTCCCTGTTCTGCGATGTCCATCGATGTGTTGAATCCGAGTGCGTTAATCCGCGACTCACTACCACTACCACCACCACCACCATAAACACTACAGCAGCTATACCCGCCGCAGCAACATTGCCACCATGTAGCGGCGGTAACGTGTACTGCGCCGAGCACGTGCACCAGCGCCGCATGGGCTTAGGTGTAGGTTTCAGCTCCGGTCTGTGTCCATGCAGCGGTGGAGGATGCCGCCATACTTTCGGGACTAGATATGGAGGCGCGTGTTGTCGAACTCATGGCGGTAGCAGCGGAGACGATGACGACGATAGCGATGACGATGATACCATTACCGATCGTGGGGGTAGTAGTGGCGCCGGGGTGGGGTTAGACATAGGTCCATGTTTCGGTTGTGGTGGTGGCGGTAAGTGCAGTCAATGTGTAAAATGCTAAAATTTAGGTTGCGGGAGGTAGATAGTGTCAAATAGATCGATGGTTTAAGCATATTCGCCGTGTGTTCGTCTTTCTGTCTAGAGCCGGTACCTAGGTACCTATTTATTGAAACCATAAGATATACTCTAGCACATTAGTATTGCCACAATTCCGCAACGTCGCCAGTCCTCCCCTTCTTCTTGTGTCAAAATACAATTTTCCATAATCCAATCCTGACCAATCACTCGCCTGCCAAACGATCGGTCGCTAAGTAACAACAAACCAACTGAGTTCCATGAATATTCTATATTCCGGGCGTAAGCTCATCGGCTGCGTAATTTACCTATGCCTGCTAATTGCTAATTCTCATCCCTTGCTAATAGTACAATTCCCGTAACATAGAATTCCTGCGAAGCCGTGCCGATCTCGTAACCAATTAACACCATCCTTCGTACTCGTTCATGAATCCTTTCCTGTCATAATACAACTCATGATCTCATTACTTCACATCACAATGCAATCCTTTTCTCTCCCGCCTCCTACTTGGGCAGTACCCGCAGGAACCGGTGGTCCTGCGCCCTGGCGCCCCCTCCCAGATGTACTCGGCCCGGCACTGCTTGGTCCGGGAAGAGTGGGTCTCCTCCTAGGAGTCGAGCTGCTTGGACTGCTCTCAGGGTGACTTGGGTGTCCCGCGGGCGGCACGTACGGAGTTGCCTTGGAGGCCTGTTCATAGCTCGGCGGTGCATCATCCGCGCTGTCATTTATAGGTCTGTGTGTGGTCGAAGCTGGGGGGATCAAGGACCTGACCTGTTGTTGTGGTTGTGGCTGGGGTGTTTGGGCCGATCTTCCTCGGCTAGCCAATGTGCTCGTAGACTGGTTAGCAGAACTCCCCCTAGCAGGTGGTTGAGGGCCCCCACCACCCCTACTGACAGAACCGCCGCGACCGTGACCTCCGCGAGATGGAGTGCCCTGCCGACCTTGCTGTTCAATGAACTGTTCCGAGAGTTGACTTTCGCGGCGACGGGCGGCTTGTTCTGCGCGGTGGCGTTCCTCTTCCTCCTCTTGGAGCTGCAAGGCCAGTGCTAAATCCCTATCCTCTTGTTCATGTTTTGGCGCTACTGGCGAGCTGGGATTTGGTTCGCTGTTGGGGTTGTTATTCCGTGGTCGCCGGCCCTGGACAGTTTGCCATTCACCACCGTGCGCATTGCTGCTCGATCCTGCTTCGGAATGCCACGGGCTCGAGTTGCTCGCAGATGATCGCTGATGCTGGGCGCCACCGACTAGGCGGAAATCGCCGGAGAAAAACTCGGTTCTTTCGCCTCTAACGTCGACCAGTGATTCCCAAACGACTTCATCATGGGTGTAGTAGCCCGCATCTGTAACCAAACTGAAGAGTTTGAGTGTCTGGGGATGTCGATACAGTGTAGAAAAATGATCGTTGCGAAATAGGATAGATACATGCCCCGGTAGGACAGCTTTGGTGATGACCCCGAGACCCCACGGGGTCAGCTGTGTAGCAGATGTCATGAGGAAGGACTTAATAATTATGATGTCTTGGTAAAGTTGCTGTTCCTGTTCGGTGAGACCCATCTCCGAATTACTGAGCTTATCCTCAAGCTCTTCCTCGCGGAATAATATGCTTTGTACATCATCGTAAGAGGTAGCCTGTCTAGTAAAGGCATCGTAGGCTGGATCCTCCTTAGGAGGTAACCAGCCATGTATCAGTGGAATCAAGAATGTAGCATAGAGTTTCATGTCTCGCGTATTCTCGAAAGTCCCAGGGATGAGATCTTCAGAAGGAGGGTTGTATGTTGGGCATGCTTGCTTGTAAGCTGCCATACTTTCAGAGCTTGGTATATACTGCGGGTTCACATTCATGCCGGTATGAAGACCCTTGAGAAAAGAGTATAATTCAGACATATCCGGCAAGGACGCGTTTAGATTGGTGTAGCGATGAGTCACAAGTTCGTCGACGACTGCTTCGAGAAGGAAGTTTAAACTAATTTGTTCGCGGGACCTCAGAGTCTCTACTAGATTTGTGTCTGGTTGGTTGGCTAGGGTTGTGAGTGTAAGCGCATTCACGAGTGCAACTAAAGGGCAAGGTCCGTTGGCATTTTGGACGAGTATCGGCGACTTTCGGGGATTCTTGGCCGCTCTCGGGTCAAACCAATTGATGTTCTTTATCTGGTAAGTTTCCGATTTACCTGTAGCACTTGGTGGTTGAGGTCGCGGGGGTTGCTGCGGTGGATTCTCATTTGATGGTCGTCGGGGTGGTAGACTTGGAGGTACTTCTACAGTAGTTGGCGCAGCCGCTTCTTTCGGTGCCTCGTCATCTGCATCCATAAAGTTCTCCCAAGTGCTTTGCTTTGATAAAGTTCCTGGGACAGGTTCCGGTATAGGCTCATGATCAATTAGATTCCAACCGTCAACAGTCTCAGATTGTGTTTGAATCGGTTGCGTAGCCGGTTGCTTGCCCTTGTTATTAGATCCAATATCATCCCAGGCATGCTGATCGTTAAAAATGTCTTCCGCCTCGCGGGATCTATCTAATGACTGCTGATGTGAAGGCCCCGAAGGCGGATTGCGCCACGGTTGAGATTCGCCGTCTGCATGTAAAGGTACCAGCGATGGAGAGTTCGAGACTGGAGCTGTCGAGGGCACCCTTGACGACAAACCCGAGTCCCAAACATTGCCCTTAGTTTCTTGATCAGGCAAGGGTGGAGCGGGGTGCGGGCTATTAGACGTCCTGGGTTCAACCGGCGTGGGTTGCCATGGGTTTGTACTCGTTTCAGGCTCTGATATATGTAGTTGTGCAAACGGATCGATTGGAACAGGAGGTGGAGGCGGAGGAATTGTAGGAGCGGCAGGAGATTCTTGGTTATCCTGGTTCACTTGGCTTGTCGAGGCGGCTTGAATGGGCTTCCTTTTGAAGGGGTTCGTCTCGAATCGTGTCCCTCCAGGCCAAAGAGATTTTGGCATCTCGTCTGACTTAGGTTCGGGTTCGGGTTCAGGTTCGGTTACAGGTCCGGTTTCTATGCGGTTATTCCCATTACGGTCATCCCAGGGATTCTCTTCGTTTTGATCTTGATGAAAGCTCGGAGTCTTAGAAATGGTGCCAGGTCGAAGTGTATCTGGCACATCTTGCAACGTGTTATCGCTCCCCGCAACCTTTGTGTTACCGATATCACCGCCACCGTATTGGACCGGTGCCGAACTCGAGTTATCCCTTCCCCATACTCTTTCAGAGTCTGATTCGGAGTCGGTAGCAGACCAGAGCTCTTGTCTCACAGCTTGTATACTGACGGCGGGGGGAGGCGTACTGGTATTCACCGAGGTATTGTCGGGTAGCGGTTTTCGTGAGACCATGGTGGTATTTCGGCGAGGCCAATTTGGCCGAAAAACTCTTCAATCGAAGTATAAATCTCGCTAACAGTGGTAGGGTTTCAATCACGAAGGTTGGAATTGCGTCATCACAGCTTTTGCAGTTTGCGTGTTGCTTAGGTAAAATGGCCGTAACAGCCGAAATGAAGGAATATATGAGAGGATATAAACTCGCAGTTGAATAGCTTCTATGGACCACGTTCTAAGTACCTAGGTAGGTAGGTAAGAGTAGCTTTAAGCAATTTTAAGTCTAGAAACTAGAAAGTTGAAAAGAGCGATTATCTTCGTAAAGCACATACATCCAAGTATGTGATGTAGGCAGCAGAATAATTATCTGGTATTTGGTATAGCCGGTAGGGCGGATTGCGGGATGGAGCAAGGGTCTTTACTTAGTTGAACCTTGGAAGCTGACAACAGGAAACAGCCAGCCAATTGTCTTACTAGGAGAAGCCAATGTCGTATCCATGTTGGTAGCATGTGGCGGTGCGGAACAGCTTGACACAAACGTTTATGGCAATATGGATCGTCCAACCACTGCCCTGCAAACCCACATACCATTATAGGGCTTTTTTGGTAAGGGCTTTTCACCTGACCTGACCACTATAAGCTCACTAAACTACTGCTATAAAAACACCTAATAAATAAAAGTATTTATAAAGTATTTAATAAGTAAATAATAAGTAAATAATAAATATTTATTTATAATTTTAAAAACTTATTAAATATATTATTTTAAAATTAAATAAATAATATAAATATTATTTTTAAAGTTTATAATAAAATTTCGAAATTTAAAAAAGTTATTTAACATTTAAAAAAATAATAAATATATAAATACTTAATAAATATTTAATAAATATTTAATAAGCTTTTAATAAATACTTATTTAATTTTAATAATTATTAAGTTTTAATAATTATTTTAATAATTAATTTAATAATTATTTTAATAATTATTTTAATAATTATTTTAATAATTAATTTAATAATTATTTAAATAATTATTTAAATAATTATTAAATTAATTATTTAATTAAATATTTAATTAAATATTTAATTAAATACCTTTAAAGTTGTTATTTTAGGTATTAAGCGCGTTAAAACGCGTTAAAACGCGTAAAATAATAATAATGGTTTATTAAACCTGTAGTGGTCAGGTCAGGTGAAAAGCCCTCACTAAAAAAGCCCTGTAATGGTATGTGGGTCTGCGGGGCAGTGGTTGGACGATCCATACTGCTAACGTTTATTGGTGGCGGATAAACGAATTCGTCAGCTACAACTCGATAACTAGCCACAAGGGATACAACTCAGCCACATCTAGCTACTAGTTCATGACGTAATGAACGATTTCACAACTTGAAAGTTTTACCCAATATGGTGGGTACTATGTTCTTTGTTGCTAAGTACCTGAGTAGCTTTATTGGTACTAGGTAGGTACTAAACATGTTAGTTATGGATCCACTAACCAATTCATAAGTTCTTTGATCGAATTGTGGAATACAGGGGATATTTAGTTCCGCCTGCCAAAGATCCACTTCGGTGATCCTCCGGCGTCCGGGTCTTAGCTAAGCACCCACCTCTTGTTGATATAAACAGCCGATGTCATGGTTACATTGATAAAATCGATGAAATCACTTGATACCCGAGACTTTAAGTGCGAAAACCTCCCAAGATTAGGAACACCTCTTTTTTCATTCCGGGTCCTTATTCTGTTATGCGTAAAGTCGGATTCAAACCCTCTCAATTTCATTAATACTAAGTATCTAGGTACCTAGTAAACTGTTAGGATTGATCATGGCCCTCATTCAAGACTGGCTCCCCGCGAGTCAAGAAAATTACGAGAAAATACTGTTCTGGTGGCAGTTCTACCCACTGGTATGATTCACGACATCAATCCTCTCATTGACCTTTTAGGTACTTAATATTCAGCAGTCAAACTGACCAATTGTACAGATAGGATCAATCCAATGGATCAACTCGTGGTACGGTATGGGAAAGACCTCAGTTCAAAGTAAACTTAATATCCCCGGAAGAATCGCTTGGATGACGATGGAAGTTCCTGGCTTCACCACTCTGTTGTACATTATGAGCACCCTTCCAGCCCAGCACGGCATCACCGACCTGCCGTGGCAAAACAAGGTTCTCGCTGGCCTGTTCGTTATCCATTACACCTATCGCGCCGTCATATTCCCTATCATCCAGCCATCCATGTCTCCTATACATGTGCTCGTCTGGGCCAATGCCATCCTTTTCCAACTATCCAATGCTACCTGCATAGGCAGCTGGCTTGCAGCCTACGGGCCAACTACCCAGGCAGAGTGGAAGGCCCAGAACTGGTCCGTCCTTCAATTCTCTATTGGCCTTGTCCTTTTTTATGTCGGACTTACCGCCAATTACTTCTCCGACGAGGAATTACGAGAGATACGTCGAGGCCAGCTACGGCGTCAGGCGAAACTGAAGCAGCAGGGGAAGACAGTTGACAAGCACTACGAAGTGCCCCAAAACGGGCTGTTCAAGTACATGCTTTACCCTCACTACTTCATGGAATGGGTCGAGTGGTTCGGATACTGGGTTGCTGCCGGTGTTGCTTGCGCCCCCGCGAGATCATTCTTGATTAACGAATTCTTCGCCATGCTACCCCGCGCCGTGTCCGGCGGAAAGTGGTATAAGGAGAAGTTTGGGGAGGACAAAATCAAAGGCAAATACATTATTATCCCTGGTATCTACTAGTTACCTAGGTACCTAGGTATTGATAATGTTCCGAGCTCTCCAGCTTGGATCATATATTGGTCCCTGTACGTACTTATTAATATCGTCACTCCCTACCCACCCCAGTTAAAGATAAAGACGACGCTAGCTCAATATTTAATTTCAATATCGCAACAATTGCGAACAGTTGCCTGGGTGACTTCTCCGTCTCGAATAATACCTAGGTTTCTCAAGCTAAAGAATAAATCACTTACCTCATAATATAGGACAAAGAAACTATACAATTTAAACAGGCATCTTATCATATTACTACAATTACATAACAATGCAATTATTCTTTAACAATAACATTAAAGCTGTGAAGGTGATTAACTTCTATAAATACCCAGGTACCTACCTACCAAGATTCAACCATCTCCTATCTATCACCCAACACAGATCGACTCCCTACAAACCCGTATCTACCTAGACATACTATCCCATTTAACTTACAATGTCTCAGTTACTTCAACTTCTTTCCAATCCATCATATATTCCGGGTTCTAATGTCTTTCCAAATATACAGGGAGCATTAGAAGCTTTAGAAGATCAGTCTGCAGGCCCCAACAATAATAGCAACAACAGCAACGGCAACAATGTCAATAATGACAACAATGTCAACAATGGCAATAATGTCAATAATGGCAACAATATTAACAATATTAACAATGTCAACAATAATAACAATATCAATAATGGCAACAATGTCAATAATGGCAATAATGTCAACAATAATTCTAGCCCCAGTCCCGGTAACGGTTCCGTCAATTTGAAGTCCGCTACAATCACTTTAGTTCGTCATGCAGAAGGTCTGCATAATGCCACTGAAGGTGGGAGATTAATTCCCGATCCGTACTTGACTTCTGTAGGCCTTACCCAGTGCGCTCAAATACAACGACTAGTTCCTCAGGATATAGACATACTCATCGCTTCGCCTATGAAGCGCACCATACAGACAACTATATTTTGCTTTAGTCCAGCTCTCCAGGACGGGTCTAAGAGCATCATTCTAATACCTGATCTCCAAGAAGTAGGCAATAATCCATGTAATATTGGATCGGAGCCCCGAACCATTATCCAAGAATTTGGGGATTTTGTAGATGCTGCTCGTGTTCCTGATGACTGGTACGACAACGCTCGAGGCAACTCAGCTAAGCCAGACGATCTCCTGGCTCGTGCTACCGATGCCAAAGAAAGCATTAGAAACATTATTACCGAATATAGCCGGGCCCACCAAAACCCCCAGAAAATCAACGTGGTCGTCGTTACCCATGGTAGCTTCATAAGATATCTAATTGATGAATACGCAACACCTCAGAGAACCCAGGGGGCCATGTTTCCCAATACAGGCAATAGAACATATCGATTCGCGGATACTAAGCCGTTGAGACTGGTAGAAACAGAGGAAAGTAAAGCCGCTAGGGGCAATGTCCAGGGTGCCTCCCAACAAGAAAACGCGCGAACACAGATTCTTCAGAACAGTTTTGTGAGAAGACAACAAGATGCTCTCGCATCCAACTCAACAATCTTCGATCATTAAAATTAAGACAATCGCGACGTCTACCTATAAATGAGTATGGGAATGTAGGTACTAGGTAGGTAACGGCCTTTTCTATAAGTATTTACCTAGTAGACTGGGTAAGTGAGGCTTCTGTCATTCAGATAAGACACCTCCCACCTACCTATATAGGTACCTACATACCATAATGTAGTATTTGAAAATACGATTGCCTACCTATGCAGATAGATAGATAGATACATAGGTATCTATATTGAATCTTTAGTTCTATGTAGCTAGATAATTCATTCATATCCACCAACGCGTACAAGAACCCCAGGACTCAATCACTTCTCTGGATCACATCACATGTAAAGCTAAAAGTACCTTAAACCCTTGTAACTAACCTAACTACTTACCTACCTAGATACCTATCTAAATCACGATTTATATTTCCAAATTTGAAATGTTGTTCGTGCAGGGAAAGAGGAGTTCCAAGTCGTATGGTACCTAGACAGCGAAAGGCGTGATTGATTCATACATTCCGTACAATTCCAAGAAATCCCAACCTTAAGCCGCCCCCCTATTCTCATTACATTATCATTATATATCTTTCTACGTAGTGAATCCACACCTATCCTTCGAATTTAACCCCCAGGTAAAATTCCATAATTACCCCTGATTACTAGGTAAACACCTCCACCGAGTAATCGGTCATATCCCCGAATCATCCTGCAGAACCCCTTTCGCCGCCACATAGCTCTGCCACTTCGCACACGTCGAGTCGATACTACTCGTATCGCACAGCGGCGGGATCTCCGCCTCGCGCTCCACGACCTGCAGCCCGAACCCTTGCGATGCGTGCCAGCCGATATGGCAGTGCATGAGCCATACCCCCGGATTGTCCGTCACGAACCCGATAACCAGGAACCCGTTCGCGGGCAACATCGCGACGTCGCGTCTCGGTGGGTTCGTAAGCTGTAATGGCGTCGTCGCGGTGTAATTCGCATTGGCCTCCTGCGCGAGCACGAAGAAATCGTGCCCGTGGAGGTGGATCGGGTGCGTGAGCCCGAGGGCCGCGGCGCCGTTCTCGATTACGAAGTATACCCATGCGTCTTTTTCGTTAAGCTCTACGACGTTGCTGGATGTTTTGAAGACGGTAGTGTCGAGGAGACTTTGCTGGAGGGTGGGGACGCCCCAGTCGGAGAGTAGGTCTGTGCCGTCGAGTGTCCATTTGAACATCCCAGTCGTGGTGGAGGTGTAGCTGAGGTTGAAGTCTTTCTTTGTGGTGGGGCTGGAGACGTCCAGGGGTACGTAGGGGACTAGTTTGGACATTGGCTCGTCGTGGCAGTCTTCTGTATAGGGGTATGGCGTTGAGGTTGGTGTTGCGCTTGAGGAGGTGTCGTATCGTATGATACCCCTAATGTCGTCCGCCATCTCGTTTTGGGCACTGCATGCCATGTCTGGGTATGCGCGTAGCCAGAAGTCGCCTTTGCCCTGGTCTGCTTCGACGATGATATCGTAACGCTGTCCTATGCCGATGCTTAGAACTTCTGTCGTGTAAGGTTTGATTGGAACTAAGTCTGCGGCGATGACTTTCATCTTATGGTTATCGATCATGAACTTGTAGTGAGTATCGATAGCTCCGTTTACTAGACGAATTCGGTGTCGTTTGCCGTCTGAAAATATGGTTTCGAACCTCTTTCCTCCGCTGCCATAGATGTTCGTTCCGTTTATCAGACCGTTCTGTGCCGGAGGTGGGCTACCAGCTGAAGCTGTACTCCATAAAGCATCGGTCGTATTATGAAACCAATCGTTGAGGAATAAGACGCCCTTATCCTCGTCATATGGGGCTGAGCATGGCCCATGAATGACGATTCCACCAAAAACTCCATTCCAAGCTTGTGTCGCAAAGTGGCTGTGGTACCAACTATGTCCATATTGTTCGGCTCGAAACTTGTATGTGATAGAGTCTCCAGGCGCGACGGGACACTGGGTGATGGACGCTACACCATCGTTCTGCGTCGTGTAGTTCTGCCTTAGACCATGCCAGTGCTGACGACCTGTTAGCGACCTAAAGAGACGTCCAGGACGACGATACTCACGATGCTAGTGCCGTTATTCTCTAGCGCGTTATGTACATGTACGATAACGTTGTCTCCCCAATCCGCAGTGATCGTAGGTCCCGGCACCGATCCATTGACCGTCAAGACTATGCGTTCAACCCCATCGACTGCCGCTGTACCATTTTGAATTTGAAGCCAATATTCTCTCGTGACACCAGTATCTGGTATCTCGTCGTACCAGTTTGTAGTTAATGAGTGGTCGCCCCAGCACTTGGGACTGTTAGATGGATGAAAATTACATTTACCAATATTGTTGTGGCAGTGTCTCCTATGGATTGAAGATGCAGAAACGAGTGAAGTAGCAAAGAGCGTAGTGATAGCGGACCAAAACATTGACGGCCGCATCTTTAAGGATTGTAATATTAAGATATATCTAAAAGAAATAAACGAGTGTCATGGACTTAAGTGACGTCCTATCTGGCATAGAGAATCGATATCATCACTACCGCGATCTCCTAAGAACGAACACAATCATGATAGATATACTATTGCCATCCAGCTTTGACGTAAAATTCAGCCCACCATAGCGTCGTGTCCACTCCTATCGATTATACGACCACGATGTCTAACCACTCAATCTAGACCTCCCGTGAGTGATCTCTATCCGAAGCTATCGTGACAGTGGCTAAGCTTAATGGCACGGTTTTAAACTATATACACCTGAATTGCTACGTTTAGAGGGCACCATGCGGTTTAGGGGTAGGGAATAATCGTTACCGACTGCTTGGGCACGGTTGAAGCCGCGGAGATATAGTCTGAAAAGGGGTTAGTTAGTAGGCTAGGAGGATTTGACTAGCTCTACGATATAAGCGAATACGGTCCAAGTTATCCTGTTACAGCCGATAAAACTTGATTTTGGGCGTTGTTAGTTGCATCATTAACCAATTTGGACTTTCTCGACCTGAAACATATACAACTCTGTTATATTTTCAAAAGAAAACCCGTATTTTTCTCTCAAGGAAATTGACTAAAATGCTAAATATCACCAGTTCGCTTAAGAAAAGCTCCTCAATGCATATTTTATCCTAGCATGTAGATACCTAGTTTACTGGTGTCGGGCTAGGAAATAAGGCAACTTCGGATTCAATAAATAGTTATGACAGCTTGGCCCCGGCATACCGATCTAACCAATACTGAACATATTTAGCGGATGTTTTTGGTCTACTGTTGCGCTAGACAGTTAAACTCATCGAATTGATGTTAAGGTATTGTTCAGACTTGTGCTAGCGAGTGCGGGAACATACGTAACCCCTGCATATGAAATCTATAAAACATCGCCTTATCTAATAAATGGTTCGGTTAATAACCGAGATCTTCATCTTCAAGCTTTTCAAGCAACTTGACGTTTCCAAAATCGGTAGCGGCGATATACTGGGTCATTCAGGACTCAGATATGTGAAAATTAATACAAGTATATAACTTCGTCTATATTCTTTCCTTTTATTATTGAAGAGTTAACTTAGAAGACGGGTTGATTACATAACAGTTCTGCGGGATTAGGTAATATTAGATTAGGTCAGCCAAACGCGCATTATATAATCGAACAATCAGATTAGGTCATCTTCCCCTTGAAAAACTATACCGTTCATAATGCAAGAGACCTGGCATTGTAGGGTGATACTCACTGAATAAGCTACCGACAAAGCAGGATTCATGACTCTAGTCAATTCCCTAGGTAATACCCATTACAATGTATTTTCTAGATAGGTAGTGCACTGAAGAAGTTTTTCTTGTAGCATATTGCGACGCTTCACAGCACCTAAAGATAATCTGAATAATAATAGTATGTATGAGTCACGTCTTGAATAATACTAGGTACTCATCCATCGATCTCTATAATTATTTATTCAGGTTGTCGAAGGGGCTGAACCGTGAGACACGCCCTCTGCCCAGTCTTTGATTAGATAAGCAAGTGCTTCATTGGTACTGTTTTGAGTCTAGGCTAAAATTGAGACCTAATGGTGATCCGCCCACTAAACCTTAGTGAGTGACCCCTATAATTTAAGCCTATTTAGGGAATTGAGCCACTAAAGAAAAAAGGCACACCGTGCAACAATATTTCATTCTACACCATTAATATCCTGATTACCTACGTAATAAAGGAGCAGCACTCTACGGGACTTCATAGGAACATCAACACCAACTTGCACATGACTTATCTATTATGATGTTGTCCTGTTGTTCTGACCCATAATTAACTCCATAGTTGATTGATTCCAATGCATTGATGGTAAGAGAAGCTATTGGCTTCTTGTCCTACATCTAGAGAGATCTTGTTGGTTCGACTGTGCCGCAGTGGGCAACATCATTATCCTATCCTGACATCTGTACATTTTGTAGATCTTTAGCATTGTTTTCGGTCGATTAATTTCCAATGTCTCTTTTCCAATTTAATTCGGCACATGGCGAAGGTCTTCTCATTATTGCCATAGATCTCTCCCGCTTCTTTCGCCCTCATGAACTACGAAATGGTCATTTCTATGTTACGGATAGAAGTGGGTTTATTGGTGCTATCTATTCTGCTTACTTACTTCCTTATCACGTTTAGATCGGAGAGACGATGTCAAGAGAGTACTTTGCTCAAAAAATTCCCCCTAGTCAGCGTTCGTGATGAATGGTTTAATAGTCTACGAACGACGTTTCGATCCCTATCCAAGACGGCAGAATGGGCTTCTGAGGGATACTTCAAGGTGATATTCCTTGGCTTTGTAAATTCTTCTTGGGTGGTCTGACATTATGCCAAGTTCATCAAGCGGGATTTACCATACCTCATTCCAACTATGGACCGAGGACCAGTGATAGTCCTCCCAACAGAACAAATGAAGGTTTTGGAAAAACTACCTGATGACCAATTAGATGTCTTTAGTACCCTCCAGGAGCAGATACAAGCAAGGTACACTATTCGAGACCAAAGGGTCGTTCTCGATCCTTACCACCGATACCTCATCCCTAGCCAGCTTACGCGAAAGCTCGATACACTTACGGGTCCAATGCTTACCGAACTTGAAGATGCATTTAAATCCTCGTGGGGCACTGACTCCAAATGGACGGAGGTTACGATATGGAAAGCATGTTTCCACGTTGTCGCTAGAGCTGCGAATTCTGCTCTATGTGGCTCTCCTTTATGTACGTCCTCCACGGTACGGACAGCTAAATTTTTAGCTAACACCACCTACCCCTAAGGCAGTGATGAGAAATATCTGGCAAGTTTAGAAGGCCAGTCTGTCGCACTATTTGGTGGCGCAATGTTGATTAACATCACACCAAAATTGTTAAGACCTGTCATGGGATACTTGGTTAAGCTGTGGTGTGCGTACTACGCCAGGAAGTTTACGAAGATATGCGCTCCTTATGTCGAAGCGAGAATCAGGGAGACAATCCATTCAAAGTTCCAGGTCGGAAACGGCAATAAATCAGAGGTAAAAATAAATCATTGGCTATGTCCTTTACGTCGGTAAGCTAACTTCAGATATAGAAAGATGCGCTTCAGCTCATCATCGACGAAGCAATTTCCCGCGATGATGATACGCAACTATCGGTACAGCTGATTTCTGATCGCCTTCTTATCACCAACAATGTATCTCTACATGGTACGACATCAACATTACACAATCTCATATCAAGCCTAGTCACCTCTGACCCGTCTTTGGGGTATATCGAGGCTTTGCGACAGGAGTGCGACAAGGCGTTAAGTGATGCTGGTGGGACGTGGAACTCAGAAGCAATTCGGAAACTGAAACTCGTAGACTCTGCAATTCGAGATTCTATGAGAGTAGCACCTTTTGCTTCCATAGCTATGGCTCGGGCAGTGCGTTGTGTCTCCTCTCCGTGATTCTACTTATTTTCCTAACACATTTCTCGATATAGGTGGTTGACCCGAGTGGCATATCGATCGAGAACGGAAAGTCTCGTGTTCTTGTCCCCCAAGGCACAATTCTCGCCCTACCAATGGAGAGTATTCATTGCGATGAAACTATATACCCTGACGCACGTCAATTTGACCCCTTCCGGTTTGTGAAGACTAAAAGCGAAGGTAGCGACAGCACGTCAGATGGGCTGAGATACGAAACAATCAAGCCTACAACCACCCCAGACGATCACTTCTTTGGCTTCGGCACTAGCAAGAACCCGTGTCCAGGTCGTTTCCTTGCGGTTCATGAGATAAAATTGATCGTAGCATACCTGTTGACTAATTACGATATTGAATACACCGAAGCAAGACCTCAACTTACGGATCTCCTGGCGATGAAGATTCCAGATATGAAAACCGTTATACGGGTGCGAAAACGCTGTATTTAAAGAGAATTATCGCCTGTGAGAATTTGCCTAGGTATACTCACCCACTAACCTTACACACAGAAGCCCCCATTTTTCTCGCTAAAACTCACTGACTTTGCAAATTTCTAGAAAATTTCAAAAAAGAATCGCACAATTTCTATGACAAGAAATTTCCATAAAAACACTTTCAATGAATACTATAAACTTCAATCATTTTATTTGAAGTCTTATATACGTTTTGTACGTGTAAGAAACCACCCCAATTGAGATGAAAGGAATCTGTTATAGATGTCTAGATCATGGGGAGCTATACGCTAGAGCTTAGGTAGATATGGCGGGCTTTAGCGCTATAGCCGCCTGTAATTAGCGCTTCCCTATGAAAAATAGTACTGGAAGTTGACGTTGCTGCGCTGTTGCGCAACATAAGAGATGGCGGGGTAAAATGTACTTAGGAAATGCTTAAGTAAGGTGGGGTAATTGATTAAGTAATCGAAAACTTCTGCTGACTAAGTCAATGCAAACTGAAATTTCTTAATAAGCATCAATTACCTAATATTGTTCTGCTTATATAATATTGTCGGATGGTTGGCCCTAGGGGGTGACCAAGCAGAACCAGTTCGTTAGGTACAGATTTTATGTTTCTGGAGACTAGAGCGATAACTGAGAGTGTATACATACGATATCTGGAACGAGTCATCTTCAGTGCTCGAAGATACCTAGGTACCTATGGACACTCGGCAGTTGAGAATACGTTAACAGCTCGCGATCCAAATTGGGGCTACTATGTAGTATTATGATAGGGTCATCGAGGACCAGTTTCTACTTGGACCTGATTGTAATCTCTTTCAAAGAAAGAATTCAGCTAGGATTAAGATAGTTGTGTCACGAAAGCGTCGCAAATCCCAAAGGTCCTTTTTACAGTGCCAATTAAGATCGGGAATTGCCTATTATAGTATATATCTTGCGCTAAAACCATGACTTGGTAGCGATGAATCCTCTAGGATTTGGTGGATATCTGCTGTAACTGAGGAAATTGATCCACTAAAGCTAGTTGTAATAAAGTGCGGATGATTTGTTAAATCACACTGTCTTTACCTATGAGTGAAATGTTGACCTAGACTTTGTATGAGGTAAAGTACATGCCAGCATAGATAATAACTTACTGATACGCATGAAGGCTAGACTTTTATACCTACCTTGGATGCATGTCCAGGTGAAGTGGGTAGCATCGTAAGTAATTGTAAGCCAAACCTAGTTATCTGAAGAATTCTCCTTGTTACCAACCTTACATAGAGGTACCAAGCATGTCCACAACTGCGCATCCATTCAAGTATTTATAGCATTTATTAGAAGTCGTCGCAACATACGGGCTAGTATGACACTTTAATGTAGAAATACAGGTGTCATTAGCTTTCTAAAGTTAGAAACAAGTCGAGTCGTTTCCACTAGCTACTCGGTTATTGAACGTGTCGACATCTGAACAGCTTATAATTCCCCCGGAACTTCAAGTTGAGCTGAACTAACTTTGCTAACTTTACATCCTTCTTCAATGTAATAAATTAACGAAGTATGAGGCTCATCTGTATCTGCAACTAAGCCGCATGACTCCGGCTACCAGGGGGGACCTGTGTCTTATATGCAGGAACCCTTACAGATAGCCAATCATCGTCCAGTTTACCTTCTGGATCAGGTAATTATATATAAGATGGCGCCAATCGGATAGGTACCTATAACAATCGCCTACCAGGTACCTACTGACCTTTGCACTTGTATTATACGGCGACATGTTTCGTGGCAACTTGAATTAAGATGATTGCTTTGCGGGAGAAGTTTCCTACAAGTTAACTAAATGATGACATTGAGAGAATCCTACTCCAATCTACTAAGACATCGCAGCATATGTCATGAAAAAGAACCGCAGGAAACTACTCTTAAATTTGCGTTCTCGTGATCTTGGGGCTTAGTGATGGTCTTGTTGAGATCTGATATTGATTACTCAGCGCACTATCGAAATTGAAGGATTTTATTCTAGAAGTCATATTTAGGAGGAGTTTCTGCCGTTGTATTTTATTTTGAAAGGGGGATGTTGACCTCTCTGACAGGATGCCGTAGGGTTGTCTCCACCTGCTCCAACAGGGTTACCTCCTCTGTCGGCAACGATAGTCCCATTTTTGAAAATTTCGACTCTGTATGGATGCCCAATATTATGCAGTCAAGCAATCCGACATCGTTATTATCGGATAGCAATAAACTGGAACATATATATCTTATTTGGCTTTATCACGAGCTTTGGTTTATGTAGGTATGTGTCAGTTATCAATTTATGTTCATATCTTCATTCGATTTGATGATGTACAGCATGCCGTGAAATGCTACCTATGCATGGTCTGTACAACATGATAACAAACCAACATTTTTTTGTTTAAAACCGACATCGGAATTAGGGCATTAGCCATCTGAAATCACGTTGGCTGCTCTGGCCGGATTCTTATTGAGCCGAGCCGTATAAACACGCGCTTCTATTCTTGGCCTTCGATCGTGGTGCCTTTGCCTCATTCACCTCTCGTAATCATCATTCGGTGTTAGGTCTCAAATATGAGTCCCCACTTATATATGACTAGGGGGAGGGTTCCAGTAAGCTGTACTGCCTGACTGCTCATTCTGTTACATTTCCATCTGGTTCCCTTTCCGTGGGAACATTCCCGGGTTGGGGAACAATGGACGCTGCGTATAGCTTCCGATGCATTTGAGAAGTGATGAAAAGCTGGCTTGAGAGGATACGCTTCCGAATTGTGAGCCAATCAGTATCATGGGTATGCAAGATGTCCCACTGAAATTCGCAAATATCCACTGTTACTGTCGGCGGTCGCCCAGGCGGCTCCACGATGGTGGGATGGGGTTGGCGAGAAGCGGGGATGGGAGGATCCTTTAACGACCATTCTCTCACGCTCTCCATGTGGGGTTCATACGGCGTCTTGGTAATCGGTAGAGGATCAATCGGTGCCTTGCGTGCTCAGTCAAGTCCTAGGTTACGGTGTAGGATGTCGTCCTGGAGGGCGTGGACTAGAGCCTTATTCCCGGCCCATTTGCAGGAGGTATGTTTGCCTTATATGGTAATATGATCGACGCGGATGATGGCTGCGGCTACGGCTTTCGCTTCCTACGTCGCTATGCGTCGGTATTATCGAACGAACGAGATCCATTAAAATGTTGCTTGACCGATTCCGTAGACGCATGGAGACGGATGCTCTTCCAGCCAATTTTTTTTTTTTCATTTCTGTATACTGGATTACCGCCTCTTTTAATATCTTTTCACCTCCGATTCATCTCCCGCCTCTTTGGAAAACCTAGGGCTTTAATACCACCTTACCATAGCAGAATATCCTAATCGAGTCAAGGATCATACTATAGATGGTACCTCGTTATGGCAGAGACAGAGTTTTCGGAGTTCGGCCTCGGGCCACAGATATATCGCGAACATACAAGTGCTTCGCGAGCTTCGAGGGGTATCCGTGGACGCGATGGTGGTTTAAGCCATTTTGCGGATCTAGTCCAGAGTATCAGCAACCAGGATGCAGAAGCTAGATACAAAGCTGAAGAGGCAGATAACAGGTTGCCGACAGATGACTCGCCAGATCCGAGTCAATTCCAAGGTGCGGAGGGAAAGACGATAATATCATGGGAACCCAACGACAAGGAAAATCCGTATAATTGGCCTAGAGTCAGTATAATGTACCCCTTATGGCAGCAACGCTAACCTCAGAAATAGTGGCGGAAGAACCTTATTCTTGTGACCACAATGACGACCGTTCTCAATAGCACGATGGGAAGCTCATTGCCGAGTATGGCTATCCCCTACATGATGAAAGAATGGGAAGTTACTTCTCAAACACAGTCTATCCTCCCAATATCCACATTCTTAATGGGTTACGTCTTCGGTCCAATTGTCTGTAAGTTACTCCTGGTTCTTTTAATCAAATATGAAGATGGTTTCCTTCCCAAAAAGAGGCATAATCGAACATGTTATGTTAATTGGTTTCATTTTAAGGGGGCCCGCTAAGCGAACACATCGGGCGTCGGATTCTCTCCACGGGAGCTTTTGTCATGCTCATGGTTTGGACTCTTGCCTGCGCGCTCGCTCCGAATTGGCCAGCAATGCTAGTATTCCGATATTTAGTTGGAGTATGCGCATCGGCACCGATCGCAGTCGTCACTGGTCAGCTCGCCGACATCTATAACGATTCAATTACCCGTGGTCGAGCCATGTCTTGGTTCATGGTTGTGAGTATCTAAGCTTGTATCTCCTTTCATCATAAACTGATTTCTGTTTCTCTTAGTTCACTATCTTTGGCCCACTACTCGCTCCGATCATATCTGGATTCTGCTCGACGAGGATTGGGTGGCGATGGACTTTCTGGATTGCCTTGATGGTTGCTGGCGCGACATCAATACTGGTGATATTCCTCCCTGAAACATATGCGCCTGTGCTCCTCACCCGACGAGCAAGAAAGATCCGAAAAGCGGATCCTAAGGCGCAAGTTTACTCTGCTTTTGAGCTTGAGCCGCACGACATGAAGCAGTTAGTTACGAGAGTTCTCACCCGACCAATCCGGATGATCCTTACCGAACTCATCGTCACTGCGACGTGCCTTTATCTTTCGCTAGTTTATGCAATTTTCTACATGAGCTTCCAAGCGTTCCCCATCATATTTCAAGATGTCTATGGGCTGTCACCAGGAGTTACCGGTTTGTGTTATCTTCCCATTGGACTTGGTGCAGTTCTTGCGCTACCGGTCTTCTTTACTTATGACAATATTCTTCTTAATGCTCAAGCTCGTGGTGAACCATGGTCAAAAAAAGAGGAGTTCCGCCGTGTTCCACTGGCTACTCTCGGCGGCCCATTATTCGTTATATCACTATTCTGGCTTGGCTGGTCGGCACGATCAGATGTGTCATTTGTGGTACCGATGTTAGCTGGTATTCCTTTTGGTGCAGGTTTCAGTATGTACACTTTTTCGATATTCGCTAATTTCTTACATACCTTAATTGTGCTGTTTTTCAGATCCTCGAAGATGTGGGCGCACAAAGACCTAGCAACTCGCAAAAACCTCCAACTTCCAGCAAGTAATCATTGCTAATAAGTCTTTCGCAGTGTTAATCTTCATGGCGCTGCTTAATTACATCACAGATGCCTATGAGATATTCGCTGCAAGCGCTAATGCTGCTGCGAGTTCCTGCCGTTCCGTCTTCGCAGTCGCCCTCCCGTTTGCGACAATCCCTATGTTCGACCGTCTTGGCATCAGCGGGGCATGCAGTTTGCTCGGTGGGTTAAGTCTATGCATGTGTGTCATCCCCTTCATATTCATCTGGAAAGGAGCGGCGATCCGAGAAAGGTCCAAGTTCTGCATCGCGCTCAAGGAGCAAAAACTGGAAATGGAGCGGAGACATGAGGAACAGCAAAGGAGAAAAGCTAGGGCGGCTGCTAGTCCTGGTGTGTTAGATGACAAAGAAACGATTTAACGTTTTAATGATGGCAATTATGTATTATGATATTATGAATTGGAACACGAAGGGTTCATCTCCATTCGCCTCTGGTAAACCCTCCAGGATGGTGGATGGTGGATGGTATAGGTACCTACCTAACTAGTAGGTACCTAGGTAGGTAATCGTACATAATACATAATAAAACGAGCATTATTATAATACCTACATTATCACGAAAAAGGTATTTCCGGATATATGAATTTCGCGCGACAATATCTACGTAGGTACCAATCTAGAAAGCGTGTTGGTAGCAGTAAATGGAATGAACAAAATAAGTCATAAAAAACAACCCATGGAGACTATGCTCTAAACTATCCCCTGTACCGTCTATATTGGTAGCTTACACGTGATAGAGAGGGTGGTAGATGCCAGTTGCGCAACACAAGGGATAGTTCTGATTTCGCATTTTCCGTCGCCGGAAAAGGGGTTGTTGGGGGCACAGAGACGCGTGGCGTAGATGCTAGAAGCCCATATGACGTGAGAGTGAAATATATAACTCAATAAGCAGGAATTATATTTATTTCAAGCCATGTATTCGACTTCTATTCATTTAATAACTACATTTTGCGAGCAAATGAACTTGTTCTCCCGGTTGCCAAGGAATTGTTGTGTAACCCTCTCCCCTTTTTTTCTCATTATCGCCTTGCCAGTATTCTTTCTTAAAACTCCCCCACAAGTAAAATAGTCGCACATAACTTGCTAAGTAAAAACTGGATCGCGTGTTAAATCAAGAATCAACAGTAAGTCCATCGGATTCTGGTGGGCCTCGATAAACTGTAGTTTTTATCATTAGCAAGAATACTTCAGGTTATCAGTGTTATTACGAAGCTTACCTTTTCGAGCATAGACACCATACCAGATGGCACTCATAACCATAAATCCAACAAATACCACAATCGCGTAGTTCATACTAACCTCAGTCACTGGGAGGGAAGTAGGCATGGAGAACAAAACCACCTCAAGGAGAATCCAGGCCACCGCGAACAGGTTAACAACCGGTCCAATGAAGCCTCCCATGGTCCACCTAGCACTGTTGACTTCTCTCCGGCTGTGGAACAGCGATATAACGATTGGTATTCCATAAGACACAGCGAGGGATATAACACCAACTGACACAAAAGCCAGGAACGCTGACGAAGACCCGAGATTAATCAAACCGAGGAGCATCTCAATTGCGGTAGTGAGAACTAGCGCCAAGATGGGTGTGCCGTGGCGCTCGTCAACCTTGGACCAGAGGCTGGCGAAGGGAATGGCATTATCTCGCGCGAAGGCCCAAGTTGTTCTCGATGCTGCGACCGTAATGGATATGGAGCAGAACAGGGTGATGATGAGGACGAGGACGGTCAATGCAAGACCGCCACCGGGAGTTCCCATGACGACACCGAAGATATACGGTAGAGCCTGACCGACAGGTGCTTTTAGGATGTCTGCTAGTTCTGGCAATGTTGCGCATAGGGGGATTATCTATATGGTAGAGGTTAGAGGTGCGACGGAAGATTTTGAGATTATTTGGGGAGGTTGTCACTCACAAAGAACAATCCTGCGATGCCACCAACAGGTACACATAGGGACAGGGCATTTGGTAGTTTAATAGTTGGTTCGCTACATTCTTCAGCCATCGAGGTTATCATCCCCATTGCAGAAAACCTGGATAAGGTATTGTTAGTCTTCGTCTAGCCGAGGCTTCGGGTCACATAAAAACTCACGTATAAGCTGCAGGTAGGACGCCGATCAAAAAAGAGAAATCGTTCCATCCGGAAAGTGACGTGTCATAGTGCCCCTGAAGGTAAAGTAAGTTATTTTCCTATCTCAAATCCTTCATTGAAAGAATAATACTTACTAAGGTGTAGCTTGGGGAATGTCTACCGACATCCGCCTTCACGGATAGACATATACAAGTGACAATGATGCTAATGGCAGTGAAGATGGCGCAGAACGTATCGACCATAGGCAGCATCTTATTTCCATAGGCAACAAGGAAGAATGTGAGGAAGCACACAGCGTAGAAGATCAGCAGTAGTTGCCAGGCTCCCACAGTGAATTCCGGTTCGAATAGGGATATGGCCGCAGCAAGCATGGACGCGAAACCGAAGTTGACGGACAGCGTGATAGTCCAGTTACCGATCAGCCATGTCCAGCCGGTGATGAAGGAGAGAACTGTGCGGTATTTCGGGCTCGCGAGTTGGAAAGACCAGTAATACGGCCCGGCTGATGTCGGATATCTCGAAGCCAGCTCACTCAGCGACAGAGCGATGCATTCGTCTAGGATTAAGACCACGATCCATCCCAAGAACATCGGTAGCTGGCCTAGTCGATGTTAACGCGATGAAAAAGGGTTGGGAGTAAGATGCGCCTAACTCACCACCTCCGTAAATGGCACTGATGAGCGGACCGCCAAAGCCATACGGCATCTATCAGATATTACATTAGAAACATCTCGTTAGACCTTTCAAGGCGTATACACTTACAGCAGCAATTGCTAAGGACTGAAATAGCAATGTAAACATGGACCGATTCCGCTGTAACTCTGGCTTGTAGCCAAGTACAGTGAGATTCTCTACATCATGAACTGTCCCAAGCTGGGTATGTCCGTTCTCGAAATCTGCAGAACCGGGTGAGCCATTTTGGGACGCGATCTTCTCCTTGATGGAACTCATGATGATGAGTCTATTCCGATATTATGATTAAGATGTTTTTCCATAGCAAAATCGGCTGGTTGCACGTAACCTGGGGATGATTTCCCCAAGATATAAGCCATGTTTATTATTGCTCTCGAGCTATTAGCGTTATCGCGAGACATTACTAGAGCTCTACCGGTCTCCTCACCTTATCGTGGAGGTCCAGTGAGACCTCAAGCCACTTGCGGGGGTTCGGAATGTCTGTAAAGATAAGCGCTCGTATGGGTTTGGATTAGAGAGTCGTTCAACCCCAAGGGGTTGGATTTAGTCTGGAGTTCCCCTTGATGGAGATCTTCAGCTAGTCTTAGATAATTCTAATGTTCCTGGTTGATTTCTTGGCAGCGATCATTCTTATCTTGGTATACCACCTCCCCGGTTCAGCTCTAAGCACACACGGACGTATAGATACGATAGCGACCCCGTCGAAGGTGACTGGTCGTAGATAAGAAGGTAGGATAAATCGAGATATGTAATAAATTCGACATAGCCCTCTAAAAGAGAGCTTGCATCGTAGACATAGGCTATTGTTCATTAAAATGTCTACTTGATCAATCATCATCTGCGCTGCCTAATATTTGTATCCCAGACTTTAAACAAAGATTAGCGACAGTGAGATGCGTCTCCATTCATATAATATTCGCGATCCATACACGATACACGATCTTCCCTGCATCATGATTATTGTCTCAGATGTGAGCTACAATACGCACAGGAACATCCGAAGAATGAGATAGTCAGACACTAGGGAGGGTTTGCTGGTGCTGAAGAACTGCGGGGTATGATATGGCGCCAGGCTTGATACTATTGAAGTCGAGATTGACTCCGGATTCGATATCTGGAAAAGGACCTAGTGGCGTAATCGCAAGAGGGTTGATATCATGGTGACTTTTAGTGTACTGACGAAACGTTAGCAGTCTGAGCTATTTCGCGAACTATTGGGCGGTACTCACGTTCTCTTTGATGTGTTTGAATTTGGTCGTTTCGCGGAACCCTTTCACGTTCCAGTACAGGTTCTTCAGCCACTCATGGATGACAGGGTAGTTGCCTCGGATGGTACCGAGATTGCACTTAAAGTGCTGTACGTAGGCGGCGTCAAATCGAATCGCCGACACGTACGCCAAGATATCCAGTTCCGTGAGCTCTTTGCCGAGGACATATGGTCCACCATTCTTGTGAATCAATAGCTCCAATTGATTCAAAGCCGCAAATACAGGTATGACTCCCTTCTCATATGTCTCTTGATCCCTTGCGAATCCTGCCTTGTAGACGCCACTGTTGAAGTCTCTTGTCATCCATTTGGTGACTTCGTCGATCTTCGCTCGCAGATGTTCTGGATAGAGATCGAGGTTCCTCTCTGGGCTTCCCTCGGGCAATATCTCATTGAATCCTGTCTGCAACAATCGCAACAACTCCAGGCTTTCGTTGTTCACGGCAGTATTTTCCTTGGTGTCCCAAAGGAGAGGGACGCTGTACTTCCCCTTATAATCTTTATCCGCTCTGAAGTAAAGTTCATTGAGGTACTTTGATCCGAATAGTTTGTCCGGGGTCGAGCCTTCGTAGGTATCGTCAGGACCGTTAGCTCCAGGGAATGACCAGCCGGTTTCGCCTTTCGGATAGGCCTTTACGACCGATATATCGATTGCCGAGTCGAGCTTTTTCAAGACGCGCACTAAGTTGGCTCGATGGGCAAAGGGGCAGAAATAGCCAATGTAAAGGTGGTATCGACCGGACTCCGGGGCGAAACGCGACCCGGGCGCCACGATCCCATGCCAGCCATCTTCCGGGCCAGAATGCAACGGCTTAACTTCTAGTTGATTGCTCGCCATACTAACGCTATAGTTTAAGCCTAAAAGTCGTTTATACTTGAATGTCTGTCTGATTCTTAACATACCTGTGTTCTCTGATTCTCGAGCTTTTGTATCAATTGGAGAGGAGGTGTTGCTTAATAATAGAAACGATCCGGGAAATTCGGTCTACGATGATAGATGGTCGGCGGACCTAGAAAGCTATTCGGCGGCCTTAAAATTGTTCGGCGTGCTCTAGGTTGATCGGCGGAAGAGCGCTGGTCGGCGACTGATCTGGCCAAACATTTAGAGAATATTGTCAGATGACAAGCGTTTCAATTCCGTCATCGTCGGCGTCCCCTCTTTTCCCCATATCATAGCATTTCGTGTTAATTGAGCGGAAGTAACCGCTTGCAGCTACTCAACTGCACCGAGTCATTCGACACATATTGGAAGTTACCTCAACTTTATGGAGGAAGAATCAAGTTCAATGCATATATATGCAGTTTCGTGATTCTTTAAAAGGTTTTCTCGGAAGTGATCGTTCAGATATATTCTTCCGCTTCAACATTCTTGGTTCGGTTTCAATGCGGTTTACCAAATGTTAAAATCCAGCAGCAAACAATTAATAAACCATCAAGGTACCCGGGGAATGGTCCCCGATCACTGCACCGCACTGGCCTGTTGGGGCAAAGTGGATACCTAGGTGTTGTACAGTACTAGACGGCCTGCAGCTATTTGTTTGTCTGTAGGTACTATATAAGCTAGAACAACCCAAGAACTAGCACATACGACCATAGGAGCTAGAAAACTCGGGATCCCGTCCGCTCTCCCATAGATAAGCTGGCTACCGCCGGATCAGTAGTTGGGTCGGTGACGACCAGCGAATCCCCGGTGTTGTATGTTTATTTTTTTTACTTTTATTTTATCCTGTTAATCCATTTTTATTGAAGAATTATAATCTGTTGTTGATCTCATTTCGATTTTCGCTAAAAACATTTTTTAGTGCTGCCCCGCGCTGTATTGAACCTATTAAAATCAGTCGGCGAGATGACTAATAGAGGGGTCGCCGGCTTACTTAAGCATATGCCCCTTTATTAAGTAATACTCTCCATCAGTAACATCTTTGGGAGTGAGGATCCTCACACTCTGGTAATAACTATCTTTTCGTAATAGAATAGTAACTATTTCTATATTCTTTTGGTTATGAAGAATGAGGTAGTTATCGAGTGCCTATCATCGGGCGACTCGATTCTAACTTTTGAGCGATTGGCTAACTTGCTACCTATCGTAAGTTGTTTCTTCATACTACACGAGCTCTCTATAGCATTTTAATTCGCTAATATACCTACCTACGTATAGGTTTGCCATGAAAATAGCCTGGTAATTGGTTATATGTATGTAGCCGTTGATGGACATTATGAAATGTTACACGCTTCTCAAACACCGGGATTCATGTCTCATTATCAGGCGCATGTCATGAATGACTTCACTAAACGCACCTAATAGTTAAGTAGTACAGGTTAACAAACCAGTATATCTTGAATATTACTCGTTCGATTCGTATGTCTTGAAGTGTAGGCACAGCACAAGCAGTGTGTCAATAAGTAGTCCTTAGTCGTGCTAATCATCCATCCCCCTAGGTTGGAATATTTTCTATTCTCTAGCCCCGGCAACGTGTCTTCCCTTTTCGTATCCATCTCTGACTTAAAATTAGACAAAATGAAGTATACCAGCGCATTTATTATCATATATTGCTTGCCCTATCTTGTATTTGCAGATGTAGAGAATATCATAAGACTTGAGCCTTCAACTAACCTTCCTCCAGATATTTCCGCGCCCATAGATCATTCATTCGCAGGTTTTGGAATAGAATCTTCTAATCTTTTCTCATTTACGGGTGGAGCGCAGCCAAACACCCTAACTATTAACCTCCTCAACAACCTCGCCAACTATGCCGGGAAACCACCACATATCCGAATAGGGGGAAACACCCAAGATTACATGATCTTCCAGGAGAGCCAAAATGACTGGTCATGGGTGGAAAACCCAAACGCAGTCGGCCAGGGGAACATCAAACCCGACAGCATGCTAATTGGGCCCCGTTTCTTCGAATCCGCGAACCGGTTACCGCAAGGCACGACAGTAACCTGGGGACTAAACCTCGCATACGAACAAGCCGACTTCCTCGAAAGAATCACAGAAATGGCAAACCAAGCCATCTCAAGGTGTCCAAACCTCAACATCACCTCCTTCGAAATAGGCAACGAACCAGACCTCTACACCCAAAACGGCTTCCGCACCGGTCCCTGGGGCGGCAAGGTCTTCACCGGCGAATGGCTCGCCCGCGCCTCCGCGATCTCAACCCAAGTCCTCGCCCCAAAAGGCATCCCAAGTAACTTCTTCGAAGCAGCAGCCACCGCCTCAACAATCGGCACGGACTTTCAAATCGCCAACTTGGTCACCTTCGGTGTTTCCGCTGCCGCGACAGCCGGCTCCCCGACCCCGTATCTAAGCGGCTGGAACCAGCACGATTACTACTACTACATCGGCGTGTCCCCGTACCCGATTACACTAGAACGGCTAATGACGCTCCGCACGACGGAGGACCAGTTCGCCGCGTGGCAGGCCCAGGTCGAGCAAGCGGCGCAGACGCCGTACCCGTATGCGCTTCGCGAGATAGGCGTCGTCGGACCTATTGGCTTGCAAAGCGTAACAGACGTATTCGGCGCCGCGCTATGGACGCTGAACTTTTTGCTGTATACGGCGAGTTTGGGCGTTGCGGCTGTGGGGCTGCATATGACGGATACGTCGAACGCGAGCGCGTGGTTGCCGGTTCCTATGTATGGACTCGAGCCGCGGGTGCGGCCGTTGTATTATGGGGTTGTGGCGTTTGATCAGATTATTGGCCCTTTGTCGTCGTGTACGGAGACGAGGATCGCGCGGTGTGAGGTTTTGGCGTGGCCGGCTGGGTATGAGGATTTGGTTAGGGCGTATGTGGTGTATCAGCGGGGACAGCTGGCGTCAGTCGTGGTGGTGAATGGGATGCTGGCGAATAGTTCGTTGGGGAATAAGGGTAATGTTACTGAGAAGTTGCAGTTACCGGCTTCGATGGCGGGACAGGTTGTGTATCTTGCGTACTTGACGAGTCCGGGTGCGGATGCTGTGGATAATACGACGTGGAATGGGATTAGTTTTGAGAAGAGCGGGGATGGCACTCCGACACAGGTTGGGGATGGTCAACAGACGGTTCAGGTCGCGGCTAATGGGACGGCGAGTTTCTCGTTGAGAGATTCTGAAGCTGTGGTCGCGAGTCTGGGGAGAAAGGTTGGTGAGGCGGGTTCTTGTACTATGCCTCATGCTAAGTTCCCTGACTGGGAAGTCTAGATATGCCGAGCCAGAATCTTGAGATCATGTTTACTGGTAAATCATATATCTGTATTTTCTTAGATCTTATTAACTAATGGTCGGCCTCTTTGTGTAAACTATTGGTAACGATATGGTATAAATGGAGATTGCATCGGCCTAGGAAGGTAGGCTTTTGGTATATTAGAATAGCGTATACGTTACGAAAGATACCTACCTACTCATTGATATGTGTTTGATTATCATTTGGTACTAAATCGCAAAGGGTAGGTTGCTTACCTACAACTGACCAACTCTACCTATACAACTCCTATTTAACCCAAGCTACAGGAATCGGACCTAGATTGATGGCCGATTCTTAACCCCCTTTCGTGGGGCATGCTCAATCGTGAGCACCTAGAAGCATGGGCTTGGGTATAGCGGAGGATGTTAAGGTAGGTACCTATATAATACAGCACAAGTCACTAAAAACCAACCTCTCAGCGTAAGTCAAACTAGAGCATGGGAAATTACGCCAGTCTATTGTGTTTTATTCTTGAAGACGCCTCTAACTAGCTAAACTAGCCGCCCTCTCGAACCTGATGCTCAGCGACCAAACCTAGGTTAACTAGATCCGAACCTCTACCTCCAAGCTTACACAACCATGGTTAAATAACCACCTATAAAACCATCCCGTCATATAGTTCATTCGCGCGCTCTTTACACCGAAGCTGGGAATCTCGACTCGTACACATATGGTTTGATTTAACCCTGGAATTCATGTACATTGCCTTCCTCCCACTTGCCGGGGACGAGAGCGAGAGGCACGATACCAGAAACGTGCATCTCAGGACCGAAGATCTTGGCGTTTAAGCCAAGCTCTTGTGTCGCGGCCTTCATGTTCTTAAGACCTTCTTGGTAGTTAGGTCCAGCACGACGCACCCAAATTTGTACGTTGTGCTCGTTCAGTTGCTTGGAGTATTCACGTAGCGCCCGAATGACACCCTTGAATGTGGAAGCGACATTTGTGAAGTTGGCAATACCGCCACCGATGAACAGAACCTTGCCCTTAGAGCTCAAGGGAGCGCGGAGCATTAGGTCCAACACGGTTCGTGCGTAGTAGTATGTTTGGGACTCGGTGGGGGCACCAGAGTATTCACCATAGTTGGCCAAATCATCAGCAAAACCAGCAGAGGCAATAGCATCAGCGTAGACGACGGAAGCACCACCACCAGCGACCAAAGTCCAGATACGACCGGTAGGGTTCAAAACAGTGAGTTTCAAGGAGGCACCAGTCTTAGCATCTAATTCAGCGATGTAAGCTTCCTCCTTGGTAAGCTCACGGCCGAAAGGAGCAGGGAACTCCATAGGGGGGCCAGCGTCGACATTGATCTTGTCGCCGGCGCTGGAGATAGCAGTGATTCCCAGGTTAGCGGGAGATCGTGCGATAGCCCATTTGACACCGCACTCGAAGTCGGCAGTCTGATCTAACTTAGCAGCAAGGTCGAGGAAGTAAACTTCAGCGGATGTAGCATCAGCGTTGGGAATGACGACCAAGGGATTGATCTCAAGGTAGGTGAACTGGCAGTCGACGTAGACAGCATATAGGCGGGTGATGAAGTCAACCAAGACATTGTGAACACCCTGGGGAACCTTCTTCAATAGTGTGCTGGCGATCTCCTCGTTGGAGGGATATTGTGAAAGGTCAACGGGGATAAGAAGCTTCTCAGCCTTGGCATCAACATCACCAACGTCGACACCACCTTCGTGAGTGAAGAGAATCCAGTCGCCCTATCAATTTCAAGGTTAGCATTCCAGTGATTTGAAAATGATTGGCTGTTGATAAAGTGATAAAGTTTAGGTCGTTGACATGATATGATATGAAAAATGGATGCGTTTGCATAATTGTGGTAAGTGGGTGAAAGTGGATGCAACAGGAGTGCATGAGGTTTAGTCTCCGTTCGCCCGTGAGCACCGGATCGGTCTCGAATTTCCGAATCAAATAAGACGGCAGCGACCACTCGGTGCGCACATTCCGCCAACATTCTTCTCTCCTTGATAAGAATAAACAATCATTCGGGACTTCTTTCCCATCTAATATTCCATTCCAGTTATGTGTTTTATTCCATGTTATCATCAACAATAGTCCCGCTTTCTTTTTACTGTCATGCACTGGCTGACTGTCGCCCAATCATCTCTGGTCGACGAGGATAATCGGGCATAAAATAAAGGTCGACGAAGCAACACAACGCATTTATAAAAAGTAACACTGCACTCACATCTCGAACTGAGTTGATGTTGATGTAGTATTCCGTACCGTCTGGGTGAGGTACGAAAGGTTCTACGAGGAATTGTCGCAGAACACCTTCTGTGTGCTCGACCTTCTGGGACTTGCCAGCGCGCTCAGCAATCCATGCCTTCGCTTCAGGCCAGGTCTTGTTAAGAGCTAGAAGACCGCTCTTGCCTCGTCTCTTGATCAGCTGGTCAGGCTTCGCAACGAACTTGGAGCCACCGTGGAGCAACCACGGGTAGGTGACCTCGGCCTGGTCTAGCACCGCATTGACATCCTTATCTTCGGGGAAGTAGAGTGATGCCAATCTCGGCGGCGAGTTGTGCTTTGTCGGCTTGGGAAGAGGACTCGGCTTGATGACGGGTGCACGAGTCAGATGGTAGTTGAGGATGGCCTTGCCGTCGGCCTCGAGGATGGACTTGGCGGACATTGTGGTGGCGGTAGTGGTAGTGGTGGTGGTGGTGGTGGTGAGAGAAGGGAGTGAAGCTTAAGTCGTAAGTGATCAATTCCGTCCTATTCGATCCGGTATATTGACTCTAGAAAACAGGAAAGAAGTTAACAAGCTGTTTCTCTATCTTTGATTCCAAGTGGAACTGCAAGTGTAGAAGAAAAAAAAGGACCATTTGTGACTTCTAGCGTCCGGAACTGAGATGCACAGGTACATGTAGGATTTGGTGCAGTGCAGAATACCCAGTCCTGTCTTTCGGAAGTGGGATTTGACAAGGTCACCATTTTTCCCCCGCCTCTTACCTTACCTTTTGCCTTGTCGCGATTGAATTATCTCTCAAGTGTGAGATTTCAAGATCACGATGCGAAACCAATAAGTGTTGGCAAAAAATTGGAATACTGGGAAATTCGGATTGCAAAAAGTGACGAAGTGACGAAACGACGTTGACTGCAATGACGAAGAATGGAAAGATTGGAATTACTTACTCAAAATTATTGTGAGGTGCGGTGGTGCGGTAACTGTGCGTTGCTCTCTCTCTGCTGCGAAGCTCCCACCAGTCGGTTTCCTTTTTTTCTGGACCGGACCCCTTGAAATCTGCATCCGCCCACTCGACTTTTCGGTACAAGGCTAAGGATGTACCTCTGAGCTGTTACCCAACTAAACTCTGTACAGGTCTACCACCCAAGTGGATTCGAGTGGGTACCTCGAATTGAGTTTTGGAGGGGCGCTAGGCCAAGTTACGTACGGGGATACGCTATCACGCCAAAAGTTTTGGGGCGATCCTGATAGTGCCGGTCAGCAACCGGAGGGTTTTGGTTGTACAGATACCCCAACATCAACAGCCACCGCAAGTGTCGAAGGCAGGACCAGGTACCTACAGGTACGGATTGAACGGAACATCCGATTTTCAACTATCACTACATCTATTGACATCGTTGACACCATTCAACCATATCATAAAATAGAATCCACTTATCCTTGGCCCCATGCCTCCATTGGAGGAGCTGGAGGAGTTGGATATTGGAAGCTGACACCTTCAGATCATGGCTTGTGCTATCGCTTCAGCAAAATCATCTACCCGGATATACTAGGTCCTACGGTACTAGGTCCAGCAGATCTAGCAAGTCTAGCAGGTCCAGATAATCTAGCTTACTAACGAAGCAAGTCAGTCGTCAGCTAGTTTTACCTGGGTAGTATGCAGCATTACTATCGTTACCTTCGGTCGGATCTTGCTTATTACATCCTCATATCGAGCCCGCTCCGATCCTGCTCTATTATTGGCAGATTCATGCTTATCGTTCGGTCTTTCGAAGCCAAGGATCTGTCAGCATTATCCCCCAAGTCCCTAGATCCCTATTGCTAGTGCAAGTCCATATGGATATGGAATCTTATGGATAGGGATATACGACCTAGGCTGAGAGGAAGAAGCCGAATACTATGCACGGAGTAATTGATGATGCGAACGTGTGTATCACTATCTCGGTCGGCCTTGAGATGTTGCACAAGGCGAAACATCCGTCTCTGTCAGCCAGCTCCGGAGTTCGATATTGGGGACTATCCGGCAAAAACATGCCAATATGCACATTGACAGCCTAGTTATGTCCTTGGTTGTCATTCTCCGGATACGGATGACCCGACCGGAGGGGTGCAGTAGATCCCGTTCGAGTGAAGGGAATAATCTGCACCCCTAAAGGTTCTCATGGCTTTGCCGCCTTGCAGGTAGGATACTACTTCCCTAGCTGCCTAGGTATTGTTACCTAGATATTGTTTCATTATTTTCAATAGTCGTCGACGACTATTTTACTGTTCATACATATCTCTTTTCCTTTTCTAGTATGGTGGAAATCCACATGCTATCCAATTCGATACATCCACACATCCACACATCCACTCGCATTTCTAATGTGGAAGGAGAGCGGAAGAAGATCGATTCAATCTATCGTTGGGAGATTAGGTGAGATGGGTGAATGAGACGAAGACCGTTACCAAGTTCGTGGCGGGGCACGAAGCTGGATGTTTAGGTCCGAAGTACCAGTACATGAATTGTGGGGACCTCAAATAGCGGGGACAAGAACGTCGACCAGGTACCTCTATGTACCCGATGCCGAGTACTCTCCTTGGTGGGATGGTCTTGTTCGGATTCTTTTACTCAACGGGCAGCAAATCCCCAGTCGCCAACACAAGCAGGATTGTGCAGGATCAACAGGGCACTCCAGGCGAGCGGAAGCCAAAAGTGCACCAAGTGTACCAATTGAAACCAACAAGGGAACACCGACAAAATAGCTTGCAGTCATCAACGCTGAGCGAAAGAAAAAAAGGGGGTATAATTCAACATATCATAAAATTTACCCCAACTAATCCGATCGAGACGAGACCTTTTTTTTTTCCGCCGGACATTCTTTGTGGGCACAATACGTCGCGACAGCAACCACACACAAATTATTTACGTCCCGTCCACAACGGAAAAGATAGAAAGCGAGAAGAAAAGCACAATTTGAGAATACAGAATAGCATAGAAGGTACGTACCTACTTTAATTTACTAAATCTTTTGCAGCAGTGGTGGCATTAGGTGCCATGTACCTCTCTGTCTAGTGACGCCGCACCTTCCAATACCCTTGCTGTCTCTACCCACTATCCACTATCTGCTGAATCGAACCTTTTTTGCTGGTGGTGGCATAAGGTGGGTCGGTCCTGCGTCAATCGAGCTGGGCTCACTTCCCGACCTGAGAAAAATAATCCCCATCGTCGTCAAAGCTCACTAGACTATTCCCCTCTTATTTCTCCCACTTCACATACAATTCCCCATACCACATACTGCATTTTTCTCGAGATAGCCTCTCGTTATTAACTTCGTGGCTTTAATCTCATCTAATACTTGTGCAGTTTCCACGTGCAAGGTGCAAGCAGAAGTCAAGACGACGGTTGATTGAATTTCTCAACTGTCAATCCTGTCCCAAGTGAGGTATGTAGGGCTTTTGCAACACTCCCATCCCACATTACAAGCATTTTGCCAGCATTTCGCAAGCATTTCCCTGGAGTTGGATTTACATAGCATCCAACAATATTAGTTCGATCATGGGGTAGCCGGATTCAATTGGTTTTATTCAGCTCCGGAGCAGACGAGCCTCCGTGAATCATCGGATCCTTCAAATACGGTGGTGGGTTAGTGTGGTTTTTTGTCTTTCCGAACATTACTAGGAAAGGCAACACACAACCCTCTACCGGTTTATCGATTTACCCGAATTGTTTCCACTCTATTTGGCTTGTTTTGAAAACCAGCAGTGACCTGGGTTGCGTTGAAAATCGAATTATAGCGTTGTTCCTAAGCTAATTTGAATTACGAAATCTTTAGAGAAAGCCCACGAACTTCACACAATCACGATGTCTTCCAATGGCGCCACCAGCGGCGGGTTGTCTGCTAACGACAACATCACCCGCTTCGCTGCTCCCAGCCGACCTCTGAGCCCTCTCCCCGCCCATGCGCTATTCAACAACAAGACAAGATGCTTCGTTTACGGTCTGCAGAACAGAGCAGTCCAGGGCATGTTGGATTTCGACTTCATCTGCAAGCGACCTACCCCCTCGGTTGCTGGCATCATCTACACATTCGGTGGTCAGTTCGTTAGTAAGATGTACTGGGGAACGAGCGAAACCCTCCTACCTGTTTACCAGGAGTCATCCAAGGCGATGGCCAAGCACCCCGATGTTGACGTAGTTGTCAACTTCGCTTCTTCACGAAGTGTCTACAGCTCAACCATGGAGTTGATGCAATTCCCCCAGATCAAGACCATCGCTATTATTGCGGAAGGTGTCCCTGAGCGAGTAAGCAATCCTATAAATGACGTAAAGGGGGTCCTTCATACTGACATTCCAACAGCGTGCGCGAGAAATTGCCCATGTCGCACGACAAAAGGGTGTCACCATCATTGGCCCGGCTACCGTTGGTGGTATCAAGCCTGGTAGCTTCAAGATTGGTAACACTGGTGGTATGATGGACAACATCGTTGCTTCCAAGCTCTACCGCAAGGGTTCAGTCGGATACGTCTCCAAGTCCGGTGGTATGTCGAACGAGTTGAACAACATCATCTCGCAGACTACCGACGGTGTCTATGAGGGTATTGCCATTGGTGGTGACAGGTATCCTGGAACTACTTTCATCGACCACATGCTGAGATATCAGCAAGACCCTGACTGCAAGATTCTTCTGCTACTGGGTGAAGTCGGTGGCGTCGAAGAATACAAGGTTATCGAAGCCGTGAAGCAAGGCGTCATCACCAAGCCAATTGTAGCTTGGGCTATCGGTACTTGCGCAAGCATGTTCAAGACTGAGGTCCAGTTCGGTCACGCTGGTTCCTTCGCCAACTCTCAGCTTGAGACCGCTGCCATGAAGAACAAGACCATGAAGGAGGCTGGTTTCCATGTCCCTGACACATTTGAGGACCTCCCCCAGGTTCTTGAGGCTGTCTACAAGAAGCTCGTCCAGGAGAAGACTATTGTTCCCCAACCCGAGCCCGTTGTGCCCAAGATTCCCATCGATTACTCGTGGGCGCAGGAGCTTGGTCTCATTCGAAAGCCTGCCGCTTTCATCTCCACTATTTCTGATGACCGTGGCCAAGAACTTCTCTATGCTGGTATGCCTATCTCCGATGTTTTCAGAGAGGATATCGGCATTGGTGGTGTCATGTCACTTCTGTGGTTCCGTCGTCGCCTGCCTGATTACGCCTCTAAGTTCTTAGAAATGGTACTCATGCTCACTGCCGACCACGGCCCGGCTGTGTCTGGTGCCATGAATACCATCATCACTACCCGTGCCGGAAAGGATCTTATCAGCTCCTTAGTTTCCGGTCTCCTCACTATCGGCTCCCGATTCGGTGGTGCCCTAGACGGTGCCGCCGAGGAATTCTCCAAGGCCGCCGACAACGGACTCAGCCCTCGTGAGTTCGTCGATACCATGCGCAAGCAAAACAAGCTCATTCCCGGTATCGGTCACCGCATCAAGTCGCGGAACAACCCGGATCTACGTGTGGAGCTTGTCAAGGAGTACGTCTTGGCTAGATTCCCTAGCCACAAGCTTCTCGACTACGCATTAGCAGTTGAGACTGTAACCACGTCCAAGAAGGACAACCTTATCCTGAACGTCGATGGTTGCATTGCTGTCTGCTTCGTCGACTTGATGAGGAGCTGCGGTGCATTCAGCCCTGAGGAGGCTGAAGATTACATGAAGATGGGTGTCCTAAACGGTCTCTTCGTCTTGGGTCGCAGCATTGGTCTGATTGCGCATTACCTCGACCAGAAGAGACTGCGTACCAGCTTGTACAGACATCCTTGGGATGATATCACTTACCTGCTACCCACTCTTGCTAAGACCGGACCGGTAGGTGAGAGTAGAGTGGAGGTTTCTGTGAGTAAATAAATAGTTGTGGAATTCTAGGGCGTACTTTAGAGGCATTTAATCACGGTTTATTCTCCAAAAAGGGGTTAGACGTGAAATATACTTGTTGTTAGGCCAGAGCGGTGGTAACCTTTAGAGGATTCAGTTGTATTGACTGGTTTGTATGAGAGATTTAACATCGAATCCAATAGACCCGAGGTGGGACATGTTTCGAACATTATGAACCGTATGAACTCATTTTCAACTCTTGGCTCTGTGTGCGAAATTTGCTGGCTTGTGATCGTCTTCCTAAAACGTAAACCTAGCACTTCCCAAGATTACTAAGTATTTACCTAATCACTTGTTCGGTGACTTCGGATCTGAACGCCGGCGATGAACCTAATTATGTAATCGATTTCAGTTAGGTAAGCCGTAGCTGGCTGAGGTAAGCTAAAATCAATTTCTGGACCAAGCCCCACCTAAAAGTTCGATACATTGAAAGTCGAATCCGAAGATAGCGTTAAGTCAATCTACAGAATTCAGGCGGTCCCTATAACATTTAAGCAGTGACTCACTACGGCGTGGTATGTCATTTCCTAGTCAGCCATCTACGGCATCTCCAATTGTCTCTCCCCGAGCGTCCCTTTGGTAGCCTTCAGTACTCCTTACCATCGCACAGTCAGCAGGTCGTTAACTAACGAATTGCGCCAGTCAAGTCCGACAACCCACACAGAATCCACGGGACGGCGTTGATCTTTCTGCCCTGCTAGACTATACACCCACAACCACAGACGCAACAATGTCATTCTTCCGCATAACCCTCCACCGCTCCGCCATCGGTCTCCCAAAACGAACGAACGGCGTCCTCGCTGCCCTCGGCTTGCGTAAACGCGACCAGACTGTCTTTCACCCCGTCTCCCCCCAGTTCGCCGGTATGATATTGAAAGTTAAAGAGCTGGTTAAGGTCACAGAAGTCGATCGCGCTCTTTCGCCTAAGGAGATGCGGGATGAGAGGAGGAGCGTGCCGGGGTATTGGCTTGAGAGGGCGGTGCCTAGGTGATTGTGGGGAGGGTGGATGGATATGGGGTTGGTGGCGTAGAGGGGTTGGAATGGAGGGGTGCTGGAGAATTCGCATCTAGCCGTCGAGACGATAAAACTGGTACGCCGGTGGAGGAGTGGAGGATAGATGTGTGGGTTGCCTGAGATCTACGGATCGCGAGATTTCCGATCTGAGATTCATCCACAATCGCCGCTCATCTATGTCTGTCTAGGAGGGTTCGTTGGCCCCCTATCTGGCGTATGAGCTCAAACGGGGCTCATATGACGTGCAGTCAACGCATAATCAACACTGTAAAATAACAACCTAGGTACGGTACACATATTTTGTCTGTCCAGCAATGAGCTGTTTGACATAGATGCTACATACTCTACGTTTGACACAAATATGAATCAATTAAAGTTCTACATAGAGAGGGGCATTCTCAGTAACGAGCACGGTATACGAGGAGCTCATGGTATGATTTTGATGCCTACCATTAAGCCCCTTGTCACGCGGAGGTTCTGCTGCTCTGGTTGTACATGTTGGATTGCGGAATTGGGCAAAGTTAAATGGTTGGCAATCAGAATCACGGTGGGACTTGGTACAATATTAATATGGATGGCACGTATCTTCAGTCCCTCATTATCACCTCACTCTGCAGAGACCAATCTACTAATGATAATGGCTAAGTCTTAGACAAAAATATGAATACTCCTTCCTGTATCGAAGAACAAGGGGTGGTTATTATCTGGAAATGGCTCGGGAATCTACCGCTTCGTAGTTTCTTCCGAAGCTATGGATTATGCCATTTATAAGATTAATCGCAGAAGCCTTTCTTGCAAACTGAGCAAGTATAGAAAGAAGTCTTTCCTTTCTTTCCTTTCTTCCCCTATTGTACCCATATCCCAAAATTCAAGGATTGTAAGGAACTTTCTCTATGTCCTAATGACCATCTCGCTGCTGCCACCAGTAATTCTAGATATCTACTCTTCCTGATGAGATATCTTCACTTCGATCCTTCTTCATTAATATTCTTCTCAACAGATTACTTGCCTAAGTAATTACCAGCTAGCCTTTGAGCTACCATACCATTGCTTTCACTGACAAGCTCATACACTCACACCAGCCAATCTATCGTATTAAGAACATCATATTAGCTATCTGCTAACTCAACATTCTCATTACCTAGGTAAGTACCTTTCACTAACCCCCAAATTCACTCTACCTAGCAAACAAGTTGAGCGCAGTAAGCTGTTCTATCACACCTATGAGATCTATTGTATAAATCTTTCAAGAAGGAGCGGCAAAGGGTTAGTTATTGTGCCTGTAGTATCTAAATGAGGTTCGCGTGAGGCAAAGACCTTCCTCAGTTCACCAGTTATCCCTCCATCAGACTGAATTTCACATGCTTTATCATAACCCCTTCATCCAATCTTTAGGAGCCCCCAGAAACCCTTCTATGTGTTTCTAACTTTTGAACTAGGCAGTGAAATCTTATTTTCGTCATTGCTACATCTCCAATCATTATTTTGAAATGGCCTCAGCAGGGACATGCATTACTCTATGGTCAGTCCCGGCACATCACCCGAGCTTTTCAAGGACGTCACTTCCGAAACGGCGAAACACATGGGGTTCCTGCCAGAAAAATTAGAGTTTCGGACCAAAACTCTAATTTTCTGGCAGGTTCATGACAGTATTTGACCCTGCTCTTACCCCTCAAACGCCAATCATTCCTTCTGTCGCGGCTGGTTCTAGCAGTCCTCCAACGCCGTGGCTGCCGTGAGTTACCCCTTTTCTCATCTGAACATCTTCTCTACACAAGAAACTGCCTCACCATCAGACTCTCCACCAGTATCCTTAAGAACGTTCCTCCTTGGATTCATATCCCTCTACCTAGATAAATAGTGGCCCGTCTCCCTCAACTCTTAACCCTTCAACTTTTCTTCTCCATCTCTCTTCTTTCTCCATCCTCACAAGGTAGCCTCCAAGGCGTCCTAAGCCGACTCACTCCTCCTCTTGCTTAATCTCCTCCATACCTACATAATAAGTTTCAATAATACATCTCTTACATCCATATTCTCCTCGTGTTTATTGGTCTCCAGACTATACCCGATCGCATCCTGACCTCATCTACTTAATAAACTCAATGAGAACTAATCTTTCCTCTTGAGAAACATATTTCCATCATGTCTAAAAGTATTCCTCTCTTCTATTTCAATTATAAATAAATACAACTACCCCGTCATGTTCACGTCGGATTGAAGTCTCTGGGAAAGACCCAGATCAGCACGTTAGGTCTATGTTGTCCGTATTAAACAACTAACTTGGCATTTAGACACAATGCGTGTCAAAAATTTTAGACTCTTGCAAAGAGTCTGTATATTACTTATTAAGGTACGTGGGAAACTGATTGATTTTGCACTTCCACACACCTCATCAATTTACGCACCCAATTCTCCCCGCCGTTCAACTCATTTAAAGGTCATGATATCGCGAGCGCGATCTCGATGTCACCTATTAACACTATATTTAATCGCCGACAGCTAGAGCAAGCTCTACTAACACTTTTCAAAGGATCGACAAAGGGCATTAAGCTCTCTGGGTTAAGGGAAATGATTTTCCTCGTCTTGACTTCACACCTAAGAATTCCCTACAATCTTGGGGTTGCTACGCACCGAGTAAGCCTAGGTACCTAAACCATTCATGAAGATCCTCAAAGGGAAACCATTGCTATGCCATAAGAGCGCTACTAACTTCAATACAAGAATAAATTCACAAGTATCCTGAGGGATGCCTGTTATGTATTACTTAACGGCGGCCTTGGTAAGCACATCTATTTTCACTGAATCATCTCTGGCTCCTTGGAATTATCCGTCCTCCCATTTTCTCGCAGTATACACTTGCTTCAATCAATTTTCCCCAAACATATTACTTTTCTAACCATGTGAATTAATGGTCATTTCCTACCCTTAACAAAAGTACGCCGGACGCTTTATCCATTCCAGAGCACCAGAGATGCACCCACTACCCAACTCCCAGTGAAACCCTATCGAATTTTCACCATACTCAGTCCCTACGACATGAACTTCATTGTTATCCTTCGATTTTAGATACTAATCTAAAGCGACAGATACCCTATTTAATGGTCCCCATTTCAAGACCCAGCCAGTGCATTCTAGATTCACACCCACCCATAGTCGACGATAAGACATCATATCATCGCCGACCACATATATTTGCATCATATCGGCTCTGGCAATTTCAACTTTTGCCATATCGATCCACCAAGACTTGCACAGCCATGTTCAACACCATCTTACAAGAACACTAATTTATGCATGCACTGCGGTTCTAATGTACATGAGTGCCTTCGCAAGGTTCTAGTCTTGAACATGTTGCTTGGTAACTTGCATCTCAAGAAGATCGGTTACGGGGTTTCGCAACTCGTTAAAATATACAGCGTACTAGACTACGTATTCGCGATCCACATCGGCGACAAATCGGTTAGCCGACGGCGAGTCGGTTCCTACAGCGGCAATTAAAAGATTTATTCGAATTAATCAAGATGATACCCCCATGTTCGAGACAAGATAAGACATTCTTGTCAAGGTATTATCTTGGCAGTGGTCTCTGATAGCCATACGTGGCCGTCATTTCACCCAGGAGGTCATAGTCACCATAGATGACGCAGCAGCGGACGCAGAGATCCATCACGATGAACCCAACACATATTGAAGACAAATCGACGATGACGAGGAAATATAACTACTAGATACGCGTTTACAATGGAAGCTTACCTAGCCCTTGCTCGGGATGGCTCTCCGAAGATGGATCCAAGAAAGAGAAGTATTGGTAGTTTGACTACATCATTAATAGTGAGCCTTAACCCTTTCTACTCTCTGTGGCACTGAATGCTAACTTTGACTCTAGAAAAACCCCCAAAGACCTTTGCAGAAACGGTAGCACGACAAGCTCTGGAGAGTCCTAATCATGAGTAACCTTGGAACCGATATGGAGTCTCACGTCTCCTCTCCGCCTGAACTTACCTCTACTTTACGCAAATGTACAGCAATGACGGATAAGTACCCTATGATCTAGGGCGAATAAAACATATTTTGAAGATCATGATCAAGACTTGCATCAGAATTCCAATATGTTCTTGATGCTAACACATGAGGCCATGAGCATCGTCAACTATCCAGACTGAGTATACTCAAAAGGCAGTCGTAATTGACGCATAGAATAGTCAGTTCCAGCTTTCGCTACTGAATAGAGACATCGATGCTAACGTGGAATCTAGGAATCTCAATTGGACGCCGTCCAGCACCAACACAAGATCTGGGATCTTCGCTACATACACATTTCCGACGATTATTCTTTACTTCATCAACAATTTATTCTCTATATACGCATCTACCGATGGGGACATCCAATTACTACGGCGAAAAGGCCGACAGATCTCATAAATTATTTCAGCGGTTTGCGATTCCAAATTACGAAACAATGGAACACCGAGTTGACCCGCCAAGTATATGGTAAAGGACTATACTCGTGACATCAATCTCGAGGAGTGGGAAATGGCAGTCATGTGTCCGTATCACTACTACTTTCTTATGGTCGTCACTGCTGCTGCATTGATCAAATTCTTATCATCCTTGCCGGGGGCTCCGGGTGTCAGCCCTGTTGATTGGGTTCTGCGAGTCTCAGCTACACAAGTAGAAGAAGGCATTGATGCTGATTTTACTTTGGAAGGTATTGCTCTCGGTATCAGAGTTGGCTATGTACTGCTGCAACGCTCAAGTATGCTATTGACAGGAGGGTTTAAAGTTGTGGCAGACGAGGATTCTGACACAAATCATTTTCTAGCGACCACCAATCTATCTGGAGTGCTTCCAGAAGATTGTAGTTCTGTGGGGAGAAGAAGACTAGTATGATAAACACCTTATGTTTTCGAGTTAGTCACTCACTCATTACCAAGAAGTCGGGAATACTTCTTTATAAACGGATGCAGTACTATGATGGTCAACGCGGCTTTGAAAGCAACTGGTCCAGCTAGAAGCCGAGGAGACTACTGGCGACCGACTCTACTTGAAGATCACTATGGAGCCAAGAAAAGGCATGAAGATATTTGCTGGGATGTTTACCACATGGGGTCTACGTTATGTGAGATTTGAAGGTGGTCGCCAATTCAAGCCAGCACACAGCGTCCGCCTGTGCTTTCTTCCAGTCGACTTTATCGCTTAACCCCCTAACCAATAATCACCCAATCTCAACCCATCGACCATGATGTCATCTTAGACCTATCGCTATCTCAGAGCGCCACAAGGGATCCCGGGTATATTCTACATGGTTGTTATTTACAACCTTATGGACTGTTGACGATTCTAATGGAGGCGTTACTAATTGCTAGTCTGAAGGATAAAGCTCGTCAGGATCTTAATTATAAGTTAGATATAAATAGGTAGATATCCAAAGCTACATGGTTAAGTACCATTAATACTCCTTTAATTTAATAAATTTTATCTGTTATGAAATAGTCATTGGTAACTTCATCACTTCCTCGCAGCATTTTAGGGGTATTAAACAACGCCAAAAGATTTAACAAGCAGCGCAATTATGATCGTTTCAATTTCTAGTTATTACGTATCTAACTATTACATACTTCAATCCTCGTTGAATTATGACAGGTTACCATGACCGTATCGCAGAAAACGATGAGACCTCTTAATTGAAATCCCCTCTCCCCCTTTTTCCCAGACCCGCTTTTTTCAAGATGCCAGAAAATACCTAATCGCCCACCACAGAATGACAACTTACCCATTCTAACTACCTACATACTAATTCCTCATTATAGCTTGTTTCCCTTGTGTCAATTTTCTACAGAAATCATGGACCCGAAGCCCATTCGGGACACTTTCACAGGCTAAAAGGGGCAATGGTGACATCCACAGATTTTGTCTAGACATGATACATGCACCCATGTCTCTAATACTTACCTCGAACGAATCCAAACATATTGATCATTTCTCATTTAAGAATGCCTAAGTAAGCAAAAGGATCTGGGATCAAGAAAAGTGCTTATAATCACAGCTGAGGGGCGATCATGGAGAAAAGGGGGTCACAGCTTAAGATGGTACATCTTACTTCTGTCGTAACCTTTCTTATAGCATAAAAAGATGACGAAGCTGTATTAATCGGTTATGAAGCTCATATACCTTCGAGCCCTGAAATCTGGGCCCTGGTCTATAGAGAACACCTAACATTCTGGGTATTCAGCCGCCAATATTACTGTATAACGCACGTTCTATGCTAAGAACCCCCTCTGCAAGGTGGAAAACGAGATTGTCGTGGAATGGATGGATTTATGACGTGAGAGGCCGCGTAGATGGTCATTCTTGTGGGAAACGTTATTCTACGGCGAGTACACACACCGAAGTAATGTCTGTACTGGGGATGAACATGTCAAACTAGAGCACCAGGCTTAAATCAGAGAATGGCCTCGTTGACAATTCTTGGATATTCTTTAGGTTCACAAGTCTTGGATCACGTCAATCAACAATATTCCAAGTGCGCAGGAAGGAAAGCAATCGTATTAAGCCTCCAGCGATGAGGCAACACGCCAGTAAATCAACTATCGTGTAGTAGTATGTCCTTTGCCAGGTCATTTAGAATGAAAAGCCTAGTCGACTCAAGAACAAGCACAGAAATAACAACCAAGCAATATCCTTCGCCAGGCTATGCAGACTGAAAAGCCTAGTCCCGAGAAAAAGCACAGAATCCTTCCACTGGATTTTCATGAACCTAATACAGCCTCCCATGTAAATGACGCGAACACCTGGTGTCTCCCCAAAAGGCACCGAAAATTCGCAGCCATCCTAGCATCACTAGTCCCTATCCTGATTCTTTTAGAATCTTCTATATCATATGTTAGAAATGGTTGCCTTGGGACTTGAATGAGATAACCTACCTGGATAGATGCTCCTACTCCTTGGCCTTTTGAATGTAGTCCTGAGTCGGTGACTCGTAATGGCTCACGAAATATTCAGTCGTATTTTTAGACAACCAAGAGCAAAACTTCATGAGCTCTTCACGAAGACGGTTAACAGACTGCTGGTCCATATTGGTCTGAGCCACCAGTTCTGGCAAGGACACTGCAAGCAATTAGCTACCGACAATAATCGATTCAAGATAATAATCGCTCACCTATCAGACGCATCAAGTGTTCTGGGCCATAGGTGTCACTAGCTGTCTTTCCCTGGTACTCGGGGTCCTCAGAACCCCACTTCTTAAACACCTCTGCGTACTGGGCGCGTTCGAATCTGATTCAAGTTAGACTCCTTCATTATTGTTGCGAGTAAGACGATATACCTGTATAGCAAGATTCGGCCCAGGGACTTGTCGAAGTACTCCTTTAGTCCTGCAAGCGTTTCCTCGAGTATGTCCACATGGGATGATCCTGCAGGGCGCTTGGGTGTCTCGTACTCGGCGTAGTCCGCTAAGATCTTAGAGACGGGATGGGGGTGGGGAAGCGGCACAAGCTGATTATTCTTGGTAACGTTTTCCCAGTCGTCGACCAGAATCGCTTTCAGGATATCAGGTACCATAAGCTTGATTGTGGGACGCGAGTGAAAATTGTCTTCCTACAAGAAATAGTCAGTACTAAAATCTTCGGAAATAGTAGAAAATAATCCTAAATTTACATAATCCATGACAATTGGAAATGGGTTATATGGCTGATCGGTTGTGACTCCGGCTACCGGCACATCGAAGTCACGAGGCATGCCCTTGTACCACAGGATCTTCTCATAGGTAAGGGTATTATTTCTTCGGGCCTCAAGAATCTTAGGATGCTCAGATACTTTGGGCTCGTAAAGCTCGCCCGTGTATCGAGATGCCGCGTATTTATCAGGGAGCTGTAGCATGGGGTCCTTCGCACTCTGTCTGCGTGCGTAAAGTGCCTCCTTTTTTAAAAAGGCGCTATCGTCGACCTTTTTGTCGATCTTCTTATTGATTTGAGCAGTAAACTTGATGGAGATCTTCGTTTGTGGCGTCTTATTTCCCTTCGGTTTGGAGACACGAGCCGCATGCCATGATTTTGGTGTCGAAAGATCCCGCGTCTTTCTAGATGTGCCCTTTGGGCCTTTTCCCTTAGGGATTGCCTGTTTGGCAATGCGTGGTGCCATGATAACGAATGTAGGATGAATTATGATTGTTCTCGATAAAATTAATCTGTTTGAGGAAATGTGTACAACGAGATGAAAGTCGGTTTAATCAGGTTGAGGAAATTTTTTAGTGTCGAGAAAGATTTGGTTAAGTATTAAAATTCTGCCAGGCAACGAAGTGCATGAGGTTCAGTACGATGGTAGGTGACGACCACCGCCTGCTTGACAACCACAGTATAGTTAACCCGTAACCATCGTCCAGGTGGCAGTACAGGTGGTCAATGTGCCCGATCACCAGGCAGGTTGTCATGCCTGCTGGCATATCGAAACTTTAAATTTTATCGTCTTCTTATCGTGAAGAGTGTTATACAATCTACGAATTGTATTGGTGTTTTATCCCTAGCCCCATATTTAAGGAGGCCATGGTGTAGTTTATGGTTGATTATATTTCTTAACAGCCAGTTTAATGTTATCCGCCGTGATATTATGCGGCAGGATGTCCCAGAAACGGGGTCGACCGAGATGCGTATAGAGGGATGGTTCTCATCATAATGTATCCGGTCGTGTCGTCGAGGGGATATTCCTTATGGTTCCAGTATGTAGTACACCAGCCGGGATATTGACGGCCGGCTGGCAGTACTCAAGGCTTATTCTCCGCAGACCCATACATGTGGCAGTAAGGAAAATAAAAGGAAAATAATTTTACTTACGTTCTCAAGCTCAAAATCTCTGCCTCTTCGGGGACCTCTACCGCCAAAGCTTGAGGAACCGGCAACCCGCTCTTCACTACCTCGAGCAGAGCTCATCTCGGATCCGTTAGCTTTGACACCCTTCTTGCCTCCCTTGGGGCCCTGAGTTCGACTGCGAGCCTGGGATTGGAGTTGACTAGCAAGTTGCTTGTTGTCATCGGTGAACTTGCGGATGCGGTCCTGAGAAACCCAGTCGTCCCAGCTCGCCTTCCAACCTCGGTAATGAATCCGGTACTGTGCATCTTCAGGCTTCTGACCCGGCTTGACGGCAACCTCCATGATCTTTGCCTCATACATCAAGTCACCGTGAAAGCATAGTACCTTCTCATCTTTGGCGTAAGGAGGCGCCTGGTTCTGTCTCGAGGGAGCCATAATTGACTGTCTCATTTTAGTTACTTTACGCTTGATTTTACAAGACGACGATAGGATAATGGATGGTGTAATATTAGCTCACGTTAGAATTATCGCCGGAGATATCGTTCCGTAAATCGTACGAACCCGGCAAATTTAATGAGAAGAGTCAAGCGATAGAACTAAATAGATTATTATGAGTCAATTGTTGCTAAATGCGCTGTTGATGAGGTTTGGTTTGTGTGAGTTGTAGACTTGTAGTATATAAGGTTCACTGAATTGTAGTCATCTTCTAGCTATGTTTCACACGGTCCACACAAACGCCAAAGCTCGGACGCGTTTTCCAACGCGCCTTCCTTACCATAAAGTGATTTTCCCCACTACACACCCCGGTGCGTAGCAATCACTTCAATCTATTATTGCTACAATTCTACCATAAGGAAGGCACACATTTAACGCATTTATTCCAAGCAGTTACGAGCGAGGAGCAGTTTAATACGTCCATACTTCGGATAATTAAGCCATTTGTGATATTTCTTGTTGTCAGTTGCTTGTTTGCCACTTTTATCTGACTTTACAATCTACACCATGGCGACAAACGAAGCCACAATTCTTCGGAACTATCTACTCCTCCCCGCCCGACTGCCCACTATCATCTCCCTACAAGAGTTTACCTCTTTATTTCCGAAATCGCAGCAATCTTCACCACAAATTCGAACCCTGTATAGAGACCTCCAGCAACAACGAAACGTAGTTGTCGACGGCGTGTCGCAGAATATCGAAGCACAGATTAGACAAGGCAAAGCCTTACGCCGAGAGGTGATAAAAGCTCGGAGGGAAGCAGATTTAGAGGAACAAGATGACGAAATCGATATTGAACGAATGGTATATGACCTATCATCTATCACCTACGAGACGGTAATTTCTAATCCATCTTACAGCTGTTCGGGTCTACTTCGAATACGGTCCAGCCCAAACAACATTCACTCCTGACCATTCTACCCGACATGGATGAAGCTATCGCAGACATGGAACGCGAAATACAAACTATAGAGCAGGAAGAAGCGACACTTCTCGAGTCTATTAAACAAGCTGTCGGTAATATGAGCGATCTCCGATACGGTCGATTTGCCAACCCCAAACTGAAGGACGAGGTTCTCGATGGCCTCCAACGACTCCAAGACACATGCGAGCGCAAGACGTGATCGACGACGCCAAATCAGTTCAGTTCATTAGATCACTATATGACTACGTGGCCGCATCCAATTATCTAAAACATTACAGAAAGGAGCTTTTCAAATAGCACCAAGATTCCGATAAGTCGTCATACATATTCCTTATATGACCTAGAAATACCGTAAACAACATTGTCATCCGTTCACCTCCGTCTATCATCGAGGAGCAGCTTGGCCAGCGGCGGCGGGTCGTCGGCCACCATCCGCTTGCTGATTGAGGCGGTTGGACCTAACTCCGTCAGTAACTTCTTCATAGTTGGTTTTTGGCTATTATAACCTACATCATTGTCCTGCTGAACATGGAAACGAGGACCATGAACGCCCAGCTTGGGAGAAGGTTGAAAGCCCAAATAATCCACCCGACAGGAGTTGCAAGGCCGTTCTTAGCAAGAGGGCCATTGAAGGGATGGAAAAATCCATCGTGCAGCTTAGCAGAGGTCTTAAAACCCTCGTCCCGCATTGTGGAGATGTCGTCGGAAGTGACGGTTGTCATGTTAAATCGCCTCGTCCAGATGTCGACAGGAGCCGGTTCGGGAAGGACTTCGAAGACCCAGAGTGCGCCGACCGGGGCAGACCAAGCGTTGCAGAGAACAGGTTGGTCCTCGCAATTAAGGAGGGCAGTATGCGGAGAACCGGGTGTGACAGCCCATTTTCCGGCGGTCTCGTTGAATGCAGTCTCGATCTTGCCACAGTGGCCTAGTTGAGGTTAGGAATCATTCACAAATATTGAATCAAATTCGCGCGGTGTAGCCTTACCAAAGCAAGTCTTATTACCACCAGTGATCAAGACCCACCATTCCTCGGGAGTCGTGCTCTCAGGCTTTACAGGGCCGTAGAGAGTTTCCTTCCAGTTGCCTAGGGTCAAGATGTCAAGATTCAAGGCACCAGCCTTAGCTTCAGCGGCAGCGACGGGATCATGTTTGTTAGGGTTGGGGAGCTTGGAAGCGACATTGCCTAGAAAGACTTGTGCTTGGCCCAGGTAGTTCTCGAACTGAGCTTGGTATTCAGGGACGTCTGCTGCTGCTGCCAGCAGTGGCAAGGTGGCAATTGCTGAAGCTTTAGAGAAACGCATTTTGGTATTAATTTGTGTGTGAAATGTGGAATTCGTAGAACAGCTCAGGCCTCTGGGTGGATATATTTTAGAGATCAAGCCACAGAAATGGAAAAGATGATGTAATTTGTCCCCAACGAATTAAAATAGTTGAAAATACCGACAATTATTGAAGGATTATGATGATGCAGAAGCTGAAAGCGGCGATGAACAGCTGTCTTGAACTTGCAAAGGAACAATAAAATCTACTAAACCAAAGCTAAAGTTGAAGGGAAGAAAAAAAGAGATGAGCTTCTAGGACGCGCTTCGGTCTATTCCATCAGCTACTTCCCCAGAACGGGATGAGATGAGATGACTATCCCTTCCCTGTCATTGCTTGCCAAGCTTCCCTATCTCCACCTATAATGGTGCATTATTTTGTTGACCATCGAACCTTGTTAGAACCTTGCTCATGCTTGCTGAGGTGTGTCGTGGCTTTACCGTTTCTAGCCAGCTGCCCCGCTTCATATGTGGCACAGATCGTGATTTCGGAGATCCGTCAGCCACAGCTTTGGCGCCCTGATATGATAAGATAAGCCGTAAACGCCGATAAGACCGTCATTAATGAAATACGTACCCAAATGTAGATCAACATGCTGTCATATTCATGATTTCTTGCAGTGCATCAGTGAGAATTAGATTCTAACGGGATGGTTCGTTCGTCTCCATTTTCTATCTATCCGCTTTTAGCTAACTATTATAGGCACCCGAAACTGCAAACCAGAAGCGCAAAAGAGGCCGTCCGACGAACGCGTCGCGCAATGACGAAGACGCGTCGGGAACACAACTATCTCTCACAGGACAAGGACAACTAGCCACGACTTCCGAGAACGCCAGAGAATCCGAAATGGACGATCCTTCACGGCCAAAAAAGCGCGGTCGCCGAGCCAACACCGAACTCCCCTCTCAAGCCCAGTCCGAAGCCGAAGCCTCACGACCAGAAAAGGCCAAGAGAAAACGTGGCCCATCACCGGCGGCACCACCAGATGACAATGGAGAAGGTGTGGGAGACGAGGAACCTGAAGTCCCGAACCCGGAGCGTAGAAAGCGTGGTCGTCCCCGAGTCTCGAATGAAGGGGTCGAAGAGGCTCCTCAATCAAATACCACAAGCAATAACGCACTTCCAAAGAAACGCGGTCGACCCAAAGCAACCGAGGCAGAAAAAGAAGCCGAACCAGAAGCTGATGAGGCTGACGACGAAAATGAGGGCAACTCCAGCCTTCTTCGGCGTAGTGGTCGAATTCGTCGATCTCCCGTCTCATTGAATAAAGGGGCGCAAGCAGCAGCTGGTGAACAGCCGTCAAAAGGCCAGAAACCAAAGAAGAGAGGACGGCCTTCATTGACCATCACTCAACCTGCTGCCGAAGAAACAGAACAAGATCCCGTCCCTCAGCCCAAAAAGAAGCGAGGCCGTCCCTCGTTGAATAACCAACCAACAGAGGACGCCGAAGAAGCTTCCACATCTCAGAAACAACCTAAAAAAGGCACTCGTCCCCGCTCATCCGGCGATGGTGCTTCAGCACCTACAAAGGGAAAGCGAAAGAAGTCCATAGACCAGCCATCCCAAGAACAACCCGATTCCAACCAAGAAGACTCGCAACTCACACAAAACCGCGCACATCGACGCTCCTCAGACACCCAACAACGTACTTCCTCCCCGAACTCCGACTCCGAAACTTCTCCCCCAAAGTACCGACATCTAACAACCCGCACCCGCCGCGTGCCTCGCAACATAATCGAATCCAAGTGGGCCCCCCTCGAAGCCCCCGCCGTCACCAGCGTTACCAACCTCCTGCAAAGCGCCTCCCGCCCCGTCCTCCTCCGCTTGACCAACGCACAGAAACACGCACACGCGCAATCAGCCTTAAACGCCGTCACGAACCGACTCCGCTCTAAAATAAGCCGTGGCCTGCCCTTCCCTCCTGCCACGACGACCACACGGCGCGAGGAGGAGTTCGAGTTCGAGCGCACGATCTCAGGGATCCAGGGTTTAGAATCCGCGCTTGATCCGCTGTTGCATAGTGTGGAGTTACTACGGAGGGAAAAAGAACGCGCGCAGAGAGAGCTGGACGGCGAGTATAAGGTACTACGCCGTTTAGGCGCGAATGCGCGGGCGGAGGCTAGGGAAAGGAAGGAGAGGGAGAGGAAGATGCATGTTCTTGTGCCCGAAGGGGCGGGCGGGGATAAGGAGAACAACGGGGAGGTGATGAGTATGGGGATGGGGATGGGGATGGGTAAGGGTGGAGAGGAGAAGGGGAAAGTGTTTGTGGGCTTGGAGGGCGAAGATATGCTAGGTTTGGCGGGCCAGATCGCGAGTCATATGGAGAGTTTGAGGGGAAATTTGCAGCAGGTTGAGGGCGTGGCGCCTGCGATTCAGAGGAGTGAGGGGTTGTTGAGAGCGGCGCTGCTGGGGAGGTTGGATAAGGAGCAGTTGGAGAGTGTTATACTTGGGTAATAGACTTGGAGATGGTGGGCTCATCAGCTACAGAGTAAGGGCAAGATGCACTCTTGGCTGTATCATGAATATAATGAATTATGATACCCGGACTCGACTTTCGTGTGGTTTCGGGTCAGGTTGAGAAACACCCCTTCTTGAAGCGACATTTTCTGGGATTAAAGAGATAGTTGTAAGTGTCAACACACCCGTTTCCTTTGATACGACAACAATCACTAACTACAATGCTTTATACAATATTCAATATTCTTTATCTCGCAAGAAAGGGGGATAGGCTAGCCCGCAACCCTTTGACAAGTTGGAACAATGCCATTCGCATAGGCCTGTAGATGCATATAGTGCTACGATCCTGCATCAAGGGTATTGTTGCGAAGTTTCGTGGTTATGGAATTATAAATATAGAAGGTATTCGTCGTATCTAACCCTCAATTCTTCTTCTGCACCAAGCTTCAAGCTTTCTATTCTCAACTCATTATCTATCGGGATCTTCCTAGATTTTCTAACACATCAACACCACGTTAACCATAAGCTTCTAATTATCAGGAGCTTCGGTATTAGCAAAAATTTTTATCTATTTACAATAGTGAAAAAAATCGCCATCGCAATGGAGACCGGTAGGCTTCATCCAACGGTTCGAGACAATATCCAGTGGGCTGGAAACGGGATCTTGACTTACTCTGATCCAGATTTCCCATACACTGACTTACAACCAATAAGGATCAGTAATACTCGGGCAACATACTCTGTTGGCCAAGATGAGCGTTCGCTAGAGAACCCTCGTGGGTACCGTACCGCGCCGATACCTCAATCTTGTCAAGTCCAGTATCCATACGGACCAAGAGAGGTGCTCGCGGCTCTGGTGAAGGAGATGTCCAGCTCTTCAGACTCTTCGGACTCTCCTGACTCCCCCGGTTCCCTAGATTCGCCCAGCTCCCCAGACTCACCAAGCTCTTCGCAGGGTGAGAGCCCTAGGCATAGCTCAGAGTTTGAGGACCGCGATATGCCCTTACACGTTCGCCCCCTTGTCCGCCGTCGAGTGACGACAGACCACGACAGATCACCCGAACCAGAGCGCCAACGGCATCGAGAACGGGTCGCTGGTTCCGAGCGCAGGCACCCACGCCATCGTAGTGTCACCCCACCACGAACAAGGCGGGAGCCGCGGTCCGAGAGGGGTTTCCAGGGACCAACAGCTCGGCGGATTCAAGACTTTGCCAGAAATCCGCAGCTATATCCTCCCCACCCCAGGGCTCGCGAAGAACATGGTGATCGCCGGCGCCGAAGATCCGAGGCTCAAGTGAGGCCGGACATCACGCTTGACTCCTTGTGGGGAGAGGTTGAGCAAATGTGCTTGGAGTCGGAGCCGTCGTCACCGGAAACTGCACGTCCTCCTGTGACCCAAAGACCTGCTGCGCCTCAGCGTCGATCTGCTCGGCCGGAGCACCCGAGACGAACAGCCACTCATGCTGGCTCTTCGTCGGGACGGTCACACCGGAGACGGGATGAGCACGAGCGGGAGCGGGACAGTGGGAGACTGGAAACTCAAGTGGGACAAGGTGTCATTATCGACGCGCCAAACGCAAGGCGTGATCGAACCCGCCGAGAAGCAGAGCTAGCATCTGCTGAAATCCCACGTGATCCTGCGCCCCCGGTAATCACCACACCCTCCCGCCGCACAGCTCGGCCGCAGGCGTCAAGACGGGCGACGACTCCAGTGAGTTCGTCCGGCACCTTCGTCACGGTGAGGCATCCACCCCGGCCCCCTCAAAGTCTCGCGGAACATCTACGTGCGATAGACGAGATGTCAGGGATGCCATCCAAGCTGAAAAAGGATGGCGATGAGGGTTCGATGGTCGTGCAGATCCACCAGGATTCGTGCCATCGTCGGGGTCGGCGGCATCATCATCGTGATGAGCGGGATGGCAAGCCGGCTGAGCCGAAGAAGTCTAGGACTTCGCGGCTGGGTTTCTTGAGTCACTTGGTAAGGAACACATAGGTAGGTCCGGCTCTGTTCATGTGATGGTTTGATGGTCTTGGTCTTGGTCTTGGTTTATGGGTTATGGTTGATGTTTTAATGGTTCATGATTAGGTATTTATGACCTCTGGTAGGTATAGAAAAAAGTCTTGCATGGTTGGCAGCATAGGGTTGGGATAACGGAAAGGAAATAATAATGATAAGACTGGTTTTTTATATATACCTACCTAGGTAGGTACTTGATAAAAATTTTAATTATGAGAATTAAAATCAGATGAACTCCAAGTGATTGAAGCCAAGTTATGGAGTAATGGGAAATTTTTCTTTTGGAAGACCATCTTTTTATACTCATACCCGTGAAAGAAACTTGACTAAACATCTAGCTTCACGATGAGACAGTCGGAAATTTGGTCTTACTTGTATCTAGTAGCACTAAGTCATAAATCACAAGTCACACTCAATCTCAAAATCAACATCAAGGCCACAGAAGTGTAAGCACCAAAATCTCCATTCAAATAGCCATCTAAATACACGACTCTACCAAACACATACATTCAGAATCGAACGAGAGCCTCAACACCCAGACGGCCCAAAATTGGCCAACCCGAAGCATATCCGCCCTCTCGACCCCTCCCCGGCTACCAGACCAGGGAAGGGGGGTATATCGAAGAATCAACCGCATTGGAATCTTTCGCACATACATGTCCAAACTTCCAAACATCTAAAAAGAAATGTTCAAGAAGCTTCGCTTGTAACATATGTCCAAAGAATCCGTCGCCATCCCCAAGATTGATCCTAAAAACCAACTGTGCTTGTTTTGCCCACCAAGATCTTCATCCCGTATTCTCGCCTTTTATCTCCAAACTAAAAAAAGAGATGGTGATGATCGTGCAGTCGTCCCTCGTTCATGCTATACTACAGTTTTCGCATTTTCGAATTCGGGGTAATCCATAGTTTTTACAAAACGTTCGCTAACTATTCTCTTCTCTCCTCCCCACTTGCGATTGATTTCATTGTGGGAGTCGATTGATTTAGTGACGTAGGATGACGGTAGGGATGGCGGCGCCGCTGGGGTGAGCAGGCGCGGTGCCGTTGTTGACGGGGTAGGGGACGAGGGTAGCAGTGGCAGTGGCGGTGACCACGCCGCTGGAGCTCTCCTCAGGGGGGCAGTCATCTTCCTCATCGCTGCCGCTGGAGGTTCCAGTGGTAGCAGTGGCAGCAGCAGAGGTGGTAGCTGAGGCAGCAGCAGATGTGACAGCCTTAGCGCCGGTGGCCTGAGCAGCGGCAGGAGCGGTGACGTAGACGGTGGAAGCGGCCACAGTCTTGGTCTCAGTGACGGTGACAGTGTTGGCAACGCACTCGCCAGAGTTAGATCCGGAGCCGGTGTTAGAGCCAGTGTTGCTGCCGGTGGCCTGGGCGTTAACGCCGGAGGAGGTGCCCGCGGAAGCAACAGTCACGGTGCGGGTGCCGGTGGAAGTCTTAGTGGTGGTAGTGGTGCCCTCCTCGCTGGTAGTGCCGGAGCCAGAGCCAGAGCCGGGGGTGGGGACGGCAGTGACAGTGACGAGGTGGGTCTGGGTAGACTTGATGGTGGTGACGAGAACAGATCGGGAGCTCTCGGGGCCAAGGGTCATGGTGACGGTCTGGTCGACGGTACCAACGGAGGTAGAGTAAGAGACACCGGCACCTACAGCCGGGGTAGTGCCCTTGGGCGAAGAGCTGCTAGTGGAGGTAGGGGTGGCGACGACGGTGCGAGTGGTACCGGTGATGAGACCGCTGCTGTGAGCACCGACGATGGAGCTGGAGACGGAGCCAACAGCAGTAACAGGGCAAACAGTGGTCGTCAGGTCGATAACCTCAGTGACGACGGCAGGGCCGGTGCTGTTGCCGGAGTTGGCCGGGCAGTTGGTGATGGTAGGCGCGCATGAGGTGATAGTGTGGACGGTGGTGACGGCGACGGTTAGGGTGGTTGAGGCCGCGGCAGTGTCATTTCGTCGCCAGTGAGGGTTGTGGAAGTGACGGGGGTGGTGGTTGTAGGAAGCCGAGGCGATGCCGGCGAACAGGCCGAATGCGACAGTTGCGGACTTCATTTTAAATACGGGTTCGTAATTTAAACTTGTTTAGGTAATTCTTGGGACAAATGATCTGAGATTTCTCGAAGATTTCTTCTTTTCGTTTGCTTGAGTACCTCGATGCGATATTGTTGCTCTAATTCAAGGTAGTCTAATCTCGTGAGAGTATATTTACTTCGTTGCTGTCGAAAGAGTGGACGTATGCAATATGCAATGCGGGATTTCAATGAGCGAAAGTCGATTTCGCGAATGCTAAGCAGACACAGTTGCCGTTGGAAAGAATGTTATGGAAAGCTGCTGGCTAAGCAGAAATGGACTGGGATGACCGACAACGTCGAAGCGAAAAAGAGAGACTGTTGAGATAGACTCGAAAGAGAGAGGCACGCTGGATGGTGAAGAAGGGAAGGGAGAAAAAAGAGAGACATCATGAGCCGATGGAGGGTGGTGAGCCTTTTTACAGGAACGAGCTCCTTGCCTTGGGCTCCTTGGCGACAGGGCGAATTAACCTACCAAGACCTACCTGGGATACCTGGGAGCCCTGTAAGAGAGAGACTCTTCATTGTTCAAACGCCTACCCTAGCCCATCATGTTGTTGATGACAGTAACCTACTACGCTTATTGGGGAGGACTGGATGCGACCCACTGACGATGATAGGCAGTAAGATGACCGGATTGATCTTACCGGGGTGTATCTGGTAAAAGTCGACCAGGGCCGGTGATGAGTTGAAAGAGAAGGACACAAAGAACACGAAGCGAGCTGTTAGCATGACCGACGATGCCCCTGAGCCCCACGCAACCATTACAGAAGACCCCTGTCGGTCAAGATGCAGGTACAATATCGTGAAACCGCCAAACAGCCAATGGAAATGCGGGAATCGAGGGAGAGCTGAGTCTTCGGACCAACGATACCTAAAGCGCGCACAGCTCGTGCAACGAAAAACGTGTACTGACACGATGCATATTTTCTCAACAGTTACCATACCTAGGCGCATGAATTCTCCAGGTATTTTCTTCGTCTGATCGTGAAAATAAGGTAAAGATAATCGACACATGGTTGATAGACATGACGAAGCATTGATAGACATTGGATGATCGGCGGATTTCTTCGATTAGGTTGATGATCTGCGATGCAAGCGCCGTGCTTGTGCTCTGAAGCCGCTGAAAAAAAACAGCAAGCCACCATCGTGGATGGCTTGCATCTACCAATATAAAATAGATGTGGTAGCAAACGCCCATTTCCCTTGCCTTGAAGAATTGACAAGTGCCTACATCTGTCAGCTGTATTCAGCCGAAGCCAGCGGCAAATCCGTAAAGGATGCGGCATCTCATTTGGAAATGCGCAGCACAGTCAGCGGCCTAATACATAGTACTTCGTACCCAATTCCCAAATGGCTTCGTTAGAATTTCGAAGGATGTAGGGAGCCGTGACCTTAAGATTCTAGAATTCGGTTCCGCGATGCGGTACACGGTACACAGATCCTTCAAGCATTCTCAATTATCGCAATTATCGTATCCACTCATCATCGCGAATGAATGCTGTGGATGATCGGTGGAACAGCGCACGAATTAAAGAAGCTGTATCCTTCTCCTCGTGGCTGCGAGGCTGCGTGGGTACATTAGATCTCCGCGTCGCATCTTGATTCCTCCTAGGTAGTGAAGACCCAACATGCCCCTCAAAACTGATGAAAGACCACAGTCTCGGGATGATGGTGAGGATGCTATGCAGGGATGGAACATGACTATGACGCGCTCCAAGAGCATTCCACACTTCCGTCGCCTCCGTCGCATGAAGGGCGGCTCATGAAATCGCATTTAATATCGTGATGAATCAAGGGATGGGGGATGGTTCCCCTCTACCCCTATGCCCCTATGCGATGGTCGTTTGGCTTCTGGACCCAGCGTGCAGTGATCGAAAATCTCAAACACAGCTTATGGGCCATGGCGTGCGGTGCCTCTCCTTGCAATAGGTATGTAATCTTCCACAGCGGCAAGGTACATTCAATACAAGTACGGCTCAAGGTGGTAGAATGTTCCACAATCCTTGCCACGTTTTTGTGTTCTGTAGTTTGTTTCTTGAATTCTGCATGTTTATTATTTATTTCGTGATATAGTCGCACAAATATGTATAATTAATTACTGAAGAAAGAAGGTCAAGAAAAGGTCATGTTGTGAAATCTCAAGGTCTCGCTACAAGTTGTGGAAGTAAAATGTGTAAATGTGTAAGTGTGTAAGTGCCCAGGTGCGAATAAACCCAACTGTTGGTCAGCTCCAGGCTGTATGTGGTTGGCCTCAATACAGAATACAGCGAACAAGATGTACCTACACAGCCCAATACAACCTAGAAACCCCCTAGAAGCGTATCAATTGATCGGTCATGGCCTCCTAAATTTTATCTTTCTTTCAATGCAGGTACATAACACTCACCAGGCAACCAAGTACAATGATGTAGTATCAAGATGAATTAAACCCCCATCCCGCCTACCCGCAAGCTGAATCTAGCGAGAAAAGCGGGAGCAAGGATATGGTCGCTTCGCGAAATCAAGAAATTCGGGGAAATCAAAAGAAAGAACCGTCTTGGTGGGAACTACCCAGCAAGCTTAGTACCTAGCTTATTACTAAGGGGCACCGAACACTGAGAAAGGGGGGAGAGACGGGAGAAATCCTGTTTCAACTAGCAAAGTATCTACACTCTGATTCGCCACATTCGGCCGTCAAGCCCGTTCCCACAACGGGACAACCGCTGTAAATTCGCAAAGTGCTGCGAATAACCCTGTCGGTATAGTACATTCTTTTAAGACCTCAGACACCTTTTATTTCATCATGGTCTCTCCTTGAAAAGTCCCAGCAATAAAAAACGCCGCCAAGAATTACATATCTCTACGTCGTGCATCAGATGGCATGATGCATTGATTGAACAATGTGGCTTTGCGTGTGAGGCTTTTACTGATACCAATCTAGCGATCCTACGAGATGCTTCATGAAGTTGAGGCTATCGACTTCCGGGATAAGATCGCCTCCGAGTGGAATAGCCTACTCCGAACCCGTACTCATTCGGGAACTCATTTCACAATCCTACGATCGGCACACGGCACACGGTAAACAAGATGTTACTTTCGGAAGATTCAATTTCTCTTCCTAGATCATCGCCCAGTTGAATTGGACACTTTGCTCATACATCTAATACATATGATCGCAAATACGATCCCCTTCAGCTAAAGAGGGCATCAAATGCCAATAACGCCTACTCCCCAAGTCCGGTTGATGGACTGTTGGTATATTTCTTTCCCACCCGTTAAATGCTTGATGTTGAATGCTACCGTTTCCCGCCAGTCTTTCCTGTAGAACTTTTTTGGTATAGATCCCCTTTGAGAACCCTGCCAGTAAAACGCCGATGTTGAAATCGATTATGCAGTTCCCATGAAAATTTGGCAGCTAACTCCCCACAACCTCATGCAATTATCATCAGTTTTCCTAAAATTGAAACACTGGTCTCGTTAAATAGAGAGAGCCGTTTATTTGGCATACTTAGTACGGAAGTACTTGGCTGCGTTGACCATGTTGACCAACGCCGCCTTAGTCTCCTTCCATTGACGGGTCTTAAGACCGCAGTCGGGGTTGATCCAGAGCTGCTCAGGCTTGAGGTACTGGAGCATCTCCTCGATGCGGTCCTTGATCTCCTGCTCGCTGGGCACACGCGGCGAGTGGATGTCGTAGACACCGGGGCCGATGTGGCGAGGGTAAGCCTCCTCGACAAAGACACCTAGAAGCTTGGAGTCGGACTTGCTGTTCTCGATGGACAGAACGTCAGCATCGAGAGCGGCGATGGCGTGGAAGAAGTCCTGGAACTCAGAGTAGCAGAAGTGCGAGTGGATCTGAGTGGAATCTTCAACGCCGACGGTTGAGAGCCTGAAGGCCTTGACGGCCCAGTCAAGGTAAGCCTCACGCTCCTTGCCAGCACGGAGGGGAAGACCCTCACGGAGAGCAGGCTCGTCAACCTGGATAACGTCAATGCCAGCCTTCTCAAGGTCAACGACCTCGTCACGGAGAGCCAAAGCAAGTTGCTCGGCCTGGACGGACTGGTGGACATCATCACGAGGGAAAGACCATCGGAGGCAAGTAACCGGGCCAGTCAACATACCCTTCATGGGCTTCTTGGAGACGGAGACGGCGTACTTGGACTCCTTGACGGTCATGGGAGCCGGACGAGAGATATCGCCGACAATGATAGGAGGTCGCACGCAACGGGAGCCGTAGCTCTGAACCCAAGCGTGTGTGGTGAAGGCATAGCCATCCAGACGCTCACCGAAGTACTGAACCATGTCGTTTCGCTCAGGCTCACCGTGGACGAGGACATCGAGTTCGAGCTCATCCTGGATCTTGACGTTCATGTCAATCTCTTGCTCGATGAACTTGTCATACTGAGCCTCAGTGATCTCTGACTTGGTGAACTTGTTTCGTTGCACTCGGATCTCCTTGGTCTGGGGGAAAGAACCGATGGTGGTGGTAGGGAAAAGAGGAAGGTTGAGTTTCTTCTGCTGCTGGGAGATTCTGGAGGGGAACTCAGACTTGCGGTTGTAGTCCGAGGGAACAATCTTGGATTGTCTCTCCTTAACCTGGGGGTTGTTGGTTCGCTTAGAGATAGCACGAGCATTCTGAGACTTGGCGTTAGCCTCCAGGGCCTCACGGACGGAGGCAGGGCCCTCGGTGACGGCCTTGGCAATGACGGCAATCTCGACAGCCTTCTCGGAGGCGAACGAGAACCAGTCAGCAATCTCAGGGTCCAGCTTCTTCTCGCTGGCAAGAGTGTGGGGGGTGTGGAGGAGGGAGCTGGAAGTGGCGACGATGACACGGTCCTTGCCAAGCTTCTGGATAGCAGTCTCAGCGACCTCGATGGCGCGCTTGAAGTTCGTCTTCCAGATGTTTCGGCCGTCAACAACACCGACGGAGAGGGTAGTCTTAGGGCCGAGAGCACCCAAGACGGTCTCTAGCTGCTCGGGGTTGCGGACAAGGTCGATGTGGAGGGCGTAGATGTCCTTGGGGAGGAGATCAAGGTTGTGAACGATGTCACCGAAGTAAGTGGTGAAGACCAAGTTAGGAATCTTGCCAGCCAAGCTAGCGAACTTCTCGTAGGCAGGCTTGAAAGCAGCCTTGGTCTTGGCGGGAAGGTCGAAGACGAGGACAGGCTCGTCAATCTGGACAGTCTCGGCACCAGCTTCCTTCAGCTTGACGAGGAGCTCCTCGTAGACGGGTAGAAGCTTCTCAAGGAGGTCGATGGGAACGACGCTCTGGCCACGGTCGGCCTTACCAAGGTGAAGGAAAGAGACAGGACCTAGCAGAACAGGTCGGGTGTTGATGCCGGCCTCCTTGGCCTCCTTGTACTCAACGACAGCCTTAGGGCTAGCGGTGAGCTTGAAGGTCTGGTTGTCCTGGAGGGTAGGCTTGACGTAGTGGTAGTTAGAGTCAAACCATTTCACCATCTCCAAACTAGGGACATCGACACCGCCCTTTTGGTGGCCACGACCCATAGCGAAGTATTCATCGACACGGTCGAGGTTGGCACTGGAGTATCGCTCAGGGACAGCCTATAAGATTGAACATTAGTATATTGATAAATGAAGATGACGTGAGATATTTATCAACTTACACCGAAGTCCTGGATGTGAGAGAGGACTTGGTCGTAGAGAGCGAAGTCGTTGCTGGGGATGATGTCGACACCGGCATCCTTCTGGATCTTCCAGTGGGCAAGACGGAGACGCTTAGCCTCAGCAAGGAGGTCAGCCTGGGAGATGTTGCCAGCCCAGTCTAGATTATGAAGTTAGCCATCTAAATCTGACTGTCATAGTACGGATTGATCGGATCATTTTCCGGAAAAGCCGGGAGAAAACGTACAAGCTTCAGTAGCCTTCTTCAGGTCACGGTTCACACCCATACGGGGGAAACCCAGAATTGCAGATTGAACCATCTTGGTAGTGATTCGAGATATCTGGGGGAAGGAGGAAAGAGGTTTTCTGTGATGAAGTTGTTAGCTTGATAAGATTTTTTTTCGGTGGGGGAGACTTGATCAAGGATGGCGGGGTAAAGATTTACTTGGTGTTGGGGTCAGGTTCTAAGTCAAACTTACAAGAAATTCAGAGTGTGACTTCCAACTCTCTCTTCTAACTATTTAGAAGAGTTAGACCAATTGATGCGTAGCAACAACGGTCAAGAGAAAGAATAAGAAATTTGTTTAGGTAAGAAAGAAGAGATGAAGAGAGGAGGGAAGGGGGGATGGTTGAAGTATAAGTAAAAGTAAAAGTAAGCGGTGAAGGAGGGGTTCTTATGGGGAGCTCAAGTGGAACCTGGAACTGAGTAAACTGTCTATGAGGGGTTAACAATTTTTTTCAGATTGTTCGTGCTCGAGCTAAACCAACGGGAACCAACAGAACTTGACAAGAGGATCCCACTGATCGATCCATTGGCCGCTGAATGCATTCAGGGTCCGAAAGCGGGGAGGAAAATACTCCTTCCCTTCCTCTTAGTCGTCAGATTGTTTGGCTGAGGCTGGCGGTGGTCCTTGCTTTTTACTGTGCGAATCTGACTTTAGAGAATGAGTGATAGATAAGGTTGTTAATACATCAAGTACTGCTCATGTGTCGTTGTTACGGTTATTGTATATTCAGGTACCATCAAACTACGAAAATGGCTATTTTACTATTCTCTAGCGCCTGGAGTTCTTCTGGAACATGTGGAATTTAGAACTATCCATTGGTCGATTATTGGTCGCACCAGCCACTTTCAGAGTTCGAGTACCGATGTAAGAAACTTAATTCGGGTTCCGATAGCAAATCGGTCAATGGCACCCGCGAAAAGTGATTCGCCGAGTCGTACAGCATTTCCATCTTTGTTTCTCCGGTCCACATCACTTCGCTCCGAACATTATGTAAGATACACATAGGATGTATATTTCTGGGCATCAAAGAACGTCGAGTTGTAACAGTTTATTACCCCTTGCCTGCATGTAACCTCAATCAATTCTACCGTGACCGAGCCCATACTGCTGGATGCAAATCCATGCGAGCCTCTTATCGCCCCGTTACATTCCTTCACATTAGAGTAGCATCTTTAACACTTAGCTCGCAGACTACTCCCGGACTAATTACTAAGGCGATCCCCTAGACCACAGCCGCATTGATTCGTACCTACATGTATCTGCCCATAATGAGTCTAGATGGCTGGCTACATAAGTGGGTTTTGGCGTTTATTAAACCCCAATGTCGACCATTCTGTTTCGCCGGTTTCCCGTCTATCGTATATCTTGGTTTATATCAATTCTCAACGACACTTTCATCATCGGGTTCTTCAATGCTTTCGCTGATTTTTGAATGTCAATTTAAATGTTCAGTTATATAAGTAAACACATAAACTCTTCTATTTATGTTTATCATATGTCTTATATCTCAGGGCTGTACCTGGTAGTCAGTGACTGCCCGTAACATGATGTAAAAAAATAGGAAGATAGAAGCACGCCTACCTGCCTATCCTTCATTATCAACCACCTACCTCCTACTTAATATTGCCTTCGTTCAATGATAGCTGCTGAAAGAAATTAGTATCTGATACCATCTATAACAATAACCCTCATCAATTAATTTTTCATCTCGTAAGTCATTCAACCGTGTTTGAAAGAACCTCACTCTCTGTCTTGTAACAACCTACTAGTGATAATAAACAGTTGAAAAGACCAGCGGATGTACCTGACCAAACTTTATGGACAATAATAAAATAAAAATAAATTGATCTACACAAGACAAACGTATATAACGGCAAAGAAACTGGGGAGTAACGAAAAGGGAAGACTGAGAAAAAAACAAGGTCCCAGATTGAACTGGGAGCCATGGGAATTGAGCCCACGGCGGGGGTCGAACCCGCAGCCTTGAGATTAAGAGTCTCACGCTCTACCGATTGAGCTACGCAGGCTACCAATGCTGTAAACTGCTCGCTGGTTGATGCTTGTTACCATTGGAATTGAATTATATATTCCATAAGTTGAGAAGGGTGCTTTGTTAGGGCTAAGTTGTGCTTGTGGCCCGCGTCCTAATTCAATGGGTCACTAGTAAAGTGACTGTGCTCTGAAAAGTTTTTTTGGTCGCGATTTTAATAGCCACTTGAACTAAACTTCGTGGACTAGTAATAGTTAGTCTTCGGTTGATATTTTCTTACTTAGATGACTAACAGCTCTAGAGAAAGAGGTCGTGTCAAATAAATGATACGAGTCTTGAAATATCACTTAAGTGTGTTAATGATAATCGTAGTTACAAAGCCATCTTAGTATCGTGATGTTGTCTTTGATGCGAGTTAAGTCTGTTTCTAGATTTACTAGGTACTAAATAGGGGTAACACGCACATAGAGAAGTTGCATACCTACTAGGTACCTAGTAGTAACATTGACCAAGTCTATATCCAAATGCTATTGCCAACTTTTATGTAGGTACCTAATCATTAGATAAAATTGGAAGTAGCTAAGTGAGTAGGTAGGTACATACTACTAGGTACTGTAGGTATGGATTTTAAGATGTTAAGGTCGCAGTTGTATCACATAGTGGCTGCACTTGGAAACTGTCAAGGAATTGTTGAGAGCAACTACGAGGTAGTAACTTCTTCTATATTTCAATATGTTATTAGAAAAAGCAAGACATTTCACCTGCGACTCTTCACAACCAAGAACTTGGTCATCTAAAGTTATATGGTCTGACATCAAATGTATCGAACCGTTCTTCTGTCAACCCCTTTATTCAACCCCAGCTGGAGAGCTGCGGAGTCTTTCTTGGAAATCAACGACAGCTATTAATCAAAATCCCATCTCAATCCTCATTCAGTTCCAATTCGAAAGCTTCTAGAATGTCCTTTTTCTGCTGCTGTCGTGGTCGGCGAACTACGACAGATTACCGAGAACCAGACCGGGAAATCCAAGAGATACTCGACTTTCCAATCCACCCACCTCGTGCGAGGCTATCCAAGTCACTGTTTCCCGCACCCGAGCTTGATCTTTCATCACCACACATCGCAGTAACAAAGGCCCCATCTCTACTACATAGTTCGATACCGGAGGTTACAGTTGATCCTACTATCCTCGAAGTCGATGATTCCGACGATGATGAACCTGTGCGAAGCATTAGAAACTCCAGCACCGGCACACTAGAGGCTATCAAAACCAGGTTTATTAGACCGCTATCTCAAAAATCAGAATCCAAGAGACACTCGCAGCAATATCTCGGTGCGAGTGAAGAGGAGATCGCGCGGCGTGCGGAGTTGAAGCGTCTGATGCACAAGAGGATTCAAGAAGAGTTAAAAAGTGAAGAACAAGAAGAAGCAGACTCTAAGGCGACCAACCCCGATGAATCGAAACCTGGAAGTTCCGCTAATGTTGGATTACTTGGTGGTGGACCTCGAGATAACATAGAATTTTCCTTCTCGGACGTGAACGAAATCAATTCCAAAGATTCGGCGCTTGAGTCGGCGGATGCTGTACCCCTTGAGCTCCCAGAGAGCAAATCACAGCCACAGATTTTCCTTCGAAGGAGTAGTTACCCGGGATCACCAAGTCGATCCCATGATAGTTTCGTCCCTAGAAGTCATGGAAACCTAAAAGAGCAGGGTTCTTTGCCTCAATTCCCTTCTTCACCTCAATTAGCCCCTGTCCATTTACCAAGTGCTCGAGGCTCAGAGTCGCTCTGTTCTTGGCGACTTTCTTACAGTGCCGAACAGCTCGCAAACTACCTTGGCCCCCCTGAAGATCCAAGGCCTGATGAAGAGTCCGAACCTGCTAAGTCTATCGATGAAATGGAAGGTGTCGACAAAGATGGCGATGATCACGAGGACAATATTGCGAGATGCCCTTCGATTAGTCAAACACCTGCGGAGAGCTTGGAACCAATTGACAGCACACAGCAGAAAGAGCCGACTAAAAGTTATGAGCGACACGACCAAAGTGAGATAAGAAATCCCGAGAGCCCACGCACCGAGAGCTCCAATCACGAAGGCTCCGGTCAAGATTCGCCGTTAGACATGTGGTTACGTAGCCAAGAGTTACAATCGACTTCAACCTTATCAAGCAGAAGAACGAGTGGCATGATTTCCCAGATGGCCCTCGACAATTTTAACCCAGGAAATTCAGACTCGCCTCAAAAATCAATAAAGGACCCACAGAACGTCTTCAATAACTTGTCTGCTTCCCCTCCAAATGCAACGGCTCTTCCATGCGGTACACACGTAAACACTAACTCGGCTGAACTACCACCCTCTTGGCCGGATGTTCTGCGGCGACCCAGCGAGGGCTGCACCAGCTCTCCTGGCGATAATATTCCCGGTTCAGTGGATCATGTTCGGGATGTATCTTCCTCCCATTATGCATCCTCGCGATATACTACTAGGCCTAATAGTTGCCAGGCCACAGAAAAGGAATCACGTCTGAGTTTGATTGAGCTTTTGGGAGGACGAAAGGCTATACAGCCGTTCACAAACTTCAACCGTAAGTAGCTCTAGAATAATTGAATGGGGTATTCAACCTACTGATTAATCTTAGGTCTTATATATCCTAGTGGCAAGACAGATGCCGAGAAGTCGGACGATAGTTCGTACAAGACTGCCCCAAACGCGGCATCAGCATTGGATATAACTATGCATGAAACCCAACAGCTGGGACGCCCGACAGCAGATTCAAGTTCACTGGCAGTCTCTGATACTGCAAGCTTCAAGCAACGCGAAGCAGAGCTGAAGTCTGTTGAGCAACGATTTACCCAAGTTCATCTTCGCCGAGACAATGCTGCAAGCCCGATTATCAGCAAGTTCCGAGAGGAATTTAACGAGCCTCGAACCTCACTTCTTAGCAGGAACTCCATATTTGCTAAATTTCATTTGTCAAGGCCAAAAAAGGCAAAGCACCCGACAAAGGATATCTGGAGATATAGTATGTATAGCGTCAAGTACGGCGATAATCTTCACCAGCAAGCGTTAGAGGTAGGTTCTATTGACAAAAGGTCGATGCCATCCAGCATAGGTCAGAAACCTGAGGATGTTGTGAGTATCGTGAATCTGCGGCAGCGGAATTCCATATGCGATGAAGATACCCCTGATAACCAACAGCAGGGACATTCCTCACAAGTCCAAAAATCTTTAGAGATTACCCATTCAGACCAAGAGGGGCAACATGGTATCCCTAGCGTACCTAGCCCAAAAACTAGATTGGAGCAACTGAAACCTCCGTGTCGCCACGAGGATGACAATAGCCCACAGTCGGACATATCGAATAATGTGCTCAGAGAATGGGTAAACTTAATGAACGATGAAGATATCGAATCTCAATTAGAAACGAAAGAGGAGCTGCAGAATCGTAGTCCTAAACGGCTTCGGACACCTCCTGCATCGTGGGCGAAATGGCCGTCGCATACGCGCCACGAAAGGACAGGCCCTGCAGGAAAAGATGATAATGTGATCCAAAGGGATTTCGCAGTCCAGGTGGGCTCCAATACGGGTGATATAACTTGGTCTACGGGCAAACCCGGCGAGCCATCAAAGAGATATATAACTCCTGGATCTCGAAGCCTATCAGCCCAACTAGGAAAGGCCGTCAAAGAAGGCCTGGAGAAGGTCGTCCAGCGAAATTCTTCCGAGACACATCGTGGTCGTCGGAAGCCCGATGGACATTTGGAATATCCCGAGCTCGAGATTCTACCGATGCAGGGTGGTTATGAAGAGTTGCAGGCACTCGAACAACAAATTGGCACCATGAAACGCAAGTCAGTGCCAGTAGAAAGACAATTGGCGCGGCTTAGCAGCGACAACATGAGACTGCCATTGAGTGTACGACTCGCCGAGGAAGTTCATATGATGCAGCACAAAGCCTCTAGGGATTCTGATTCCTGGCATGATGAGGACCTCATGGTCCAAACTTCACCAGAAGTATCTTCTAAACCCGCTAGGCAGTTACTCCTGCCACCTCAGGGGGCTTCCGAAGGGATTGATCAATTCGAAACCTCCGAGTCCCAAATTAGTTACGAGGACTGTGTGCCTAAACATATGTTGGAAGATGAGGGCCCCGTGGATAGTATCGTGATGGCAATGGAGGAAGGCCGTAATACGCAAGCGACTTAGTATCATCTTGTTATGCTTGATTTACAGCACTAATAGATCCGCTATACTAGTATGCATACTCCTATCAGACACGGTGGCAATATAATCAGGGCAGGACCCAAGTTGCGCGAACTGATGGGACGGTTTCTATCTTAGGCGGCACTTGAGTTATCGAAGTATCTCGTGGAAGTTATCGTAAAATTGTGGAATGAAGCGACGCTAGGGGAAACTTGGGGTGAGATGGATCGTCCACTGTCGAGGGACACAGATCGCGCGTTCTGTGAGGCATAACCATCGCCGACCGTCGAAGATACGCTTCGAATGCGATGCGCACCATGCATCGATATCATTATGTATTGGAGTTAACCGGGAGATGGAAGGCTAGGTATTATATATATCGGATCGTATTTTACTTCGGGGTACGGACTTGATGTTAAGTATATTGCCTATCCTCTTGATTGTTGATAGAGTGGTGATCGTTTCAAGCTGTTATATTGTGAATAAAACGTATTAGGACAATGTGTTTATCGAATAGGACATACCTATTTACGTACCTCGGTGCCCATCTCAACTTTTTTGCATCATGGAAACCACCCAGGTACCTGGTATGTATCTGGAGTATCTGGATTCTATGCGAGAAATTAACGTCTACACATCTCCACATCTAACAGTTCATGATTGAAGCCAACTCACGTTATGTTGATTAGATGTTTGGCTGTCTACCAAGGCAATTAGCCCATATTGTCTTCTCGGACTTCCCTATTGGCTCGACTCTTGGCGGTGAGATTATCCGTAATAGTTAAAGCGTTCTCAGGACCGGTTCTAGGTCTTGGAGTGGAGAAATCTCCCTGGTATTTATTTTCGAGCGTGCTCCTGGTTTTTAAAATCTTGAACGTCCCCTGGGTGCCTACCAAGTCAATGGAAGCATCCACGGTAACTTCTACCCCGTCATCATATTTCTGAACTGTATGTTAGAATGCAGGTAGTAAAATAGGATGATTTCTAGAAGAGCTGACCTTGGAAAGACCTAGTAATATGACTTTCTTCATAACCTGTAATGTGCTGACGGCGCCAATGACGAACGGGATGAGTTGCCCTGCACTGTCGATTGAATTGACCCCCTGGATGTTGTTCCATGACAGAGTAAATTCGATGCTAAGGATGAACCAGATGATACTGAGGACAACATAGACATTCCAAAGTAGGCAGAATCGACGGTTAAGGTAACTATGACACGGATTACTCCTTAGTCAGACCGTTATTAGAAGATACCATTGATATAACTCACTATGCCCTATCATAAGGTGGTGTGTTCCCACTCTTCGCTTGTGCTTCGACTACTCGGCGCTCTCCATCCTTTCCTCTTCCAAGGTATACGATTAGTTTAAGAACGTCGGAAAAGCGGTAAGTTTCTTCGCTTGGTTTAGATAAGAAATCTAGGACATCAAAAGACCCCGTAAATTGAGACAGAGTAGCAGGGTCCAAACCGAAGCTGTTAAATATCGAGTTGATACGGTCTAAAGGCTGTTTTAAACGCTGCGGTGCCTCGGGTATCATGTAATGCAGCAAATCTCTATACAAAGCCATGATTGCATTGTGCATGATCCGTATCGTTAACTGAAATAACACTAAGAATGGCAGGATGACGATAATCAAGATGAAAATCGAGACGGTCTTGAAGAAGCCAACAATGGCACCATCGAGCTGCTGCCTCGAAAAGAAGAACACGAACGGAGGATCACAAGTCTGGTTAGCCAATCGGTAGTTGGGCTGCGAGGCAAACCAAAGCCAGATATTGACGGCCGTCAGCACGCAGACTGTCGTCGTCCGCCAAAAGACTCCCGACCACGAAAGATGGTAAGGCTTGAGCGGCGAGATATAATTCAACGGTAGCTTGATCTTGTTTCTGGCTATCCTCCACATAACACTGAACCAAGTCGAATCCTGTAAGGATGCTCTCACCGCTCTCTTCAGCCTATCGAGATTCCGAAGCAGCTCAGCAACAGAGCTCGGACGGAGCAGATGCAGCCTCAACCCGAACGTGCTCAATGTGGTCACGAAGAATCCTAGGCAAAACTGCAACATGATGTACGTCTCTATAGGCTGTATGGTGGGGCTGTTAGCGAAGGTCGCGATCATGGTGGCGACCAGGATGGCGAAGACGAAGACGGAGTTGACGTCGTACACGGACTGTGCCGATAGGGGGTCCACGAGCAGGCTGACCCAGGCCGTTATCCATTGCAGGTACACGCCGATTCGGATGCCCAAGCCGTAGAAGTCCGGGTTGCCCTCGATGAGCTCGCAGTTTGGAGGCTCCGCGGGAGAGGACATCGTCGTCCGAAGTTACACGTGGTAACACCCGTGTCGCTGGAAGATTCGACGCGTGGCTAGACAAGGGTTTTTTGGGGCGCAAAAAGCAAAGTGTTTTGGTGTGACGATCATCCTAATCTGTTGTAGGCTTGTAGCGTATGTGTATGCATGGACAGCACAGTTCCACTGACTGTCTGAGTTTAGATGTGCTATGTATACGAATATATGGCACTCTTTCATTTGATAGACAGTGAAGCCAATGTTGTGAAAACTACAAACAGAAGGATTCGCAGGTCATCGTTACGATGTTACGGAATTACTCGTTCAGCTCTCTCACATATTGCGACGTGGGGGCGGAAACTCCCTGGTCCGCAAATGAGAAGCCAGGTTTCGCGCTGAGCCAATCGTCGTTCGTGCTTTGCCGTCGCTCACAATCGCCATTGGCTGGTGGATTCCAATACCGCTTGGGCTCTTCTAACAGACAGTCGGGTAGGACCCGACAGCTTGGGTATTGAAAAAACCAACAGTATGGCGAGGTCCCGAATTACATACCTACCTTAGTCTTAATAGACCTGGTACGAGTAAGCCGTAAACAGATCCATTCCGTCAAACGTCGCAATTCCGAGGCAGTCGTCGTTTAGTGAATAATTCTCCGAATGTGCCGGCTCCCGAGTTGGTAAAGAAGTGGAATACCAAAGAGAGGGAAGAAGAGTTGAAAAAAAGGGGGAGAATATCAATTTAGGGAAAGGTCGAAACAGTCTAACCTATATTTACCTAGGCAATTTATATCATAAGAACCTTCATGCGCCCCGAGCACTGTAACGTTACGGCGGAACGAGATCCGATTGATTTGTCTATGCCTTGATTTTATGTTGCTAAAAAGAAAAAAGAAAAAGATAATTAAATGAGAGAGTCCGTGTACAGCGTATTTCATAACGGGTGGAAAATATAAGGCTTAATGTCTTACATAATGATACCTCGGTACTTACCAGGTACTAGGAAGTAAATGATTGATTAGTGAAAAAAAGGCTCCAAGACTCGGGAACCAAACGGCTGGGATGTGCTACGTATTTCAGAGACGCCGATGTCCCGCCAGCTTGGTTAAGCCATCGTTACACAGCATAGACCCCTACCCCATGTTCCCTCTCGGTCGGTACTTGTAGCCAGATATGATCACCGAATATATCCATCGCTATATTATATCGTCTGCAATAATCGCATGGGTGATAATTAATCTGTATATTTCTTGAATATGTTTTTTCAAATTTTTAAGCAATAATAAATATTTTCTTGAGGTGGATACTTAGGGTTGCGTGCTGTCGGGCTTCTCACTTGTGATGTGGTCAGTGCGTCCATGTTATAGCCCGGTTAACCCTATCTATAGTACCGGAGGTACGTACATGCTTCTCTCATGTAAGAACTCCTTAAGTCGGAACCTTGAATAGTATTCTTAAAAATTGCTTCGGTCCACAACATCGAAACTCCTTTCTTTGTCAATGTTTATTTATTCTTATCTTGCATTTCATTTTTTTAATTAATTATCTCGAACCCCATCTCAGCCCTTATTTGATACAATATATGTATGGAAGTTCCAAGGTTTAAGTCTCCACAATCGAGACGAAGCCGAGCTCGGTGCCACGCCTTCACCGACTGAAGGGAACTCACCCTGCTTGCCCTGCCGCCGTCTGCGGTGGGTTCCAAATTGCTGGGTCGGTACGTTCCTATTCTTGGGGCCCCGACTGTACCATCACTTCGCTTCTGGTAAGGACCGGTCGATTCTCATTGACGGTCTCGACGCCTCCATCTGCAGCTAAGCGGGGATCTCCCTTCTTATAGCCAATAGACCGCCGTCTCGATATTGGTGGCCACCCTTGGCGGGGCTTTTCTCCGTTGCGCTGGAACCCATCGTGATCACTGATCACCACACACACACACTAGAGATCCCTTCCAGTCCTCCCCCCTCTCAGAACTAGAATATAGAAAAAACAGAGGCAAAAAGAGACAGGCCGTTTAATGTTTCTTCGCCGCTACCACACTGTAACCCTCGTCCCAAGGTATTCGGGTCAATGACGGAACCATCAGGATCGCGCGGAGGCCCTTCAGGTAAGCCAGAACCTGCGAGGACCGTAGAGCAAGACGATCCCTCGAACGATATCGACTCTCTCATGTCAGTATCAGCTGACGAGGACGGCTACGATGCCTTCTCAGGCATGCTCTCCGCCGATTCCATATCAATGTCCGAAGACGTCCGCGACTACGTCTTCGAGAACTCACGCCGCTATCACAAGTACAGTGAGGGGCGCTATCACTTTCCTAACGACGATGCCGAGCAGGAGCGTGAGGACATGCAGCATGCTATGGTCATACTCCTGTGCGACGGCAAGCTGCACTTTGCGCCTCTCGACGACCCGAAGTCAGTCCTCGATCTTGGCACGGGAACGGGCATCTGGGCGATAGACAGTAAGCAACTATTTTGACCGGGTGACACACTCGATTCGGACTTGACTCAGCACTAACAAGTTCACTCTTCCGCCTCTTACTAGTGGGTGACCAGTATCCCGCTGCAGAAATACTAGGCGTAGATCTCAGCCCGATACAACCCCTATGGGTGCCCCAGAACGTGCAATTCCTCGTCGACAACGTAGAGGAAGAGTGGGTTCAGGCGCCAAACTCGGTAGATTACATCCACGCGCGCCAGATGGCACCGTCGATACGGGACTGGCCCAGGATCATCTCAGAAGCGTACAAGTAAGCCCTTTCCCCCTACGCATGACAGACGCAATTACTCACAGTAAACCCCGTCGTTCTGAAACATATAACTCAAAAATTTCGCAGGGCATTGAAACCGGGAGGATGGCTTGAGATCCAAGATTTGAAATGCGTCGCCGGGTGCGACGATGGCACGATGAAGGACGACGACGCCCTAGCCGCGTATGCGGATACGCTCGCAGATGCGCTGCGCAGGCTCGACATCGACTGCATCGAGTCCGTGGAGAACTACGCGCGGTGGCTGCGAGACGCGGGCTTCATGAACGTCAAGGAGGTCAAGATGAAAGCCCCGCTCGGGACGTGGCCGACGGATCCGCATCAGAAGAAGATCGGGTTGTACAACAGGAATATGATATACGACGGCCTCCACGGCTTCACCATTAGGCCTTTCACTCACGGTCTCGGCTGGACTCCCGAGCAGGTCGAGGTCTACCTCATCGATGTCCGGAAGGCGATACTTAAGTCCGAGGCGCATATTTACCTCCCATACCAATGCGTTTACGCGCAGAAGCCTCTAAGAGCGCGGTCGCTCTAGACTTGACGATCGAGGTTATTGCTTTTGCATATTCGCACATAACGCATATAGAATGGTGGTGGTGGTGGGGGGCGTACGATACACACACACACACACACAACACATACCTGCATGAATTTTTCATGAGTCCGTTTGGCGTCTAGCGGATTCGGGCGTAAAACATATATAGGATCGGTTTCTCCTCATTTGATACCAGCGGTCGACGCGTTCTAGAAAAAGGGGTGAAGGGGGGTCGAGGGCGAAAGCGATAGAGATCCGTGGCATGTTTTTTTGCGTTTACATACATACAAGGTACCTGGTATATACATACCGGACCGGACTGGCGTTTCTGTTGTTGTTGTTGTTGCTTGGTATATATTGCCGCACTTGCCATCCCCATATTAGTGGGCGTCAGCGGCGTTGGTTACGGGCATGCTAGGGCTGTCTTTATCTACACGGCGGCTTGGGTGGGGGCGGAACTGCATTGCGGCGTCGCCCTTTTTACGAAGCGATGGTGTATATAGGGGGTTTGGTATGGGGGCCTCTAGACGCTAGGTATATACTTAGCATGGCTATCACGAAATTTAGAAATTGAATTGAATTGACCTAACGTCTTTGGTTGCTCACTTTTGGGCGCTCGTGCTGTATTGGTGTCGGTATGCACGTGCTAGGTTTGTGGGTTGGCAGTGACAGCATAAATAGGAGGCGGGTAACTGTCATGGCCGTTTATCAAGACATGCGACCGTTTTAACACCTTTTTCTGTTATAATTGAGCCTTCGATCGCGCCAGGGTACTTGTTTGGGCTTTGTAAAGATTTTGAGGTACCTATCTTGCACCCAGAGTCTTGATGAAGGGAAAGGAGAAAGGGGTTAACCCAAGAGAGTCGACTAATTGAGATACAAAGTCTGAATGGAATAGAAAAGGTTCAATATCAAACACTTGCCTGTGATGAATATGTCGATGAAGTACAGGTAATACTCAAGTAGGTTTACTGTGAGGGGAGAATTTCGTTCGTTTCACATCTCGATCGGGTACTACGTCGGATCAGATCATTTTATGTGGCTGAATCGTTGCGAACTTATTCAGCACTGTACATTAGATTGTCTTACCCAGAAGCTTTCGAACACCAATAAGACTCCCAGTACTGGCTGTATAACGCGCTATTTAGGCATGGCTAGTTGTCATTGGCCGCCTGTGTGTACTCGGTGTGCGATCACCGCATTCAGCCACCGCCCTCCACGACAGCGACTGCTAAGGTCTAGATGCTTTGAATCTTACTGAGCTGCTGAGTAGCACTCTCCTACACCTTTATGGAACTCTCAGGTAAACAGTGACCCTTCACGTAAGCCAATGTTAGTCAAGCTGCTTCTCCTATCTCTTGGCATAGATTGACATGCTACAAGGGTTAGGGTTAAATCATAATATGCTATTCTATCATTGCTTTGGTGTAGCGTAACACATGGGAATGAAACGTATATAGGTACAGGCTGTACGATTAACTAAGCGCGTCTGACTGTATGGCATTCCATACCAAGATCTCACTTTGAGAAAGATAGAAGAAGTGTATCTAGGTTGGAAAAGAGACTATTCCCATTTCATCCGCCTAATTGGGATTTTCGTTATGAAACCGAATGTGTCGTATCAATAACTCATGTATTGATACTTTGAAAGGTCTTGTAAGTGTGATGGTAACTCTGATATGTAGGTTGGCTTGGCATTCAAATTAGAGTCCATCTCCAACGACATGCCATTATTTCCGCAACATAGCTTGTTAAATGCGAAGGATCTTGGTCTGAAAATCCGTACTTATATCAAATATATTCATATATCTCTAGGGGTAGATATTGCGAGTTTAGCTGATAGCGACTACATACCTGTTCCACTGTCATAGTGCAGCATTGTTGGCATGGCTTTTTCTTTGAAAGGTCAGGTCCGGGCTAGAGAAACAGAATGAATAGGTCATATTGTATTACCAAAACTTAATACATCTTCCTATAATTGCAAGTCTTTTCAGCATAGGTACTTCGTATGAGCCATCATCGAAACTATGAGCAGTATATATCCAATCTCCATTTATCGCTCCGTATAAAGGTGTATTGGCAGATCAGGCGCCCATTAGTTCTAGGCCGTTTATCTGAAGGTAAACGATATTCACATCAAGTTAACTTTGCAGCAGAGTTTGCAATGCTCCATCAGGCACGCCCATAACATATGGTAGAACTAGAAGCCAGCCATAGTTGAGGTCATGGTCATGTCTCATGGATGACATCTACCTATACGTGGGCCATGTGTACCTACAAGGCGATGTCCTGGTCTTTGGATAGCTAGGTAGCAAGCCTCTATATGAATTCCTATCTATTTACATCAACTCATACATCTGAATTATCTTTGGATGAGTTACTGACTCCAATGCGGTGCTATTTGGTTAACGTTCAGTTCTAATAACGATAGAATGCAGAAAAGTGTTTACAAGTTAGCATACTACCGTATCATCTGTTCGATTTTACCCCTTTCCTACGACTACGACGACACTTATACTTTCGGCAATACGAAAACAAGGAAGTGAACGGAAGAGGATAAACTGTTCTCCATGAACCTACTAGGTAGGTAGTCAGATAACTGATGGCTTTTTAAATATTTTCTGGCATATCAACATTGATTATGGAGATATCCCCCACGACGTAGACTCTTCCAAGTTCAAACACGTTGCGTGGCCTATCGTGTCTATGTTTAATAGATCTTCTGACTTGACTCGCGCGAGAAACTCGACACAACTCTTCTCCGCAGTTTCCGGGGGTAGCCAAGAAATGCCCCAAGCGTATAGACTAGAAAGAAACCTGTATTATACAATGATGACAACTTGGGGGGACAATGATCTTATGACTAATGTCTTATATACCATGAGAAACTTGCCTGGTTACGCGTTCCTCGTATAGCGCTTTGACATCTTGTAACCTTTGAATATTTTTGCCATTACGTTGGCATGATAAATGAAAAGTATTCATTCATTGACTCGGCTGCTATGACGACGAAAAAGAAATGACAAAAATCGCAGGGAATTCATGCTTGATTGCGCGTGATGGAAAGCATGGTTTTGAATCATTGAATGATCAATGTTCCGAGACATCTTCAGGTCAGGCTGCTTATATAATATGAGACTATATTCCCTGTGACGCGCAGCCCCCGTCGGTTAGGGTTAATCGGTGATCGTGGCGTTCCTCATTGTCCGGACAAGCGACGTTTAGAATGTAACGGGACGATGGAATTCGTTTTCGGAAAGGTAAGCGAGTTTGTTGAATGATACGGGAGGTGCGAGATATCCAATCATGAGAATATCATGAGAAATTTCGAGTGGGAGTGTCTTGAGATTTTAAAGAGACGAAAAGGAAGAAATGAAACGTGCCGGCAAGATTCGCTAATGGACCTCGCCTAAACCTTCGGATCGTCGAAATAAGCAAGTGCGTTGACAAAGAAGATGTGGACAAAATGGGTTGATGATTGGTGTTCGGGGCGGCTGAGAGTAGCACGAGGGGGGTACCTTGGTTCAGTACGGGTCGGTAGAGACGGCCTGCGACGGTACTGCCGGTGAGATTGGTGAGAATTGGTGAGATTGGGTTGGTTACCCCACAAACCACCACTCCGAAAACGACCCCTGTCTTGCTGCACGATCCCTGAACACCTTCCACTGCTTCCACTACTTCCAGTGTAGCCAGACGTCCGCGCTCCACCCTATTAGAATTCTGGGACATTGCCGAGTCAATTCCTTCGAACATAGCTCCTAGGTAGGACTAGCTCTTCTTTGCTCGTACCCGGGACAGCTCTTTGATTTTTATCTGGTAAGCTGGTTCTCGGATGCATAATGATGATATTTGGATCAGTAATATCCGTACCTAGTAACAACTTGCACATGTGGTACATTGTATTTACCTAGCTAGGGTATATTCTAGTGTATTGTACCTATTTGGAATGTTGCCAGAAGACGTGGCGTAGTAGGTATCATGGGGTTGCATGGGGGGTCGATGATGAACCTCGATTGAAGCCTTGTTCGTGGTCTTAGCGGCAAACCAGACATCAATTGATGTAGTTAGTTAATAGATGTACTAAGTAAAAATACTTTAATGTTCATTCAAGTTGAACTAGATTGGTTTTTGTTCGTTGAATCCGTAAATTAATCCTACATAGTATACTCGCCGAAGACTAGACGCTACTAGGTAGGTAGCTGCTGTATCTGACAACCAATGGTCTTATACGCTTAAGGACCGGACTGGAGCTTAAAGTATTTGACTTTACCGTTAGACCTGTTAGCCAATCGCTTATTGCTTATTCATATATACCCAGTGCTCGTCGAAGAATCAGGAGCAATGGACAAGATTGAAGTAACCTCGGAAGTCAGACAAGCAAGGCAAGTTTAGTATAGATGTAATAAGGAAAGTGCAGAGAGAAAAGAGTAAAGAGAGTGCGCGGCTATTATTCCCCAAGGTCCAACTGTGGATTTTGCCCCACCTCCAGACGCAGATCACCCTACACTCCAGACCAACCCATAAATTACTTAGGTGGGAATTAGGAGAAGAGCGAGAAAAGACGCTACAAAAGTCAAAATCAGGTGGCTTTCATGGCCCCGTGGCCTCTCCCCGCCTTTTACCCCCCCTCCCCCCTTCCCCCCTACCACCCTCTAGACCCTGTCCCTTGCGAACATTGCCCCACAGTTTTCGACGATGAAAGTTCTCTTGTCCTTCTCCAACTTTTTACACCCTTCCAGCCTTTGTTCTAAACCTAATAACTACATCTCACTTATTCAATGGCTGAAAAACAAATGGATCAGTCCCAAGCTCGTCGGCGACGTCGTGATGGATCGTCTGGAGTACAGCAGCGTTTGTGTACGCACTGCGGACGAAGCTTTAAGCGGTCTGAGCACTTAGAACGCCACGTCCGAACCCGTTCGTTACCCCAACCCCAACTTTTTCTGATTTGCTTGTCCCATTGATTTTAATTCCATTGATCTTAATCCCATCTTACCTCCCTCGATCTCTCCTCGATCCCTCTTCGATCTGCACCACCTTACTCCACCACCAATTCCATCATATTTGACAGCGGATAACATATGCTAATTCTCGCTCCCAGACACAAAGGAGAAGCCATATGTATGCCATTGTGGGTCGGCATATTCACGTCGAGATCTCTTGACCCGCCATCAACGCATCACTCATGAAACTCTCTCTCCAAGGTCTCCTGATGCTCCAGCGTCGGAAGACAATCACCAGTTGGCAGCAACAGACTCGGATCCTCCGTCCGAGGATACTGCTTCAACGTCTACTGCTCCAATGTCGGATATGAGCATGAATCACGGTCTCCAGCAGCACCAATATTCAACAAGCCACGATTATGGCATTCATAGCCACCCCGCTACTCAGCCCTATCACCAACTGATCGCGGGCCAAGAACTTGACTACAATGGTAAGTTGTGTCACTCTGTTCAGCCTGGGCGACACTACGTTATATTACTCTGTGTAGCCATTCTATTTATTCTTAATTCTCAATTCCCAATTCCCAATTCTCATGTATATTCGCTTATTCTCATCAATGACTAATCTTTCATATAGGTCAACACTTTTCCAGCTTTGACCATTATCAGGAAGTACACAACTTTGCGGACGGAGCTGGCCTACCTCCAGAATGGACTCACTATCTTGAGCCTAACTTAGAAGACACTATGGATCCCGCGTTAAGAGGTTCGATGGTCGACATATCATCGCCGCTTAGCAATGAGAGTTTCTCGGCGCACGCGTACAATCCTTGGATGTCACAGGCGGCCCAGAAATGGGGCAATTAGGTCGAGTTCCGGAATAGACGTGGCGACTCCCCCTATTAGCACGAATCGTTACTCTCGACGATTACGAACCCGCCAATTTACCGTTCCGCCCCCTCCGGGACCCCGCGGTATCTTAGCCGCTTTTGGTCGTATAGGGGCATCTATATGAATTGGATGCCGTGGAATCTACGTTTATGACATTGGCCACCAAGTGATGACAGGACATATCTTCCCTGAAAGGCAGATATTAAATAAGTGTAAAGGTAGTTTTCTGTCACGATGGTGGTTCAATTGGAAATGAAGGACATCAACAGTGATTGAGGACCAAATTGTACCTCAAAATAACTGATATTACCCCGGCTAGGTGAATATGGCGTGCCTGGGATCAACTTGCTCTGCTCTGTTTTCCCCCACCCAAGCCTCACACCTTGCCTCATCCACATCTTACATCTTACATCTCACGATATTGTCTGGAGGACTCATCCCCAATGTCGTCACGAATTTTTGTCGCACTTTGTTACTGCTCGAGATGATGAGCGGTTGCTCATTTCTCGTCTTCAAGAAACGGGCCTTATGATATAAAGATTGACGATACCCGAGCTATACGCTCCAGCCATATTACAATAACGAACGATGCCTTGCTTGAAGGATTAGTAACCATGCTTATGATCATGCAACCTTGAAGTGAAGCACATACCTAACCATTCAACGTCGCGTCTGCATGTCTTGGATACATACCCTGCTCTAAGTTTCGGCTGATTCGCCTGTGCTATCTGCATCGAGAGTGGATCGTCGAATTATGGGAAAGTGAAGATTAATGGACGATAATGAACAATAATCTTGAATTATACATGCAAGCTTGTTATGGGTACATCAAGCCACCTCGCCTATCACCTATCATCTTACACACTTGCCCTTTTCTTCATAGTTTTTGGCAATAGCTTCCTTTTTCTTACTCAAGCTACCTACCTACTAGGTACTTAACCCAACCATCAACAATCAACAATCAATAATCGCCAAGAAATTGATCTAAGCCTCAATGCATCATATCCGATATCCCAATTATCAGAAGATGCGATCATCACGACATGCATTCACGTCACCCCCTTGTAGCTGCTTGATCGAGCATTGCCGTTGCATGCTGACGCGCATCTGGAACAATTCGGGACCATTTCCAACTGCGACCATACGTTGTTGGGCACGCAATAGCGACTCAGCTAACTTGCTTGTTTGTCTGCAGCTGCCATCTCCCGTGGCATGAGGTGCAGACTGCAGTCAATGATATGATTAATCCTCTATAGCGCTACTCCTGGCATGCCCACCCGAGCAGCCGATTTCAGGTCGAGAGCAAGGCAGGGCCAGGGCTTCTGTCGGCTGTCCGGTAGAGCTCAATCCGCGCCATAAAACGCGCGTTTCAGACCGAGCACATAATAGTTCACGCCCACATCTGCACCCGCAAACTCGGTGAGGTCGCAGACGGTCGGCGGCGCATACCTACATTATGTCATTGAGCTATCGGCCATTGTAGCTAGGCAAGCAATGGCAAGTTCCGAGGTGGCCTGGAAAATCTAGCGGCGCCTTGATTTTCGCGGGGAAAGGCGATCATTGCAGAGCTACGACGATTTCCCGCCTCTGGACTGCATCTCGGTATTCGGGCTTGTACGGATGCGGCGCGCAGCCTTCTCCAGCTCTGCAGGCTAGCTAGCTGCTTTTTCAGAAAGCACGACATGGAAATCCCCTCGCAGTCAAAAGCTTCCTGCGCGGTACCGAGACCAATGCCCGGTGACTAGAGCCCATGCTGCAGCTCGAGCACGAGCGCCAGCATGTGTAGTAGAAGGCGTCGAATATTGTTTAGTCCGTGGGCGGTAGCGAGACAATAGGTGCCGATGGGAGGCAGATACATACATAAAACGACGCACGCTCTCGCCAGCTTTTCGTGCCTCGTACGTCAGGAACGCGGCGCCAATGTACCTGATCGCGACCGGTCATTGGACACGCGGGTTTCAGAATACTTGCTTGGTTGGTAGGTGGCCAAAAAGGATCGTTGGGAACAACCATTACCAATACCACCACCAACCACGACGACGCAACGCATCGCATGGCACACCCATCGGTACAAAACGCACACAACATCGTACATACCATACATACCATACATACATATCGCACACATACATACATACATACCTACACAGACACACACGCGCACACACACACTAGGGATGGGAGATTCTGGGATTGGAAATGTGCACCTCGTCCCCGCACTTGCTGCATGGCGCACTTCGCTTCGCCTACCTAGGGTAGTCCCCTCCCCTCTGATTCGCGGCCGCGCCGTTATCTTGTGCGAGCTTCGGGAGAATAAGAATGCCCATTCGACGCGGGCGGCCAGTTCGGTGATAAAAACCCGCACCCGTGTATCTCCCGGTATGTGAGATAAGGGTCTCATTTTCTAACCCTACATACATACGTACATGAATACCAACCTTACATCTACATCACAGTAAATGATCAACGAATGAACCAGCGGATGGCGGAGTTGAAAATCGGGCAAATTTTGTTTTTTTTCTTCTCTTTTTTTATTGAAGATGCAATAGGCAGATTTGTAAAGGAAAGATTAGTCGAGGACATCGAATACGTACCTAGTACCTATACGGATACGATTAGCGATGGAGGGGGGGCAAATGATTGATTAAACTGGAAAGAAACAAAAAAGAAACGAAAGCAGAAAATAATAAGGAATAGTAATTCAATATTAAAACAATTTAACAATTAAATAAAATAAAACACACACGTACGTTTCATGAATAAAAGATTCCCCCCTTCGGCAGCCAAGACTCCGTAAACCTCATCAAAAGACTGGCGATGAATGGGTCGAACCTTCAAGAGAAAGGTGCGGGGCCGTTCGGGACCCCGGTTCGATCATCCGATCGGAGCCCGAAAATGAATCGGACCGGGGACATTCCAATTCAGGAAATAGTTCGTTCCTTCTATCTATCTGTATCTACCTGTATCTATCAATCTCTATCTAATCCCCTTCGCATCTACTATCTACTATCCGCCTACATATGTAGCTCCTCACATCTCTTCCCATTTAAAGGCAAAGAAAGAGAAACACGAATCGAGGTCGCACATGTCTGGACTCTGCATCTCCGGCAAAGTGCACACGCCACGCGCAAATCAGATAACCAACCCTTATTCGAGCGCTGCCCTTCTCTCTCCCTCTCTCTCGCCCATGATAATCAACGTTACATCTGCAAGTCTTCGCTGTCGCAATTGGCTAATGTGGCCAATGTGCGTTCAGGCTTTTCAATCAACTTTTTTTTTTCTTTTCGTTTATTGAATGGGAAAGGGAAAGTCTTTCCGTTGTGCTTTTTTAGGAGAGAGAGAGGGAAGGTAAAGATATCTACATATGTAGGTCTACGTGAGTTTCCGATATGTGGTGGCATGGACCTAGGTAATGTGGTTGGTGATTAAGCGGGTGGCAATGGACTGGCATGTACTATGTACGGCCATGATGGACGGATGTACTGAAACATTAAAGCCGCAGATACTTTTATACTTCTATACATGTACGCGTACGAACACTCCGTACCTCAGACGCAATTAAATGGCTCGTGGGAACTTCGTCCGCCCCGATATTCCACGGATACCGAAACTGGATGATCGACGAAAGGAGGAAGCCTTCCAAATACCCCGGCAACAAGACGACTGGTGAAATCTGCAATCTTATTAAGCAGATACGTACATTGGAAGAGCTTATATGTCGAGGATTCGAAATGATGGTTACTAGGTACCGACCTGTGAGGCGAGGCTCGCGTCAGCCCTTGGCCCCTTTACTCGGGGTCGATTGGGGATAAGGCTAGCCCACGTTCTAGTCATATCTACACCAATAATATTCCCCACGTAGAGAATATCGCGATCTAGAAGGATCGCGTCTATCTTAGTATTTACGAATCAATTCCATCATTTGGAAATCTTCGTGGCGCTCATAATTTAAGTGGGATGATAAGCGGCAGAATCATAAGCATTAGGTAACCCAACCAGCCTGGAATTGAATCCTACAAGCTGAAATAGAACCTAAAACGCTGCAAAACATGACATATCACCAATTTGATCACAATGCAAGACAACTGAGATAGGACAAAAATAGTACTATTGCGCCAGAAGCTATAACTACATCTATAATATGAATATCCTATTCCCATTCACCGTACTTATAGAAACCTGTGCTATCCATGATCCTCCAATTATTCAATCAGACCGTTTCAGTAGTAATCAAGCATCCAACAAGTATCAGACCATCCTCATCTTCATATCGCAAAGTCTATCGACCGATCTTAAGAACCAAGGCTCCATCGCTCAAGCGGCTGCTCTAATCAACCACGAAGATATCAGATCGGCGTAAAAGTTTGTCGGTGGTTCATCTCTCTTTCTCCTTGACCAGGGCTATTCAAGTGTTTCCGATAAGGTTGAGTCAGTGGTGGGAAATGAGAGAAACTCGACTATACCATGAGAAAAGACAAACATGTCGAGGGAGATGAGTAAGGCACTCAAGCAAGACCAGTAGGCTCGAAGCTCTCGTGAGAGAGGGATGAATCAATCACATGAATGAGAGAGCCACACATACGAGAGCCACGCCGGAAGAACCAACACCCTGACAACCGGAGCCTATCGCTCCTCATGTTTAATGCGGTGCGAATCTCGGGGTTGATCGACGAAAGGGGAGTTTTCCAAGCTCATCAATTAGCGAGCGACTATCCTTCATTCGCATCGCCGACTGCTTAAAAACATCATCTCCAGAGGGTGGGGATAGCCTGGTGTGCACCGAGTGACCGAAGCACGGCCTGTAGGTTTCCATCCTTGTGCAGGGCCAGTTTCAAGAACCACGTGGTTGTCGCGCCTTCTGCTGTCGTCCCCGTAGATGAGGGTCGTGTCGTAGAGGTTACTGTTCTTGCGGGTAGCATAGCCTTGTTAAGAGTAACAACGATGAAGCAGCATAGTGTTTGTCGTGAATGATGGCTTCGATAGTGGGGCCTGAGGCATCGCTTGGATTGTGTAGAGAAGAACCAACTTGGTACCAAGAGACGCGCCATGTTGGAGTGGCGATAGGAGGTTCATGAATAGTGGTAAGAGTCGGCTAGGAGACGTTGGTTACATCAACCAAACTAGCCCGGTGTTGAAGACCCCTTTGTCGAATTGCTTCGGCATGAATCAAACGTCTAACCTGGAATCTGCTAATATTCCTAGGGCTTCCAAGATATCTGATTCTGGTGGTATCGGATGTTGACCCCTGGGTATTGTCTTGGGAGGCGAAGGGGGTAAGGGCATTCGTCGTCCTCGTGCGCTTCGAGTGTAAAGTGTCTGTATCTTCGCAGTGGATCCTCCGTGGCGTCCAGGTCTCCTTCGTCGATCCAGTATGCCGCCTCATGATCAAAACGAACATGGCCTTGAATATTGCATCCGCAATTGATCCACCGACCATATCTGTGGCCATGGCATACGGAGCCATGATGGTATCCCCGAATCCATCGTGATCTCAGTTGCAGAGGCAATTGTTGTATTGGCAAAACAAAGGCTAGCTCTCCTTCTGAGTTGATATGACTTCAGCTAGGCATGGTTATATCTATCGTTTAACGGAAACGGAGGATACACTGGGTCCAATCCTGAGGGCCAATCTATGATCGAAAATCGCTCGAGGGATCATGTAGGAATCCTCACCCTCCCACCATTGCTCTCTGGCCTCTGAAATGGGTTAACCCCCCGGGTATATCGCTCCAAAAATGGTCTAAACTCCCAGGTGCTTGGCCATGACAGATATCTATCAGGTTGACCCACCAGTCGAACCTGGCATGAACTGCCACCGGCTACCCGAGCCGAAACCCCCGAGGCCAGGAAATGCGACAGGGGCAGATAGCCCAGAGATCTGATCGTGGGATGGTGAATGACAAGAACCTCTTAGGAGGGGAGGATAGGGCTTCCAGTCGTGAAAAGGCGCCAAGAGGAGAGTCAATCCAAGAAGAGCTGGACGGGGACGAAAGAGATATTCTAAGCGCTGGACGGTCTTGCCAGTTGTAGGGGCAGACGCGCGAGATACCGTTAGAAAGACGACTGATGCCCTTTCCCTAGCTTGAATCAATGTTGTAGAGACAATCCACAAGTGTCAAACACCATCGAGTACAGACAGCCATCCTTCATCGTCGTCTATACAGGTCCAAGTGCCTGTCTCCAACAGCAGCCCCTCAGTCAGCAGGTGATAGACATCAGAAACGGAAAGGGTTAGAAACTTGAAGGTGAATTCTCTTAGTTGTGTGACTGGGGAGATGGTAATTGGTAGAGGTAGGTGATCGAGCATGCCCGACTAAGGAATGGATCTAGACGGATGTGAACTGAATATAGTCGATATCAAATACCCCGACCCTGTCGAAGGTATACCCTCTTTCCTTAGTTCCATCTCATTGCTGCCCATCCCCTCGTCAGCACACTCCTTGCACTGGGGGCCGAATCCCAAAGGCGACCATGGCAGTCCCTTCCCGGCGGGGCGGTTTCGGAGCAGCAGTAGGCTTAGGCGCGTATTGGTCCTCAGTATAAGTAACCACACGTTTGAAATCTTCGTGGAACTTGTATGAATCAACAACCCACTTAGGTAGAAGGGGTGTAGTATGTCTCCGTCCGAATTCTAGGAAGAGTGCAAAGGATTCCACAAAGTCGGTGATGTTGACAAGATCAATCCACATCCTAGGGCAACAACGATGAATTCTGGTGTAACAGGAAGAGTGTCCATACTGTCATGACTGCTAGCTGAAAGAAACAAACTGTACGATACAATATCGAGGTTGCATATCAAACGCCAATAGGCAGGGTCTCGGGGATCGAGGTTGACATCGAAGTCCTAAGCGCAGTGAGGGCGACGCCACTATCTGTCTCACAGTCGAAGTCGTTTCGTGGGGTAAGTTAGTATATATCGTCTCAGTGTGTGAAGAATATGGTAAAAGGGCAGAGAGAAGACAGACTTACTCTGAACCACTTGTGTTGCAGTCATGCTCCACCTAGGAGGCACCAATGCGCGGGATATTGCGAGCAGCGGCAGGCTCAAATAAGGTCAATGCATTCCGAGGTACCACTCGGGTTGAGTATGTTAATCGTCGATCGCCTTGGTTTGAATTGGCGCGATAGCGTAACCGCTAGGTGAAGGGTTTGAAGGAAGTGAATATGACGTTCTTCGCCAAGGTAGCAGAAGGTACCTACTCAGTACCAAGTGTAGATTGAATAATCTCGTAAGTAAAAATACCCTCGGCACGGCACGCCTGATCTCAGCCACCCGGTGTAACATCCGTACCGTAGGTTAGCATTATAGGCAGCGATCGCCATACTTGCGGAAGTCCGATGGGGTATCTGTGACTTGGTTAGAATCTGGCACGTCTTGTCAAGCAAGTACCTACCCAGGCTACCTGGAACTTACATTGACGACTTGATCTAGAACGTGATAGAAATCCGCCAGATGTCCTTTTTCCAGGTACCCAGTTAGTTCGTGCCCTCGTACTCGAATAAGTTGATTGCGGCCCCACGCCACTTGATCATTGTTGGCAATAGGACGTCATGCCCAATGGGTGATGCTCCCCTTTACCAGGCTCTCGAGCTCTCCTATGAGTCCTGAAAGGTCCAAGTAGGAGCTGTAGCAATAGTATCTGGTTGTATATGGCTAAGGTTGGTATCATAGTTAGTAGGTGCAAGAATATGGTATCTGTTGGAGTACTAACCTTGACGAAAACAGCATTGCCTAGTTAACGCATGGCCAAGTACAAGTGAGAAAACCCGAATAGATTGTGAGGATACCTGTAGGTGCAATTGAGTGTAAGTGAATTGCGATAAGCCTCTGGAAAGATGAGATTCCTGGAAGTTATCTCAAGGGCCGTCGGGACTGGTTCGACCTCGATTGATATCTCGAAGAAGCAATGTAACGACGCCAGTGGAGACAACAAAGACGAACTGTGCGTGATGGGAAAGAGCTTAATGCATCAATAAGATTGATTGACAGTGGTTGTGCCAACAATGAAGAAGCGATTGATGCCTTCATGAAGTAAATAAGTAAATACGTTAGCTGCTTCAGATGCGAGATGATAAAGAGACACGAACAATATTAATTGATGATGCCAACGCAGCCAAGGTGTAGGGTAGACTCAGAGGTCTAAGAGCGGGCAGCTCCCTAGATAGGTTAGCACCTTATAGAACATGAGTTGAATAATATTTGACTTACTTGGGGTGCTTGAGTAGCTAGGAGAAGATATTATTCCATTAGAATGGATGAAAGTGTAATAGCAGTACAATTGAGAAAATTGATGTTTGGGGAAATTAATGTGTCTTCTGATGGTCGAATTGGTAGGTGTGGTACATGAAGTAAACAATTCAACAATGGTGAGGATTTATGAAAGATGATGCAGAAGGATATGACATCAGGTAGTCTAAAGATACTAAGACCTTCAGTTAGCACCCACTATCTTATGTGTAAGTGACTTCCCTTGTACGTGTCAAGCACTCTGTACCCGCCAGATGAGGATTGGTACCGCGTAAATAGGGGACGGAGAAGGTGGAGCACACGGGATACACAAGGGAGGCGAGCACACGGGGCAAGAGGGGAATACAGGGCAGGCGGGAGAGATGGAGCACAAGGAGTATAGTGCAAACGGGGCAGGTGCTAGGGGCTGCTCACTGCTTGTTCAGGCGGGTGCGCAATGTTGACGTGATGCGTGGCAAGCGTGGTAAGATGAATATGCGTAAAGTGAGAGAGGGTATTAAGTAATCAAGACGGATGGACATGTGAATGTGAAATACCTCGATGATGTTGTGGAAGTTAATATGGGCGAGTTGTTGACATTGTGAGGTAGAGGCAGGACACGTAAAACATCCGTGATATCGACAACACGAGGACTTCCTTGGTTCTTGGTGATGATGGAGTGCCGGTAGGGGTGAAAGTGAGGACGGTGATGGAGATGATGATGAAGATGAAGGTAATGGTGAGTATGATGGAGGGAATTATAAAGGAAATGATAAGAAGAGAATATTCATAGGACTTACCATGGTTTGTTGTATTCTAGAGGTTAGAGATATTTTACCATGTAGGAGGGTTGATGAATAAGTATTAAAAGAAGAATCATGGTGTGCCTACATAACGTCCATGTTTGTTTGGGAGGTGGGGGTGTTGTATTGTGAAGAGGAGTCAGGAGTGATGAGTGATGAATGATGAAGGAAGAAGAATTTGAGAGGAAAAGGTGGGAGGGGAGAAGGCTTTATATAGACAAAACAAAACTCAGAAACTTACGACCAAACTCTTAAACGGCAATGGAGATGCCTTTTGATGCGCGGTTTAAACGAGTGACGTCTTCTACGTTCTTAAACTAAACTTAGTCGTCTCTATACGGCGTAAGAAAAAGGGGTCGCTCACAGGTATCGACTTTGTACTGACAAAGCCATAATGGCGGACTGATAACCTATAAGCGACATTAAAACGACGAGGCGATTAGCTATATGCTTTTAAATAAACGCGACGCTAAGTAAACGTTAATATAGACTCAATGAGTGATATAGAAAGCCTAAGAAGGTGCGAATTTCTTCGTAGCCTGGTGGTAACTCTTGTAAAGAGATTTTGGCTCACCCGACCCAAGATAGACTCTCACCGTAATTCGCGCAAGTTACCAGACGGCGAGGTATCTAATAACTACGTGTGAAGTGTGTAGGATACCTTAGAGGCGAGTTGATCATCGTGAGAAGATTTGTTGAAGCTTCTCAGGGGTTGATGTTTATTTCCCAACTCAAGCGAATCTTCCTATTATTAACATTTACAGGACCAAACTAAATGTCAATCAGCGCAAAGAACACGTCATTCTATGTGTATGTGAAGTCCTTTACTTGCTCAAGGAAGGCATACTGTCTTTGGATGATGATGGTTGGGATTGAGAGTGGGATGTTTGTTGGCCCTCTGTGGGGGCATATGGCTAAAAGTATGAGAGAATTTGCGTAGAGAGTTTAAATTAGGTGATGTCTGTACTATATAGAAAGATGGAGTTGTTGTGTTTGGCGATTGAACTAGAAATGGCATTTGATTGTAGTAGTAACTGAGTAGGTTACCATACGAAGCTTAGAGGCGGTAAATAAACTGGGTATAACGGAGAGATGTCCCCTCCCATCATACGGACAGTACGTTCTTATATATGAGCTGTTATTGATCTGGTATGATCTATATTGATAATAAATTACATGTATATATGCAGTGTATCCTGACCCTCCCAAGGAATTTCAAGGGTATTCATGAGAATAACAGTACTGAAAACGATCAGAAGCAGCTTTTTGAGCAAGAATAACTTAAGTTCCTTCTAAACCAATCAATACCCGACTTGCGGTGGTAAGCTGCTCAGAAACGGAATAAATTTCTTGATCACAGAGAAAGTCCAGTGTAACTAGAACCCTACAATAGGGGCAACCCTGTTGCAATTGTAATTCCAATAGGAGAACTTCATGTCTCTAGAGATACAACTTGGATAATTATTAGTATTACATAAAGCTATATGGCATGAGATTGGGCGCATTGACGCACCAAATACCTCCCCAGGACACGAAAGTGATGACTGAACTCTGTTGTCAATCATCAATATTTCCCGTACCGTGCCCCAACCCTTAATTACCTCGACCCGAAATTTGCTCACGTCGCAAAACACCAAATGTCTTTAGGCAGCTTAAGCCTGCTCGCTTTCTGATTCTAGCTGTACAGATATTAGGCCGCCCTCTTCCTGATCAGAAGTGAGCCGCTCTCTGAATAGGACTAACACGACCCGCACTATATCGGCGACAATTACCCATCAATTGGCTGATTGATTGATTATATTTGAGACATAAAATATCCCAAGAGGTATCATAGACATATGGATATATGTATAATCAGCGTCTTACTGAGCGATACGCTCGACGCGGTTGATGTTCATTGACGTCGGAATAAGCTTAACAGCCTAATGTTTGTAGCAGGCGTAGTATTAAGTTTCGTTTACGACCAATAAACGGGCGAATCGCCTAGTTTGGACCTAATAGCAACTCTATTCCCGAAGACCAACTGACATTTGTATCGAGTCGGCTAGCTTTATATGTGAAAACGGATCGCTTATAGGGGCAACAATCCCCAATCAACATAGAACATTACAACCCAACGCCTTATATGTAGTCTCAAATAGGGAGCATGTCTTCAGAAAAAAAACAAGACTTACCAGAACCAGGAACTTGCTTAGGCCCTAAAACCTTCCATCAACTTCCGATGTCCGCCCGCACGCCACCTGTCTCCCCGGCTCCACCGGGCACATAACACACTGAGGCTGCTAAATTTGCCTTCTCAACCTTAAACCTGCCAGTCGCTAGCTTAGTACTTAAGCAGATTGGCGAGGCCTCGTAGACGTAGTCTTCAAGAGCGGAGAGGTTCAGCTCAGCTCAGATAATTATCGACTTAGGAGAGCTCGGTGAGCGTATCTGTAGCCAAGGCTCTGAAAATGGCTCTCGGAGGTGCATGTGGTGACGAGTGAGAGTTCAGTAAATTTCCTTAGCTCAGTGGTGTCACGTAGTTCCACTGTAATCTCTGATTCTGATCGAGGTGTCAGTCAAAATCAATAAAATAAATATTAGTGGAAAAATGAAAGTGACGATGCGATTTGAGATTTTGTTTAATTAGTGAACATGATCTATTCGCTCGGCGCTAATCTGCTTGAACTGTTATCAAAAACATCAAATTAGTCAATGCTATGACCCGATTGTTGCTCGAATGCGAGGGCTGGCCTGTGGTCAGCGGGTAGTACACTTGAATCGTAGGCTGAAGTGGTTGGGAATGTCGTGACTTTTTTCCTGGTAGGCAACATCTGGACTTCGAATGTTCCCTGATTAGCATAGTATGTTATTCAATCAGTCGAACGAACAACGAACTTGAGGACAATTGGTTGGCCAGTAAATCATTTCCCAGCTACCTCGTCTAGACTTCATTCATCATGAAAGCGCAGCAAATGATTCTGTAAAACAAAAGCATCCCGTTTTCCCATTCCCATCTCTGAACGCCAGATAAGCAAGTGACTTCATCAAATCTAGATGGGTAGATGTAATGACTCTTCTATATCCCAGTCGCCTCACGATAGAAGGTCAGGCTTCTGTTGGCACCGGCTATGCAGAACATCTCGTTGCGTCCCGTTTTAGGTAACCACTTGACGGCCCAGATAGCCTTCTCTGTCTCGCTGTGTGTCGCTACACATACGCCTCTGTCAATTGACCACACCTTTACTTTGCCATCAAAGGCGCCACTGAGTAAGTACTCGCCCGTATCACTCCAGTCAATAGAAGTGATCCACGCCGTGTGGCCAGTCAAATTACCAACGTGTTCACCATGTTTAGTGTCGTAAACAGCAATGACACCTGCATCGCCGGCGGCAGCTAGTCGCGTTCCGGCTGGCGAGAAGGCCACGGTTCGGATTGGCTTGACAAGTCCTAGATCCCGATTAGTCATACGTAGCGAGAACGGAGATATATGACCATGCTAAGATGCGCGACTTACCGGGAAGCGAGTACTGCAACCGGCCTGTGTCATTGTTGAAAACATAGACAGCACCATTTTGATGACCAGACGCCGTGTACTTGCCATCGGGACTCAGGTCTACGCAAAGGCCAAAGGAACCGGAACCAGAGTTGCCAGTTTCATACTCTCGTAATCTTTCCGACCTATCACCTAAGAGATCCCAGACATTGACCCGCCCATCATAGGTAGTAGAAGCCAGGTACTGGCCGTTTTCGCTGAGTGCGATAGCCCACACCTCACCGACCCCTTTGCTTGAACCCTTAGCGGTATCTAATTCCCCATACGGTTCCCAGTCACTACCCGACTCAGCAAGTTTCCATATTTTTGCTTCGCCGCCAAACCCTGCCGAAGCTGCGATCTTCCCATCCTTAGAAACGGCGATGTGGTGACAGCCGAGCTTGTGTGCGCCCGTGAGAGATTGGCCAAGAGGGATGTTAGGTTGTGTGGTGGCGTGTATATGTATCGTTGAAGAGCCGCTAGCGGATAGGAGGGCTGTAGGAGTAGCCGCAAGAGAAAATATGTCGGTTATATGTGCTAAAGGCCATTAGCACGATGTATTATTGAAGCATGAGCTCGGAGCCTTGAGTTGAGAAAGACAATGCTCACCATTGTCGATGGTATGTGTCGTGAGATACTGCTTCGACTATATGTTTGTATATTATTAGTAGAGCGCAATTTCAAGATATGATTCCAATATTGATATTATACATACCATGATTGCTACCGACCCATAGGTGTGGATTTCCTTGAAGCTGTTGTATAGAGGGAGTGGTGGGGTTGATGATGGTCCAGCTAGAAATATTAAATGTGTACCTGAGCTATGGTGGGGTTAAAATGCCAAACAGAAAATTGGGGACTGGGGTGAGACTTCCATATCACATCTAGAATATTACATCACATCCTTCATTCCTGCCTTGCAACACCCCGGGTCTAGAGAGAAAGATTTAAGGTTTCGTTACTTCAAGTTAGTTTTTCATTTTTTAATGACTTCTAGGCAGATCCTCCCATATTCTCTAAGTAAAGGGAACCTCGCAAAGCAAGGTCGTTTGCATCCTACTTCATGAGAACAGCAAAGCTTATGCGAAACAGCCTTACACGGAATGGCATGTGGTTTCCATTGTACATGTATATTACAGTCAATATCTACTGCAGATATTCCTTACTCCTATACCGAAACGCCGGTAGTATGCACAAATTCCACTTTGCTTCATGTTTGATTTGTATGACTGGTAGTGGTTATATATTTTCCCGTAGCCCTTGTGGAACAAATCTACGTATCATTTTGTTTTTGCCTTGAAATCACTTTCCAGCATACCTCCAAGATCTAGGCTCATAACAGTCAGTATTTTGCCAATGAATATGGGTAGAGAACAACTTACGAGCCATGCAACTGGGGCATAGTGTGTGCATCTTCTTTACCTTCCCACAAGCTGGACACCTGTTAAGTGATGTAACATCCTTCAAAGCCTTGCCTGCCAACTGCCTATGTCTCTTCTTCATATGTGATGTCTTTTTCTTGGGCACTGCTCGGAGTATCCCTTCCCATATATCACCTAACAGCTCGGGTATTCTTGAGATGGCAGCGGGGATGGCGATAGCGAGCTCGGGTAACAACGGCAGTGGCGATTTTTGCGCTTGTTGTGTGTAGATGGCAGTCAATCGGAAAGAGGAGTTGAAGCTGCTCGAGGCTATTCTCGGAAAGAGGGAAGAGAAAACTGAGGCTATTCGCAGTTGCTGTATGGCGGCCATGGTTGGTGATTTGAACGGGCGAATTGCCCGCTGTTGCCGGAATTGAAGAGATCTAGATTATCGCATAAATATAGTGGCTCTTTCCGACTATGTATCTCGGGTTTCACTTCGTATGCGAAGACTATGATTGGTATTTGCGATCGTGAATGAGTATGTCGTCCGTTGAGAGCACTTGAGCTTATCGTCATCTAAAAAGTTTCTAGCGCAAAAGATCGATTTGATAGGTCAGTAGCTTCCAGTTTTCCCAATCCTAGTGGCCATCTGCCCATCAGCCGGCATCAAAGCACGTACGACTCTGAGACCCCGGCTACGACCCGCTTTAGTTAGTATGCACGGACTTAATTCAACCTATCATAACCTGCCAACCCCCTTTCCCCTTTCTTCTGGTGCCCAGCCTAATCTGCACCTTCTTTAAGGAAATTATTGTTTGGCAGGAAATCGCAGGGAGCAATCAAGAGAGGATCCATTCCCCTTCACGTCGAAAAAATTACCAACCGACACGAACCTTTAACCTTCTCTTCTTCATCATCATCAACTTCAAATTCTGCCTAGCATCAGAGCTCATCTCGTCTTACTCTGATATTCGTTCGTTCTTCCAATTGCCAAAGTAGGCTATTTCTTGGAATAGGAGTGACATTTTAATCCATTCATTAATTTGATCGGATAAAGCAGAAGCAATGGCGACGCAAACCATCTACCCTAACAGCCACGTCGGTTTCGACAGCATCACCTCTCAGATTGAGCGCAAGCTCTTGAAGAGAGGCTTCCAGTTCAACGTCATCTGCGTTGGTAAGTTATCCCTTAATTTTTTAAGCTATATGCAGGTTGTCCGATGACCGCTATTTCAACATCGCGACCTAGTTCGTATAGCTGACGTGTCTCGTGTTGTGCTATAGGCCAAACTGGTTTGGGAAAATCGACTCTGATCAACACCATCTTCGCATCCCACCTTATCGACTCCAAGGGTCGATTGGTTCCCGATGAGCAGATTCGATCTACCACCGAGATCCACCCCGTGTCGCACGTTATCGAGGAGAATGGCGTCCGCCTGAAGTTGAACATCGTCGATACCCCGGGCTACGGCGATTTAGTCAACAACGACCGCTGCTGGGACCCCATCGTCAAGTACATCAAGGATCAGCACTCCGCGTACCTACGAAAGGAGCTCACAGCACAGCGAGAGCGTTACATCCCGGACACCCGTATCCACTGCTGCTTGTTCTTCATCCAACCTTCTGGACATTCCTTGAAGCCCATCGACATTGTTGTGTTGAAGAAGCTTTCGGATGTCGTCAACGTCGTACCCGTCATTGCCAAGGCCGATACCTTGACTCTGGAGGAGAGACAGGCTTTCAAGGAGCGCATTAAGGAGGAGTTTGCTTTCCACAACCTCAAGATGTACCCCTACGACAACGACGAGCTTGATGAGGAGGAAAAGTCTATTAACACTCAGATCAAGGTAATTCATATGCATACTTCTCATACTGTGACATTTACTAATACTATATCCAGAGCCTCGTCCCTTTCGCTGTTGTCGGTTCCGAGAAGTCGATTATCGTCAACGGCAAGCAAGTCCGCGGCCGTCAGAACCGATGGGGTGTTATCAACGTTGAGGACGAGAACCACTGCGAATTCGTCTACTTGAGGAACTTCTTACTCCGAACGCACCTCCAGGATCTCATCGAGACCACTTCACAGATCCACTACGAGACTTTCCGTGCCAAGCAATTGTTGGCGCTCAAGGAGAGCAGCGCACAAGGCCACGGAAGCCGTCCGATCAGCCCCGCCGCGGATCGCGAGATCAGCAGGAGCTCTCAACGAATGACCATGAATGGTTACTAATTATTCGTTCCTTTTTGTGTCTGCTTTCTACGAGGCGTTCCTCGGTTTCAGAGGCTTTCCCATCCTTGCGAGAGGTCCCTAATTACCCCCTTACGACTATTACAATGATCTACTCACCGATGGCTATGGCGTGACATTGGGAGGGCAGCTCATTTCAAGAATGGCCATGATAATCCCAAAAGTTAATTTGGGATGGGATACCAAAATTTTCTGTGTGGAAGACGAGTGTGCGTTAGGAGGCGTGTTCTAAATGAAGGCCTACATGACTGACCCCCTATTGGGTTGTCCGAGCCTTGTTATGTGTGTTTTGGCCAAGCATACAGTTATTCCATCTACACAGTCTGGCGACTCGACGTTCTTATTATTTCCTTTTTTTAGTATTCCCCCGAAGCTCTATTCATCTTCTCTAAAGCTGCTAAGATTAATCCGTGGTCAAGCCTCTTACTGTACTCTAATAGAGTTCGCTCTGATACCTGATGGAATAAATACGAGACTTATGCCCAACACCCCTTTTTGGACTTGTGAATTCTAAACCACATCTTGCTCTTTGGTATATAATCCCTAACCGTTATTAGGTAGTATTGTCTATCATCTAGATCCAGATCGGCTCCAATCGAATTATATAGAATTTCCAGTCTATGCAAGCGGCTTGTAAACAAAATCTTCTAACTCCTTGTAGGCCTTGTCGAGGTTATCGTTGACAATGATTATATCATGCACGCCCGGGGTATCTGCATATTCGAGCTCCTCCTTGGCTCGATCCAGTCTGGTTTGGATGGACGCTTCCGATTCGGTGCCCCGGCCGCGCAGTCGCTTTTCGAGCTCCTCGAAACTTGGGGGCTTAATGAAAGCAAAGCGCGCTTCTATGCCGCTCTTCTTAATTTGTTTGACTCCCTAAATTTTGCGCAGTATCGTTTAGCATGTTAACCTACTACAGCGTAGGTCTTACTATATCGTAAATATCCCTTCTTTCCACCAAAGTTTCCTCTTCTTTCGACTAGTAATGCGACATTGTAGAAATTCAGGACTCACTTCCATCTCGATATCCAAGACCACAACACGCCCCTTAGCGGTCTGGTCAGCAATAGTCTGCTTAGAAGTGCCGTAGCGGTTTGACCCGAACTGGGCGTGCTCGACGAAACCGTCGGCCTTGACCAAGGCCTCAAACTCGTCCATGGAGACGTAGTAGTAGTCGACGCCGTGGGCCTCCCCAGCACGCGGCGACCTCGTTGTGTGAGAAACTGATAGCGCGAAACATTCCGGGTGCGAGTCGAAGAGTCTCTTGAAGAGCGTGCCTTTCCCTACACCTGAGGGACCAGATATTACGACCGGGCGGTGGTCTTGGGGGAGTGTTGCTGCTGAGGGTGGCGTATTAGCGGGGTTCCAGTCTGACTGTTGCCACTTTCTCTACATGACACGCATGATACGAATTCGAGTTCGAGTTCGTAAATTCGGTGGCTAGAGGGTGGAGGGACAGAGAAACACGGGAAACACACCAGGAGCCATGATTGTTGCGCTTCTTTGGGCGGGGGTGTGAGCGTGGGCCGCCAACGACGACGATGCGCAACGGAGGAGGCGGGGAGAGGGTACGGGTTTATGAATACAGAGTCTACGCAAGGAGGATGCCGTCGAATAGGTAAGCATATGATGATTATTTCGGCCGATTTGTACCGCCACTCTTTTTTTCTCCTTCGTTGTCACACAACAGAATGACTGCAGTTAATTGATACGGATACAGCCCGGAGGTAGTGGACCCTCAGATTTTCGCTGTCCTAGCATAAACCCCGCTAGTTTGGGGTTTGTGGTGAGGCTGGTGCATTTTGCCCAATGGTGGCTAATGCATGCGCTCAGTGCCCAGTGATGCATGATTGTGGCTGGTGCATCTGAATCAAATGTGGAGGTTGGCGCTTGCCGCTGTTCTGCATTAGAGCATGTCCGCAATTCCATTCAATTTGGCACTCGGCGCCGTCTCGACGCTAGTACCGATTTCGATTGACGAGTGCTCCCTAAAACAGGGGTTTGTCTAGCACAACTCAGGGACCCCGGAATTTTTCCCTCTTTTTTTTTATTCTAACAAATTTGAATGGATTCCAGATCGCATGGATCTTCAGGGGAAATAAGCCAAATGGACTAATGGCACCGAGGCGGACCTCGAGGGCGAATTGCGATTGTCGCCGGTATCCACGCGCACAGAAAACAGACGGTGTTTCATCACTCCTACAAACCTGCGCCCATATCTGCATGGAAGAACGGCTGTGACGTCGTTGTAGAACACTCCGAAACTGAGACATCGACGAACAAGTGGAGGGTAAAGAAAAACTACAAGGAATAGCCTATCCCTTTTTGCCAAGATGAAGGTGGTAATTGTTAGTGAGGTACATCGCACTTCGTGGCGCTCGTGGGTCGTGGAATACCACCACTAATATACAACACTAATACCACAATAGAAGTTGACCCTCGTACACCCGATGGATTTGACAACATATTTTGACCTAACCTACCCTTGGTATTACCATACAACGTAGTAGGCAGGTAACAGACGCTTCACCCGAGACCTCCAATAGGCTATAACGGCATCATTGGCATCATTGGCGCCATTGGCATCGTTGGCATCGTTTGCATCTATGTTCTCGTTATTCTCGTATTAAAGCTTATGGAAAAGAATATGCTAGACCGCCAGCCAGTTTGTTAGAAGTGGGCAGGTAGGTAAAATAATATTTGTTTTCTTTCTGGGGAATGATCAACCCCAATATATCACCTATGTGGTTGCATCCCATAGTCCTGATTGGGTCGGGTTCAAAGAGGCAGTTTGCGAGTAACGAGAAAACAGAAACGGCACAGCTACCAACAAGCAGTATAACAGGATGCAACAAATAAATACTAGCAGCATGTAGTAAAAAGAGAAAACAGAGAAAAGTAGATCATTTGATCCATCAGGAGTAATTAGTAGGTATATCGGTGAAACTACCTACACTACATAGTACAAGATTAAGTAGGGATCAATCATGAAGTGTTCATGGATTCGCATAAATCTCGACAGTGTTTTTTGATGGTGTCATCTTATAGAATACGGTGGGTTTTAGTGTTCTTACCCGTCTGACGGGTGGTAAAATAGCAACAAAAATCAACAAACTACAGAAAACACAGTTAAATACAGTGTGAGCGGATAGAACCTAATTAGGTCTAATTAGGTCAGATTATCTAGTGCTAGTGTCAGTGAGAGCAAAAGGGACGGGCCAATTCTAGTTGAGTTACCGCTAACTTCGTATTTATGGAGCTTTCCTACTTGGGATGGATCTTGAAGTGTTTGACCAATCAAGTTCCCCACCGCGATTTATTACTGCAACAAAGCCGCCCTTGTCAGCTGCTAAAAACCCCTCGTAAGGTGCAGGTGCAGACGAGACCGAAGACAATGATTGGCATCGTGTCAAATGTACCCAGGTAACATTCGCTTGTGTTGTACCTGCACTCACTTTCCTTCCCAAGCACCTACTCCAATCATTCGACTATAGGTATCTTACCTTTTCTCCCTCCCTCTTGTACCCAACCCTCTGTCACTCTTTCCCAATCATCAATTTACCTTATTCTTAACTCGCTTCTTTTTCTCGACACTTTCTGTCAAGGATCACTCTCTTTAGTCCTTTTTACAACAATCGTTTTTTGGCCACCGGCCTATTCTAGTCGCTCTCTCAGATACCTATTTAAAAAAGACTACATTGTGTCGATCGCGATAGTCTGCAACGGTGGAAAATAAACGACCTTGGTAGATATTTATTAGGAAACACCGAGATCTACCATCAACACTAGAAAAGAACTTCACCACGTCCAAGTTCTAACCACACCCAACCTATAGGAATTCACGTCTAACAATGTTCGTGAAATCCGCGCTCGTCGCCTTAGGCGGCGCAACCCTAGCGGCTGCTGTCACACCTCTCGAGGTTCAGGGCAGTCAGTTCGTAAACTCGAAGACCGGAGACGCATTCCAAATCGTCGGTATGGCTTATCAAATTGGTGGAAGTGCCGGTTATGATCCAAGTCATGGAAAGGATCCTCTATCTAACGGAGCTATCTGCAAGCGTGATGCCGCGCTCATGCAAAATTTGGGAGTGAACACAATCCGAGTCTACAACTTGGACCCTAACCTAAACCACGACGAATGCGCCAGTGTCTTCAATGCTGTAAGTTTAACTATGTCAACCACTCGCGCTATTTTATACTAACCGTATCACTCAGGCGGGCATGTACATGATCATCGATGTCAACTCGCCCCTCGCTGGCGAGTCTCTCAACAGTGGTGCGCCTTGGGAGTCGTACTATGCTGGTTACTTGAACCGAACCTTCGCTATTGTCGAGTCCTTCAAGTCTTACCCCAACACTCTCGGATTCTTCTCCGGTAACGAAGTCATTAATGATGTCAAGACCGGCGCTACCGTCCCCCCTTACGTTCGTGCTGTCACCCGTGACCTCAAGAACTACATCAAGAACCATGCGGACCGCGCTATTCCCGTTGGATATTCCGCCGCCGACGTCCGTGACGTCCTCGAGGATACCTGGAACTACTTCCAGTGCGCCATCGATGGCGATGCCAACGACATGTCTCGATCTGACATGTTTGCCTTGAACAGCTACTCGTGGTGCGGTGAAAGCACCTTCCAGGAGTCCGGATACGACCAGCTGGTTGCCTTGTTCAAGTCAACTTCCGTTCCCGTCTTCTACTCTGAGTTCGGTTGCAACACCCCCTCTCCCCGTGTTTTTACCGAGATCGGCACCATCTACGGTGATCAGATGACGGGAGTTTTCTCAGGTGGCGTCGTGTACGAATACGCCCAGGAGAAGAACAACTATGGTCTTGCTCAGTGCAACGACGATGGAACCGTTGAGCTCCTTTCTGACTTTGCTACTCTCCAAAGCCAGTACAAGAAGGTTGACTTCACCAAGGTTCAAGCTGTCAAGGCTGTCAACTCTAAGGTTTCCGCTCCCGTGTGCAAGTCTAGCTTAATCAAGGAGAAGGGATTCTCTAACAACTTCACCCTCCCTGCTGTCCCCCCTGGAGCTCAGACCATCATTGACAACGGTGTCTCCCCTAAGCCCAGCGGCAAGATCGTCTCTATCAGCGATTACTCTGTCACCCAAAGTGTTAAGGATGCCAACGGCAAGGCTGTCTCGAATCTTGCTGTCAAGCCCCTTGCTGATGACGCCTCCAACACCCCCGGTACCACTAGCAGCAGCACTTCCTCCTCAAGCTCATCCGGCTCTTCTACCTCCGGCAACGCTGCCCCCACACTGTCACCTCAGGGCGCCGCCTCTGCCGCAGCCATGATTATCCCGGCGGTCGTCGCCTTGTGCTTCACCGCGGGTTTCACGCTGATCTAGGCAATCGGTTGAATAGTCGTCTGAATAATGAAGTTTTGCCTTGTTTTTTCCACTAAGTATAGAAGTGGGGTATGACCGTGCTTTTTTGATGTGTTGCTTTATTCCCCCTCTTGTAATTGTTTTTCGGACGTAGGCACAGGGAGGTTAGGGCTTCTTTGTATCTTAGGTTACATGTGCGCTTTTGTGCAGTACATAAGAAGTCCAATTTTGGTATCTTTTTTGACAACGCTCTCTCCAGTTCCTTGTACATACGCCATCTGGTGATTCGAACGAGTTGGGTGACAAGATCTATCAAAAGAGCCCCTGTGCCTGAGTTGAAAGCGGCGGATAGATGTTTTCGATTCTAGAATATAATGAAAATAAAACTGGACAGTTGAAAATTTAAGTGCCGATAGTTTTTCGAGTCTTTGTGATTCGCCATGTGCTTTGCTATTGTTATATGCATGAATAATCATTAAATCGGCATTTGTTCAGAGTACATTACGTCGGTTTCTGATATCCTGTGATGCTATTCCCCAATGGATTCCATCCCCTATATCCAGCCTAATCTACAGCCTCGTTGGGTTGAAATGCTCAGCCCCGTAGTGTATTAATTAGTGTAGGTTCATATTTGCCTCTCAAATTATGAATTATACATCATACATACGTAGGTATTGAAATTTCCATGTCGTATTGGCTTAGAGTCTTCAAGTTAATTACATAGTAGCCAAGTTCTTATGTTAGTGTCATCATAGCCCCTTTCAGAGTAATTCCCACGTCAGCAATCACCAGTTTCTCAACAAGATATTTCATGATTGAAATATAGATTGGGATTCCTCTCAAGTTCAATCTGAATTATTTAGTAGATCGAGATCGGTGGGTGACGCGAAGGTGGATAAGTGCCATAGCACCAATCCAGCTCTGCCACGACTATGACTGGGCCCTACTGGGCTTATTACTCACAGCCTTGAGGTATTTAGAAAAGAAATGCATATAAAGACGTGCGACTATAGAATCCATGTGCCTTAGTCTTTGATGAATAAGTTAACGTAAGCAGCACATATTCACAATGGCGACCATCCAGACAATAGTCAACGAAGCGAGCGAAATGATCACAATAGAGACAGTGCAGAACAAATATATGACAGAATATATCTGGGTCATGAATACATTATCTTATTGGATTGGTCAGAGCTTTTCTAGAACAAAGAACTATGAGACAAGCAATCCGTAAGTATTATTTCAGCAGTTCCCATTGGCCAGGCCCAGTTCATAACCATTGTGTCGGCTTGCTTTCCTGAGGTAATGTGCGCTGATTACCCGAATAACCGTGCCACTTGCTAATTACGTGGGTAGCAATGGTGATTATGGGTCCCAAATATGGAGTTGGCGGTAACATCTGAAGATGACCTTCGAGAAGTGTTCTGTCAATTTTGACTAGGTGCGATACGGCGGGCGCTGGTATAAGTGTACGGGGTAAACCATCGTTGTCCCTCCTGCGACTTCAGACATAATCGGGGAAGGTGGCGGGTGGCATATGGTAGAACAGGATGACCGGACTCTTCAGAATTGTTCAACGTTGTCCAGGACACGTCCGAAATTCTCAGGTCCATATCACAAGATGAATCACAACAACACACAGATTGTGCTTCCAACTCCGCCACTCATTCAAAAGAAATTCTCTAATAAACAGACTCCTCGCCCTTGCGGCGCCTTCTAGCAACATGTCAACAACACGCCGCGTTCGAGATATCCTAGACGCAACAAGAGACCACATATCCATCATGTCAGGAAGATACCGCATCTCGCCTATTGACTTCGACCAGCTCTATGAGCTGTACCAAGAAGACACCTCTGCCAAGGGACTCTATGAGTTCATTGTCGACCGTAAGTATAGATTGCCATATACCAGAATTTCCTATGATGCTTGCTGACATATCTTTCCCAGACCCAATCACCCATAGCATAGCGGGTAGACTTAACGCAAGGCCTATTGATGTGCTCGCAACTATGGTTGGCAAGACAGTAGACACCTGTCAAGAAGAGTTGGAGGCTGGTAAGCACATCTCAGAAACTATTACTCAAAGGCGGAAATCATAGGGTAAGTGTGACTAACCGCCTGCGCAGAGAAAAAACTATACCAAGCGGCCGCAGAGAGAGCTGCAGCGAAAGCAAAGGACAAGAAACCAGAGGGTCTGGAAGCCATCAAGGAAGGGGAGAAGCCGCAAAACAACGAAGATGGCAATCTAAAAAAGTGATGGAACTCATGGATTCCGTAATCTTTGTTCACCGGAAAGGAGTTTAGGGATAAGGGCGTTGGGATGGTAGACTGCACATCTGGGCGGACTAGTCTTTTAGCCGGATGGGATTTCATATACAACAAGTTTATACCCTTCCTGCAATAAGGATCTTCTTTGTCGGGCTTAGAATTACCTTCAAGTGCTTTTTAAATACTAATTTTCTTACCAGCTATAGGGCTTTCCCTACGTGCTACCTACAGCGATGTGTGTGACGATCTTACGTGTCAATTCGTTTTCAACATCACTAAGCATGTAACGCAAATTCGCTGTTGTCGTATCTACTACCTACCACCACTATTTTATCGGTAGGTATCTGGTGCCATGTTCTCGGTTTTCTCCCACTTGGTACCGTATTGCTTGTGCTATTATTGGATTCCTTGTATTTACCCCTTAACCCCACCACTTGCGGAAGGCATACAACGTCCATCCCATCAACCAGGTAAGAGCTCATATTAAATCAGAGATATGGCCTGTGTATTGAGTAAGCGAGTACCAATGGATTTTATAGACTTACCTAGGCAGTTGCTTTGCAAATTAGTAGGTAGAGGAGACCTCTTAAGCCTGTCTCTTCGAAAGGATAGGGAAACAGCACTAAGTAGTAGGGGGTACTCGCCTGTTAACACCACCAGTGAACCCCTTCCCTCTTGAATAGGGGCCCCAGAAAGTCGAGAGCCACTCTTCTTAGACAACCTATCACCCGCTTTTGCATTTATGTGAATGTCCTTTTTTACAATGCGAGGGCTACCCTGTTCTAGGGTTGCAAGACCACGCGAATTCCTTCTCTTTCAAGATGAACGACGCTATCGTCAACCTCGATAGTCTCCTTCCCTCTCCCCTAATATTCTGGAATAGGCGGGGGCACACGGGTACCCCTCTTGGACGGGATAGGGACCCTCACCGGAACACAGGTCTGTCATATAGATAATTTGGATTCCTTCTTTGAAAATTTTCAACTTGCCCACAACACCAAATCTCCCTAGCTCCCCCCCATTCCCAACACAAGCTAATTACCACATTTTCTTGTGCTCAACCATTATCGATCACCACCATGCCTGATGAGAAGGATCTCGAAAGTGGTCACAATAGTGACCAGGAGGTTGGCGAAAATATTGACCGAGAGATTGACCAGGAGATTGACCAGGAAACCAACCAGGAGGATGGCAACGTGCCTGAAGCCGATGTCTGCCTTGATCCCGAGGACGAGGTCCACCAGCAGATCGACTGGGCCATCTGTCTCCAGATCTGCCTCGACCATCTCACGCTTAATGACAACGAATGGTCCCCTCTTCGAGGTACGTATCTATATTCTATAAGTAATCTGCGACTCTCACGCCGCGAGGTACTAATTAAAGATGGCAGACAACTTCTTCATTACGATCGCAGTTCTTCTAGGCATGGGTCCGGATGACCTCGTCCAACTCCTGAGTCACCACGACCTCCAATATGGCCCTTTACGCTTCCTGGAAATTTACATTGACCTCATGCTATCCAGTAAGCCTAAAGAACCACCGATTTGGGAATAAAGAAGGCTAATTTTAGATATTCTAGGCATCGCTGAACGCCTTACATCCCATGCAGGCGAGGATGCAGGCAAGGATGGAAGCGAGGATGAAGGCGACAACGATTCTGGTATCGAACCTGATGCCGAACCCGAAGTCGAACGCGATGCTGAACCCGAAGCCGAACGCGATGCTGAGCGCGATATGGGATCCGAGAAGCAGTGAAGCATGAGAAGAATACGCGCTCAGAGAACATGACAACGGCACTAATAATTTCTGAGCTGTAAACCTCTGAGATCATGGGATCAATGTCTTGCGATGGATATTTGGCTTGTGCGACTGAGTTAAGGCAATTATTAGGGCTTGACTACTGTTCTTAAGGTCCTACCTGAATAAACTGTCTTCTATTATTACATGACTTTCTTCGTGATAGTAAACATACCAAATGGCTAGATAAATAAAATGAGGTTGGCACTCCAATTCGACCTCGGATGTCTTTCCATCGAGTCTTCCTTCGAACTCGGTGATAATTGCTTAAATGCGATACTATCATGTGATATGAATACTGGAAATGTTTCCTTTCGTAATTATAGCTTTGTGCTGTTAGGGTAGTGAGAGACGGTTGGTTTGGAACCCCGTTGTTATGGACGGCCATACAGCCAATTTAGGTTGCAAAACGTTGCTTTATCTGCGAATATCGACGAAGAAGAAAAACATACTTAACTTGAGCTAATAGTGCCTGTCTAGGTGGTTATTCAGGGGTAAAAATAGGGGGGAGTGCTATGTGGGTCTGTATCACGTGAAGGCGTTCACCTTTCGTGTTGCCCCGCCAATTTCTCAAAGCCACAGCCGAGAATCCCCCACGTCATTCGACAATCCATCTGATTCCAGACCCACAATTCCTACACAATCCATCTCAACCAATCCGTTTCGCTTTATTGTCATCTCAATAATCATCCTAATCTTTCCAATCCTCCCACTAAAGTACCTACCTATATCAATTATAAACTAGCATAATGCCTAGTACCAAGCGTTCCAGTGGCAATAGCCGCATCAATGGGAGACAGTCGACATTGTCTTTCAACCACCGGGTCACCAAGTCCCTGCCCAAGTCAGCCAAGGACCTGGACTCCAAGCCAGTGAAGCAGAGCCCATTAGCGACCCATGTATCATCCATTAAGTTGGAAGAGCCGGCTAGCAACGAAGAACGGGCGATCAAGGATGAGTTTGAGGAAAAGCCAATTAAGGATGAATTCGAAGAAGAGCCCCAAGTCGCGCAGCCGGAACCGAAAGTGGAGCCTGAAAAGTCCGAGGCGGAGTTGCGCGCGCAGAAGATCACCGATCAACAGATTAATAGGTATTGGCGAGGACTAGAAAACGAGCGTAGAGCGAAGAGAGTCCACCAAGAAGACCTAGCTTTAGCGGAGAAGGTCTTGCGATATTGGGATGTCAGTTCGCAGTATGGGGTTAGTTCTTACCTTTCTTTTCTTTTTCCTTGACGATCGCGAAGATCGAGATTCTAACGCACTTGGATAGCCTTGTGTTGGGATGGACCGCCTGAAGCGATGGAAGCGGGCTGAAAAACTAGGTCTCAATCCGCCACTAGAGGTCCTCGCTGTGCTACAGAAGGAAGAGACGAAAGGCACCAAAGGCATTGAAAACACACATATGGATGAGATTCTCAATTCGACCGCTATTGGTGCCATCTAAGATTGGGCACGGGGTGATGACCGGTTTACGTCTGATGGTGGAAACTATATATTATGGCGGGAAATGGCGGGGCCTTTGTTCCTTGAGATGCTCATGATGCTTTTGCGCTGGCGTTGGGGATTGTTGATATTTGCTCTGCTGGATTTGCTAAGACTCACTTGCAATTGGCTAAAAATACCACGTGATTTCAATCCTCTCTTATCTTCTGCTAGTAACTATCACTCATGAAATCGATCGTACAGTCCGCCTTAGATCCAATAACTTAATACCAGATACTTCTCGTCCGATGATGCGGTAAAGTTTCCTTCCCTTCGGCCTCCAGTTGCTTCATTGTGTCGTATAAGAAAAAGTCGATCAGAATAGCATTGATCTTCGCCTCTGGATGCTCGCGTTTGATTTCGCGCCTGAGAAGTTCTACGCACCAAATGCTACAAGCTGTGATGTTTCAGCACTGAGAAAAAATGGAAATCCGCAGGAAGCGGAGTTAAGAGGACTAATACTGACCTCTGAGTTGCATTTCGTAGCTGCTTCCGCTTTCTACTACATCCCCCCTTGTCACCATTGCATACAGCGGCGGGCTGTAACCGATACAACCCAAGGTAGACAGTATCTGTGGTACGCGATAGTCGGCAAACATGGTAATCTTGTCGATATCTCGGAACTCTCCGTAGCCCTCGCCATTGAAACAGGCCCAGATATCCGCCACCAAGATCTGGGCGCGCTTGAGGAAGCGGATGGGTTTGCGTCGGCTTTCAAACTTAAACTCGTCTCTAAAGCAGTCGAAGTCTCGCGCGAGAAGGTTCACCAGCCCAGCGGCTGACTTGTTGGCAGCTTCTATGCATTTCGTGAAGCTGCAGTTATATTTCTGCAGGGAACCGATGCGCGTTGGCGATGCGTTATCTCCATTTTGCTATGTCGTTTGGGTCAACCTACTTCGTATAAAACCTGTCCTGCTTCTCTCAGACAAGAAAGCCGTGCATCTAGCAAAGGCATCTCTTCATCGGTACACGATCTGAACACGTGCTTTAGGGACTCAATGTTGCACTCCTCCTCGTTCTGCCAGTAGTGCGGATCGGTAATGGGGATATCTTAACACAGACATTAATTACGCCCCGTATGAAGGTACGAGGTATTCAAAAATCAGACTGGAATTGAGGAGAAATTCAATAAACAAGTCAGTCAAAATGTTTATTGCTAAAAAATCATTGCCCACCTTCTTCCAACGCTCTCTGCAAAGCGGCGACCAAGCTCCAGTATCCGGTCCAAGTCTTGTCGCGGTAAGAGATAGCAAAACGCTCATCCTCCGGGCGCAAGGACCAGAATGAGAAGTTGAGTAGATCCATAGTAAAGATGAATGCGACGGTGGATTCATCTTTGGTTTTGGGGTGCAATTCGTGTTCCGACCAACTCTCAGTCGAGAACTCTTTCTGTTTCATCTGTTCATGAATCAAAGCCGCCGCATTCTTAGTTGCTCTCATATTCAAGGCGACATCGATCGAGTTATCATAAACATATTCGGCGCCCTCTAAAACACCTGTCTCAGGCTCATCATCTAGGTTAAGCTTCCCTTGAAAATGCTGCCTTAGGAGAGCAAGAAGCTCTGGATCTGCCTCATCATCAGACATTATGGTAATCTTTAGGTACTCGAAGAATCCGGTTCTAAATCGAGATTAGTAGAAGTTGTTTGTGCCTTTAGATCAATGTCGAAGTCTTAGACATTGTGGGGAACTGGAAAGATCTGTGAAACGGAAGCCCAACGTCAATCTACTCTGTATATGTAGCTGGGATATTAATGGGAAGAAGGATTGTTAAATCTAATTTCAATGATAGTATCTGGGTATCCTGTTCAAGTAAAGGAGTAAAATCTCAGCCTTGAAAAATGTGTCATAACTTGAAGAGGCTCTTGAGCTAAATACCCTTTTTTTTTAATGAGGTAGGGATGATCTCTGGGTCTTGGGAGAGTCTTCGGTATTGAAAAGCACGGGCCATCCAATGATGTGCAGCTTACGACCTGACTTTGGAAATTAATGGGCACTCAAGACATTCACACCAATGGCGTCACTTCCCGTCAGCCCCACGAGCACTAGGCACTTCGTACATACATATGTACACATCAAGATGTACCTTCCCATTTCTCACATGTATTTAAGTACCTCCTCGTATGTACCTTGTACAGCTTGACCCTGCCGTTGCATCTAGCAGGTGCTTGCCTATTTGATTTCAGCACCTAAGCAGCTAAAAGGCCCAGATCCTAGGCAGTTCCAGGTCCCGATTGCCCGATTGTGCGAGGTCATACATGTTACCTAGCAAAAGTAGCAGGAGCCCGCGTCACAACACACTCTCACTCTCGGTTGCAATTGAGCCACTACTGCGCGAGCATTTCCCAAGGCTGGCAGCTGCCTTTGTTAATAACGGCCATCCTATCCATCGTCTCATCAACTTTAACTTCGCGCGCATCCTACTCTTTGTTTTTTCTCTTTTTATCTTTTCACAACCACCAGTCTCGATCTTCGGCGCCAATCCAACTTCCCATTCCGTATTCTATCACTTCCCATCCATTACATCATATGCATCGACAAGAGATCATCCCAGACAGTGACTTGGGTAGCTAGGTGTTCACGATGGCAGTAGCCCGAGATACCTATAATCGTCGGTCGCTTGGCCCGACACTGAATAAGAATGTGAAAGAGGTAAGTCACCTATATGCATGACTATCATGCGCAGTATGATCCCATTTGCGCCATGCATCTCCCTGCAGCTGCGCGCATCGTGAAAAGAACGGTATCATGTCAGGTTAGAGTGGTTGTTTGTGACTCTTAACTGCTGCCCCAAGCACGTTTGCGCAACAACACCCCGTCGACGCTTTTAAACTACCGCATGCGCCAGAACTTGTCTTTCTCCATTTCGATATCGTCCAGATTTCATACAGGATGGAATTATTTGCGGTTCTCGAGCTTAAATTCACGCGGCTAATACAAATTTCACAGGCCCGAGTCCTCATGGTCGGTGCTGGCGGCATTGGCTGTGAACTCTTAAAAGACCTCGTTAAAACAGGTTTCGGTGAAGTACATATCGTCGATCTCGATACCATCGATTTGAGCAACCTTAATCGCCAGTTCCTCTTCCGACAGGAACACATCGGAAAGTCGAAAGCCTTGGTACGAACGGATCGGGGGCTATATGATATGGCATGCAGAATAACGTACTGATAATTTGAGCAGGTAGCCAAGGAGATAGCTGGAAGTTTCAATCCAAACGTCAATATTGTCGCACATCACGCAAATATCAAGGACTCTCAGTTCCACGTCGAATGGTTTAGAAGCTTCAAGCTCGTTTTCAACGCGTTGGACAATCTCGAGGCGCGACGCCATGTGAATCGAATGTGCCTAGCCGCTGATGTTCCCCTAATCGAAAGTGGTACGACAGGATTCAACGGACAAGTCCAAGTTATCAAGAAAGGTGTTACGGCTTGTTATGACTGCACTACCAAGGAGGCGCCCAAATCCTTCCCCGTCTGCACGATCCGAAGCACGCCAAGTCAACCCATTCATTGCATAGTCTGGAGTAAAAGTTATCTTCTCAACGAGATCTTCGGCACGAGCGAGGACCAAGCTACCCTCGATGTTAGCGAGAACGAAGATAATGCGACGGAAATCGCGGAGCTGAAGAAGGAAGCCGAAGCGCTGAGGATGATCCGAGAGTCTGTTGGCACAGAGCATTTCTCTCAAATGTTATTCGACAAGGTTTTCGATGCAGATATCAACCGCCTGTGCTCCATGAAGGATATGTGGAAGTCAAGAGAACCGCCCAAGCCTATTGAATACAAGACATTGGTAGTTCGAGCATCTGAGGCCATCGTGTCCAAAGATCAGGTCCTCAAGGATGGACAGCGTGTATGGACCCTAGAGGAGAACCTTGCAGTCTTTAACGACAGCTTGGACCGCTTAAGTAAGCGAATGTTGAAACTGCTAGGCGAGCGTAAGGAGGGCGAACCAAAGCCTACTATCAATTTTGATAAAGATGACGAAGACACTCTTGACTTTGTTGCTGCAAGCGCAAACATTCGATCACATATCTTCGGAATCGAGGGCAAGTCACGTTTCGATATCAAGCAGATGGCTGGTAACATCATCCCGGCCATTGCAACCACCAATGCGATTGTCGCTGGCCTTTGTGTTCTTCAATCTTTCAAAGTTCTCCGAGGAGAATATGACAAAGCACGAGAGGTAAGTAGTAAAAATAAAAACAACTCCCCTAAATTGAGAAGCGCTGCTAATGTTTTAGGTCTTCCTGACACCATTTGCTCCTCAAAGATTGCTCGGAACAGATCGCCCTCGACCGCCCAATCCAGATTGCCCAGTCTGTGGTTGCTTCAATACTACCGTCCAAGTGGATTTATCAAGAGCAACACTCAACGATCTGGTAGAGGACATCGTCAAAGTACAACTAGGTTACGGCGAGAAGGAATTCGCAGTTAACAGTGATGCCGGTCTGGTTTATGATCCGGATTTGACAGATAACCTCGAAAGGACGCTGGGTGAACTTGGTTTGTACTCACTTCTTCTAGCTTATTAACGATTCTAACAATAAATAGGCATCAAGCAGAATGGCTTTATTACCATAGTCGACGAAGATGACGAGGATCCATTCATCAACGTCGTCATCAATATTCAAGAAGCGTAAGTTGTATTACAACTTCGATTTTGCTAATTACTAACCTGTTTTCACAGTGAGCTTGCTGATAAGCCTATCAAGGGCCTCGAAGTAGACCAAGTCCCAACTATCCCTCGCAAGCCGAAGAAGGTTCTGCCCGTGGAGAGTAACGGTATCAGTCAGACTAATGGCAAACGTTCTGCCGACGGAGAAGTGTCCGCTAAGGACCCTAAGAAACGTCTTAGATCAGATGATGGGGGGTCGTCACCAGCTAAAAAGGCTAAGAACGGTAACGACGACGACGTGGTTATCATTGATGATGACGTTGGCACCGGAGCTATCGAGATCCTGGACGATTGAACGTTCGTTACCTTAGCTCCAGTAGATTGCGCACAGCCTACGTCGCGCTCAGACCTCCATCGATATTGAGGACGCAGTTATGTGCGTAGGAACATTTGGCTAGGAATAATGCGGCTTCCGCCACCTCGTCGGCCAATCCTAAGCGCCCCATTGGGATCAAGGCTGAAAGCTCGCCGTTGTTATCCATACCTATGGCAAGGTTTGTATATTAGTAATCGTGTACTTCGTACGGAAGATTGGGGGATAGCTGGTCAGGTGTAGGAGCTTTAGGGGAAATGGGAAAAAAAATAAAGGGGTTAGGAAGGTCAAGAGGTCACCTTTCGTCATATCGGTCTGGATATATCCAGGAAGGAGAACATTCGCACGAATGCCAAATCTGCCCACCTCCCAGGCCAAAGCCCGCGTTAAACCTAGTAAGCTGGTTTAGCTAACGGGTGAGCTGAAGAAATAATCGACTACATACCAATAATACCGGCTTTTGATGCTGCGTAGACGCTTGATCCTCGTCCCCCGTGAGTGGCTAAGAGACTAGATACATTGATGATACAACCTAGAGTTTAAGTAATAGTTGGTGGTTATTCATCGAGAAAATCGCTAATAGATAGTCGGCTTACCGTTTCTCTGTTTCATCATCTTAGGTATGATGTATTTACAGCTCCATATAGTACTCATAAGATTAGTGGCGACAAGCTCGTCTATCTCTGGGGTTGAAGCCTTGAACAAAAAGGAGTTTTGTGAGATCCCCGCCGCGTTCACGAGGATGTCGGCATTTTCCTATCCACCATATAATATCAGCGAGTTGAAATGGATATGGATATCATTGAAGAGTCGGGGGCTGCTGACTCCTTTTGTGTTGGCTACCAACTTCTCCCAACCATTTACCAAAGAAACATCAAAGGGTGTCGTATCGTGTTTCTGCGAATCATGTTTCTGCTCTAACGACGCTTTCGCGCTAGTGAGGCTCTCCATATTCCGTCCGATAAGAGTACATGCTGCTCCCTCGGCGGCGAAGAGCCGAGCGATGGCTAATCCTATACCCCGGCTACCGCCCGAAATAATGCACCGTTTACCGATTAGGGAGCTCATCGTAAGTTCTCTCTCTCCACTCCTTTTCTATAACTTATTTATTTATTGATTTGTTCATTGAAATATGTCCTGACGAGGAAAATGCGACCTACATAGGAATGTACAAACGCTATCCGATGTCTTCAGCCACATTAATGTTTGACACCCGATATGGTAATATGTTTCTAGTCACGTGCATCTAAATTGCTTTTGTGGCTTGAGACAATTCTGATCCCTAATTCGTACAAGATACGAAATTTCCGAGGTAACTCGGTACCCGCCAAGGATCAGGCGTAACAAGGCGGAACGGTGGATCATCGAAAAGTGTTACTCAGATAGACCCTGATTAGTCGATCAGGTCACTTTCGACCTACAAGTTACATGCAGCTTTCCTCAATTTCAGGGGATATCAAATAGAGCCAGGCCACTGAAAAAGCAGAAGGCTCTAGCAGTCTAGCAGTCTAGCTAAAGTCCGCCCAGTAGCTGCTAAGATAATAAGTCGCGGCGCAGTGATGCAGTGATGCAGCGACGGGGAAAGAACTGACGACACGGGATGTGGGGTGGGATTTTGTATGGATCGAATTAGAGAAAACGCAATCTCCTTTCTGATTTGCCGTCCGGCTCGCGATTTTAGAGTTAGAGTTGATCCCAACTCTGTTTGAAGGACGGGATTCGTGACTTCCAACCAACAACAACAACAGGGAGCCAAGCTTTTCTGGAATAGGGTTTGAAATCCATTTTTATCTCTAAATACAGTTTGCAGATTTTGGCGATTGACGACAGAAGGAAAAAAAGAAAAGAAAAGAACAACAACACAGACTCCCCGATCATCGTGGTTTAGAAAGCTGTCCTATCAATCCTACATTTTTTAAACAGAGTACCTAATTTACTATTATTAATAACCTATTATATAGGTACCTATCTTGTAGATATATTTTATTTCGGTTCTTTTTCTATATCATTCCCTTTATCGATCGCGGACAGATATCGATAGACAATCTTCAACTTGACGAGTACCGAATTTCGATGCGCCGTCGTCCGTGCCGTATACGAATTTCGATTTTCTCCTCGAACAATTGCCCCGACCAAGACTGGAACGTCGCAAACTTCGTCCCGCACGTTCATGCAGCTGTCCATATTTAGGAGGACAAACCCTAGGATCCGATGAATACCAGTCACTCCCACGCCAATGGCGTAGCGGGGTCCGCGAAAGTGAAGGTCAAGGAGGAGAAAGAGCCTGTGATTGACGCTGGCCTGCGCAGTCTGGATCATTGTACGTGTGCCTTTTTATAAATACGAGCGGGAGGGGAAAGGAAACCATGCGAAAAATCGAGTCGACCATTCGAGAACTCGACAACTCAACAACATCCGAATCATGCTTGCGCATGCGAAATCAAGCAATTATAAATGTTGGGAGTTTGATGCAAGGCTACACACAAAAATACCACATGTCGAAAGCCAAGATTTAGCGTGTGGGGGGACTTGATCACATACACATACACAAAACAAAGTCGACTCAAATGCTGACGGATTTCGTTTCTTACCTACAGACAAGCGCGCCCTTCCAAAATGGCGGTACGACTTGCGACAGCGAGCCCTTCCTCTCGTCAGATGGGAAACCCCGTATCTGGCCTGGCTACAGGCTACCTTGCGCTCGCCTGCGCTCGATAGCTACTTCGCCATCACTGCCAACCTTGGAACACATACCTTCTTCATGATCGGATTGCCTATCATGTTCTGGTGCGGGTATGGCTCTTTTGGAAAAGGGTATGTCTTGTTCTACCCTTGTTCGAAAGATAGGATGCATGCGATAGGAGAGGGATACGATATTGCAATGATATAAATGTCGCTTGGCTAACATGCTGCCAGAATCGTACATATCCTCGCGACAGGCGTCTTCTTTACTGGCTTTGTCAAGGACTTCTTCTCTCTACCGCGCCCTCTATCACCACCTCTCCATCGTATCACTATGTCTGGCTCTGCGGCACTCGAGTATGGGTTCCCATCGACCCACTCTGCCAATGCTGTCTCAGTCGCCGTCTACGCTATCCTATGTCTAAGATCTCCAGATAACCAATTTCAACCCAGCACCCAGTCCACCCTTGAAGGGCTAGCTTACTTCTACGCAATTAGCATCATCTTCGGTCGCTTATACTGCGGTATGCACGGCTTCGTCGACGTCATCTTCGGCTCTGTCCTTGGCGCTGTCTTGTCCCTGATAGAATTCTACTATGGCCCCGCTCTCGACGCCTATCTCCAGATTAACGGTTGGACGAGCTTATGTACCATGCTATTAATAATTATCGTCCTAATTAGAGTCCATCCCGAACCGGCGGACGATTGTCCTTGCTTCGACGACAGCGTCGCATTCGCAGGAGTCATGATGGGCCTCGAGATCGGGACATGGCGCTTCGGACGCTCGTCCTTCGCCGACATCCCGTTCGACCTGTACGCGCTTGGGTGGCTCGTCGTAATCTCCCGCATCCTCTTCGGCGTTCTAGTCATCTTCGCGTGGCGCGAGGTCGCCAAGCCCGCACTGCTGCGGGGTCTTCCGCACCTGTTTCGCCTGATGGAGAACAGCAGCCTGGATCTCCCGCGCCGCTTCTTCGTCCCCGCTTCCGAGTACAAAAACATTCCACTAAAGCTGCGCATCGACAACGTCATGCCGAATGTGAGCGATCTCCCGGGGCTTATTACAGCGGTACGGCACCCAGGCCGCGGGAGGAGCGTGAGCGTGGGTCCGCAAAGTGCGGCGGATGCGTACGAGACGTTAGCGTATAGAGAGAGGCGGAGGAGGGAGAGCGTCGATGATGGGAACGGCGGGCTGAGGAGCAAGGATAGTGTTCCGGATATTCGGCAGCAGAGTCTAGGACAGCAACAGCTAAAGGACGAGAATATAGCCGTCAGCAGCAGTAATAGCAGCAGCAGACAGCGCCCGAGCGATTTCGAGAAGATGATGGGAGAAGGCAGAGTAGTCGTTTCGCCGGTCGAGATCACGGTCGGAGATAAGGGCGAGAGCGCTACTATGGACGAGGAACCCGACGTGTATGTAGGCCAGCAGGACGAGTTGGGCGAGCACGAGGTCTTCTCGAAATTGGTTAAGTCCCGGGTCAGGTATGATGTCGAGGTTGTTACGAAGCTTGTTGTTTATGCCGGTGAGTTCTTTTTTTCCCTCTTACTACTACAACTACTTGAATATCAAATCTTAGAGGCTATTTTGCGATATCAATACTAACTAAGAGCGGTAGGAATCGGCTGGCTTGCCGTCGAAATCATACCCGTACTATACGAAGTCATCCCCGGCCTAGGCGCCGGACACCTACGTGTAGCATAGGACTTGTAAAGATTTTACTACGGTTGGTACAGAGGGGGTTTGGCCTAAGGTAACGAGTTGATAATGAAATGCATTGGATTGCGGCTGTACATCATGCATGTGACGCGCGTCGTCCTGTCTTTCCCGTCACGAGACACGAGCGCGACGACTGCGAACTTCTTAATACATCGAGCGGCGTTGGGGTGATCGCGTCTTGGCTTGGCTCCGTTGATCTGATCTAGGACGGTTGGGCGGTTTGGATGGACGGCCCCGCTTTGGAGGATTGTTTCTTGTATATATATTTTGTATGTGGTGGTATTGGTAGATAATATCACTTTTTATCCTGTGCTGTCTTAGTCTGTGGAATTGTGGTTTATGGCGGAAGGGAAGGCGGGTCGAAATGAGCTGCACCCCGGGCTGCGGATGGGATTCAATCTGAATTTTGGGTACCAGGAGTCGGTTATATTGTGTATTCTTTCTTATATCAACTATGCGTATTTGCTAATTATTGAAGTATAGATTTCGACCATTCTATATACATCCATCTTGTTCTAATTATAAGTCGAACCTGATTTTCCGTCCCGTCCTAACCCGTCTACCAACACATCGGTTCTATAGGGCCACCTAGTCAGTATTTGGAACAAGTTCCTTAGCTCAAGGACGCTGACTTACATTCCGGGATGTTATATGGTCTAGTACCAATATCTACTAGTTCTAATTGCCACGCAATGTATCTTCAGATACCGCCTTGAATATGTACAGGTGCGGGTCTCTCGGGAAAGGGGGTCGTCGCGCGTTCCTCCGTCTGCGGGATCGGAGTATGTTGGTTGTCACGGGGCGCACCCGGCACAGGAGTCTCGATCGTAATCCAACTCGCCGCATCGTCATTCGCACCGCCATTACCCGATTCGACATCATTCCCACCCCGTCTCCGCTTCCTCCTGCGCACACACATCTGCCTGATCTTGTCTATGACGAACACCCACATGAACATGCAGAATAGCACCGGGACTATGATGATCGCGAATATGATCGACAGAGGCACCGCCATCATGATAAAGAGCGCCCATTTCGGAAGAATGCACCACCGGTAGCAGCACCACTCGTCGCGGCTGACGTAGCTGTAGGCTACTTTGAAGCCGAGCATTATGCATAGCGCGACGTAGAGCGTTAGCCCGCTGTAGATGAAGAGGATTGCCGGGGAGGCGACCATCGCGAAGGGGGACCAGTTTATCATGTTGTTGTTTTTTTCTTCTTTTGTTAGATGATGGTTTTGTCGGTAAGGCTGGTTTTTTGAAAGGGATCGTGTACTGTGTTATGTTATGGTATGTCTATCGACGTTGGAAAAGGGGGATTCGGATGTTCTGTGCCTAAGGAAGATAGGTGATGAGATTCGACGCACAACCTCATTTCCCCTCCTCCAAAACCCTCTCAGTTTCTATACATTAAGCGCTAGTATAGCGTTCGAGTCTGTAGATATTACAGTTCCATAGTTCAGAAGACGAGCAGCGCCACACGTGCGTTTAAGCTCAAGCTCACGATCGGATGACCTCCGATCAGAAAAAGATTGTTTTAAGCTTCAATTATGCGCTGTAAGGCCATTTCGAAGGTCTCATCTATCCCGCAAAACACTTGGCTTGCGAAACACGTAGTGGTGGATTACCGACCAAAGCGGGTGGTCCGAGTTTGTTCACGATAAACTTCAGTCAAAGGTTTCTCGAGTGCGGGTGCTGACATGAGCTAAGATTTAGCTCGATGTCATATGCTCTTCGCTGCGATACCCCTTTCCATCTCTAGCTACCTAGGTAGCTTCGATGTCGAGATTCAAGACTGAGGTCCAGCGGGAAGACCCCTGAGTATCGCAACTCTCAAAGATGAAATGTTACAAGTCTCAATGAGCATACTATCATAACAACCTGTAAAATATCAATAGGTACTTAGCAATTAATCAACTTAGAGGTTGGGCATTCTAAAAGCGCGCCAAGTTATTAGTGTAGAGGTAGAGGTACAGATGACAAGTGGAATGTTATATCAAACTCCCCTTATCCTATCTACTGCCAGCATGCCACGCCGCCATAATTAATTTCCACGCTCTACCGACGCCAAACACATATCTGCCACCCAGCGTACCGCATGGTTGCCTAATCCCCAATATCCCCCGAATTCATACCTAGTTTTCTTGCTACAAAGCTGTGCCCAGTTCTACTTGTGGTCTCAAACCGGGTAGATGGGAACCAAGAGTTGCCCATATAACCACTTCTTCGCCGGGCATTTTACTTCTCAAATATGCGCGGATGGGAAGGTGAATTGTTGCGATATTGTATGGCCCCCATTCAGAAGGAATTGTTATCTCAACCTTCTTGTGTCCTAGAGAAGGCACTTCGAGGAATTCGTGGTTTGCTTTGAATTCTGAGCCTAGTTAGCATCGAGATTCGTGGTGTATTTCGGCTATCATATTTAACTGACCTTCGATACTATCACTTGGCAGCTTGTAGAGGATGATTTCCCTAGTGTCGAATACAAAGATAGTCTTCATGTTTGCGAATAATCCGGATATGGTAATTGGGATTATGGAAGTGTTTTGTTAGGTATTTGATCGATTGGCGAGGTAAATAAATAGAAAAACTGGAGGAGGTTTGTTTGGATTTAGAATCGTACCTGGGCTCTCAATCATACTCAGTCACCCATCGTTTCACAATCGGGCTTGTATAAATCACTGAACAAGTGAAGGACTTGATAAATACTAGGTGCTTTCTCACGTTTTGATTAGGAATACATCGTTACCATACAGAACTAGGCCGATATGAACGACAGGGTGATATGTAGGTGGTGTTTGTCTGTAAGTTAACTCGTCGATACATAGACTTTCATTGTATAGACTTATTAATATATATATAAACCTATAATTTCCAGTCACAGTACTAGAGGCTATCAAAAGCCTGTACTGCCAGTTGGTAGGATGTATCACTAACAATTTTCAACTTGAATCTTAGAATGCTTAGTGTCATAACGTTTCCGAGAGGTGATTAGATATAAAAAGATCTTGGTAGTTAGGCACTAGGTAGTCGATATTTATGGACTTTTTGAACCTCATAATATTTCATGAGACTTACGCTAACCAACAATACTTGATATGTCAATCCATACCCCGATCCATGGCCTGGTAGTCTCGTGTACAAAGCTCTGCTAATATTCCTTCGTGAGGTGTGCTATGGGATGAGCAAGATCTCTGGACAAGATCTTGAGATATGACGAGACACACTCGCGTCATTATGTGATGCGCCACATTGATAAAGGGGGAAGGGCCTATTCTGTGAATTGGCAAGCTCTGCAACAGAAAGGGCGGGTGGCGATCGAAGTAGAGTAGGCGACTATAATGTCATGATTAACTTCTTCGATGACTGGTGCCTCTTAAATATAATATTTAGAGGCCCTCGATACCTTGTTGATCATAGTCTCTGGCTGTGAGTCCTCATATAGCATGGAGGGGATATATATCTTTTGGAATTCATACTGCGAGCGGGTTGGCATGCATAGTGACCTTCTCAACGAATACCTTCTCTTTCGGCCGATTCTTCTTATCTACCTCGAGCGCCTCTAGTTTGGCGAGTGTGACGAGACTGTCATCTCCAATAAGCTTGCCAAACACGGTATTGAGGCCATCTAGATGTGGTGCCTTATCGAATATGACGAAGAACTGCGAGCCATTGGTACCTGGGCCTTTGTTCGCCATAGATACAATGCCGCGCGCATTGTGTTTTAGAGCTGGGCGAATCTCGTCCTCGAATGTACCGCCCCATATCGATCGACCGCCTTTTGGATTATCTGGGCTTGGATTTGCGGGACCGCCTGTCTGAGCCATGAAGCCCGGAATCAGGCGGTGAATCGGAGATTGGTCATAATAATTCGACGCGCAAAGAGCTAAAAAATTCTATGGCGTAGTTAGCTTGTCAGCCTTCTCCTGAGTGGAGGGTGATCAGACATACCTCCGCGGTCTTGGGCACGCTCTCGCAGAAGACCTCGATTTTGAGATCACCTTGCGTGGTATGTAAAGTGACGGACATGGTGTCCTATGCTGGGAGTGGGCATGTGGGAACGCGACGGGCGAAGTTCGCGTTGACTTAAATTGACGTTGGAAGTTCAAAAAAAGTTGACGATTCAAGGTTCACGATAAATGATAAATGATAAACAACCTTGGAATTGTGGGGTCATATTGCTTAGGTGGAGAGTGGAGGAGACTAAATCGAGCAAAATCCAGGGGTTGGTGTGGGGTTTGTTACCGCCCTAAATTCATTGGACAGGGGGCTAGTTAGGGCTGCTAGGTAGTACCGTAGTACCAGCAGTGACGATGCAGAATTGTAGAATGGGGGTTGCATCTATTGGTTGGATGTATTGTATGAATATACGAAGTACCTCGTCGTTATCCCTTTTCTGCAACCTCGAACCTACCTACATACAGTGATATGTACTATGTAGCACGCAGAATGCGTGCAAAGGAACTCTAAGGGTGAGAGACACGTGGGATCAACGTCTGCGAATCATCCTATTGTTTCCGGGGGACACATTCTTCGACTGGTTTCCCGCAAAAAGGGTGGCACATAAGAGAGGGTTGCATCGCTAGGCGGCAATGGCGCATGCAGCTCGCAGTGTATTGGTAGGATTGATTCCGTATCATCTAGGTATTTTCTGTAAGCACTAGGTACGGCTGATGTCGAATAATTTACTGGCTCTGGGTGGTTTTAACGAGCACCTAATTCTCGCATTGTGTTGTCGTTGGCTATTTCGTAAGTACCTACCTATAGTCATCTCTAGTTGCGATCTCTATAAATAATCGAAACTATATCTACCTGTATATCTCAGCCGGTAGTATATGGATGTATTATAAGAATAATTAAGCTTCTAAACCCTCTAAATGTTCAGCAATTCAAAGAATCCTCTACCCTAATACGAATTAAGCCTAATGCCTAAGACAACTCTACAGCAATAAGACCACAATTACAGAAACCAGGCAGGGGTGGTGTTCAGGATCGTCAGCCTCATCCAGGTTGTCAGGCTTAGGCTCCTGTTTCGGCCCCCAACTTAAAGAACATTTCTGTACATACACATTTCTGCTTCAGAATGCTTCCACGCGAAGGGAACTCTGTATGCATAATATCATTCATGCCTGTAGACACCTAGCTATTGCCCCTTTCGCTAGGTGCCTGGATGCTGCTTATCAGGCTGTTGCTGAGGTAAATGTTACATCCAGAATAACTTCAATTCAATAACTGGCGGTCTTCGAGGTCGGTAAAAATAAGGTCTGTTTACTTGGCTGCTTGGGTACCTAGATTCAAGGTTACTATGTCCTCATGATAAATCCCTGGTAATTGGTAACCCTAGTGGTATTAGTTTTGGCACCATGATGTTGAGCTGAACTAAGTCTTAAGTCCTAGATTTTTGGGATTGTACAACACAGGTACTTGGTAGGGTCGCTGCTTGAACCTTTCGCCAATTTAGTACACCTGTGTCGTCATTGACAACGGAATCTTCTAAATATTACCTACCAATTCGTACGTTGCGTGCCTACTAGGTAGTAATTGCGCGAACCTCTCGTTTAAGTTATGAACATAAACGCATTTGTTTCCAATAGTAAAGGAATTGAAGCAGATGAAGGGCTATGCGATAATATGATCTGCACATGTTGAAAAGGGACGAGCATCCATATTAAATCCAGGATGTGTAAAAGAGCAGAAGGGTGCCTGGTAAGGCAGGTGTTGGTGGATACCTAAATTATTGCCCTAAAATTCGAAAGTTTGGATGTACCGGTACTGTACCTTATCGTGGTAGGTACCCACTCCACACTGTTCACAGTACCTAACCGCCCGATTCGGAACGGCCATCTATTGGCTCATATCGGTTCATATCCCAGGTAATTCAGATGGGTGGAAGTTTCTTGGACTTTAGGATGTACAAGGTGCTAATTTCCCCATTCAGCTTCCAAACCCTCAATCCTCAGGGCAGGTGGTGTCAGTCAGATTTCTCACCTTTCCTTGCAACCATGTTCTAACCCTTCTGCGCCTCCAACTTTACAATTCTGGGAGAATTTATCCCTCCGGCTTCCTTCAGCTTGCTACCCGAATTTTAATGAGAGGAAGAAACCCCCGATTTGCTCGACAGCAATACGACCACAACCTTGACAACCAACTTGTGGGGTTGACATCTTGAGAAACAAGGGGGAAAGGGAAAAAGAAAAGGAAAAGGGATCAATTTATCAATGTAACTAACTTATTGCCCGCTGCCCGCTGTTCGCTGCCCGTTGCCCGGATTTCACAAGCGGATGTCGCCCATAACCTAAATGTCCTGTGTTCTCCCTAAGGTCTCCCCTAAGGTATCCCTCCACACCTGAGCATTGCACCTTTTGACCTTCTTTCGGTTACCGTTATCTGCGTGTAAGCGACCTTCTAAGTTCTAGAAATCGAACCACGGACTTCCACGGCTGTAAAAACCTACCGACTTCAACGTTCGAAATCGAGTCGACATCCTCTTGGAGCTTTGAAATCTTGGAACCTTGGAACCTCGCAACCTTGGAAGAAGATCCATGAGATATAGACTGTCAATCACCGACCGACTCTTTGTCAAAGCGGGCGGGCTGTGACCCTACCTTGTCTACCTTGCCGACCTGACTATTACCTACCTACTACCTATTACCATTTACCTACCGGCATTCATCCTACCTATCCAGCTGCCTACCTATAACGCCGGCCAACTTCGCGCTTCCTTACCTCAGCCACTCCAGTTTCCATTACCTAGCAACCCAAGTTCCAATTGTTACGGTCCCGTCCCGCCTTTGCAATCTCTCGTCCTCACTCTCCCCGAAAAACACAACACCTCGTAGTCACCATCTGCACCTGGTCATTACTTTGAACGACAATAATTTCGGCCATAAATTCGTCTTATCGCCGAGTCTGCAAATACCCATTACGACGGCTAGCATCTGACATGTAATGCCCGCTATATTTTATTCCGGATTATTACAACAATCGCATTTCGCAAGAAGGCACCGGCTTCGTAGCCGTCGACGAGGGATAGATGCGCCTAGCCGACGCTGAGTCTTTCTCCTACCACCCACCGGATAAGGCGTGCGAAGATGGCGGAGCGAGTAAATGCATTCGTCCGGGTTTCTGGCCCTCCGAATAGTAGTTTTCTAGTTGGATACCCCGGCATTTCGGCAACATTGGTGAGTTGCGCGCAATCCCTTCAATCCTTCCATCCCATTTACCTGATCGATCGTTTTATCTCCGCCTCTTCGATGCGGGGGGTTTGTGGCGCCGGCTACCAAAGCTTAAGATTCATACAATACTTCTATTTAATTACTTACCTTGACCTGGACTAACGTACGTACGTAGCCGCGCATCGAGGGAAAAGTCGAGATCAGACCGTCAACGGGTTATTCCGCACCCGTCGCTATCTCTTTAGTGCGAATATGTCTACACAGAAGGGAAACAATCCACCCGGCCGCCGAAAATGTAGCCAAACGTCACCTAGGAACACCTCGACGCGATACCACCGATGTCGTTGGAAAGGAACTCTTGTTATACCGGTGCGCGACAGGCAGGGACGCTGAACAAGTTGTCGCGATGGATCTGCCGTTTGTTTTGTTTATCCCATTTGGGCGAGGCCAGGAAGAGATAAACAGAAGAATACCGCCAGCATCCTTACAGCTTCCGAGCAGGACCGCAGAGACATTCTACGAATTAGTTGTAACAGTACAACAGGGACCGAGCGTACAGAATCGATACGCATTCCCCGTACCGTTGCAGCGTTACGATACCCTATCGACCTTTGGAATGTACAATCGACCAGAGCACAAAGTCGCGTCTACCGATAACATCGTTTCTCTCGGTATTTCGCTTCCAAGGTGGAGTTACGGACCTATGGACCCGATAACAGTATACGTTAAATTAGCACCGAATCTAGACTGGATGGCGAAGGCGAGGAAAGTTACCATACAAAAGATAACTCTCGCAATCGAAGAGGAGATTACGTATAATCATGAGGGGGATGAGCCAACCAAAAAGGTCAACAGGCTACAGAAATACACCCAAACTGTTGGAACAAAGTTACCTGAGACAGGCTACGTGACGAATATGGGAATTATCTTTCCTCATAAGGACCTGAGGGACGCGAACGGCATTATTCGAAGGGGACAACCAGCCTTCCCGAATTACGAAGTCACATCATTTACGACCACATCTACACTCTACAAAATTGAATTTTACCTAACAATCAAGGTAAATGCTTACGTTAGAGATATAGGAAAGGATAGTGAAAATGCTAACACTTTAAATTACAGGCGCAGTTAACTTCTGCTCGCGATATAACCCTACGACAACCTATCGTCATCTGCCCGCTCGACCACCAGGCTTGCAAAGAAGAGATGGATGCTATCGAGCAAGCGGCCAAAGATGCCTCATCCATCGACCCGAACAACCCGATGTTACCGGCGAGGAATATCGTCTTGGCCAACGACCCTAATGCTATGGCGACATTGGGAATATGTACAGTGGGAGGGCAGAAGAAGCCGTTGATCGAATGAATATAACGACATTTTTATTTCATAAGGGCAGAACGATACACCTTCTGCCACGCTGGGTTACTTGAGGCATCATGCTACATGAATCGATCGATACAACCAGCCTACTCTCTTGTAGGTTTTCGGGTGCTGGGTTGCTTTATTAGCTTCTGAGCATTTGAACGGATACTTTTACGCCGAAGCTTTCAATCCGAAGAATTGCAATTTCCTCTGCAATACGTCATGACAATCTAAGTTCGAGCAGAACCTGAAGCACCACGACTATAGGAACTACATATTAAGTTCGTGTACGAAAACAAAACCATCCAGTCATATTCTCCACTTGGCGAGGAGAGTAGGTGCTTTTGAGACTCACCCAGACTCGCATCTTATCAGCTAATGCAACTATATAAGATCTCTTCTCTTCTCCTAGTGGCTTGCATAGGGGAGTATGTAGGCTTTGCTTTGGTGGAATCGTTCTATAATCATAATCGCTGGGATTTTCGGAGACAGATGCAAGCAATGGAGTTCTAGGGTCTGAATTTGGTTGGAAATGGCTCCGCGCATTTGGTAGGCACATGCCACCGCGGCGGACTTTACGGCGTTACGGATATGAACTATTCCCTAAGAACGGCACAATCCCGAGGAACGGGATACAACGCATCGGATTCCGGGCGTTCAAGGAGAGTCTAATCGCTACGGCGTTGACTAAATTTCTCCTTTCATTTAGCTACGAGCTTGGAAACACTATCTTGTGATGGATTACCTTTTTGAGATTCCGATATGCTGTGGGAGAAGTAGTGAGCAAGAAAACGAAGCATATCTCGCTTTGCTCACAAAATTTCTATCTGAGGAGCTGCCATAACCTGCAGGTCGTAAGATAGTTGGAATGAATGATTGAAATCGCAATTACGTGTACATATATTTGCACTTGTGATGAATTTTGTACTGGGGGCGCGCATAAGTAGATATGAGCAGATATGAGTCGGGAGAGAAGCCACAAAGGGTTTCGCGGGTGTCGATACTAGGTACTACCATTCATTGCGCAGGCGATAGGAAATTTCGATCGAGGCTGCTTGAGCAAAGCAACTTGGCAAATAGCTTACGCGTTAGTCAATGCTAAGCTTATTGACGTTATTTGTCTTGGGAATCATGTCTATGTCCCTTTTGAGGATGTATGTATCGTGTAAATACGGAATTTGATCGACAATATCAAAGTTACCCCGCCTTTCCAAAATCAAGCTGAAGTGTAAAAACGTATTAGATGACAGAGCGAGCCTTCAATATGTACAATTTGAGATTCCCTGTAATAAGCAAAGAGAAACAAGAAGCAGTAGTAAAAAGCAAAAAAAAGGAAATCATGCCACTTCTAATAAATGGCAAAAGATAAATGTGATGAGAGCTGCAGGATTCGAACCTGCGCGGTTTCCCATTGCGGGTCAGATGTTCTACGGACTTCAGATTGAAGATTCATAGGGTCCTAAACACAACGCCTTAACCACTCGGCCAAACTCCCATTTCTGGTGATGAGAGTTTGCTTGTTAATAGTGTCTATAGCAGCAAACTCTTTTCGCAGAAACAGCGTTGATTGGCTGTGTGCTAGGTTAGTTGGCTGACTTCAAGGGTGGGGGCTGATTGTGCAAATTTAGATGCATGTGCGAGTGTGGGTGGGTCCTCCCCAATACAACACTGAATGTACGAAACACATCAAACATTCGAAGTGAGTCTACCTATTCAAATCAAACTTTTCTTATTTGATGAAACTTGAGTTAGAAGACATGGGCAAGAAATAGTTATCATGATTACAATTTGAGTCAAATTCGAATTAACTAGGCGGCAATCTCAAGATATTCACCTCATAACGGATTTCTGACAAAATCGGGTGCTGGTCTTGAAGGTGAAGAGCAAAAGTTATTTCAAGCTCGACATGTGAAATACTCATCCTCTATCACATATCACACAACCCCCAATTCCCCAGCCTTCAAACCACCAGCGCCTCACTGCACCATCCCACACCAGAAAACCACACCTATCACACCCCCCCAAAAATGGCCTTCGACGACGAAGACCCCACCCCCACCTCCTCCGCCCTCGCAGCAGGCGAAGAAGGCGAAGCCCCGTCTCTAGAAGACGCGCTCGGGGACGAAACCCAGGACTTCCGATTGTTCGCCTCGCTGTTCGACAAGAAGCAGGCGTCGGGGAAGACGCTGCGGCGCGGGGAAAAGGACTTCGAGGCGCATGGCACGCGGGCGCAGGCCGGGGCGCTAGAGGCGAGCCGCGAGGCCATGCACGAGGTGCTGAGCTACACGCGCTCGCACAAGCCGCGCGATTGTAACCGCGGGTGGTATTTCCCGGAGAAATGGGCTGATGCGTCGGGCGCTGAGGCGGAGGTCGAGGGGGAGAAGGGCGCGGGCCTTTTTGCGAGGGAGAGGGTTGTGGTTGTTGAGGAGGAGATTAAGGGCCCGTTGAGCCAGAGTGTTGGGAGGGTTGTTACGGGGTTCGAGGGGTATAAGGGGACGCCTGGGTGGTTGAGGACGTGGCTGTTGCCGGAGGAGGCGCTGTATCTTGTTGAGAGGGGGTCGATGGATTTGTGGTGGCCGGCTAGGGGGATTGAGGATGTGTTTCCGGTGAAAGACGAGGCTGGAGTTGAAAGTAAGGGGTTTGAGGACTATGAGTTGGGGGTGCCGCTTAGTTTACAAGCCGCCTACGCGCTGCTCATCGGCAATGACGGCGAACGCGGCAAGGTCAGCCTCGAGAAATACCAAGTCTACGCCAACCTCCGCCGCACAGGGTACAAGATCATGCGCGCGACGAAACTGCCCCTCCCACCACCCCTCCCCGCCAAACCTCCTCCGCAGAATCTCTGGCAATGGCTCATCTCCCTCCTTCCTACACAAATATCTTCACACACTACCCCCCCGCCCTTCGGCCCCCTCGTGAAACCCGGTTTATACCGCTCTTACACCCCGATCTTCACCCAGCTCGCCCTCCTCCCGCGCCACAACCCCACGCCCCAGCCGAAAGCAGACACGCCATCCCCGGAGGAGCCGTTCAACATCCACTTCCACGTCTGGAAAAGCAGCACCGCGTTCCCGAAAACCAAACCCCCGCCCCCAGACTTCCGGATCGCAGTCGTCGACGCGCGCGCCTCCGCTGTCCCGACGCTAGAGCAGCTTACTGCGTTGCTGGAGGTCAGGTCGCCGTGGGATCCGCCTGAGGCCCCGAACTCGGGTCAGGGGACGGCTGTGAATAGGAATAACCAGGGCCTGATGTACAAACGTCTGAAGCACGCGTGGCGCAACGCTGTTGTTGCGGTCGTGGATAGGGGGCTGATCAGCTATATCCGGTTCGGCGAGATGGCGTTCGCGCAGGAGAGGCTGTATGAGGGGTTTGGGGGCGGGGCGGGGGGCGGTGGGAAGGGGAAGAGGGGCGGACGTGGTGGGAGGGGTGGGAGGGGACGGGGGAGAGGGGGGCGGGGAAGGGGTGGTTGAGGGTGAGGATGATGGTTGTCCTGGGGTAGGTAGGTATGTAGGTAGGTAGGTATTAGTGGGATTGAGAGGCGGAAGTTGCTTCTTGAAGTTTACAACATGCGGCGATATAATCGCGGGGTTCAAGAATCATCGCGGTCCGAAGATCGGATTGTCTCACAACTTTGTTTGATCGTCTCCGGTGCCTATCCGCGTTGATCCATGTGTTCTACGGAGAATCTCTTTGTTTATTCATGATATCCTCCTTTTATGATTGAGTTGCTAGTTTATGAGTACCACTTCCTGCCCTGTTGCACAAGGTAACGACAAATAACCAGTTTTTTTTTTTTTTTTTTTTTTTTTTTTCATGGCCTCATATCCTCATTTTGAACACTCGTTTCGAACAGTTAATATGGCTAAACTGATTACGAGTAGATGATACTGGCGTCTCTACTAAGTAATCTAAGGGAAAAGAGGTTCTCGTTCCGAGGTCTTATCGATCTGAGACATTACGAAATATACAAAGTATTCAAGATATGTAAAATCTTGCTCATATCGTACGTTCCTACGTAGACATGTTTGCTAGCTAATAAGCATGCGCGAACATATGCATGTAGTTACCCATTTACCTTAAGTAAACCTAAAGTCCGGGCAATTCCACGAGCGTGGGGGAGATGAGGTGGAGCACGAGCGAAGCAAAGAAAATGGCTCTTCGAGGGTTCCGCAACCAGTTTCCTCTAATGGATCCGTAGCACAGCTGCAGATGTGCAGTATGACGAAGCTGTATTAATTGGAGCCACACGGACCGATAATATCGAAGAAAAGAAAACAGTCCATCAAACTGTTACAGGTTTGCGGGTTTGGTCGCTGTGATACAGTCGTGTCGGTAGGGATGTATCTATCCTGTCTCGCCTGTTGGGACACAAGACGAAAGCTGTGCAATGAGTTCTGGTGCTACAGTAGCATATCCATCTTCCTCTTCTTCATGTTCTCTTGATGCCTGATAAGTGCAATCAGTTCATATCCACGGTCCGTTGCCGAATTGTTGTCAGAATTATCAAAGCATAGAGTTGTAATTGGTATGGAATAATACGGCACGTGAGTCACGCAACAGTCTTAGAAGAGATTGTCAAGAGAACAAGATTTATAGGAGTCCACCGGAGTCATCACATGATCCGGACTATTAAAGGTACTTAGGTACATCTTCCGGACCGGTAAGTTCAACCGGGTTTAACAGGGAAACTGCAGGGGTAATAAAGTCTTGGCTTTGCTTCTTTTCAATTCTCCTTATCACTAATCAGTTACAAGTCTCATGCAAAGAGAAAAAGAGAAGAAGGAGTTTACCTTTCGAGGTCAATCATAATTGCAATCATGACTGGGATGATTTAGATATATTTTTCACTGTGTCATTGTTAGTCTCGAGTTATCTGTACGAAACCCGAATTGGTTTATCGTACGAATATCACCGAGAGCATAATATTACTTCAAGGCAATTGGAAGGCTTTTAGGCAGTTTGGGAGGGGTTATTGAGTTTTTAAATTATTCCAGGTTATCTGTGTTCCCCTCGGCCAGACCGACGAAGACTCATTCTATTCGTTACTCGATTCAATCAATTCATTCATTCAACTTCACTCATACAAATTCAATCAACCAGATCAACCGGATTTCGTCGCACGAGCACGTAATTGATGATAGTCGAGGAAATGTTATGGCAATGTTATGGTAATGCTCATCAGCAGAGAATCAAGTGATGACATGATGGCGTAAGATCTGGTGTATCATGTATCATCACACCCTATCAAACACCTCGATTACTGAGGGAGATAGAGAGTCTAGTTTAAACATGCATTGTTGAACTGTGTCCACGTTGCATTCTTCATGACTTTTTTGCCCTCTGCACCTATTACCTACTTCTATTACTAGTATCATTCGCCAACTTCTAAACTTTCTGCGACGACCCCACCATCTTCCAACCTGGCACTTGGGAATTGACGATGAAAACTTTTAGTGTCTACTAGTTTCTAACTTCATCGTCCCTAGGTAGGTATAAGTAGGTAAATGGTGACACGGAACCAATTGCTACCATTATCTGCTGTGTTTATAGTACTTGGTATGCATACTAAACTGGACATTCCTACGTAGTACGTATATTAATCAATGTATTAACCAATGTCAATAGTTTTGGCTGGGGCTAAATGGACATCAACGCTATAATTACCAAAAACATCTATTATTACTAGGGACTAATTTCTGACCCATTTTTCTATTCTTTTCTATTCATGCTCCTGCTCATGCGTACATGTGCTAGAAATGTTGGAGATAAGCGGAACATCAAATAAGTACGGAACATCTTATTTTTAAACTTTCGCATGTGCTTCAAGGTTAGCGCACAGGAAGTAGATACTAGGTATATATACCTATGTATATGTAAGTTGAGTATTAGTATCATGATTTGGATGTTGTAAGGTGTCATTTCTTAAGACAAGTAGATAATGACAGATGAACGCCCTTGCGCCACAACACACGCAACTCGAAAAAGGCCAACGTCATGACTCAGCCAACCTCACGTACGACCTCAGAAAAATAAAACAAACTGTGGTTAGCAACAGAAACAATCTCAGCTAACTATTCTCAGCCTCGGAGTTCCAAAAAGAAGGTATTAAAAGATTTTCGGTGAGGTGGTTAGCTGATTGTCGCGTACCTGGTAGCCTTAACTTGTTAATCGTTGCGACATTTTTGTTCTGCTTAATACCCGAATTGAATGTACTTGATATAATTGGGTTTCAACATATCTCTCCTCGATCCTCCTATGCAACAGATTGGTAGGTGAGGTAGGATTTAAGTAGGATTGATATTTCTACTCACAGGTACGTGTTACACAATGCAGAGCAACACCAATGAGAACCAGCCAGCCACATGCCGTTTCGATCTAGGGCGCGCTAAGTATAGACCGAGACAACTTAGCTTGATAAGAATGGACGATGCCGATGTGGCTAAGTTGCCGGGCGGAGCATCTAAGTACGGGTATAATTAGTAGGTACTATATACCTATTTTACTTATGTCACAACTTGAGTAATATAAGTGATATAAGTCATCGATCATTGATGGCCATACTAAGTAGTTGGTCATAGTAATAATATATGTAAGCTCGTATATTCCTTTCTGCGGCGTTTGGTTGGGTTGGGTTACCTTGCGGTATCTTCCACATACGTTTCCTATCTGAACAGTACCTGGTACCTACATAGAAGTAGCTTGTCGTTCAATGTTCTGGAGTTTGGAGTCTGGAGTTTTGGAAGGAGGGACCACGACGACTTTTTTGCTCTTTAAATTCTATCGATAGGGCAATAGCGCAATTGAATTATTAGGCTGGTAGTCTACGCATAGTACCTGTAATGAAGTATTCCGAAGGTGATCTACCAATCAGGTTTATCAAAAATTTGACTTGTTCTACCCCTAGTCGGGCCTTAGTTAAGAAAATTGCTGTATTGCACAATATTAAACCATTAAACCCCTGTTCAGGTTTCCCTTGGGTCAGACAACTTTTGATTGACAATACCCTTCTACCTTTTCTACCTACGCTTCTACATCTACGCTTACTTTTGCCGGATAGTTCTCACAATACCCTCTTTTTTCCCACCTTTAACCTTTTTCCACCTTCAACTTTTTTCAGCTACCTTGGTATTCCGTATTTACACTACTAAGTTGGTTGAATTGAAGATCGTCTCGTGTCTTCTATCTTTTTTTTTCCCCCTTCCAAGTCTTGAATCAAATACTATAATTTGGTTTCTTGACTTCTTCGATATCATCAGCCAATTCCCAATTCTAAACTGCCAATTCTATCAACCAAAACCTGTTTCGGTAAGTTCTGCAAATCTACTCGTTCCATTTTCTCCGCTGTCTATGCCCTTTTCCGACATAATCATCCACGAGCCAATTGGATCAGATGGTCTCGGCAACTCAACAACCTGTCATCAATTAATTTTATGTTTTATTTTATTTCAAACCTATCGCTACCTGATGAGGGGATAGGAAATCTTGAAGTATCAAGATACCTGATACCTGATATCTGATATGATTCCTTTGAGTGGCATCTCCTCGTCCGTGACCATTCTATTGATCTTTGGCCTTCTGTATCTAGGTAGCTAGGCACACGCCAAGCTGCCCAAGTGGTTACATATCTCATGTCATGCTAACTCTATATCGAGAACTAGCCTCTCTTCTACCTCCGCTCTGACTTATCGTCAACTTTTCTCCACATTAACTTCATTACCTCGTCTACCTACCCTAGGTATCTATCTACTTACACAGTACTCTCTACCTACACCTTCTACACATTTTACACATTCTCACCTGGCATCAATTACAACTGCTGCTGCCAATTTATTTCAATCCCACATGTTTCTCTATCAACTGAAGAAAAACATCAAGTCCTTTACTTTACGCGTCTTATCTCGAGCATAAGTTTACATCGAGCTTTCACCTCTCTACCATTCAAGAATCTCAAGCTGAGCTTGAAGACTACCTAGGTAAGCCTCTTTCGCCTTTTATCATTTTCCTTGTTCCACCATACTTTACCTTAGCATAGACGCGATACGCGGCCAAGCTCACAGTTGAGTGAATGCTCTTTTCACCATATATCGCATTTCCCCTTAGTTTCTACTATCGCGCCGAGCAATCATTTATTCTTATTTCTTATATGGGGCGCTCTTTCCCTATGTATAGTTTTATCGGCGTCCGATATTTTCTTTCGGAGTATCCACATCGTTACCGTTACATTGGTAGTTTTTATTCTGGTTATAGCTGGTTTACTGATGATATCGACTATATACAGTCTCACCTGCCATAATCTCCTCGCCGTTAAACACTTTCGCCGTTAAAAATCAACCCGCACCTGCCTTCGAGCAGAACTTTTGGCGTCCATGCCCACCATGGATAACCAAGACGGCGACCAGCGTAAGCCGGGCACTACTGATACCACCGATCAAAAAGTAGCAGAAACTACTTCTAGTGAAAAGTAAGCACCCTCTATTTCCTTCTTCCCACTTCCCCCACCACTTCACCTGGCTTCGTCCTCAGTTTGTTTCTACGACCCCTCGTCGAAACTTGATATCCACTTCACTATCCATTACATCTTCAACCCTGAATTATCTCTCTCCCCTAAACCTAGTCAAATATTTTACATTTCCTATCGCATCGATTACAAATTCCTCTTTATTCAATCCCTTCTACAAGATCATACGGGTGGCGGGCGTGCTTTGGTACGCTAGTTAACGATGCCTCCGGTACTTCGACCTCGTTTGCGTCGGCAACTATCTTCACACTCATCAAGTCATTCATTGTATTTTTCTTCATATGCTGCCTCCCATACTCTTTGCAAGATGTTTTCACTAACATGATTCTCAGGCGCAACAGTTCTGCTGAACCAAAGCAGGCAGCATCTCCTGCAACAGATACACAAGTGAACGATGTGGCTGATGATACAGCCAACGATGACAAGTTGACGTCGCCTCCCGACACTAGCTCGGTTTCTAGTGTCAATCCAGATGTGTTGGGTGATGAGATCATCGTGGGAACCCGCGCAAATGGTGCCAAGTCTCCCGCACGCCGTGCCGTTTCAGTACGAGAAGATGTGACCATGGCCGATGCTGACGACGATGAGCCGGTGCTCCCTAAGCGGGACGTTAGACGCGATCCCAAGCGCAAACGTCCTCTTGAAAATGACTACGATGACACCAGGGATGCCACTGCGCAGGCTAAGGACACGGTTTATGATACCGATGCTAGCGTGAGCAAGGGCAGACGAGAGCGCCAGAAGGCCGAGGACGAGTCTAAACACGTCCCTATTGGTTATTGGCGTGACTCCCCTGTTCCCAACGAGAGAGGCAAGCACAGGGTGATAGGATTCATTGACGCTAGAGATCGTCTACGAACACGTATAAGGAATGTGAATCTCAATGGTGAAGCGATCAATGTCCGACTCTTCCCAGTTCCCCCTGGCCCTGGTGGTAGCTGGGTAACGTTTGAGCGTATTGTCTTCCTCGACCACCTTATCGGACATGACCACAACGTCATCAAGGAATACGTCAGGGCACGCGCCGAGACAAATCAGACGCGCACCGAAGAAGCAGATGTTGCAGCTGTTCGAGAAGCTCAGCACCGTCTTTCGCTTAATCCACCTCCGGAAACAAATCAGCCACCTGCCATAGCCTGGGGACAAGACTTGCCAGAGTCTGTGCAACGTCCAGAAACAAAGCGTCGTCGTTATGGTAGCGCTGCTGGCTCTACCGCAGACCGTCCCGAGGGCTCAGACCGTCCCGAACGTCAAGAACGTCAAGAACGTCTGGCACGTAATGAACAGTCTCAAGCTGGTCCTATTGAACCTCAACCGCAGGCAGAGATCCTGCCACCCCCTCGCAAGCCTACGCGCATTCTTGTTGGCGTTTGGAGCAAGTCGCCTCCGCCCGACGAAGACGACAAGCATGCCGTATTCGGCATCCTCGGTGCTAACGATATGTTTAGAGTAAAGCTCGTTAAAGAAACCAAGGATGGTCGCTTCATGGAGGATAGTTTCCCCACTGGAGCAGGCGCATTGTGGATATCTTATGACGAAGTTATCTTCCTAGACCACTTGAAGGATCTGATTCGACCCGAGATCAAAGAATATGTCCGTATTCGACAAGCTCAGATCGATGCCGGCGAGGTGCCGGCTGAAAGGGTAGCCAACGAGACCCAGGCAGTGCATCAAGCCCAAATTCGCGTAGCACAAGCGGGAATAGACAGTCCTGTTAGAGCTAGCCCTCAAATGAATTCTAATCACTCCAACGCTGCCTCGCAAGCTGGTAGTGTACACGAGGAAGTTCGAGACAGTCCTGAACTACGACATGCGCGACGAGATGCCACGCCTAGAAGTGCTGAAATTCCTCGACAGTCCCGTTCCTACCCCTCCGAGATTGAGATTCGACAAGCTGGTCAAATCAATCGAACCCCTAGTAACGATCCTATTGAGCGCGTTCAAGGGTTCGCTAATCGCGAGGTGGCTAGGATGGAAGCCGTGCAGATGCGTACCGACCGCCACCAAGCCAATCGCAACGCCGTCGCGAGCCCCGGGTTCAATCCTAGCATGTATGATCCCCATCGCGACTTCCAAGACAACGTGCAGAGAATGGACCATGTTTGGCGCGCTCAGGAAAACATGCGCATGGGACCTCTCAATGGATCAGCCAATGGACCGGCATTGGCTGGACCTTCCAATGGTCCTATCAATGGACCTATCAATGGCAATCGCGGAGATGCCATGATGCACCAAGGCATCAAATACGAACGAAAATCCAACGGACCTTTCAAGGATCGACTGGTCAGCCAAGGAACGATTATCAATATCGATGGCGAAGACTATGTGGAATACCGCGTGCTGACGAAGCCCACGTTCTTCTAGAAGGAGGGCGAAGGCGAGACCTTCGAGGAGCCTAGCGCATAAATCCGTATTGTTCACGGAATGCCTTGGCTATTTGCCCTATATATCGGCACCTCTCACTCATGATCTTTCGCCTGGGCCATAAATCGGTGCAGACAAATAACCTCTGCGACATTCGACTTTTTTTTTCATCATTATACTCCGTCTATTCCACGTGATACCCCTTTGAACGATCCTTGATATGCAAGGTTCACTATTCCAACCGGCTTTCTTCATTGATTCAATGACCTAGCCTCTGGTCTAATTGCGTCTGAGCATATGGAAACCTACTCCGACCTTTCTCACCATCAACTAAGACCATGGTTGAAAAACGCCTACCACTGCCACTCAAATTTAACTAAATCACGACTTGCATTTATGGCGTACGGGAACACGTATGTTCTCTTCGACTTGGGGTTTGCATCGGGATGAATGCGGGAGGCATGCTCGTTATGGGGTTCACGGCTGCTTGTTGCTCGGTGTTGGGTGTTTGCTATAGCTTCTTGCGCCTATCGCATTATAAATCGATGCGGTACCGATATTTATTACAGTCTTGACTTGTTACGTGACTTTAATCGTGCTTGCTAACTGGAATGGAATAGAGTTTGAAAAGTGGCCTATGTGCTAATTACACTGTCTTAGACTGTGTGGGTATATCCCCTGCTTCGCCTATTTAGGTAGGTACTAGGTAACTTACTATAGGTCCGGGTATTTTTGTAGAAGGGATAGTTGTAGAGTGTATTTTTGGTTTGGTATATGTGTGATAGGTATAGATTTGTTGACACTTTTCGTAGCGCTTCGTAGCCCTCGAAAAGCGCAACTTCGTCTTCGGTTTATGTAGCGTAAACGTATAATTCCGTCGCCGGCTGCGTCTTCCAGTCGTAAGAGATGAATATCTTAGGTTCGCGCAGACCAATTGACAGGGTTACTTAAGTAATTCTGCACAGCTGCTTATGATTAATAATGTCCGATCACCCACTGATCAATGTGGAAGGACCAGGATTAGAAATAACAACCGCGGTAGGTACTTGTGCCATGGCATATAGCAAATGCCGGCCGTAACAAAGGAGATAATTCTAAACTCATTGCGATACTGTAGAATTCGCACCTGTATCACTTTTCTAACCCTATTCGCAACCATAGGAGGCAGCAAGATGTGATGATGATGAGCTTGTTTACGTCTGAGTAAGAGTTGTAAGTTATATAAGTAGGTATATTTTTGCTCTGAGCTGACAGACAGGTACATATATGATGCGCAATAGCGGCGTACAGGATATTTAGAATGCCCATTCGAAGAAGTAGAGTGGGCATTGCCTTACAAAGGAAATGACCTAACTGAAGCCAGCTCAGCCAGATGATGAGCTTGTTTATTTCGTTTTAGGGTACACACATACCCGGAGTAGAGGCATTGCATCTGACTTCCAGGTACCCAGAGAAGCCATAGAATAGAATAGCGATGACCGTGCTAACGTTTATAGAAGGGGTAACCGTAGCGTATATAGCTCCGGGTGTTTCTCCCCTCTCCCCAAGGAAATGGATTATGACTAGTTGTCGCGCAGCGCCGACAACCTAGACTTCAGCTAATATCTTCAGCTTCGTAACCAGTATCTGCAAGACCAAGCAAGTCGATGTCTGGCACGAGATCCAAGGGAAAAATGACCATCATGAGTCCTCCCTGGCCCGAGAAAAGGGTTTAAATCGGTAACCTTCAAGGTGCCGCTGTTGGGAATTAATTGTTCTTGAGCGTTCGCGCTCCGCGAAGTGGCTCGATAAGTATTGGGTTACAAGAGCAAAGCTCATCCGCACAGGACGTATAGAGGCTTTCGTATGAATGAAAGGAGTCAGCTTTTGCATAAACGTGCAAACCGACCATTCCCACCAGCTGGCGCTCTCGTGGATGACTGGTCTCCAGCAACTTTAGTAGTGTGCAACAGGTTCCGTTTTCTCGGCGTCAAACACGGAACCTTATAAAGTAGATAGTAGAGCTGTGTGGTAACGAATTCACTGAAGTGGACGCTTCAGGTTTGTTGCTGTGTCGGAGGGACAAGAAACATGATCGCGGAGTCCTGTGTTGAAAATCCGACCGGACCTTTAAAGACCTTGCTACAAAAAAAAAGGTATGGAATAGTAATCTAAATCCTGACGATGTTTCCGGTACGCTCGTCTGGCATCTTCCGGTGCGCTCGTCTAGCATCTGTTCGTAATCTCTTGGCCACATCTACCCGTCTGCGGCAGCCTATTATGTAGGCTCCAAGGGCTGGATTGCCAAAATTAGCCCTCCCATCAACATCCCCCCCGGGCGAGCCCGCCCTTGGCTGACGATATAGCCAACTGCACTATGTACATTGTTGACTTTGTAGACATTGCCACACTTTGAAATGCGGTCCCGATTGATATAATCGATAGTCGTAGCTTTAGGGGCCTCGCAGTGTTTAGCATAGTCTGGTTGACGATGCGTGACGTTTCCATGATCGTTGCCTTATATCGGGATTGGCGTTAAGTTGAGTTACGTCGCCGAGATGGGCCCGGCCGCTTTGGGGCTCGAGCGACTCTCGAGTTGGTGGGTGTGGCGATGTCCTCGTCGTCATGAGTTATGTTAATAGCGGAGAGATGGCTTAGCCCGAGGCTGCGTCGTCTCCGTGGACGTTGGGATTTGATGCGGAAACAAATTACCGTAACTTATGTAGGTTGTTGCGGTGCGTCTCTTTGAGAACCGTAGGCTGCCAAACGGATCGGCTTGGTCCGCGATGATAATCCCAGAAGGCGATAACGCGATACCAAGGTCCGTTACCTGTACCTAGGTATGTGTGATTCATCCATGTTTACTGAGCAAGGTTAGGTACCAGTAATTCGATGATGTAGGCTGATGATCTTAGAAGTGAATTAGATATTGCATGGCGTGGAAGAGGCGTTGGTTATCAGGAAGGACCACGAATTATCTTCGTGGTGATTAATTCCTGACAACTCTGCCCACATGAGGAATGAAGGTTTAGAAAATGGAATTACTTGGACGTGTCCTGGGAGGGTTTATATAGACACAACAACACACAGAAGAGGGGCTGACTCATTTTGAACACGTATCAATAAATTTCTAAACGAAGTTTGTGTTTGCATTCTGGATAGCTCTAGCAAACCTAGGCTGGCAGCTGACTATATAACTCTCCATTCGTAAGGCTCTTTTCATCCCGTCTGCAATTGCGTGATGTGAACTCCAACTAGTCTCGAATGAAGTCCACCAATCAGCTTGCCAAGCTTACTGTTTCCATTCTACGTGAGAACCTTGATGAGCACATTGATTCATATGACTATGAAGTATGTGAGTTATGGTTATGTCACCTCCAGAGATTGACGAGACAAACTAACTAGGCAGAGTTGATAATTAGGCAATTGAGTCATAAGAAAGACACTTTAACGCATTCCTTGGTCAAACTTTCTCAATTGTAGGCCACATGATAATGATCGTTAGGCTAGAGGACAAATTCACCATCCCATCTTATCCGAACTCTGAAGTGACTGAGGGGGTTTGTCCAGGTTCGGTAGAGGGCTAGGCTTTCAAGTTTTGAGAGTTCCCAACAAATAAGTTCCAACATGATGTAACTAGGTAGTACTTACCTAATTATGGTGACAAGTATCAAGCAGGACGTAGCAAGGGAAGTAGGCGAGTAGGTGAATAAGATAAGTAAGTCCTGTTGAGTTATAGCGCTTAAGCCCTGTATTTAGTTCCCCTCTAGCGATATTGCCAGTGTTGTGTATGGGAGAAATTAGAATGGGTAAGGAAGAATAAGAAAGGGGCGTAGCGAAGTTGAGTATTTGATGGGAAATACCTATATGATAGAGCTTGTCCCAAAGACTTCAAATTGAAGACATATTTGCTCAAAAAATCTAAAATGGGTGGAAATTTGGGAGTTTTTGTGAGATCATCAAAGCGCATTTCTACCTGGGTAGTCTTCAATAGGTAGAATCAACGAAATCTCATTCCTAGTTACCTAATGTAAATAAATCCGCACCCTACCCAGCACTCATCGTGCCATGCTTGTCTTGATATGAGGCCTGTCTTCTCAATAAATTCCTATAACCTATTTAACACAGGAAACCCTTATTTCTTCAACCAGCATAAAGCCACGGCATAGATGGTGACAATGCCAAAGAAAGTGACTGTTTCAATAGTACTCATCCCGGAATTAACCTGCACCGAAGCTACCACCAGACCGCCACAATTCGTAACATCTCGAATGTGTACATTGTAGCAACCAATGTCCACGGCGCCAGAACGAACATGGTTGGGCACTGAACTGGATCGTGTGATCAAGCGGGTTGTCTCGCAACACGCGCACTGAGTTTTATTCTGGTCCTCCGAGTCCATGTCCTCGTCGTTGTTGACGTTGATGCTGATGCTGATGCTGTCAGAGTCGTTGGGGTTGGGTGAATGCGGGACGCGAATCAAGCCTTCATTCGAAGTAGGCATGGCTTGCGTAATCTGACCGTCCTCTGTTTGCGACAGGATAGTGTGCTGTAAATGTTCAATGGGTTGAGAATCCATGATCTATTCTGAGATTTCGAAGAGGGTTCCGATTAGCTCTCTAATATTGATTTTTGTTGAAATCACACGTGCAAGTTTGGTGTAAGTTTTGAGTCGTTTAGAAAGAACTGGGAACTTGGACCTGGGAAGAACAGGTTATCATAAGTTCTACGACGAAAAAAATAATAAAACTACATTGACAGGTATGTTACACAACGCGAAAATATTAATTCGAATTCTTCAGATCGACGAGGTAGATTGAGTAGCTTGGTAACTGAAAATTAAACCATCCGAATTAGTATGTTGCCGTAGGCTCTGCTGTAGCTTAGGTATCTAAGACAAGTATTCACGAAAAGAGCTGTACAAAATCACGGTAGCAAATTAGAAGACCTGATGGAGTAGAGAAGTTGGATTTCTAATATGAATCTACCCGAAGTATTTCCCCATGTCCCATCGCAGCGAGACCCGACGACTTAGTACCTAATACTCCATCATGTCATGATAAACCCATATTCCTTCCGCTGTAAGCAGTCTATTTACACCATAACCACCCACCTCCAAGCACAACGATGCAGAAGCCAGCAATACCTGAACCTAAGCAGTTGCCGACGACTTGCCGAGGTTCTTGAGTTAAGTAGGTTTCCGATCTCACACTCGTAATAAAGCTGTCATCGACTGTCCGGTATGCGCTTGATCCAATTCTAATAGTACTGTAGCGGTCATCATACTGGGATAAGGAGACCGATTGTGGCTGTCCGGAGGCTGTAAAGGTGTGCTTGAAAGAGCTGCCGTTTCTGGTAATTCCTTTGATTGTGACCATTGTGTATCGGGTGAATCCGAACCATCTAGATAGCCAAGAGAGCTTGCTCATTGTGGTGTGTTATGTTGGAAATGTTGTCTTGAGATGTAAGTAACTGTAGGAGCGTATATCTTGGCCGAAGAGCGTAGAAGTTGATGGTGTTTTGAAGAGGCTGTTTTGAGAGGAATATTGTGGGATTTGCCAACACAGGAAGAGGAACGAAAGAGGAAAAATTGGAAACGAGAGGTGGCATTTCTGCGAGAAACAGAAGACAGATTGCACAGTATACTTCAGACCGAATTATGTGAGAAACCAACCAGTAACCTCCCCCATACCCCGCTGATAGCGACATCCATCCATCCATCCATCCCATCTCTTAACTCGTAATGTTAATCCAATATAATAAACTTCAAAGCCTTCCAAGGCACCAACAGAAACCCAAAAACCCCTCACGCCAACAAACAACTCACACATACTTTTCCCTGACCCCAATCTCCGAACTCGCAGAGATCAGACTAAACGAAAGCCGCCCACGGAGTCCCCAGAACCCTCCCCTTCTCATCAATCTTGACGCCCTCGCCACGCAGCAGCTTCCGCTTCTCGTCGATGGTGATGCCCTCGCCGTCCTTAGGCCACTTGCCCTTGAAGCCGCCGAGGGTCTTGTTCGTGGCCACGACACGATGGCACGGGACTTCCGGCGCGAACGGGTTACGCCGCAGGGCGTTCCCGACTGCACGCGGAGACGAGCTGAGATGGGCTGAGAGGAGCCCGTAGGTTGAGACTTGGCCTCGTGGGATTTGACATAGGAGGTTCCACTGTTGAGGACGGGGATGTTAGTGGGATCTTATACGAAAGCGTCTTATGTCCTTTTTTCGCGGATGTATTTCGACACGGGATGTGTATGGAGATTCTGGGGGTCGCTGGGTGACTCACCACTTTCTTTTCGAAAGCCGTGCGCTCTGAAGCCGCGATGCGCTGGAGTTGGGCTTCCATGTCCTCGGGGACGGAGGGGGATGTCTTGAGAGCCGCGCGCTTTGGTCGGGATTTGACTATCTTCTGTGGTACTGGTGCAGGAGCATCTACGGCATCATCTGTACGCTTGCGTTTCATTCCTACAGCCATATCGTCTTTTATTTCCAAAAAGAGAACAGTTGAGAGTCGCAGAGATGAGGGGTTTAAATCAGCTAGAGCCTCTTGGTGATGAAATTCTGATGATAAAATTCTGATCACGGGTGGTGATTCTAGAGTTGAATGATTATTGATGGTTAGGAGGTGGGGATATATTTAACAATGGAGATTGGAAGGTTTTTTGACTCATAACGCGATGTCATGAAAAGGGCGCGTTCGGGATTTGCCCCTCGGTCTGACATCACAAAGACGCGACGCCAAGTCACGTGGTTCCAATTAGGTCAATGATTAGTAATCAATAATTAGTAACGTTCGAAAAAAGCAAAGACTCGGGAGGACCTCAAAACGTCATGATTCTTTCATAACTTAATAATTTTTTTGTTATTTAGTACTCGAGCAACGTGGAGTCTCCAACGTCTAGGTATGTATGTCTCCAATCCCGGCTTTTATTCTTACCGCATATCTCTTGGTCTAACCTAGCGACAAATTCTTGTTGATGCTTAGGTAGCGTTTTAATACTTTGGCGGTATTCTTTCCTAACCTTTTGGTCCTCCAGAAGAAATGTTAGGATGACTCCTGAGTATAAGATATCAGGATGATTGAGCAGGTAGTCTTGGATCATAACTCCTCGACCTGCCCAAATACCTTCCCCCCTATGATCGTAAAGGTAAGTTTCGATCTTCTTGGATATATGGCGACACAAGATTGGCTCGGCTCCAAGTAGGGCTTTGACGACAGGAAGAAAATCATCCGTCTGTATCAACCTCTTGATATACAGCAGGAAAACAAATGGTTTGTCTATAGGCGGGCGGTGTTCGGCTATGAACAGGAGGTTGGACTTGCAGTGAAGTTCCAAAGCCAATTCAAAAGCATCGAAAGAGTCTTGTTCATGGTCGCCCTCTCTGTTGCGTAGTAGATGTCGCAGCATCTCTTCATTGCCATCGTTGGCAGCCGCAATTCGGGAGATTTCATTGTTACAGAAGTATATATCTCCCAAACCGCTTCTGTATCCACGGGATTCCAAGATTTTAACCACCGAGAGCATCTTATGTAAAACTGCCATCTTCAGCGGCGACATCAGATCGGCATCGCTTTCACATATCTCTTCCACTAGATCCTGCGTAACCCGAGCTAGAGTCTCCGCAATGTGGATGTGTCCATAGAGGATGGCCAGGCCCAAAGGGTTAACTACCATGTGGGAGTGGCTAATGTCGCTGCGTTGTTCAACAAAAGACCATGCAGTCTCGGATAAGGTTGAATCACCAATGTGTTTTCTGAAGTTAGATTCGAGGTAGACCCGCATATCCACGATAGAACTGGCCTTCATCACCTCCTGAAATATCTCTTCATTGCCGGATATCGCCGCTAAGTGAAGTGGTGCCATACCATCCATGTACTGGCCAACCCCTCCGCAGCAAACTTGGAGGTAGCTTGGCCAATACTTCAATGCCGATTTGATGGATTTCCGGGTTACCGTGAGGCCTAGCTCTTTATCTTTATGATCAATCGCCCAGTGGAGAGCCGGGATTTTCTTCACCGTCATTAGAGGATACATGAGCCACTGCTGGCCGTCGACAGGAGCCCAGTTTAGAAAGGAATCTTCTTCATTTCTACTGTATGGAAATGGAAATTCGGAGGCGCTTTCGGCAAGTTTTTGCTTGGTTTCCATTACATCAGCTCGGTAAAGTAAAGGATCCAAGAGCTTCGAAACATGGCGGCATGTTTGGGACAGCCTGGCGATGACTCGTGGTTCGCGGATACCATTTTTTGCTAGGTAGTAAAGTATGTCGTCTGGGGCCATAGTGGTGCGAGCGAGATGGCCCTTCGTAGGCCTAAACGGGTTTGTGATAGGTAATGGCGTTTCTCCAGCCATAGAAAGCAGGAATAATGTATTTGGTACCTATTCGATTGTTATTGTGGATACTCAGAAGAATAAAGTACGAGTACATAAAGGGAAAGAATAGCCATGGTTTATGAAGAAATGGGGACGAATTTACTGCAGTCTGATAATAAAGCTACTGTACTCATTAGTCACAACCAATCATGCAGCAGTATCGAGTGAGTGCGAAATAGAAGCAAATAAAATAACACTGTACCTAGGTACCTAGTACCTAATTCAGAGATACAAGGCCAACTTCTGATAAGTCTCAGATGATATCTGATTCAACTTGACGCTTTGTTCAATTCAACGTCCATTCACTAGGTTAGCGCACAGTGCTAAACAACCCAATCATGCATTTAATTTGAATCTAGCGTGACGTCATAGTAGTCTACGAGAATAAAAATGCTAAAATACGAAGCTTGCACTTCAACGCCGAGCTGGATTCTAGATAAATTTCGAACGGGTACCTAGGTACCAGACGACAGCATGATTATTGAGGCTGTTTAGTATAATATCTAACGTAAGCATTAGCTACATAAAACGTCTCGGCCGATTAACTTATCTGTTTCTTTCGTGCCTGGGTGGATGTATGCGCCCTGTATCCAAGGAGATACGTACTATCTCCTAACCAATATTGGCTCCAAGATTACGTACAAGTCTAACTTTCGTCTGTTCCAACATTGTTAATGGAGAACGCGATGTAGGTTTTGCAATAATAGGTAGCCTCATATGAATGGCTGTAAACTTGGCATGACCGCGCATCGCTGACTATGCCCAGTTGGGGTTCTAGGAGTTAGGTGGGGGCTGAGAGGCGTGGAAGGGGAGATGATTCCCGAAAAGAACACCCACACAGCCATCGAGCCTCATCGGGTGTGCCGAATTCGAGTTTTGTGTTACCACCTACTTCCTCTTCCCCTCATTCTGAGATCTCGGGACGATGATCAACCGCGATCAAAGTTCTGACACGAGAACAAAAATAGCAACGGGCAAATTGCCGAACCTGGTAGGAACCATAACTAACAGGTCCCGGGGAATATCTTTAGTTGTCAAGGCTCCATTAAATAGAGACATCGAAGTTAACATCCGATAAAATTTTCATTCAGCTCTGGCGTAACACGGTGGCGGCTTGAAGGACGTCATCTCGAGAAAATTTGTCTCAGAGTTTACCTGATATGGACGAGGCTCTGAGACCGGCGACCTTCCTCGCAAGACCAATTTAGAAGTACGTGTCTTCGTAGAATGAACTAAGATAATTTGACATTCTTCAACTCGGCAACTTCATGCGTGGAGCGTGGCTATGTAATTCATCGGTAACGGTATCGACTGCCCCCACAGCTGTATTCTTCAATGAAATTAGGATGGACGGAGTGTTGAGCGTCAAGCCATTGGGGGCCAAGTCATAAATGTCGACGCCAACCGTGACCTGATGACTTGTAATGGCCTAATCTAGCCTTGTCGTATCTCTAAACCTTCTAAAAATGTGGCAAACGAATAGATGTAGGTTAGAAATGCACATTATCATTACACTGCAGTAGAAATATATCTTCACCGAAACTTGGGTGAAATAAGCAGCAGATGAGATAGTAATAAGCTCCCAGGCACCCGTGTCCCCATGACAGTTACTAAGAGTACTTCCATCTGATAATAACTCGAAGGTTGGGTATCGCGAAGATTCCTTTCCAATCTTTTTTCTTCTTTTTTTTCTCTTCAGGAATAACAACTTGGCGATACCCTAAAATGCTCTGTCGTCGGCCAACGGGGACTACCAAAGCTGGGTGTAGCTTCCCTTGCTGCAAAAGTCGTAGGGACGAGAACTGTCATGTGTCTTCAAAGTATTGCAAAAAGCGTGAGTATCAAAGTCGAAGATTTCGGGGAAGCAGGAGACCAAATTCGATGGCTAACAGCAATTCCAGATACGTGCGAGCACTTCTATCGAAATGATGAGTTACCCCGCTGCGAGAAATCAAAGGACCCAAGTGATTCCGTATGCATTTATCGTAAGTGATGTAATACCGCCGAAACGACGAATGAGTAACTGAATAGTCAAAAGATGCAAGATGTCCGATGGGCAATTGTATGAAGGGTAGGATACAGATACAGATCCAAAGTATTGCCAAAGAACCGAGGTACAAGCGCGAGAAATATTGCAACGATCGTACGAAGTGCCACTTCAATAACCCAAAAGGCTAAAAGTTGATTTTTGATAGATGAGTGTTCGGTTGAAGAATGTCACGACCTGCGAAGCATTCTTGGCCAAGGCCAAGTTCAATATAGCAAATATTGTAATGAACGTAAGCAGGTTTGCCATATCCATCAAACCCAATTGAGCTAACAATCGAGAAGATGCCTGTTACGCGGACGGATGTCTTGAAAAGAATATGGGACCCCTAAGTTGGTATTGTGGAAAACGTATGCAGCTCCTATCCCTATGCTCGAGGATTATATTCTAATTTTATGGTTAGACAAATGTAAAAAAGGGGGCTGCTCGTCAAAGGTCGTGCACCACTGCAAGTATTGTGAAGCTCGTACGTCTCTACTTAGTACTAATATGAAATTCGTAACTGACCTTCCGGGCTAGATAATCGATGCGAGTGGTTTCCAGGCACTTGTAATAGCCCAAAGAAGGCTGGGAAGGAGTACTGCGCAATGCGTCCGTGCCTCCGAATTGCGACATTATTTCCTGCGTACAATGATACTGACGGAAGCTAGATCTTCAATGCGAGACCGACGGTTGCGACAGGCAGAAAGATCTTGGCTCAGACCCACACTCATCCCATTGCTCGAGTCATACATGCCGTGAAAGGCAATGCAGAAATTCGGCAGATAGTAATTCGTCGGGGCAAGGCTATTGTAACGAACGTGAGTACATCTCTAGTATCTGATTAAAGGAAACATGATTAACCACGAACATTCTTAGACCGGTGTAAACGCGAAGGCTGTGGCCAACGTAAAACAATCGGATCCGGGGAGTACCAGTGTTGCCCACGACGTAGGTCCATTTCATCACCGATCTTAAGATCCATACACCTCATTTTACCAAGTGGAACCACATGTGCTCCTGAGACTAACTGGGTTGCTTAGACACATGCCGAAATGACCACTGCCGACAAGAGAGATGTTTTAAGGGAGAATACTGTCTGCGCCGTAGGGAAATCCGTTCTGCCAAACAATTTATTCGGCCACTGATGTTATGCATTTGCTAGATTCTTGCACAAACCATGACTGTGGTACCGTGAGAGATTATGGGGATTTCTGTGAAAAGCGTAAGTCTTGTCCTAAGATATTGGTAGTAAACACTAATGAGCCTTTCGTTATAGATTATAATAGGGATCGAGAAATGAAGTTTGAAGGCTGCGCGGACGATGAAAGACAAAGGCTGATAATTGACCTTGACACAAGAGATATAACTATCCAAGGACAGAGACGTATAATTCAAGAAAGAGACGAAGAGATTCAGAGATTACGAAGACAAACGAGGCTACCTAACTGATTGATTTAACAATCTAGGTATGTGGCGTACTTCTCAGGGCGTTATTATCGCCGTGTTCATCCCGAAGGGCGGATATAGAATGGAAGCTGTGGTAGTAAGGTAACGTAACAAGCTCTTATTTCTCTTCTGTGGAGAAAATGTTGAATACGGAACGGTGTTTAGATTTTGATGGAGAGATTTAAACAGGCGCAAGTTCGGCTGATCAGACGGGTATCGGGGTTTTCTCTTTCATTTAGGTAGTAGTAATACAACGTCATAAGGGTATCCTAGTGGCCTATCAGGCCTGCATCCATCGTGGTTTTCGAACTCCTCTTCAGTCCTTGCTTAGTCGCCGGTATCGACTTCAAGATCCAACTGCACACCATTGCTAACCTCGTAGTCGGCAAGGGTGAGCATGTCCTTGAATGGACGCTGCCCTTGTCTCTTCAGCAAGATCTCATGGGGTTCTCGTCCGATACGGGCGGCAACCATGATCTTAAACTCCTTGATGCGATCTGATGCGAAACACGGGATAGCAGCCTTCGTGCCTAATCGATCGTTGACATGGACAACGATCATCTCTTCGCCGCCGCCGCCACCACTAGTAGGCGCTGCAGGCGGTCGGACGGGAGGCTGAGATGTATCTCCACCACTAGACTTTGCCTTTGACTTCTTGGTGGAAGATGACGGTCCGGAATCACGATCACGATTGCGGTCGTGATCTCTGCGGCGTGGGGACGGTGAGCGGTTCCGATAGCCTCTGAATGAGCCGCCTCGTCGATCATTGTCCCCGTCTTCTATGTCGTTCCGTCGCTTGTCCTTGTATTTGAAACCTCCAAAGCCCTTCTTTGGCCGAGGTCTATCTCGATCTCGTCCCTCACTTCTCTCTGCATCTCTTCGATCCGAGTCCTTGTCTCCGTGATCATCGTCTCGTCTTCCCGAATTCTGCCCCGGTCGAACAGTGTCGTCATCTCTGTTCCTATCTCTTTGATCCTTCCAAGAATCGCGTCCAGCACCACGGTTTCTATCCCCACCTCGAGGCCGATATGTGTCATCTCTTCGATAGTTATCTCTCTCTCGTCTGTCGCGATCGCGACGCGGTGATTGGCTTCGGTCATCACTTCTACTTCGTTTGCGAGGTGGCGGTGAATCACCTCGTGAGGCGCGAGGCGAAGTGACTTTATCCGACATCGAAATGGCTATCGGGAAGCCTTTGGGTATTTGGTAGGTCGTTTGGTAAAGGAACCGTGGAGTTGTGAGGGTTGTGTTAGGTTTGAGTTGGGAAGAAGTAAATGAGCGAAGGTTGTAGTCGAGATAAAAGTTCTGCCAATTGGTGGCAACTGCCGAATAATTCCAAGGTTCGGGTCAAAAAATTTGTACCATTAACTAAGTCTCTTTGCACTGTGCGCAATTCGATAAGCAATTACTTCATACTGTATTTGGTCTCAGCTAAACGGAGACCTGACAGTAATTCATTCACTAAATTCTGGTGGGTAACTGCTATAAATCAAGCCTAATTCCGGGGCTTAGCGACCAAAGAAAAACGACACACAGTAGTAAAATATCCCAGCTTACACGGCTTTGAGCCATCAGCGCATGGTCCATGTAGTAGAAGCGCAATTTTTTTACTCTACCTAGGTACTTACCCTTCCAGTGTGGAGAACGCGAACGCACTCTAGTTAATACTTCAACTCATAATCCAATCCAGCATGATATCTTCGCAAATAGAGGTCTGGTATACTTGGTGCATCTAATTGAATATATTTTCATTTCTGTGCATTTATTTTGAGTTTCGTCTCTATTTCGTGTTATACCTATCTCCAATTGTTGATGTATTCCCGACTAATTAACTAGCAGCCCGATCTATTTCGGGGCCAATAATCAGGCACGTGTCCCGGGACCGCTCGGGGCTCCACTTTAACCGCTGGTCATCTTAGCAACTTGTATCCGATTCTACTCAATATAGAAAGAATCAAACAAGATAAGAAACAGCATGCTGTCAAAGTGGGGTACAGGGATCTACTAGGTGGATAAATGGGAATGTTAAACTTTATTATCTAAAATTTAACTCTTGATTTAGAAATCAACTCAGAAATATCCTTATAATACTGTGGAGAATATGGGACATCCATAATGCTTAGGTTATGCGCTTGCTAGGAACAAGTTCATATAGATGTCAATCCATCTCAACTTTTGTAAGAAAAATTCTGGGGCTATTGGGCAAACTGCGCATACTGTAGTACATATTGTCAGCCACTACGAAAGCCCCAGACAATAATAAAAGGAACATAAACAACACTGTACCCTCCACAACCACATCTATTTCTCATTTGTATCAGTAGCTTTATTTCTATGTGAAAGCCATATAGGTAGATACAAATATTGTGGAGTATTCAATATATGAATTACTGCTTCATAGGTACTTTGTGGCGCTAACTTTCACTCCCCTCGCCTCGATAGGTAGGTATATACTTTATATAATCCTCAAAATTACCTACTAACAACAAGTATAACTTGCTGATTTTCCCATTAACCTCGTGGTATGAGTATTCACTCATTGATATAAATAAGTAGTCATATTTCTCATATAACTTTCATGTTCAATATCCATAAAACTCCGTGAATCGAGATAGAAAATGTGCAAAGCCGTCACCACACCTTAGCAACAGACAATTTTGACAGGATACCTCAATTCTTTCCTGAATACAGATAGATAAGTTCTTCAGCACGTATTACGACCCCTCAAGATATTTATTAGTCACTGATCAGAGAATTAGCACCGAAATATCCACTATACTCAAGTACTAGTGGCTGTTATGTATGTTTTCGCACTATCCACCTTCCATCCGGAGTTCAACTATTTCACACCCCTTATTCATTACTGAAATAACGGAAGGTACGATTTCGACTGAGAATTAGATTTGAAAATTATTTAACACCAGGCTATTCTAATTCTTATATTTCCTTCCTAAACATCTTTCGCATTCCTTTCCAACTCTAAACCATACCGCAAGTTCACAATCTTACAAAAGTAAGCACTCAATTTTTTTGACTTCCTTATCTAAATCACATATTGCAATAGACACCAGAAGCATAATTCTGCCACCATTCAACAGTTTCCCTATGAAGCTACTTACATTTATTTAAGGATGTCTCAAGACCAAGTTACCGCCCCCCCGAAACTCAATATGAGTTCAACCATCCCTACGGTACGTATTTAACACTTTTTTTTCCTCACCTGACCCCCCCATCGGTCATCATCATCAATCACTTATGCGAATAATCTCCATAACGAGGCCTAACTATTGAGCTGCAGATGGATTTGCGAGTCTTTGTCCCGTCAGAACAACTTACGGGAAACTCGAGCGCCGAGCGCCAGATCAGCCGACATAACGGCAATTACCGAGGAGATTGCAGCCTTTCTATCAACACTGGCGCCAATGTCCAAGAACAGAACAACACCAATCTTTGGATTACAGGACTACCTGGCACTATCACCATCCAAGAACTGCTTGCCGCTATTACGCGCACCGGAAGAGTTCGATCAACTGTTGTAAACGCGCCGACCGGCACAATCATGACAGCAGCCGCGTCGATCAGCTTCTTCAACCGCAAGGATGCCGAAAACCTCTATCGAAAGATCGAGAACGGCAGGATCCTGTACCGCGGAACGTTCCCGTCGATACAGTGGAATCGCAATAAAGTTGGAGAGGGCGACGCACATCCTCTTGCCAGCCGGGTACTTCTTATCGCCGGTGATCCTGAAATTGTCAACGAGAAGTACTTGAACGAGTTCTTTTCGAAGAAATTCGTGTACGAAATCGATTGTATTATCAATCACGGAACGGTCGACGGATTCAATGGCCCTATCAGTCGACTCGAGTACCGCTTTGGCTCGTGGCGCTCGCAGGCCTCGTCCGCGCGCCTGGCGTTGACGCTAGAGCTGAAAGGATTCCTGCTGGTGGAATACGGCCCCGATCCTTGCGCCGGTCAAGGTCCGGGTCTTCGATGATGCCTATTCCACCTCGGAATTCTCCATTGCCGACACTTATGCCCGAGCAAAGAGTTTAAAGATACCATTTCTCCTCCTGCTTCTAAAAGGGTTGGAATATGATGGAACATAGTGTCTCTTGTGTAGGAAAGCATTAGTGGAGTACCGCGTGGAATTTGTTTCTAGCATGGGAGGTTAGCTGCATCTGAATGAACTTGTGATCTACATACATTTCCCTAGTCCCTACGTGATATGGTCATTGGTAATAACCTATTGTGAAATGTTGAGTCGATAATCTGAGTACTGGTTGGATACTCGGATGACTTCAAAATGTACCTAGACATGTTCACGCCTCTTGTCTAACTTGAAAGAAAACCTGGGATAACCCCCCATCTTAATTCATAACCGTGAAGTATCGTGACATCTATTAACCTTAAATTTCAATCTATTGAACTTAAAAAAGCTCGCCAAGTTACATTTTCACCTATTTGAATTACGCCTCAAAGTTTAAGCACAGCTACGAATCTTCTTTTCAGCCCTATATATACTGACCTCTCCTTCCGTGTTGTATTGGAAAAGTGGAGAAAGGCGGGGAAAGGGGTACAGTGCAGCACAGTAATATTAACACATACTCAACTTTTACTAACTGACTCAATTAATAATCTCTAAACTGAACAACAATTACACACTTACCCCTCCACCTCCACCAATTCCTTCTTCCTTAATAATTCTTTTCTGCATCTTTTTCGTTTCAACACTAGCTTTTCGCGGGTTCTTCGCTTCGAAAATCGCATCTAACTCTTCGAGAGTCATTCCCTTCGTTTCAACGAAGAAAAAATACATAAAAACCATCTCGAAGGAATCCCAGAATACGAAGAATACATAAAACCAATAGCCAATTGAACTTAGCGCAATTGGTCCGACAAATGTGTTCAGGAATCCGGCAGCGCCAGCAGTTAGCTTGAATGTTCCCATCGCCTTGGCTCGCATTTTGTTGGAAACCACTTCCGCTGGGTAGATAGGCTGCATCGGGGTGTAACCTACGAACACTGAGATTAGCTATCAATCAATTTGAGCGCCAACCTTGAACTTACCTGTGGCAAAGACGGCTCCGAAAATGAATATGAATACGATGGACAGTGTAGCCGCTGAACTGTTACCGTATTCAACCTTTCCAGCAGCACCAGCGGCTACGAAAGCAAGGCAGATAGTCATGCCCAGGGTGCTACCTATGAGCATCTTGCGACGCCCTACTACATCGTGAAGACGAGCGCCGCACATTGAGAATACCCATCCGATGACAGCATAGACTATATTGAGGATCTGTGATATCGTTAAGCTTACATAATCCCATGATAATTGCTTACTAATATTGCTTACTAATTTGGTGTTGGTATCTTTGATGCCAATACCATCCAACATTAGGGGGAGGTAGTAGCTGACGATACTAATACAGAAAGTTAGCATTGAATATTAGTCCCTTCGATCCCGACTTCACGTACTTGTTACCGCTGAACTGACCGAACCACGAGAACGCAATATTCAACATCAGCCTGTATCTACTCGCCCGAGTTTCCACAAGGACCCTAAGGTCAAAAATGTCTTTCCATGTCGCTTTCTGTGAGCCCTGGACTGTCCCAAGCATCTCCTTCATTTGAAGGGCGACAAGAGGATGGTTTGGGTCTCCGTTAGTATGATACTTGGTAATGATGTCTCTGGCTTTCTCGTGCTGATCATTAGCGATAAGAAATCGCGGTGACTCCGGAAAAAACTTGATTAAGCAGCCGAGAATCGCGGGACAGACCATCTGCAGCCATAAAGGAATACGCCAATCGAGATCACCCTTATCTGCCAGATGCAGATGGCAACCGTAGACGGAAGAGGTAGCTAGAAGCGCACCGATGTTATAAAATGTGTTGTATGCGCCGGCTATGGTCCCTCGGTAAGCAGCGGGCGAGATCTCTACAAGATAAAGGGGCGATGCGGTTTGCGCCCAGGTTGCGAAGAAAGACAGCAGAAAACGCCCTCCGATGAACATCGGTAGATTCGTCGAAAGAGCCGTGACAACAGTGCCGATGCACACGCCCAAGCAACCGAAGAAAATATGCCATGTTCGGCCATACCAATCTGTCATCCAGATGAAAAGAGCAGCGCACATTTGGCCGACCTAAATCTGTGAGCCATTGGAATAGGGGCTGGCCATCGTCCTAACGAACTGCATACCTGGAAGATAGCGAACACGATTCCTGTCGAAGCATTCCCGGTGGCCGGAAGACCAAAGTACTCCGTATAATTTGGCAAGGCCTGTGTATTTAGTTAGTAACATTAGGTTTGTGATACGCCCAGTTCCGATAGCGAGGTGACACTAGAGAAAACTTCTCTGTTAGAGCTAAGACAGATTCGTGTCACTTACATTGATTGAGCCCATCAGGGAAGTATCAAAGCCTAGGATTTATCAGCAGCGAATCTCGGAATTGATGCAACCCAGCATACTGACCATTAAAGGTAGAGCAAAGGAAAAGCGATCCTGCCAGGAGATACAGCCTTATATAACCAGGACCTCGAGGATCTGGCTTATTTGTCGCCATGATGGCAGCGTACGTCTCTGGGCTCGGTTCGAGCCCATCAATGTCCCCAAGGTCGATTTTCCGACCTTTCTTTTCCATTGTGTCATGGCTTAAGCGAGCCTTTGACAACGAGGCTCGTGTGTCTTCAACTTGTTCCGCCATGGCTTAGGTAGGGCGACGACGAGTGAATAAAATTCTCATTTCAGGTTAAGAAATGATGAAGGATCAATTGAGCATCGGAGAAAAATAAGCACGGTAGCTGTCATCTTATACAGTGATAAGGCTGCCGAAAGCCATCAACCCCGGTATCTCCACTCTCCTGATAAGTCCTAACTAGCACCCGGGATCCCCATGGGGTCAGCATTTCCCCTCCGGGATGGTCCTAGTACATGGAGTAGCAGCTAATACCATGCGATCCGGGTTATTGGTGCGATTATCAACGAGATTCAATTGGCTCATCGGGGATTGATTACCAGGTCCCTGAATGGCCATGCTGCAGTTGGGAGACGGGGTTACATGAACCCTTGGCCTAAGAGGGAATACGGTTATATAAAATGCCGTATGCCTCTATCGTCGACTGTGCCACCTGCATCTAACCTGGTAATCTGCAGTATTTTCCAACTTGCCATGGTTAAAAGTCCATCGTCTTGACACTAAAAAATTGTGACTTCTATGATCCCGACAGCACGTGGCGGTCGAAACTCGAATTGACGTATTATGTAATAGCTTGTTCTGAGTTATGCATCAAGGAGAAGAGATTTCTTTTTAGGGGCTTAGTCAACTTTGCTTACTAAGGATAATTCAGAAATATAGGCTGACTAATCATGGTTAGGGTGTGGAAATTGGCCGAAGGTGTGTGAATTTTGTTATAGGAGACAATCTAAAAACTCTAGTTCTGAGAGGCTGCAGTGGGCGAACACAACAGCCAAGACAGCTGTTGGATGGTTCTGCATGGGAAGGTATATGATGTGAGTGTTCCAAGCCTAAAATATGACCTCGATAGCTGGCTGACTAAGGTGGCTTAGATTACATCATTCGTCCCAAAACATCCCGGAGGAAGAAGCATTCTCTTAAAGAATGCGGGGCGAGATGCTTCCAAAGCTTTTGACTCGGTCCATCCGATTGAAATACTGGAAGAATACCTAACGACAGACCAAGTATTAGGAACCATTGACTCAAAAGATGTCATCGAGGACACGAAGGCACAAGAGTCTGGTGACCCATTTTTGGACTCGGAGGCCGCATCATCATCCAAACTACCACCCCTTGAGTCGATGCTAAGCATATCCGAGATCGAAAAATACGCCTTACAACAACTCTCACCAAAAGCGATCTCATACTATGTCTCAGCAACAGACGACCAAATAACCAAAGCAGCCAACGGCGAAATATACCGCTCCATCCTCTTAAGACCACGGGTTTTCGTCGACTGTACGGAATGTTCGCTCAAAACATCGATCATCGGAAACGCAGTCGGTCTCCCTATCTTCGTATCCCCGGCCGCCATGGCACGCCTAGCTCATCCATCCGGCGAAGCTGGCATAGCGTCCGCATGTTCTAGCTTCGGCGCTCTCCAAATCATTAGCAAGAACGCATCTCTCTCACCCCTGGATATCGTACGCGCCGGCCCCTCCGCCGTCTTCGCATGGCAGCTCTACGTACTTAAGGACATATCCGCGACCGAGAGAACACTGGCACAGATCCGACAGATCCCGCAGATCAAGTTCATCGTGCTGACGCTCGACGCGCCGTTCCCGGGGAAGCGAGAGGCAGACGAGCGCTTTAAGATGGGCGAGGTTGCGGGTGGGGCGCCGCCGCAGGCATGGGGCACGGAGGCGGGGTTAACGTGGAAGAAGACGCTAGATTGGTTGTGCAGACACACGAGCTTGCCGATTGTTCTAAAGGGGGTTCAGACGCATGAGGATGCGTATGCGGCAACGATGTTTCCCGCTGTGAAGGGAATTATCCTGTCAAATCATGGAGGTAGGGCGTTGGACACTGCGCCTCCGCCTATCCAGGTCTTGCTAGAGATTCGAAAGTTTTGCCCCGAGGTGTTGGACAAGCTTGATGTGTTAGTTGATGGAGGCATTAAGCGAGGTACGGATGTGGTTAAGGCTTTGGCTCTGGGAGCGAAGGGGGTGGGTATTGGTCGGGCCGCGCTTTATGGACTCTCGCTCGGAGGAGAAGAAGGGGTCAAGAGGGTGTTGAAGAGTAAGTGCCTAGGTAGATGTGCGACACTCCGGGTATCATATTGGCTAACGCCTATGGTGTAGTTCTGGCTGACGAAACGGCGACGGCAATGAGATTACTTGGCGTGAAGATAGTATCGGAACTTGGTCCGCGGCATGTGCGTTACAAAAACTCCCTTTCCAAGTATATTATCGTTTAACCATCTAGCAGGTTAATAAAAACGCCTTGATGTCGAAGCTTTTCGACGGCCCTTCAGGTTTAGAGGACATCGATAGACAACTTAGGCCTAAATTGTGATAGCGCCATTTTAAAGGGTTAGGATAAAAGATTGATTGGATGTGTTGAAGGAAAGGAAGGATTGATTGATAGAAAAGAGATTGAAGACATTGGAATTCGAAAAAGGGTAATTGATTTGTTGTATCCAAGAAGTTATATTTATTGGCTTTGGGTTGTGAATAAGGTCCCATGAAGATCATCGTCCATCAAGAACGAGCCCCAATCCAATTCAGTGCCAAATGTGAGTTGTTCATCATACCAGCCAAAGAAATTTGAGTCCCCGTCTTGGGATGGGGTTCGCCCAATACCTTCAGCTTCGCCAGTGATTGCTTCATATATAGCGGCCACGATATCCGGTCCTCTATCAGAAGCGCGCATCCACGGTTTCATCTCAGAGAAAGTCTCCATGGCCTTGACAAGACTTGCGCGAGCTGAAGTCAAGGAGTCAGCAGTGGGATCGCACCGCGAACTTTCGATTACGATAGACAATAAGGGAACCATGCAAGCCTGGAAAAGGTACCATGCAGAATTCCAGACGTGAACTCGATTCGGCGTCCAATAGAGAGCGATAGAATCTATGGCTTCGCTCGCAACTGTCCGACAACTGTCAATGATCTGGAGTTCTTCTGCGCCAAGTTGGGACTTCTGAATGCGACTATGAGCAAGATATAATATGAGTGACCGCATGAGGATTAGGCGTATGTTCAAATAGCGGTTTCGCATGAACTCGCGTGCGATAGTTAGACGGGATGGTGAGTTCGTGGGTGATCGAAGCAACGCAGGAAGAGATGCCCACCACGATTGCAATTCTTGGTCAAAAGCAACGGCTTCAGCAATTGTTAACCGATTGAATTGCGCGAATCGGCTTTGGATGCGATTGCAAATGAGGCAGAAACGGGTACTAGCACATAATGACATTGCCATGTGATCATCCTCGTTAATGAAACTAGGTAGGAGGGTATCCATTGTCGTAGCCTCCCATCGTCCGCACGTTGGACGACCGAGAGTCGAACTAGCCCATGTGTCAAGGCAAAATAGACTCCACCATGTTCTTCGCCTAGTTTCGAGTCGATTCACTTTGCTTGGCGTTAAATCTCCTTGGCTTTCAACAGTATTGGTACCACGGCGTCTGGATTCTCGATGAAGTCCTAGAGCAATAGCAACTCGATGCGCAGCCCCTAGAATAGAATATGCCATGTTTGGGGCATTTCGATAATGTAAATACAATCCGCCGAGTAGGCAGAGGGCCTGCAAGCTCTCTAAATTTCCCGCACCAAAGCTATCGAGATCGACAAAAGTTCGAGCCTGTTCATAGTATTGTTCATGTAGTGTATCGCTCCCAGAAGCTATGGAGCCAATCGTTATCACCATGTTGAGTAGACCAAGCCAACCAGGTTCTCTTCGATGCCCTAGGGAGTAAGAAGAACGGAAGTCTTCTTCATCTAGCATGGGAACAATCGGGTGAACATGTTCAAAGTAGAAATCGATACAACGTTGCTCTTTAAGAAGTTGGGCCCCTAGGTCACCACCCAAGAATGGTGCAGATTGAGAGTGAATAGGATCCTCGGACCACCTTTTAGCTTGCTCAGCGACACGATGCTTCGCAGGAGGACATAGTCGGAAAATTGTCCTAAGGATGGCGCTGATTGAAGTGACTCCTAAGTAAGAGCGACGATGATGATCTGTTGCGAGATTGATAGCGTTGATATCGTCACCAGCCTGTAGCACAGGAGGCTGGTGGCTCGATTCGTCCCATTGTCGATCGGCGGTAGGCTCACCATTCTCAGATATCTGGGCTGAATCATCCGCGACTTCGGGATCTTCGGCAGAGCGGTCGCCTAGCTCATCTTCCGCTGCCCTGGATACAGAAGCAATACGGAGAATATCTAATAATTCACCGCGACTCTTCCCAATGAGTTCATCTATGGCTATGTCAGGAAAGAGTTGCTCGAGGATATCAGTCCGCGATTTCAGTTGTTCCGAAACCTCCTCGAGAGTGCTAGAGTTGATCTTATTAGTTACCTATAGATGTTTAGATTTCAGGGGTTAGGGGGGTGCAGGAAGGTAGGTCAATAGGAGGGTTGGGAACATCTACCTTCTGCTTACGGCATTCCTCTTGTTACGTTGACGATAGCTACACAGGTGGGAGACCTTGTAGTACGTACAGGAGCTACAATGTACCCATATTAGTACACATTCTATAAAAGCGCTCTAGCAAGTACGTGCCTGCAAGGATGACCACCATCGCATTTCACCTTCCGCCTACAGCAGTGATATCAGACTTCAAGTAACCAACCAGAGGAGGTGAAGAAGATGTCTTGGCGACACGCACCTCGTGCATTCAGAGCACGATTTGTTAAGGCGAGCCGGAGCCGAAGCTGGCGGTGACGAGCTCGTTTTCTTGTGGCTGCTGAAATTGTGGAACATCAACACAATGGGACATGGTCACGTATCTGTGACCACTCATTCCATTAGGATGTGTTGGTATGATTCTGATCGGGTGGAATTGCTCGGAGGATTTTGGATAACGAAGTGGAGATGTGAGACATTCTCATTAATCACATACACCATGCTTCTAAAGAGGCCTTTCTGCTTAATCATGATTAGTAATGATGAGTCATCTTTGCATTTATGCAATAAGAAGAATATTACTAAGCAGTGTCTCGAATCCTTCCCCTTAATTCCCCGCACGAAGATTTAAATTTCCGTATCCTAAACAATTCCGTACCGAGGTACACCCTCTTTCTATCCCTCAAATCCTGTCAATGCCACTCTGAATATGTGGTTTGGGGGAGTCGGGTTGACGGCGACATCCTTGCAACCTCAAAATATACGGGCTGGTATCTATACGGGCTGGTATCCCATTGCATCGGAAAAGACGACCCATTTCCTTGATTCATTTATGACTAGAACTGCCCGCTCAGTCTGCGTCCTTCCCAGAAAAGAGGTGACATTCTGTATTTCAGCTGAAAATGGCTCTTGTAAAACACCCCCTTGAAGATGGCTGGACTTTCAGGCAAAGTGACAGCACCGCAACCGGTGACTGGCTCCCGGTGAAAAGAGTTCCAACTCAGGTTCATATGGATCTAGTTGCCAATAACAAGTAGGGACAATACCGTCTTCCGTCATTGATCATTGTTACGGAGATCAAGCGAGAGCTTACTGCTTAATAGGATTTCGGACCCGTTTATTGACTTGAATGAGCTTGCTGCACGGTGGGTTAATGAAAAAGATTGGAGTTACAGAGTCCAGTTCAAGAAGCCTGCAGGGCCTTCAATCTCTAGCCCATTCATCACCGATCTCGTCTTTGAGGGTCTCGATACATTCGCAACAGTATTCCTCAATGGTCACGAGATCCTGAAGTCAGATAACATGTTCCTAACCCACCGGGTAAACATTTCAACCCTTCTAAAAAATGACAACATCCTAGAAATCAAGTTCGACTCGGCCTTTTTGAAAGGACGAGAGTTAGTAAAGGAGCATGAGCACGAGCACACATTCTACGTTCGTCAGACTGATATTGGTCGAGTTCCAACTAGAAAAGCCCAGTACAACTGGGGCTGGGATTGGGGTCCGATTTTGATGACCGCTGGACCCTGGAGGCCAGTCTATCTTGAGCAATATGTTTCAAAGATCGACGATGTTTGGGCTCAGTACGAAGTCAGCAAAGATTTGAAGACAAGTTCCGGCCAGATCTTTGCCAAAATTGTAGGAGCGAACTCCAAACCCGTCAACCTCACAATATCCCTAGGGGGGACCATTATTTGGGAGAAGGCGGCCGCAGTCGACAACAACGGCTTAGCGAAAGCAGACTTCCAAGTCGATAACCCGGAGTTGTGGTACCCACATGGCTATGGGTCCCAGGTTCTTTACGAATTGAAAGCGATTCTAACCTCGTCCGACGAAAAGTCCAAACTTGTCGGTTTTCGACGAGTCGAACTCATCCAGGAGAAAGATGAATTTGGCAAATCTTTTTATTTCCGTATCAATCAGATTGATATCTTCTCCGGCGGATCTTGCTGGATCCCCGCCGACAGTCTGCTCTCTCAGATACCCGCTCAACGATACCATGATTGGATGAAGCTAATGGTTGAAGGGAACCAGATAATGTTGAGAATATGGGGCGGTAAGTTTCTGATGTATAATATCGCATTCGCATTATGGCGCTGATGATAAGATACAGGTGGAATTTATGAGGACGATGCTTTGTTTGATGCTTGTGATAGATTAGGGGTTCTCGTCTGGCATGACTTCCAATTCGCATGCGCAAGCTACCCAACATACCCCTCCTACTTGGAATCCGTTGAGCAGGAAGCAAGACAAAACATACGTCGACTAAAGTCTCACCCATCCTTAGTCATATGGGCCGGAAATAATGAAGACTACCAAGTCCAGGAGCGCTATCATCTTCATTATGATTATGATGGGGATAAAGATCCTCAATCGTGGTTGAAGTCAACCTTCCCAGCCAGGTATATCTATGAGTATCTGCTACCGAATATCGTCAAGGAGGAAGACCCATTCATGGTGTATCATCCAAGTAGTCCATGGGGAGATGGAAAGCGTACCACAGACAAAACAGTTGGAGACATTCATCAATGGAACAGTAAGTTGTGCAAATACTGAGTTGGCAGTTCTCCCCAATCACTAACAGCACGAAGTATGGCACGGAAGGATGAATAGATACCAGGAAACTCATCTACTCTCTGGCCGATTTATCAGCGAGTTCGGTATGGAAGCCTACCCTCATCTCGAAACAATTCGCGGCATGATCCAAGACCCACAACAACAACACCCAGGCTCAATGATGATGGACTTCCGCAATAAGGCCATCGACCATGAACGTCGTATGGTCACTTACGTCGCGGAGAATTTCCTAGTGAAATATGACCTACCTTCTTACACACATCTCACACAAGTTGTGCAAGCAGAGACAATGCACTTTGCCTATAAGACGTGGCGCCGGGAATGGGGTACGCCAGGAGCACGTAAATGCGGAGGTATCCTGGTGTGGCAATTGAACGACTGCTGGCCGACGATGAGTTGGGCTGTGGTTGACTACTATCTCGTCAAGAAGCCTTCATTCTACGCAATGGCGAATGCCCTGAAGCCCTTGGCCGTAGGCATTTCCCAACCGTATCATAATTGGACAGAGGGCCATGCGGATCCGACACTACCAGCGAGGGACACGAAGTTCGATCTTTGGGTTGCAAGCAGTCGATTAGATTCCGTCCCAGTAGAAATAATAGTGCGTTTCATTTCAGTCCGGACCGGCCAAGAAGTCCATCCTTCCCTGAAGCTTGGAGGGATAACTGTGCTGCCGAACAGCACGACGGAGGTCCTGAAAGACCATTCTCTTCCAGTAACAAACCCACAGTTTAATGATACAACGCAACCTTTCGACTTGGTGAAATACGACCCGTACGTCATTCATGCCACCATCAAAGACGGTGATGAGGTCGTGTCAATTGATACATCCTGGCCACAACCGATCAAGTACTTGGATCTCTCCAACCGAAACGTAACATTCAAGGCCGTATCAACTAACCAAATATCCATATCCGCCGCTCGTCCCGTGAAGGGGTTCGTGTTCGAAGAGACTCGTGCGATGAAACTGAGCGACAATGGCATTGATCTCGTCCCAGGAGAAGAAAGGGTCGTAGATGTGACGGGCGCAAGTCTGGATTCTCTGCGATATACTTACATCGGAGCGCCAGAAGGTTCTTTAAAGGTAGCTGTTTCTATCCCCGACGATCTGGTATCAAAAGCTAGGCTCTGACGATAATGGGATCGAACATCGAGTATTAGGAAAAGTAACCTTCGAACACGGTATGACAGCTTAAAAACAATTTGATCATAAGCGAAATTCATTCAGTCGTATATATGATTATCACGACCAAACAATATGTATATTCAGCCTCGACTGCGTCGCAATTCAACGATTTGAACGAATATCAACATTCTTGTCGGAAAATGGAATTGAGGCCTGAATTTTATATTCCAAATATTCGGTACTCAAAACGCACACTAGATGCTCATGAATGGAATCAAGACTTTCCTCACATATGTACCTTAGACTCATCCATCTCTTGGTATCGTGGCCATCATGCCCTATCCTCGCCATATAGCCCTATATACAATACTCCAACCATCCATCACGTATACACCGAGCGAACAACGCTTTTTATACAATATGAACTTGAGCGAAACTGCGGTACCTTAACACAAAGCGCCGCGATACTTTCGAGATCGTCCTGACCTACTAGCCATGTTACAGCCGAGAACACGGCCCGGTTGGACGGAGCGGCACTTCTAGGATCGCAATATTCTGCATCACGTCTGAAGTTACCGACACTGACCCCAAGACTATACGGACTTAGACAATACTAAGCCAATGTCTTCAAGGCAAAGCCCAATCCTCATGGCCGCAGGTTGCGTCCATGCGCTCAACGTACTTCTTAATTCGATCGACTACCCATCCCGATTTCGTTCGTTCGGTAGCGTCTCCAGAAGTCTGACGCCCTAGCCTCAGAGACGTAGATGTCTTGCAAGAGTCACCCGAAAATGAAAATTGCATGCAATCAGCCTGGCTTTCGCAATGGCTACGACAGTCCTCGAAAGAACTGACGTCACTTTGGTCGACCTCGGATAAGTTATCCCAATTGTCGTGTTCCGTTGATAAACGAGGGAGAACGTAGTAGCGAAACACGTCTCGGTGACGTAGGCGATGAGAGTTCTGCCAAGTCTCGTATTAGCAAAATACCACATTAACGATCTGAATCAACACATACCTTCTTATTCCAGATGTACTCAAACCGAGCAAATCGCGGAATTTCAGCAGGCGAAAAGTGATGATAGCTCGAGGCATAATAGCACCATGGCCTATTCTCATTTCCACCAAACGTCGAGTTGAAGTCAATATCGGCGGGTCGATCGCCAACAACAGTTGGGAAAGACCATAATAACTTCGTGCCAGAATCCGCTAGCGCCTTGCCTAAGACACAGTCGCCCGCCCAATGAGATGCGGTGAAATCGTCGTAGGCCTGTAGATTCTCGCTACGGTGCGCCACAACCCTCTGTAATGCCGGATTGGAGACAATAATGCCGCCACCGCCATAAGCAAAGACTATGTCGCCAATCTGCATCTGCATTCCAAGATAATGCGGCTTGGAGGCATCGAAATGTGATAGCCACTCTAACAGAGTTTGCCAGAGTACGTAGGTATCTCCCTCTATGAAGATATACCACTTAGCATCGGGTCGCTGCCGCAGGGCCTTCTCAGCCAGCGGTAGGAACTTCCATTTATCCAATTTCCAACCAGGCGTATCACGTCCGGCATCTGTATTTTTGGCGGTCGCCCATTGCTCCAATTCTTCGGCACTGAAGGCCTTCCTACCCCCTTCTTGCAGACGCCGGTAATACTCGAAATCGGGGTTGTTGGCTATAATATCGGGGTTGACTTCATCTAAAGCATTATAGACATGGTGCCCCTCAATTTCCTCTTCGTAGTCGGAATAAATGCCGTAATTGGGAACGCATCGCAAAGTAGTCGAAAAGTGTACAGGAAGCTTCTTAGGGACTTCGGAAGCTCCAGTTCTGAAAATCACAAAGAGGTCGTCAATCCCCTTAAGCTTGTCGCACAAAGGTCGAGCTTCTTTTAAGTATTCTGAGTCGCTTACAAAAACCGGCTTTCGCACATAAAGATAAAGCAGGAGTAAAGAGAAAACAGAAGCCGCCGTCAGAGCTCGGTATATCGAGCGCGGAAACAACGACGGTAGAGCTGAAAACATACTCCAAGTTCCAAGGTTATGGTGCTATGCAGAAAAGCAGGGTGATATCAACAAGACCTAACGATTGTAGAGAACAACAGAGCTCTCTTTAACACTAAAGAGAGACGCGAGCAAGCCTGCCGCCGCGTCAAGACAATGGAAGTTAATCATCGAAACAAAGAGTATATGTGTTTTAAAAAAGAGAACAAATCATCCCATATGTGAGCAGTGCTGAGTTGCGAGACGCGAATAAAGTGGAAAAAACTGGAAACGGTACGTAAAAAGACTCGCTGCTAGCTGACCAAGTTCGTCATAATTTGGGGTGTACTTCGTACAGATTGACGACATTGTTTCCAGGGGATGGCTTCCGTTGGCTAAGCCACGATTACGAAACTAGAGGATATTAGGGATTATATGGCGCTACTTAAGCCTACCTCGAAAAAGACTACGAGAGTGATTGGAGGAAAAGTGGTGTTATATTATTAAAAAAAAGGAATGGTTTAAGAAAATAAAAATTTATAATGTAAGCATTAATTACGCATAAATTATTATTATATATTATTTTTATTTTTATTTTTTTTATATATTTAATAAAGATATTTTTAAAAAGTAATAATATTTAATTACTTTTTAATTAATAAAATTAAACGTTTCGTTTATAAATATATATTAATAATTTTTTAAACTTTAACGTTTTTTTAATATTATATTTTTTTTTTATTTTTTTTCGTCGTTTTTTTTAATGTTTATTTTAATAATATTAAAAAATTTTCGTTCGTTTAAAAATACCCGGTTTTAAAAATAAATAATTTTAAATAATTTTTATAATATTTATATAATAATAATTTAAATTCGTTTAAGTTTATAAATATAAAAAAGTTTTTTTTTTTACGTAAAAAAATTATAAACGAATTTTATTATTTCGAGTTAAATTTTAATTATTTTTTTTTTTATAAAATTATAATTAAGTCGTTTTTTTTTAAAGGTTTTTTTTTTTTATTATATTAAATTTATTTTTATATTTTACGAATTTTATAATTAAATTATACGATTTTTTAATAATATTAAATATAAATAATATATTTCGTTATTAATTTATTTTATTTTAAATTTATAAAAATAATAAACGTTTTTTTAATAAATATATTTCGTAATTTTCGATTTTTTTTAAATAAATATTTTATTTTAAAGTTTTTTTTATTTAAATGTTTATATAATATTTCGAAAAAAATATAACCGATTTATTTTATATGTTTTTTATTAATATTTTTTAAAGTTTTAATAAAATATAAATTTTAATTTTTTTTTATATTTATATTAATTAAATTTTTCGAAACGGAATTATATTAAAAAGTTTTCGATTAAGATAATTTTAAAATTAATTTATTTAATATATTTTAAATAATTTTATTAAATATTTTTATTAATTCGATATTTCGATATAAAATAAACGGAATATTTAAAATGTAAATTTTAACTTTTTTTAATTTTATGTGAAATTTATAAAATATAAATGTTACTTCAAAATTCGCGTAAATTATTAATAATATTATATCGATTTTATTTTTTTATTTTCGTATATATTTTAATATTATTCGTGTCGATATATTTTTAGTAAAAAATTTTTAACCGTATTTATTAAATATATTTATAATATAAAATATATAACGATTATTTTTATTTTTATAAAAAAATAATTTAATAAAATTTATTATAAAAATTTAAAATAATAAATATATAATAATAAGTAAATTTTTCGTTTTTAATTTTATTTAATTATATTTTATATATTTAATATAATTTAAAATATAATTAATCGTATTTTAATTTATAATAAATTAATATATTATTTAATTAAATTTTTTAAATATAATCGTTAATAAAAAATAACTTTTTTTATTATAAATAAGTTTTAAAATTAACGTAATTTTATTTTTTAATAAATATTTTTTTTAAATATTATTTCGATAATTTTTAAAGTTATTTTTTTTAATTTTAAAATTTTTATATCGATTCGTAAAAGTTTTTATTTTTAATTTTTTATAATTTTCGAAAATATTATTTAAAAAATTTTAAATATTTTTATATTATTTTATGTTTAAGTATTTTTTAATCGTAATATAAACGTAGTAATTTATAACGATATTATTTTTTATTAATAATTTTATTTTTAATTTAATTAAATTTTATTATATTTTATTTTTAATTTTATAATATTTCGATATTAATATATTTTTTAATAATTATATATATTTTTTATTTTTATTATTTAATTATTTTTATATTCGAGTTAAATATAAATATAAAAAAAAAATAAAAATATATTTTAATAATTTAATAAAAATAAGTTTATTAATTAAAATTAAACGTTTTTTAAGATTTAATAATTTTAATAAAATATTATATTTTTTCGTATTATTTTTTTATATTTAAGTATTATTTAAATATATATGTTTTATATTTAATTAATTATTATTACATTTTAAAAATTTAAAAATAATTTTCGAAAAAACATTTATAATTATATTTCGTTTTTTATTAATATAAATTATTCGCACGTTTAAAAATTTAAGTTTATTAATTTATTTAATATATATTTTTTTAATATTTAAAAACGTTAAGAAAAATATTAAAAGTTTATAATCGATAAAAATTATAAATAAAACTTATAAGCGGAAATATTTTTCGTATTATTAAGAAAATTCGATAATCGTATAAAATTTTTTTTTATACGTTTCGTAATTTTTTTAAATAAAAATAAATAAAAAATTATCGTAAAAAATTAATTTTTTAATATAATTTTATATTTAAAAAATATAATAATTTACGTTAAATTTTAAGGTATTTAAATATATATCCACGGGTTTATTAAAAATATACTTATATATATTAATTATTTACGTAATTTTTATTTTTAATATATTAAATGTTAATGTTTTTAATGTTTTTTATTTTTACGGAATATTTTTTTATAATTTTATTAAAAGTTTTAATATTTTAATATAATTTTTAATTTATTTACGTATAAGTTTTAAAACATTTAAAAATTATTTTATATTCGTTTAATTTTTTAAAATTAATTAAAATTTTAATTTATAAAATTTAAAAAGTTTAATAAAAATTCGTTTATAAATTTTATAAATTATATTTAAAATAAAAAGTTTTTTATAATTAATGAAAATTTTTTTAAATAATAATTTTAATTTTAATTATACGATTTTTAAAAGGAAATAATTTTTAATTTATTTAAGTTATTTTTTTATAATAATATAAATAACGAAAATATTATTAATATATTTAATAATTTTAATTAAATTTCCCGGAATTTTAAATATTATAAAAAAATATTTAAAATTAAATATAAAAATAAATTTTAAAATAATTTTTATTAATTTAATAAAAAAATAATTAAATAATTATATTTTTATAACATTTTTATTAGTTATAATTATAAAAATTTTAATATTTTAAAAATTAAAATATATCGATAATTTAAATAAATAATAATCGTTTAATATTTATATTTTAAATTAAATTTTATTATTAAATTAATTTTCGAATTAAATAAATATATGTGTAAATTTATAAGTAAAAGTAAATTCGTTTTAAGTAAATTTTTTTTTATATTATTATAATTAATAATTATTTTTAATTTTAATTAAAAATCGTATATTTTTATATTTTTATTTTTCGTTATTAATATAAATTATATCGTTTAATTCGATAAATTTCCATTAACGGACATGTTAAATTTAAACATTTTAATATTTAAATATTTTTAAATTAATTTCGTTAATTAATATTTTTTAAAAAATGTTTAATGTTTTTTTTTCGATTAATTTCATAGTTTTAATTCGGGTTTTAAACGGATTTTATATATATATAAATTTATTAAAATAAATATATCGGTTATATTTTAAGTATTATAATTTTTATAAATATATTAAACTTTTATATAATGTAATTTTAAATTTTTCGGTATAAAAAAATTAAACTTCGATTTTTTAATATTTTATTAATTTTTAATTTTTTTATTAAAAACTTTTTTATTAATAACGATTTTCTTTTAAATTATTTATTTTTATATTAAAAAAATAACGGTTTCGATTTTTAATTTTAAATTATTTTTATATAAGTGTAAATTTTTTTTTTTAACATAATAAATTATTTAAAATGATTTTTTTTTTCTAATATAAATAATAAATATAAATTTAATAATCGATATATAAATTTAAAATTAAGTTTAAATATAAATTAAAAAATATATATTTTAAATTATTTATAATTATGAAAAATAAAATAAAATTTCTTTTTTTTACGTAAAAATTTCGCACGGAAAATTAAATTTAAAAATAAAAAAATCTTTTTTTTTATAAATATAATATTATAAAAATTCCTGTTAATAATTAATTTAATGACTTAATTAAGTCGTAAAAAAAAATTTAATTTTTTAAATCGTTATTTTTATTTTTTTTTTATTTAAAAATTTATTATTATTTAAATTAATAACATTTAGTTTATTAATTTTCTTAAAATTTAAATTAAAAATTAATTTATAATAAATATATAATTTTAAAAATAATTTTTATATTATTACGGGTTATTTTTTTTTTATAAAATTTTTAATAATTAATATATTTTTATAAATATTAAAATTCGTTATAATATTTTATAACCACGATAAATTTAATAATAAAATTATATTATTTAATGTTTCGAAAAGTTATATAATCGTTTAAATAAATCGAAATATTTTTTTAATTATAATATTAAAAACCATGAATTTAAAAATAAAATTCGTTTTATTAAAAAAGTTTAAAAGTATAAAATTTTTTATATTAAATATAATTAAAAGTTTTTTTTTTAATTTAATTTTATTTATTAATACGAAGTTAATTATATTAATATTTAAGTTTTAATTAATTAAAATTAAACTTTTTTAAAATAAATAAATAATAATTTTTTCATTTACGAGAAATTTAATAATTAATATAATTTTATACGTTTTATTTATTTTAATAATAATAATTAAAAATTTTATAATAATACTTTTTATTTTAATATATTTTTTCGTAGTTTTTTAAATTTTATTTTTTATTCGTGTAAATAAATGTTTAAAGTTTTAATAAAAATTTAAATTTATTTATAAAAAATTTAATAATAAAATTTACACCGTATTTTTTTTAAAAAACTTTTTATAATTATATAATTTTTTTTTTTTACGAGTATAAATTTTAAATAATAATTTTAACGTAATAATGGTAAAATAAAGCTTTTTTACTTTTTTCGATTTAATAACGAATTTTTTTTTTTTTATAAACGATAATATAAAAATTAAAATATTTTTAACTTTTTTTTTTTTATTTATTTAAGTAACGATAATAAGTAAAAATTATAAAATTAAAATTTTAATTTATAGTTTTTTATTAAAATTTAACCCGTTTTTTAAAACTTTTCCTTAATATATAATAATAAAACGCGAACCGACATTTAATATTTTTTAAATATTATTTATATTTTTATTAAAATAATTTTTAAAAAATTATTCGTAATATAATTAAGTAAAGTAAGATTAAATTTTTTATAAAGTTAAATTTATTTCGAAACGTATATATCGAAATATAAAATTAATTATTTTTTAAAAATATAATTATTTTTATTAAATTAATTATTTTTTATTCGAAATATTATATTAAGTTTAAAAATAATTTTAATTATTATATTTAAAACACGTTTTTTTTCTTTTAGCGAATTTTTTAATATTATTTATTAATAAATATTTAAAAAACTTTCGAAATAATAAAGTAAATTTTTTAAATTTAAATTTATTTTTAAAATTATTCGTATATTAATTATTTCGAAATAATTATCCGTTATATTTTTTTAATTTACTTAATTTTATTATTAACCATAATATTTATATTTTTTAAGTTATTTTAAATATTTTTATAATTAATTTTAAAAATAATTTCGTTATTAAAAAAAATTAATAAATAATGTCGAAATATTTTAATAAATTTCTCGTATTTTTATAATAATAATAATATTTTTTAATATATATTTAATCGTTTTTTCGATAATTATATTTTTTTTTTAATAATTTTTATATAGTTTTTATTTATTTACATTTTTTTTTTTTCGTATAATTCGTTTTTTATTTTTTAAAATTTTTTAATTATTATAAATAATTTTAATATATTTTATTAACGAATTAATAAAACGAATATAATTAATAAAATTTTCTTATCGTAAATTATAATTTTTAAAATTATTAATAAATTAATTAATAATCGTTTTTAATAAAATTAATTTTATTTATAAAAAAGTTTTAATATTTTTATTAAATTTTTATAAACGATTTTTATTATTTATTTTTTTTAATATTTAAAATACACGTAAAAAATATTAACTTAAAAGTTCATTTTATTTTTATTTTATATAAATAAAGTTTTTAATTTTATTTAATTTAACATTAATAAATTTCGAAAAATATTTATTTTTTAACGTTTATTTTAATTTTTTTCGATTATTTTTTAATGTTATTTTACTTTTAATTTTTTTTATAATAAATTATAATTTTAAATTTAAATTAAAAAATATTACCGCTTTTTTTAAATATAATATATTAATAATAAAAATAATTTTAAAATAAAAAAAATTACTTTTTTTATACTTAATCGTATAAAATTATTAATATAAATATATTAATTATTTTTTTATAAATTTTATATTTTTAAAATAATTATAAAGTTATAAATTAAAAACTTTTTAAAATTTTATTTTAAAATAATAAATTTATATATTTATAAATAAATTTATTTCGAATAAAAATTAAGAATTTTTTTCGATTATAATATTTAAAAATATATTAAAAAATAAAAATAAAAATTCGTCGTATAATAATTAATAAGTTTTAAAAAAATTTTCTTTAAATAAAAAAAAATAAAAAATAAAATTAAATAAAAATATAATAAAAAATGTAAAAACTTATGTAAAATTTTTTACATTATTTTTAAAAATTTTTCGTATTAAATTTTTTAACTCGTTTATTTTTTAAAATATTATATAAAATTTTTAAAATAATAAAACTTAAAAAAAAAAATAATAATAATAAAATAAAATAAAATTTAATCGAAAAATAAACTCGATTTTTTTTTTAATTAATTAATTAAAAAATTAAACGAAATAAAGTTAATTTTTAAAAATATTATTAATAAAAATAAATAACGAAAACGCTTTTTTAAAATTATTAAAAAAATTACGAAAATAATTAAAAAAAAAATAATATTATATTATTAAAAAAAAAAAATGGTTTAAGAAAATAAAAATTTATAATATAAACATTAACTACGTATAAACCATTATTACATGTTATTCTTACCCTTATTCTTTCCATATATTTAATAAGGATACCTTTAAGAGGTAGCAGCACCCAGCTCCTTGTACCCGGAACAGTGATTCGTTGGTTGATCATACGAAATCAACGCCTAGACATGGTCTTTACATGTGACTAGACAGGGGCGTACGCACATCAATGACAATGACCCACCTCGCTTGGCCGTGAATGGTGATCGTTATTAGGACGACGAGAACTAGAGTTGAAACGATCTAAGTTGATAGGTGTGGAAGAGCAATGTTTTAGATTTCCAAGTCATGCTTATTAAGATTTGCATTTTGAGGCTCCTTACTATTGAAAAGTTGAAGACGTCCTGAGTTGAGACATCCAATGTCCGCATTCGTTTTGTTCTAATAGCTACTAAATAGGTACCTACCTATTGTTAGAAACTTGCACGGTACTAGGTACTTTTCAACGGGTCTGGTCCTATCATTGTTAGGTTGACCTCCCCGATATTTCGTTAGCAACAAGTACATCATTCGCCGGACATTCTCAAGTCCGCATAATTAAAGGCAGCAGTCATGTCCTAATATCGCAATTTCGAAAAAGTACCTACTATCTACCAACAATTTACTTAGGTATTTTTGAATAGGCAGACCCGACAGTTTGGGAACTGTAACCTTCCCAAACATGGTTGGTGGGGAGCGCGTATTAGCGCAATTGATTCCCTAGATGCTATAGGACGCAACCCGCCGACGGCGCTTACACATCACCCACAACCCTCACCCGAGCCTATCGAATACCCGCCTTAGAAAGCTTATTCGAAAGCTGAAAGTAATTACCGTGCCGTTCTATTGCAGCGTACAATATCATCTTGGTAGCAAGAGTAAAGGCGTCTCGTTATGCCCTATCTAGAAGGCCTTACAGAGTAGGATCTGTGACCATCTAACACGGTGGGGGGTGTTTGGAAGGCAGCTAAGCAAGTAATAATTGAAGCTATTCGCAACCTTGTCGGCCCGCCGACATTGTAAATAGCCTCATAAATCAATTAACGATTTAATTAGTTCAATCCAAGGTTCAGTTTAACAAAACTGCCAGAGCGTACTATAATTATAGAGAGTTTTAGTAATTAACGCGTTAATATATTTTAGCCCCTATAAATTATCCTAAAAATAACGCATCATATCGCCGAAATCCTTTATAAATATAGCGCGTTATAAAGCTTGATACGCTATAAGTTTAATATAAGTTTAATAAGGTCATTTCACAATTTCAATAAATATAAGTCTTCTTAATGCAGTTGATTGGATACTAAACGTATTGTAGAACGATCCATGAACTGGGGTTCAGTTTAGTGATACATACATACGCATTGCTGAACTTAGGGCCGTAAGTCAAAAAAAGATTATTGTCATAAACACCATCTTATAAATGGGAACCATCAGCCCCCGCTCCCGCGCTGATATTCACCGCGAGTTTTTCTCTTCTTGTGCGACTAGTGTTGATATGTACCTAGGTAATATCTTCTATTAGAAGTACTTTTCGACTAAGTTCGCGTACACTAGCTTGTTTAACCGCCGTTTAGATATGTGGTTTCGACTGCTTGCTATGCTCATTTGCGTGAGCTCAATTGTTGTTGGGCAGGATTTGCCCGGACCCGGCAAGCCAGCAAATGCTTACAGCAATGGGTCATTCACGGAACCGAACGGCGAGCTGTCGACGTACCTGTTCGGGTCATCAATGAATATCACTTGGGAAACTAAGTACGATACGGTGGATCTTTCGTTGATCATAGGTTGGGATTTCAGCAATCGGATACCCCTTGCACGTAAGTTAAACAATCCATCACTTTACTCTCGCAAATCCCGATCTCAGGATGCTGAACGGATACTCAAACAGTCAATATCGCCCAGACGTGGCATCTGTGGGATGTAGTTACGAGTTCACAAAACTCTTCTCAAATATACACATTTATAATAATTAACGCAACGGGTTCGGATTACGACAAGAGACACGGTGGTTTCTTGAGCGCCACCTTCTGGATCCAGTTAACTTATTCCGCATCAGCCTCTTCTACTACGTCTTCAGCTTCCGCTATAGTATTTTGTTCGTGAATATTCTTCAATTTTGCGTTGCGTTTTCTTACTAAGACATACTATAGCAGCATCAAGTCAACCAATGGAGAATGCGAGTGATGGCCAGTTAGCGGGATTAACCGAAGGAGCAAAAGTTGGCGTTGGTGTTGGAGTAGGGGTTGGCGGCATTGGACTCATCTCACTCGCGGCGGGTATGTTCCTCTACAGACGGTCGCGAGATCGCAAGACGCAAGCGACCGGTAATATAGAAACACTCCCCCAAGGAACAGGCCCCGGGTCGTTATATTTTAACAACAACTACAAGACACCAGTAGAGATGCAAGACACAGGGAGGATGGAAATCCAGGCGCGGTAATTTTCCCATATAAACGATACAACGTAGAGGTTTCGGGATGAAAGGAGTCGAGGTTTGAATGCGGGGTTTATTAATACCTATCGTTTGATTGAAATGTATATGGGTATGAATTGAGTTAATATTGTCCTTTTTTTTTAATTCTCCAGTTTCAAGTTATTCTGTATATCTACTCTAGGTACCTAAGGTATTGTTTAAATCTTATTTCTTGGAAGATTAGTGACCTCAATATACGAGTGGCATTTCAAGGAACTTCTGAATGCTAAGTAGGTAGATACTAGGTAGGTAGGTAGATAAGGCTCCGAGCAAGCAAAAAAAAAAAATCATCTCACACACCTTCCTTCACCTTCATTCTTGTCATAATTCAGCTCTGTTGTTTCATTGGTTCTATAGTAGGTACATGTTAGGTATTATTAAGTGAACATAATATTTACGAAATTGTTACCTGGATGATCAGCAATCTTTAACCAATCCTAACATAGAGATGTCGTTCTCAAAATCATAGCAATAACCTGCCATATTTAAGTTTAGTAGGAATACTCCCATATTGTCGTATTGAAGAATGGTAACTAGGTAAGATGCAGTCAGTAATCCTGCGCCACCTCCTATTATTTGGTTCCTACTTGTGCCAGTGGCTGAGAAGTTCAGTTGTGGCTGACGTTTAGTTTGCTGTTGCCCCTAACTATTCCTTATTTCACAAACATCTCAAATACACCCTTAATTCCGGCTGATCGTGATATATAAGAGGATATGAATGGTCTAGTCCATTTCTAGTGAGCACATACTAATCGAGGTTATGCTTGACGTTTTCTGTGTCCATAGACATGGGTACTGGGTAGGTAGTTAGACATCAACAGGGACAAATAAAGAGTCTGTGTACTGCTTGCTCTTTAATGTCATACCTACTCATATGCAGAGGAAACATTCCCATAATTCATGTAAGATATATGTACTACCTTCTCATTCGATAGTATTCATGGTAGCACATACACTTGAGGTCAGCATGCAAATTCATTGGTCGCGCACATTGGCATGATCTACTAACTCGTCAGTTCCTGACGTGGCAGTGTTGCCAAACTCTACTCCGGCTATTTAATCAAACTAAAGACCCAAACAGACACATCAATTAAGTTTTAGAAAGAGATTGTACAATCATAGGAAGGTGATGACAAATTGGTGACTCTGGTGTGTGCGTCCTACGAATCCAAGGTGAAACTGAATTTACCTACTCTTGTTCAGTCAAACTACTGAGCAATTCATCACACACATTATACTATGATCCTAGTCAAAGATACAGGTCCTAGAAGACTCGGGTTCAATTTCAATACCACTATTGAGGCGCAATGACTTGGAAACAATATATTTAACCTCTGAGCCATTTACTAAAACTCGTTTGACCAAAACAGTGGTACACACATACAAGCACTTCAATTTGTTCTTTTGGAAGAATATATATGTCTACATCGTATTTTAAAATTTGATTACATCGACGGAAGTTCTATTGCAATACTCGAGTTGATCATTGAGTAACATAGCCCTTCTAAGTTCACAATGTGTACAAAACACTACGATAAGCAAGTATGCCTCTGCGGCCGGGAGACGGGGGTTCTTATATACAAGTATACCGAGTGGTGTATGCATTCCAAAGTGATGAAGGTAGAGAGGGCTTGCGGCGTACCACATCATACCAAGGTCGACGGGATGAAGGTCAAAGAAAAAAGCTGCTTCTTCTGCATGCTCGCGGAAGTGGGCTCGACTAAAGAGACTCGAGGTTAGTCCTAAAGATGACATATATTTATCAAGACATCTGCTGACTGTTATAGACTTTTCAGGGAATGATGAGACAGAGGGTCTTACTTAGGGCGGTGGTGGAGGACTCAGGTCGATAAAATCACACCACTATTATATGGATGAATTACTATTATCGGATTTTTCCATTATGGGCTGATAGAGGGTCCGAAGGACCACCTTTTCTAAACAATATTACTTAGGTAGGTTATAATATAACGGCATGTTCATTACAACCGACTGCTTAGGTAGGTACGTACCTGTAGGTCAAGCCACCCAGGTTTTATGAATAAAAATGAATAGGATATCAAGTAAGGAATTAATTAGGTACCTAGGTACCTATAGGTGGGTACCTCTAGTAACTCGAGCTGATTTTCAAAAAGGTAAAAATAAGATCGGATGTCAGGCCAGACAAGCATTAACACTTCCATAACGTCGAGAAACCCCGAGATTACTAAGCGTCATTTGATTACTAATCACTTACGCCGTCCATCTTCAAAATCACCTTACCACAAGCTCAGAAAACATAGAATGGATTAAATCCCTAAAATCTCCCAAGGAATAGCTTCATGATATCCAGCCTCATTACCCAAACCCAAACCCCCAAAATCCCACCCACAATAACCCTAACCTTCTAATCCAACCCAGCTTACATAATAACACAGTAATCCAAGCCACCACCTCATCTTCACCTCCGCCTAAACCCAATCTCAAGCGCAAGCGGCTTCCTCAAGAACCCCTCACGGGTGCGCATCCCCTCCTGTCTGAGAAAAACCTCATATCGTCTCGCCCAAGTCGCCGCAATCATCTTCATCTCCATCTCCGCGACATTCCGCCCCACACACGCGCGCGGGCCCGTCGAAAACGGCAAGAACGCGTTTTTCTGCCGCGGGGTCGCGTTGTCCCATCGTTCGGGGCGGAAGTCGTCTGCGTCGGGACCCCAGATGGAGTGGGAGTGGTGGATGGAATATGTGGGGACGCTGAGCACGGTGCCGGGTGGGAAGAAGTGTCCGTGGATGCTGACGCCTTGGGAGTCTGCTGGGATTACGCGCGGGAGACCGATGCCGGAGGTGGAGTGGATGCGGAGGGTTTCGTTGATGACGTTTTGGAGGTACGGGAGGTTTTTGATGGCTTCGTAGTCGGGTACTTCGGTGTTGTTGTCCGGAACGGCTGCGTCGAGTTCGGCTTGGAGTTTCTGGAGGACGCCGGGGGTGCGGGTTGCGTAGTAGAGGAGCGCGCAGGAGGAGTTGGAGGTTGTGTCAGATCCGGCGATTAACTGTGTTAGTGCTTCGGCGGTGAGCTCCTCGAATCCTAATGGTTCGCCTTTTTCGTCTCGTCCTTCTTGGAGTAAGGCAAGGAGATCACGGCGGTTGATGTCTGGCGGGTTCTCGAGACGGTCTTTCACGCGAGCGATGGCGATACCGGCTAAGTTCTCCACGGCAGCAAGGCCCTTGCTGAAAAAGGGGTCGGGAAGCCATTTCGCGTAAGGTTTCAGTTGCGGGAGGCAGCCGAGGGTGGCAGATACTTCACCACGTCGGTTGAGGATATCAACGGCCGGAGCATAGATGGAGGGTTTGTCGACTGCCATGCGGACCTCAGCTATATCTGCGCCGGCCTTGAGCATGCCAAAGGGTGCACCGAAAGCCAAGTCCCCAATAGTATCGAACGCGACGTAGTTAAACCATTTTAGGCAATCGACATAAGCTGTCTTATTTGTGCCAGTGTCAACCAGTTCATCCCAACGGCCGACAAATGTCTTAAGGTTTTGAGTGATGTAAGGTTCAAATTGGACTATCGACTTTGGAGCGAAGGTACTAGCGACAAGCTTCCTCTTACGAGTATGCTCAGCACGGTCCCTAGTGTTGAACAGACCACGTCTAATCGACACGAAAGCATCATAAAACTCGGACTTGAGGAACCCGTTTCCATGTCCGTAGATGATTTGGATAGCATCGTCATCAGCGATACTGACATGGTTCGGTTGGATCCGCACCACAGGCCCGAGCTTCTTGTGGACATCGTCCACTACGAAGTGACGTTTCCCTCGCCTAGCAGTATAGAGTAGCCATAAGTTGGTAAATTGAGCAGGGAAGGGCGCTGGGATATCTCGGAGGTGGCTGTTCGTCACCAAATATGGATAAAGATAGTAGGCCACAAGAGCAATAGCTCCAACAACCAATGCCCAAGGCGATATAAGCAGGTCGAAGATTGCCATAATAGCCGAAGGCTGCCTGTAATAGATCAGTGGCTTCAGCAGGTAGTTTAGATCCCACGGATAAAAATAACGAAGTCAAAAATTTTCTTTAATTTCTCCGCTAAAGACACGTCCCTCCCTCCACACCGCCCGATGGAAGAAATGCCAGCGAGCCCTCTTAGTTATATATAATGGTTCATAGATACTAACCAAGACACAATTTTGGAGGTGAATGCGGAGAATTTGAGTTATCAATATTGATATGACAGGGTTCCCTCCAATTCGAATGCCGGTAGTGTCAATCGGGTTGTGTAAGTCAAAGTTTGAGGTTAGATGGATCCAGTTTCTTGCGCTAGTTGAGTTCATCTCTCTAGATGCAGATGGGGAAACCGGCTAGGCAGCTAGGTAGGAAGGAAGTATCTGCAAGATGACCAAAAACCACGTTGCGAACCCCTGGTGCTTTCCTTGCCGATACTTACTTTAATGCTAGCATCTGAATCCTGGGGAAAACGTGGGCCAGTGACGACAGCTGGAGAAGTTGCTTATTCATTTTGGTGGGTGAAGGAAGGAGGGGAGAGATGTATTGAGACACACACTTCCGAGTTTAAACATCTCCTCATTAAGGGATACGGTAGCTAATATCGGTATCTAGTAACGTTGACATACGTTAGGAGTGATGCACAAACCCCACGACAATGTGACGGTGTTTCGCATCACACGAGAAATAGACTACATCGCGCTGTTTGCTGTTGCCGTGGTCTCGTCCCGTGTCGGGGTTCGCCTTGGCGGGTGGTTACATAGATCTTCTTTATGGGGCTGTATTTGAAATAGGTAGTATTGTACTGGATAACAAGCTTGCTATATGAATTGGTATAATCCAGGGATACTAACATTGAAATTACGGTGTCCAGTTTAGGATCAAGGTGAGGTTGGGAAGTTGCAGTCACATCCAGCCGTAGCTGACTACCTCCTATCTAAATATGCATCCAACGAATCGAATGTACTAATGCAAACATGCAAGTAACCGGCAACGTCAAGCTGACATAAGTTTCTTCGCATTAGATAATAGTTACACAACATTTAAAATGTGTATTATACCACGGATCAATTAACAAATCGTCTAATACTGATTCCGAGACTAATGGTTGATGGAATTATCTTTCCCGACCCGAACCTTGGCTATCGTGGGCGATCCCGGGCCTCGGCTACCGTTATTGGAGAAGTCGGGAATGCTATGCTCGCACGACAGGGGGACTGGGAATAGGTACAATTCGTACGTGGAACTAAATGCTTGGTAGGTACGATAAGATTAGACGTATACGTGCAACACCGAAACCGTAGCTAAAATCACATGACAGAAGACAATTGCGAATATTCGAGTTAGACTATTTTGGTATTTTTGGTTACTCGACACTATCCAGTAACAGAACTATGCCTGGCGAATGCTCCCACTACCCCGCTACTCCGATAAGTACCCAGGTAATTGCTTATAGCTTTCCGGCCGTGCGGAAATCTTCGAAAGCCTCGATAACACGGGCCTTCATGGTCTTCTCGCCTTCTCGTACCCACACACGGGGGTCGTACTTCTTCTTGTTCGGCTTGTGGGGGCCTTCGGGGTTACCGACTTGAGTCTTCAAGTACTCGATGTTCTTCACAATGAAGTCACGGTGACCGGTTAGGTAAGCCCACTGGAGATCTGTGTCGAGGTTGACCTTGACGACACCGTGAGCGATGGCCTCGAGGAATTCGTTCTTGCTGGAGCCAGAGCCGCCGTGGAAGACGAAGAAGACGGGCTTGGCTTGGCCGTCGTTCAGCTTCTTGGCAACGTGGGCCTGGTGCTTGCCGAGCAGCTCGGGGTGAAGCTTGACATTTCCAGGCTGGTAGACACCGTGGACGTTTCCGAAACCAGCGGCGATGCTGAAGAGGCTGGAGATAGGGCTGAGGGCCTCGTAGATGGCAAGGATATCCTCGGGTTGTGTGTATAGGGAGTTGTTGTCAACGTCCTCGTTGTTGACACCGTCTTCTTCACCACCTGTTAGACCAACTTCCATTTCTAACCACAGATTCAACGGCGCAGATCGCTTGAGGTATTTGGCTGTTGTCTCAATGTTGTACTTGAGGTCCTCCTCTGATAGATCGATCATGTGACTGCTGAAGAGGGGGGTGCCGTTCTCCTTGAAGAAGGCCTCGTCGGCATCGATCATGCCGTCTAACCACGGGAGCAGCTTCTTGGCGCAGTGGTCACTGTGTAGAATAACGGGGACGCCGTAGACAGGGGCAACTGAGCGGACGAAGTGTGCCGCGGCGATGGCACCGGCGACAGAGGCTTCTTGGTTGCCATTGGGAATGGACTTGCCCGCGAAGAAGGCAGCTCCTCCGTTGGAGACCTGGATAACAACGGGAGATCGAGACTCCTTGGCTGCTTCAAGGACAGCATTGACGGTGGAGGATGATGTCACGTTGACGGCGGGGAGAGCGAACTCGTTCTCTTTGGCATATTGAAATACCTAAGGAGAGAAGTAAATGTTAGCTTTCCCTATTTGAGGTCATGCATACCCAAAGAGGTATTGGTGGTAGCTAGCTTACCTTTTGAACATCCTGGCCGTAGATAACACCAGGCTTCAGGTTCAGCTTATCCATTAACCCCATTATGACTATAGTTATTCAGGACAATTGGCGAGATATAAGTGTATGAGGTTTACGTAGGGAATAGATGGTTCGATTGTTAGTGTGAGAAATAAGAATGATGGTTTAAATGTATCGCTTGTTTTAAAATTGGTGAGAAGTCTGAGGGAATTAAAACAGCAACGACGAAAAATTAGTTGAAAGAAGGAAAGAAGGAGGGGGGCATGTTTTGGAGGGGTTACCCAGTTATGTTGGGTCAGATCAGATCCACGGTGACGCAGCAGCGCAGAACGGCCGAGAATTTATTATGGAGGCTTGCCTCAGGTGTGACCCGGATTATTTCGAGAAGTAAATTGTATCGTCTATAAACTCCCTAGTCGAAGCTTTTTTTGGGTCTCTTGACCTTTTGCCTTCTCACTAGTGGCCACTAAACCCAGGTACATCGATGTGCCGTCCCGGGTACTTTACGGCGCAATAGACCGGAAACTCGATTTCTAGAGCTCCCTGAGCAGCCCTGATATAATATCAAGGTAAAATGCCGGCGATCTCGTAGGTTTACCCCTCCAAAACGTCAGTTTCCGTTCGGGATGTCAAGGTGGGGTAACCCGATTGCTTCCAGTTTTCGGAGGGCAATTGAACAGGAACTCATTATAAATTCGACCTATATCCAAGCAATCTAGCTGTGAAATGCACGAATGGAACACTCTATCTCGAAGCTGCATCATAATTCGAAAGCAATGTTGAAGTCAATTGCGGAGAATCTTTCATCATTCGATGCATATGTACCATGGGAGTCAATCGAGACTGCCCCGCCAGACCCTCCAAAACAACTAAAGTTATAAACTTTCAGGGATCCCCCCACTACTCCCACCCTACAAGGCCCCATCCAAGCTTCTTATCTTATCAATGGATTCCAAATTTAGCTGGCTCTACAGATCTGTCTCGAGTTTACGTCTTTACAGATTCAAAGTGCTGGCGAATCTCACTTTACATTTTTGTTGAAGCAGCTTCTCTCATTCTTACTGTGATTATACTATTCTGGATACGAGTTACGTTGTCAACGCTTTCAATCAAACCTCGCCTGGAGAACAGGGATTAAAGGTTGAGATTAAGCGTCATTATAGAAGTCGAGTAACTCCGAATCTATTCTTGGCTTGAGGCTTTTTCAAGCTGAATTTAGAGTTGACTGCCACGTGGGATCGATTTCCTAGGATGGTAGGTAGATGCCAGAATCGTCGGTAAGTCTGTTGAGGTATATTATAACTGAATCCAGGTAATTCACGCTTTCTTATAGGATCTCATAATTGGAAGCTTGAGAGATTATTCATTCTTAATGAGCCAAGCGCGCGTATAGCTTCATACGATTGATTACGTATCAAGAACAAGCCATTCGCCCCGATCTCTCGGTCAAATTTATTTTTTTCAACTAGGCAATATCCATTCGAATCCATATATTCTCTTGATAGTTCCAAGTCTGAACTATTACGCGATTCATAATTGGTCCGTTAACTAAGGCTAGATCTAGCGACTGGGGCATCTCTACTAAGAATTCCACACCGCTATTGGTTGCAGCGACAGAACCACGAATATAGCACAGTATTTGCGGTGATGCTAACATCCACCTACCATGGCTCATGGTAAGGCGCAGTGGCAGAGTGGTCTAATGCGTGTGACTAGAATATCTAGATTATCACATCCCTTCGGGGGCGTCTGTTCGAATCAGGCCTGCGTCGAATTTCATTTTTTATTCTTTTTGAATTTCAACTTGATTCTATATCGACTCCGATATCACAATTTTTTTAGTTACATTTTGTGTAGGGCTCGGGTGTGGATGTGGATCATATCCCACCTATCATCAGCGCTCTCATTCTTACTGGGTGGGGTTAACCTCAGTATGGACATAAGGAGACAATGACATGATAGTCCTATACGATATGTCACTTAAGTATGCGTCATACGATCTTCCATGCACTGAAGAGATTGATAGGCATGTTCTTGCGCATGTAGACTAGCCGTCGCAATAAGCCCGCTGTACGTAATCATCCTGAGGACTATTAAAGGCCATTTTTTATGCCGATTTTCCGTCAACCTTGAAGCTATCCTCTTGGTATTCATAATATTGGAGATGTAAGCTGACATATGTAGGTAGGTAGGAATACCTGCCGTACTTTCTCTTTTATACCCTGCCTACCAAGGATATAAGGCAACGGCAACCTTAAAGATACCGTTGTATGACATGAATCCCGGAAGTTTGTCCCTTAGCGCCGGCTCTTGCCGCCCGAATATACGGAACTGCGCCGGGCTCAATTGGCTGCTGATTTTCGTTTTCTGCGCAACATTGGATCTATAAAAGATCTGCCAGGTAAAATGTGCCTACTGCAGAGTACGTAATAGGTAGATCCCTCCAACTTCAGAATAGGAAGCTGGAATCTACTTAGCTTCTCGCCCCCTGGCTCCCCGGGTTCCAGGCGGTCAGCGCTAGAATTTAGCGCATGATTATTATGTGATAACATGATCAGTCTGTCAGTCAACCGTCGCCCTCGTTTTCAGCCGTTAATATTAGATATCCTTGGCACTGCCTGGAGATTGGGGGCCAAATTTGCTCAAGCATCTATCATATTTAACGGTCTTGCTTCTCACTCTGGTGAACAAGGATTTCTTCATTGACATTTCTCGTTGTTTTATGAAACCCTCAAAATGGTGAAATCACTGCGATCTGACTTCTCAATGGAGGAGATGTGGCAGGATGCTACGATCAGGTTTAACGAACGTACCGGGATCAATATCAACATAAAGCCCCCGAAGACGTTAAACGATTGTATTAAAGAATTAGAAGATACTTCAGTTCCCGTCGAATCTAGTGGGAAGATAAATAAGGAAAAAGTAGAGGAGTATGGACTCAACGTCCTCCGGTGCCTGAAGTTACTTGGTGGCGTAGCCGCACAAGGAGCCGAGATGGTCAGTTGTTCTGCTACCGACTTTCTGTAATGGAATGATGCTGATACTAGCCAAGTTCGCTTCTGCGCCATCTAGTCTGTGCTTCAATGCGTTGTTTTTTCTTCTGGATATTCCAGAGCAGTTGAAGAGCTTCCGCGAAGCAATTGACGGGCTCTTCGAAACCCTTGCACCTTCTCTCGGTGTCTTTAGGATATACGAGAGAATGGACCAATTCAACGAGATTGAGCCGGAGCTCAAACAGGCTATTCACCAGGTGATGATTTGCTTTGTTGACATTTGCGCCCTTTCTATCCAGCTCCGAGACTCGGGAAAGTGGCACAAGTTCAAGTCTAGAATGAAGTTCCTCATGATCCAGGATGATTCGGGTATTAAAGCCGAGATTGAAAAACTCGACAGGCTTACCAAATCTCATCATTCGATTCAGGCAACTCAAACTCTGAAGGTGGTACTAGATACCAAGACCGAACTCACAGAATACCTCGACAGGGAGTCGGAGAGAAGTCAGCAGATAGCGACCGATGTTTCGAGTCTCAAAGCATCCGATGACAAACGCAATTCTGAAGATACCAGGCGCAAATATGTTGCGAATATCAGGAAGAAACTGGGAATTGAAGAAGCACTCTTCAAATCTTTCAATGATATGTGCGACAAGCCAAGACGGGATTGTGTACCTAACACAGCACTATGGCTTGTGGAGCGTCCCGAATTTCAGCGGTGGGCCGAGAGAGACGAGAAGGAATCAGAGACATTGTTTGTCCTAACAGGAGCTCCCAACACAGGAAAAAGTGTTATGATATCCTCATTACTCCACCATCTCCGCTCCATATATGAGTCGTCCACTAGGTACGCACCGAGAACTCTAGTTTCTGCACACTTCTTCCCGAATACCACAGCCAAGGATGATCAGGACAAGAGACCTATTGCGACAGCCCTGAAATGCATCGCTATTCAGCTTGCGGAGCAGGACAGCGCGTACGCCAAGTCTCTTTCTCAAGCTTGTGATGGCAAGAGTGAGAACATGGCTTTCTTTAGAGATGCTAGCTGTAAAGAGCTTTGGGACTTCCTTCGCATTAGTGCGCCTAAGGGGAGCGCGACACATTATCTTGTCCTCGACGGACTTTGTGGTTTACCGGAGGAATCGTCAGAGAATAGAGAGCAGAAGGAACAATTGCTGAATATCATCCAAAACTCAGTGCAGCCATCATTTCGGGTGTTGTTGTCCGCGAGACAGGATATGCTACCGATCAATGATCGCCCCTCACAATTGAATATTAATATTGAGGAATATAACAAGCAGGATATCGAGAAATACATCGAACATTATCTTGGGAATAATGATATTCTCCAAGATGATGAAGATGAGCCGCTTAGAACAAAGGTTGTTCAAACTTTGGCTACGCAGGTGGGCGGCAACTTCAACAAAGCGAAGGCCGCGCTCGAAAATATCAGGGAGGTTATCGCCTCTGATGGATTGGAGACGGAAATTGACAGGGTATTAGAAGAGTCGAGTATGAACGAGAAGCAGATATCCAAGACAGTAATTAGTCAGTTAGAGGAGAGGCTGACCGGGGAAGAAATCGAGGAGCTCAACGAGCTTCTCATCTGGGTCATCTGTGGCAGAGTTTTCTTCAACATCGATGAACTCAACGCTGCTCTCATTCTTCGTTCTAAAAGAAGAGGGACTCTGCGACTGAAGAAGAAGTTGGAGGGCAAGTACTCCAACATCTTGAAGATCAGAAAAGACGGTAGGGTCAGCGTTACCGACGATATGGAAGAGACACTCACGAAAAGGAGGGAGAAGCCGAGAAGTACTGATGACAATCCAACATTTACCGCGACGATAACGGTCACTAAGGGTGACCTGAGGAGTGTCCAGTCGTTTTTGTGGAGTTTATCTCAGAAAGTTGACTCCTTGGCCCATGACACATTTGGATTCGAGAAGATCGCGGAACAGAAAGGTGTAAAGAACAATATACAACTAAACGAGGTGGATGCATGTCTGAGCCTACTCAGGCGAACTTTCAGTTTGCTTGCCAATGAGCCTAACAAGGAGTCGGGACTTCTGGGTGACTATCTTCTCAACTATCTACCGCAGCATCTCGAAGAACTCTGGGAAAAGTCAACTGGGTATGACGAGCTCACGCTACCCCAAAAACAAGAGATTGGCGAAGGTCTTTTCTCACTCTTCGTGAGTGGTGAAGCCATCGAAAGGCATTGGGCTAGCTGCCAATCACTAATTTTCTACAACACTCCCGGAGAAGTACAGATCTTTCGCAGATGGCTAGACGATGCGAATGTCACTAGTAGTTTAGGGCGTCTAGATCGAGAGTGGTTAAAGAAAGTTAAGGATAGTTCGAATCCGAATCAAGCCCTGCTCGAGAATATTATGCGAATGGTTGCCTGGCACTGGCTGTGTGACAGGGAGTGGGCTGCCGTGAGAGCATTCGCGTGGCTGAAGGGATTTCGAGATATGCCCACACAAGCGCTTCAGGAAGCAAACGATACGGACGATGGCGGGGTCATAAACCCGGTATCGACAACGGTTGAGGACGTTATAGAGTGGTGCAGAGGAGTTCACCCCATCACTACTGACGAAGAAAAGGCTCTTATGAATGAACGACTTGGAGAAACATACGCTGCCGAAGGTCAATATTCGAAAGCGATTGAGGCGTATAAAAATTCCATTGAATTGGCAAATACTGGCTGGCAGTGCCTTGCGGGATTGGCGAAGGCTCTTGCAGGAGATATGCAATATGGCAAGGCTTGTCAGGAGATGGAAAAGGCATTGGATATCCTGAATAGTGAAGAGGTTTCGAAGAAAGATGTTCTTCTCAGCGAGAATTACAGCTGTCTCGCCGGGTGGCAAGTCGAGCTTGAGCAACCCAAGCGTGCGATCGAATACGCGAAACGGGCTATCGACCTAAACCCAGACGAACACAGACATCAGTTTGAGCTTCTGAAAATCTATCTCGATAATGATTTTGCTAATGATGCAGTTAATCTCATCAGCGAATTCGTCAAGGCCGAAACCCCTAAAAACGAAGTCAGCTTGTTCGGACAGGTCATAAACGACATGATATACGGCGGAAGGCTTGATTCCATGTTCGCCAAGTGTTTTAACGCATTTGGCGGAAATGCCGAGATCTTTGCTGTTGTGCTGCAACAAATGGATCTTGTAATTGAGCAGTCAAGAACAGACGATCATATTCATAAAACGGCCGTGCTGCTTCTCTATAAAGGTATCGCGATCTATTGCTATGGTCCAGATGAGCCCACGCGCGTCCAAAAGGCCTTGTCGTGCTGGGATCAATGCATTGGACTTGGGAAATATTCCGGGGTCCCTGGTCAGTTAGGTGCCATGAGTTGGATGTGCGTTTATTACTTCGACCAGATTAACGAATTGCTGAAATCAGAGTCACCTGGTTCCGATATCTTTGTTGAAAAGATGAGTGACCTGGCTAGTCAGACGCCTGCCTTAGCCAACATTGATGCGAAGACATATTTGGCAAGTTATTACGCCAGGGTTGCCAAGGATGTACCGAGGGCGCGGGAAGTCCTACAGGCACATATCGACTCAGCTTTCGACGTACTCTCTGATGACGTCGAAGACAACGATAGCGACGGTTACTATGCCTTAGCAGAGGTTCTCTTGTACTGTGGCGACGAAATAAACTCACTCTCTGCGTTTTTTCTCCCACTGCCACCGTCACCCACTAAGGATGCATTATCCTGGATTCTTGAATCAGAATCAGAACTAAAGCAACTCATTGGTAATGAACTAATTGCTGCCGTTGAGAAGAATTGCCCCACGGCTTCTGTTGATGATCAGTTGGAATTCTCAATTAAACGCCTACAGGAAATTATTGGCACGACAGATAACGATGAAGCCAGAAGTCCTCGCGAAACACCCGCCCCAGGGGATAATACAAACTCCAGTAAGGAACCTGTGGACACCAATGGCAATGTCGATAGTGTGCCAAGTATAGACAATAACGTCATCGATGCAACGCAGGTCCTCATAGCCGAGGACAAATTCAAGGAAGTGGAAAAGAAGGCAGCCTACGAAGAGGTCCTAGCAAGGCTCAACAAATGGTCTTATGCACGAGAAAACGGGGCGAGACGCTGGTGTGATGTCTGCAGTACCATGTGGGATATTGACAATGGAATGAACCATTGCAAGTATTGTTGGAATATAGACTTTTGCGATGGATGTCTGGATAAGTTGAAGGCCGGCACGCTCAAGATGACTTCTTTCGAAACCCGGTGTAATAAGAACCATGATTGGTTACGACTCCCCAAGTGGGATAAAGAGACTTATCTTCGCGGTCTTGGGAAGGCTGTGTACGTAGGAGAGCACGTTGATAGCCAGGGGGCGCATATAGAGGGGAGAGAAATACTTGCGTCTGAATGGCTCGATGGATTGAAGAAGGAATGGTGTGTAAAGGAGAAGGCCGAACAAGCTATTGGCGGGACTGAGGAAGTAGGTGGCGTGGATTGATAAGGATGTAGTGATGGAATAGGTACTCAAGGGTTGAACAGCAATCAATAGTCTCAATTGTGCATAGAAGTGCCATGGATGCTTCGCCATTACATAAAGCCGAGGTAGACAGAACATCGTAGCTTACGAGATATAATGTTCAGTTTTACTCCGCCTAATCCTTTCTGTGGATCTCGGCGCCGGCCCCACTCCGACGGTGTCCTCGGCGCCCGTCAACCTGTCCTACGAAAGATAGAGAATTGCTCATTATAACATGGAATAGCTTACTATAAGATGGTATAGGGCGTTAGTATCTTTGATATCAAAATAGAAGCCACAGATAAGGAGTTATTTACCGAAGCCTTATATGTATTCCTCATTCATCCCTTCTTTCCTGGTCTTTACCGTCGCAATGGCCTCCCAGACAGCTATGCGCTTAACAGCAGCGGCCTCTGCAGCAGATGTGGTTGTTATCGGAGCTGGCCTTAGCGGCCTCCAAACCGCGGTGAATATACAGGCCGCTGGGTTCTCCTGCCTTGTCCTTGAGGCTATTGACCGGGTCGGCGGTAAGGTACTCAGTATAAAATCAAGCTCCAAGGGCGACGGTGTGAACGACGAAGGAGCTGCGTGGGTGAATGACAGCAACCAGTCCGAAATTTGGAAGTTGTTCGAGAAATATGACATTGGAGCCATAACTCAGAGAATTACTGGACTTAGCTTCCAGCAAGCTGAGAATGGCAGCGTGGAAGCCCACCCATACGACAAGGATTTGCCTGTGAGTTAGCAACTTTCCCCAACATCATGAAAAGATAATTGTCGCTAATATTGACCATCTCCTAAAGGAGGGAGACGTTGGTCAAGCTGGTGAAATACAGCGGATATATGAAGCCATTGAGCAGGCTGTTAATGCTTCTAATCTCGAATATCCTGAGATTGGACCTGATGCTCACAAACTCGACAATATGACATTTGCTGAATTTGGCCAGGAAACGAGCCCCACCCTTGGAGCCGTGATAGCCTCATTAGCTGCAGGTGCTCTATTAGGGGTTGAGGCTAATGAGGTCAGCGCACTATTCATGGTCAACTATATCAAGAGTGGGTTCGGAATAAAGATCATAACCTCGGATGCGAAGGACGGCGGGCAGTATATCAGGGCAAGACGCGGTAAGACAGGAATTGGCTTCAAAGGCAGGGCAAACATGCTGACGAAATACTAGGTATGCAAGCCATAGCCGAAGGCCTCGCTAGTGAATTGACTCTAGGCTCTCTTCACTTGAACACTGCTGTTAAGTCCATTGAACAGAAGGACGACGGGTTATATGAAGTAAATTCCGCAGCTGGAGCGGTATTCACTGCGAAACATGTCGTGGTTTCTATTCCGACTCCCCTGTACAAGACGATTGAATTCACGCCGGCACTACCAGAGAGCAAGAGGAACTTAGGCGAGAATACGACCCTGGGGTATTACAGCAAAGTGACACTAGTCTTCGAAAACCCGTGGTGGCAAACAGCAAATCTGTCGGGTGTCATGACCTCGATGAAGGGACCAATCTCTTTTACTCGCGACACAAGTTCCCCAGATGATGACCAATGGTCTATAACCTGTTTCGTCGTGGGTGAGATGGGACGTGTTTGGAATAAACTATCGGAGGCGGAGCGACAGAAGGCTGTTCTCGAACAATTCAACACGGTATTCTCAACCGCGACAGCCGTGCCAGAACCAATTGCTATTCACGAGAAAATCTGGGCCGACGAGCCTTTCTTCTTCGGTGCTCCATCTCCTGTCATGGCTCCTGGAGTGCTGACTTCGCTCGGCTCGGATGTTCTGCGAGAACAGGCTAGAAATATTCACTTTGTTGGCACGGAAACTTCAGTCGTTTGGAAGGGCTATATGGATGGTGCTGTGAGGTCTGGACAGAGAGGTGCGGAAGAAGTGATCAAGAGCTTACGTGGGGTTAGTGGGGTAGATACATTGTAGCTGGATGACCGCGTCTGTGGCTGTCAGTGGCCAGGTACCCACCCACCACTAAATGAGCCTATAAGACCCCTATTTAGGTCCTACGGATAGTATCAATGGATAGAAGTACTTGTACTACCTAGGCATTCCTTGTACCTGTCATATCTCATATTCCTTCCAACCAATTGCCAGTTTCCTACCTAGTAGTTTCAGTATCTGACTTGTCAAAATAGACACGACTACGACTGTCTTCCTAGGATAATGCAATAACAAGTTTTTTTCTATGTTCAGTTCTAGATTTAGTCTTTAGGTGAGGATTGTAGGCTTCGCTTGTTTTGAGGATGCATAACACTCAACCATAAGTACCTAGGTAGGTATGGTTCAGTCTCCCGATATTTCAAACAACCTTCTTAAAGTTGCCACCAAGACTCATTAAACGCCGTAGCTACTACCTTATGGCAGTTTCCAGCTTTCGTTCGCTTGACAACTGTGGAACCAATGAGATATAACCAACACTTCCAGAAACTGCGAGGACTGTAAGCGCATAACTCGTTACTGTCCAATCATTCTCTTTGCAGCCAACATTTCAAGGCAGGCTGCTGTTAGAGTGAAACGTGGACACCCGCTGGAGGCCGCTGACATAAAACCCGTTCTCGGAACTTCAAAAATTCAACAAAGGCATATTTCTCAATTCCCAGCCTTACACAATACTTAATCTCATCTACCCACACCCAAACAATCTAAACTCCTTTACTTCTAAACCTCATATTATCATTTCTCCAGAGAAAAAACAATCGTCAAAATGAATTATTTACCCAAGGTGAATTATACCGCCGGGGCTAAAGCTGCCGCTGAAGGCGCGACCAAAGCCGCTACATTAGCTGCTAAATGGGCGGCTGCGAACCCTAAGAGCGCCGTAGCGTACGGCGTCGGGGGCACTGCCCTAGCAATTCCAGCTATCATTGCTGGCCCCGCACTAGCGGCCGCTGGCTTCGGTGCCAACGGAATCATCGGAGGTACGTTTCCATACTCTCTCATATCAAAATCTATCTACCTATACTCGTCTCTAACCGGCATGTACTTTCTATAGCATCGCTCGCATCCGGCGCTCAAGCCGCGGTCGGAAACGTTGCCGCCGGAAGCTTGTTCGCGACTTTACAGAGCGCTGGGATGGCGGGATACGGGGCCGCGATCGTCAACGGGGTTGTTCAGGCTGGGGGCGCGGCTGTTCTAGTTGCTACAGGAGGTACTAGCGCTCTAATGTCCAAAGCGGGTAAGTGCCCCCGAAAGAGTGACCTGGTTTTAATTGAGAAAACGTGGGATTCGCTAAGATCAAATCTCAAGGAAGATTCTGGTGACTGTCCCGGTACTTCAGAGGACGGCACAGGCCCGACTGCGGTAGAAGATGCGCTAGCGAATAGCTGGTCCAGCATCCCGCTCGACTTAATCAACGACTTAGTCGCCTCCACGCCGCAGCAGATCGAGGCGTTCTCGAAGAACGATGGGAGTACGGGATATTAAGATTTGTACGCTGGTCACAGAAATGTCTTCTTAGGAAGAAAGAGAAGAAAGGAAGGCTAAATTGAGGAAGTCCGGTTCTACTTATGTAGATAGCTCATCAGGTTTACAGAAATGGAGAGATTATAGCCTATCTTCTTCGTCGATACGTCTTCATCGCAGTGAACCACATAACATCAAACAGTCTCGAGCTTCACGAAGCACTGTCGAGGAACTCGAAGTAACTGCTCATGAACCTGGAAGCTATTGAATTCAGGCGGTATCGGAAGGAATTTGAAGCTCATAACGATCAGCACAATCATGATGCGTAGTTCCATCATGGCCAACCGTCGTCCTTCAAGCATGCATAGTCAGCAATTTATCATTCGTCCGTGATGTTATGTACTAGGTAGGTATCTTGGGAGTAAGTAGTAACTTACCAAAACAGCCTCTGATCCCGCCTCCGAAAGCATTCTGGAATAGCGCATTCGCGTCAAAGACTTCGTTTCCATGCTCGTCGATTCCAAGCCACCTCTCAGGCGCAAACTTATCTAGATCCTGGGCATTCGGCTTCAGCGTCCAGTCAACACCGCCGCTCTTCTCGAAAGCAGCGCGACTCGTCGAACTTCGCTTTTCCTCCGCCACAGGTGCCGGATGCCATGATACCGATGGTAGAGCTGCGATCTGCGTGCCTGCAGGGATTTTATGGCCAAGAATTTCCGTGTCGGTTGTTGCGATCCTCCCCAGGCGAGGTGCGGTGTTGGCACACCTAAGTGTCTCTTCCATCGTTGCGCTAAGGTACGGTATGTCCTTGGTAATTAAGTCCGCAACCTTTGGTAGACCCTCACCGGGAAAGGCAGCCTTCAAAGCTTCTCGAAGCTTCGTCTGTGCATCCTGGTTATTGGTGATGAATTTGATAAACCATTGAACTGTCAACCTATTTTAGTACACGAAGGTAGAGGAACTCTGTACGGAGAGTAAGGTGAAGATTCGAAGCGGATTAAAGAATATAGTCGAACATACGAGTGTTGCTTGTGGTATCATGCCCCTTTGACCCCTATGTCAGCTGAACGATACAGGTACCCGATATTTACTCAAAATAGGCGACTTACAGCATATATAAACAGAAGAAGCTCATCTCTCATCCCCGCATCTTTAGTCGGATCCGGAATAGGTTTTCCAGCTTTCTGAGCACTAATCATGCTGCGTCTGAGTACGAGGTCCATGGCACAAGTGTCATGCTCCTCCCCATCACTAGATCCATCCAACACCTTTTGAAAGCGAGCGGAGGCGTCGAGAAGAATGCGATCGATTTCGCGGTCTTTGGCTTCGGTGTACTTGCGATAGATAGGGTTCCTCTGCATTCTCCATCGAGCGAAAGCAGGCCAGAAGGAACCTCGCCATGTATTCGCTAGATGGTTGATATGCTGCACCGTGCCGTGCATATCTAGGCCTCTAGTCTCGACTTTCATTCCCGTCTCGACCATCCGGATTTGAGCATTGACTAGGTCCAACCGCTCCCCAAAGGTCGCCGTCCAGATAGCATCGAGAGCTGCGTAAGAAAAGTCTCCGATAACATCAATCGGATTTCCAGCCGAGTGCGAACATCTCACTTTCCAGAGTTTTGTCAGTTCTTCAGCCGCAGCATATACGTGCCTGGACATCACTTGTCGTAGGAAATCGGGATTCATAGTATCTTGCCAGATCTTCCGCTGTGCCTTATATTCAGGGGTCACCGATTGTGCGATGGTCGAGTGCGGGAGGAAAGTTTGCCAAACTCCAGATGATACATCCCTGTCGAACTCTTTTGATCGTCTCATCACTATATCCGACACTTCTCGAGGATCATCAAGGATGATATATGGTTTTGTAAATGGATTCATGAACAGCTGATGAATTGGCGATCCATACTTCAATGATCGACGACCAATAGGCCATGTCCACTCAGTCACCTCATTATAGGTCTCCGTGATATTTGGAAGGTCACCAGAGATTCTGTTGGAAGACTCCTTGTCGTACGGGATGCCAGGAAGAGGGCGAGGATAAAATAGCCTTTTAACCAAGAATCTGAACACAATGGCAGCCAATAAGCCGGCTATAACAAAAGTGATTTCCATGGCTTAGAGTGGAATTCTAACTTGTTGGTCTAGATATGAGATTTAATCAGGATATCTATCACGACCTCTCTGGAGCGGCTTACATATAATATATATATGCGTAAATGGGCGATTGAATTATTAGAGATAGACCTCCGCACTTCTGATGTAGGCTCTTTTGAGGATTCTCGTAGTTCGAAGCATGTTGTATGGGTCCTATATCTATCTCCGCGTTATTCACATACATATGTGATGTCACCCTCGCATCTCAATGGGAACATACTTGCCTACCTACCTAGAAAGAATAATATGCATGCTGTCACAGGGCGCGCCCAAACCTCCAGTTAGATCTTCCACTGGCAGCCCACGTAGGAACGGCAGGGATTCTAATATGATCATTTTTATACATGAAGTATGCCGTTGTTTTCCGTATAAAGCCTGGGTATGGAAATGATATCTTGAGACCCGAAGTGAGATTAAAGCGGAGGACATAAGTCAATTCTCACCTTCGGTTCCGTTATCATACCGGGAATCGGAAATGTGTGCAACGTACAAAGTTATGCAACACGCCTTTCGTACCTTAAGAATGTAACCATTTTCGAATGCCTTCGCGTCTCGCGACGGAGCTCGGGTCCCGAAACATAATGTTTCTCGCCGAAAACATCTCCACGACGGCTTGAAGGATACGGTGTTGGGGTAGCCATCAGGTAGGGACCCGACGAATTTCCAAGCCGCCTACAATTCACCCCCATTTCATCATAAACTCGCGATCTCGCTACCTATGCGAAGTAAGTAAATAACTCTATAGAACAACAATCTGAAGCTCAACTTTCATGAGTTGGCATGAATATAATAGTTATCGTACGTTGGAGCTCATAATGACTTAAATGGCTTGTCGTCCTTGCTTTGCGGGGAAAGACACCCATGGATCTCTCCGCCTCCTCTAAATGGAATATTTCGAGAGATTCGGGTACATTTAACCCGGTCTTTCGTTCGGTTAAATAGTTCGAATTGAGAAAAGGAAAAGCTCGTTTATATCTAGTTCTCAATGATCACCTCGTCTCGAACTTAACTTCAAATCATTTCGTTGTCATGGTTCACCTAATTTGTCTTCTATTGTTATTAGGTCCAGTTGTTGCGAAAATTGATAGGTTAGCTTGACAGACCCATCACATCGTATACTTGTCAACTAAATTAAAAAAGGCAAAAAATTGTTTCCAAATACAATATCAAGAGGGATAAGTTAATCAATAATACTACGACCCCTTTGCAAGTCGGAAATGGAAACTTCGCATTCAATGTCGATAATACGGGGATGCAGGTAACGAACTTCATATGTGAAAACTTGTCAAGGGCGTAGCTAATACTAACATAAACTTGAAGACCTTTCTGCCGTTCAACACTCTTTCGAGCTGGGCATGGCACAATGATAGTCTGCCTACAGACGGGTACGTTTCTTAGAAAATTAAATTTTCATCGGTTAGAAGCTAAGGCAGACTCAGCGAGAATCCCAGCGACTATCACGGAGTAGCAAGGATGACTCACGGGAGAAATATCTCGTACGATATCCCCGACCCGGAGCTTCCAGAAGTCTCACAATGGCTCATATCGAATCCCAATCGCATCAATCTAGGTCGCATTGGCCTAAGATACCAGGGCGTTACCTTATCGGCTTCTCGAATAACGAATGAGGTTCAAGAGCTTGATCTGTGGAATGGGATTATAACATCAACTTTCGAGGTTGGTGGGGAGACCGTCATAGTTACCACTCAAGGCGATTTCGAATCGGATGCGGTAACTTTCCACATAGAATCCGAACTGCTCAGTTCAGGGGACCTGGATGTTGAACTTGACTTCCCCTATCCACCAATCCATACCACGAAGTACAAGTACGAAGTTTTCGTCGGCGTCTACGACTTCCCCCTTAACCATAGTACGTCTATTATTGCAAATAGTAGCATAGGCGAAGCACACATCTACCATGAGTTGCAGGAGATGAATTATTTTGTCAATCTGCGATGGCCAGTCGAAAACTTTCTCAGTCTCTCCAAAGTTAAACCACTAAATTCTAGCGCAATCACAGTGCACCGTTATGCCCTGTCCGCCACATCTGTATCTCGTCATCGGGCTAATACCATGGATTTCACCGCACAATTTTCCCCAGATAAGAGAACAACTGCATTGCCATCTGTTATCAGAGAGCGCAATTCCGAAGGGTGGAATGAATATTGGGATGAAGGAGGATTCGTGGATCTCACATCTTCGTCGAATCCAAAGGCCAATGAATTGCAGCGGCGCATCATATTATCGCAATATCATGTTCGGGTAAATAGTGCCGCAAATGGGCAATCGCCTCAAGAAAGCGGGCTTATGAATAACGGCTGGTATGGTATGTATTCAGAGCCCTCGCTATTCCCCTCAGACGCGACGCTGATCCTGTATAGGAAAATTCCATATGGAGATGGTGGTTTGGCATAATGCTCATTGGAGTACGTGGGGCCGCCAAAAATATTTCGATAACATTTTCCCAGCGCTTTATGAGAAACTATTGCCATCGTCATTAACTAGAGCAAAAACAATGGGATGGAAGGGCGCAAGGTAAATATGTTATTTCTTATCCCGGTACGCGGATAATAAGAGAATTGAGAGATTAAGATTGATACAATGGTGACTAGGTGGCCAAAAATGACCGAAATCAATACTGGAGCTAGCTCGCCGGGCGGTATCAACGGCCTTCTCCTGTGGCAACAAGTACGTGTTAAGGCGCATGAACCATTAGATAGTACTAACGCGACCGCTCCCTCATAGCCCCATCCCATGTATCTGGCCGAACTTGCATATCAAGCCGCGCCAACCCAAGAGACCCTAGAACAGTGGGATACCGTAATTAGTGCTTCCGCCGACTATATGGCTTCCTACGCGTGGAAGAACGAAAGCTCTGGCTATTATGATCTAGGACCACCTAGCTATGGTGTAACCGAGAACACACCACCAACCGAGACATTGAATCTAGCGTATGAAGTATGTCGACGTGTCGATTGAATCCTATAGCAGCGTTAAACTGATAATTTCTCTTAAGATCGCCTATTGGAGGTACGGCCTCGACGTCGCCCGAAATTGGAAAAGACGACTAAACCAATCTATCCCCGAACGTTGGACAGCCGTTGCCGAGAACCTTGCTCCCCCACCACAAGTCGACGGACTTTATGCTGTCTATGAGGGTTTAAACAGCTCATGGTGGGAAGATCCTAAGCTCAACGGGGATCCTCGAAGTCTCATTATGCTTCAAGGAATCCTCCCTGACACGCCTGCCGTCGACCCTGAGATCGCGCTGAAGACGGCCGATAAGATCTGGGAGGTCTGGACAGATGACAAGATCCGTGGGTGGGGTCGACCTGTGCTGGCGATCAACTCGGCTCGAATTGGAAACCCGGAGCGCGCTATCTACCATTTAACAGCATATGATTATTGGGTGTTCGATGATGCTGGCTTCGCTGTCCGTGGAGGTGATGGTGAGTCTCATCTACCGAAGAAGTTGTGCTATAGTTTAACAATCGAATAGGCGGTACCCCTCCTCCTTTCATGCCCGGCAATGCGGGATTCCTTTACGCTGGTAAGTAGTATTCATTTTTACCTACCTAGTTATGGTTTGTAGGTATAGTTCGCACGATCCTAATGATTTATAGTTGCATACATGATCGCTGGCTGGAATGGATCAGAGGGGGATACACCTGGTTTTCCTAAGGATGGGACCTGGACGATTGAACATGAGGGTTTGTTGAAGGCACTTTAAACTGAGAAGACTTAATAAAAAACATTCAAGGAGCTTTTGCTCCTACAATCCACCATCCCCCACCAAGGAACAACGCCCCACAGTCATGCTGCCCCTTCGGTAACCAATCATAGCTCTTTAAATACAAACTAACCCCACCCCCGTTTCCCCCGCCCTTCGTCTGTCTCGGGACGACCCGAGGGTATGACGTAGGGAATAATATCATAGGCGCATGAGTGTACATATCACGTACATATCTCGATCGTTCTATTTTACCAAGAAAATCGTAAATATGTTCGCCCACAGTGAAGCAAGACATTCGATTTCCATGCCGTTATTTGGTTGTTGATTTTAGAAGTTCGTTTAAGCGTTGCGTTGTTGTCTTCAGATCTAAGTGCCAAAATGGCGAGGATATGGTACCGCGCATTCCAAGATTTCTTCTCCATCCGCCGTCTTTGGCTTTTCCCTCTCCTCGCCGGACTCTTTTGGTTCTTAACCCTTACTATCCTGTTAGTAAGATGGCTAGCCGTCGGTCGGCCTCAATACCCTAAACAGGTGAACCCATACGTACCTTTCATCAGCGACATTGCAGCCCATCAGTTTAAGCCAGTGTTCATAGTTGGGTGCGCGGCAACGGGAATTACTTTCTTCGGCACAGTTTTTAGCGTGCACCACGTGCGTTATTCGCCGAAGTTTTACGGGCTGACAGATGACACGCCGTGGCGGCAGACAACAAGCCTAATTGCATTGTTAGCCGGTCTAGCCGCTGCTGTTAGCTTAATATTCCTCAGTATTTTCGATACGGATGATGCACACTTGAGACATCGGAATCTTCTCATGGGAACGTTTGGAGGCTTGTTCGTGAGTGCCCTGACTACGACCGCGGTGTGGTGGGATCAGATTTGGGGTCCTGCTGTATTTATAGGGCTACGGAAATGGTACGTCTCGTGATACAACGGCTTCCAGAAAGTTGGTGTTATTTCGAAATATTAACTTGACCAAGGTGCATTTTCAATACCTTCCTCGTTCTTTGCCAGTTTGGCTGCGGGCTTGCATTCATGATTCTCATGGATGACGGCCACTTCAAATCGTCAGGAATCTTAGAATGGTGCCTAACTTATCTGGGTTCATTCTGGTTAGCATCGTTTGTTGGTTATACCATGTAAGTCAACCCATTATCGATATGGCTGATCAAGACTAACATAGATGATAAAGGTTTAGGGAAGGGTATGCGCCGATGATTGAGCACGAAGACGAGAGACGGCCGTTACTTGCCTAAGTTTAGTTTCTATTTAGCATTGCTGATAATAATGTTCTATCTCTAGCTCATAGAAGTCTATCTATCTTAGTTGAATTCGATAGATACCACCACTTAGAAACCATTCACCATCCCCTAGATTCGCGAGTATTCGCGCGGCAACCGCCAAACCACCTAGGTACATCATTAGACGTCGATATCGAAGGTTTGGTGACGGACAGTGCAACGCGAAGAGCCAAATGTTCAGATGACATTTACCTATAATTAAACTTGTTAAGCAGGGAGGTACCAAGGTTGGCACTTAATCCATCAATTGTTTTCCCTTTCTCCCAATTTGGTAGTTAGTATTTACCTAGGTAACTATGTTGTCTTTCTTCTCTGTCGCATCCTCATCGGATATCTTCACTATCTCGATGATGACCGGGACGTGAATGCCACCATTTAACTCTTTCCACTTCTTTAAGAAGGACCGAATATCCTGCTCATTGCGAACGAATGCTGCCATAGAAGTAATTTGCTCTTCAGAGTCAATGTCGTTGTGTGGTTCGTAGGTGTTTGATGCCATCTTGGGAGGCTGGTTGGGTTCTGCAATATTGGCGTTATATAGTGATTGTTGTTTTTGTTCTTGATTTCGGAAGTATATAGGTACTTAGGTAGGTAAAGATTTTGTTGTAGTTAAAAATTTACGTAGGTGAGAACTCGTAAATGTTATAGCTAGTAGTTGGGAGAGGTCGGGCTTTATATAATTTCCAAAACGTGTGTGCTTCCCCGCCCGTTACATTTGAACCTAATATCGGCATCTATAATACTGCTCACCACTGTATGGTTCAAGGTTGTTGCCCAAGAGTTACCAGTGTATATCTGATGTCTGCCTATTTAATAAAGTTAAGGTTTAGATCCAATTCTTCACGTTCGCGCCAAATACACTCGAAAGTGGAAGGAGATGATGGGCATCGAAAACGGTACCAACATTCATTTTGGCAATGGGTGAGTGGTTTTGAGACTGTTTAGTCAATTTTACCCGGATCAAGGTTTGCAATAACGAAGGGTACCTGAGAAAAATAGGTAGGTACGTCTAGTAGGTACCTAGTACGCGGGCAGGCGCGTGTTTAGGAAGACCTGTGGAGGCCCAATCGGAGTATCAGGATAGCCCCCAGACTCCAAGCACATCTCCTTGTATGAGTCGACCTTGCCTTTGTACACCTTGTTGTAATCGTTCTACCCGTCTTACTACTAGTCCCACAGCCAAAGGACCTAGAATTGTACACAGCATGATGGCCCAAGTGACGACCAGGAAGATCTCCGAGTTCTTCGCGCTATTGGATTGTATAGCGAAGATGTGGTTACTTTCTGCAACCGACGAGATTAAGAAACCTATCTCCCCACGGGCAGCCATTGCGCAGCCCAGGATTGAGGCTGGATATATTGAACGTGGCTTTATCAAGGCAGGATCCGAGGTTTCGGTTGTTGGCCGTGTGCTTCTTGCTTGGTGTGATGATGAGGAGCTTGGGGGTTGGGTTTGGCGTGTATTATTAGTCGTGTTACGAGGCGAAGCCGACTTTTCATGAGGTCGGCCCCATAAATTAGTTATCTTAGGCCTCAAGAACCTCATTACAGCAGTGAACTTAGTTGATATGGTAGATATGGTAGGAGCAAACGATATGCGAAGGAGCCAAATACCACATGCCATCTTGCCGACTATCATTAAGGCTGTATACACTAGCCCCTTCCAAACGATTTTACTGCTGAACATTTCGGTAATCGGAATTGAGAATCCAATGGATGCCTTTAACATGGTTAATAATGTGGCGTTTTTCATCGCAAGGAAGCGAAACTCACGAAGAAAAAGGGCCTCAAGATTCGATAAAGCGACTGCGCATAATATTTCTCAAAAGTGAAAAGCCCAGATGAGTTAGATCCTTCAGGATGCTGGTCGCGGTGTTCGGATGTCTCCATTCTATTCACAGTTGGTGATTCTGTAGTTTGGGCTTCATCTTGTATCGTAGCAGGTACTGCTGTGGACGCTACAGGGGGTTTAGGATGTGGTACCTCAGAGTCCCACCAACTGATTCCAGTACCAGCGATGTATGCGGCAAAGAGGTTTGATGTTCCCGCATACGACGACCCAGCAATACATCCAATAAGTATCAGTGTATGAATAAGCCATGCGACTCTATCGTCCATCAATAATCTATTTAGAAATCCGAGTGGACTTTTCGTTCGCATCACATTTAACCAAAGCGTGATTGGTTTGGCAACGAATACACAGGCAACGGGAGCGCACGCTGCAAACGCCACCGAAACTAGCAGTGGCCTAATGATAGTAACAGCGCTGATAGATGCCCCAGACGATCCTAAATTAGAGATAACCTGGACCATCACGAGGCCTACAACATCATCCATCATCGCCGCACTCGTGAGCACCACGCCGAGTCTGGCTTGTATTAGACCAGTTGAACCAAGAACTGTAAACGTCGTCCCCAAGCTTGTAGAGCATAAGGCTGCCCCAGCCGCAAAGGCCTGGAGAGGTGTAGCATCGCATAGTTTTAGTAATGCGAAGGAGAGTCCTATGGGTAGGGCTATACCTGTGATAGCAACGCATGAAGACAATAAAATATTCGCCTTAATGGCTTTTAGAGATGTCGATAAGCCACCTTAGAGAAAGTACAATTAGTACATTAGGAACTTTCGGTACACTCCTCTGATAAAATTCCGCTCACCTTCATATACTAGAAGTAACAACCCAAGATAGCCCAATTGGACGATAACTTCTTCTGTCTCTACAGTTAACCATTTGGCACCTGGTGTTCCCCAAGCAATGCCCAAGAATATCTGGCCAAGAAGTCCGCAGTAAAGAGTATGATCAAGTACGAAATTTCCAATATTGAGAAGGAGTAGAAACGAAGTATGGATCAGGATGGTTATGATTCCTGGTTCATGATATGGAAGCGAAGCAGTCGTCATGATGATTTGCCGTGATTTGCAGACACTCTGAGAAGAAATTGAATTGTACCCTCTTCTCAATCGGATCCCTCTAACCCGTTGATGTTAGATCGCAGTCTCGTATGAAATCAGGTGAGCTAGTCTTTGATATTAGCACTATGAGTGAATCTAGTTGATTCCTGAGGTCTTTAACCATTGTTTTTGTACGGAACCTAAAAGAGGTGATGAAATCAAGAAGAGGAGATGTTAATCATTGGAAGTTGTTCAGTTCCAATGTTACGTTATCGCTATCAGTGCCTCCACTACTAGTGCCTTGGCCCCTCTAGCCCTAGACGACGATAGGTGGGTACTAGGTATCCCTTAGCTACTGCCTAGGTAGGTACCCAATAGGCACTGGGCAGTGTGTGACTAGATGATCAACAACTTCATGCTGTATTATTTGACTTCCAAAAAATTGAGACCCGTCCGCTAAACTCTGGTGTATAATCGTCATAGCTAAAGCCTCCAGGGCTATTTGGGTGGCTTAGGTAGACAGTTTTAAGCTATCAGCACATTTTTATGATTTTTAGTCGCTCAAATATTTGTGCCTGGTAATCAATCATCTCAAGATCATTGATTAATTGTCATAAAACATGATGTATAAAGGTATATAATAACTTCTAAGTTACTAGTTACGTTAGATCAAAGCTCATCCATTGTACTACACCTCTTAGGAATTCTAGATACCTACTAGATTTTTGACACCCCTAGCTCTCGTTGGATATATTCATCTACTGTTAATGCTCTTATTAGGTGCCTAATTACGCTATGAGATGAGGGACAAATGCTTTATAGTTAAGCTACCTACTAGAGATAGGTACTACTCAGCGAGAAACAGGGCCATTATCAATAGCGAGATAGCGGATGTTACAGCTATCGTCCAGGGCGTGACGCGGGGTAATTATTCCTTTTCGGGGAGTTGAAGAGTACTGTAAATACCCCGCCACAGCCTAGAAAATCCAAAGTCAAAGGAAGAAACTTGAACAGCTAAAATTTATCTTGTTTAAAAGTTGGTACACTCTATTCTAAATAATCCCATATTCTATCCCACGTCGTAACTCCTCAATACATCTTCAATTTTGTCCCTGTTTTCCCTTCTCGTCATTCGTTTTTGGATCTCCATGTAATCGTACATTCGGGATAAACAGACAGCCTAGTAGACATACGGCCATCATCGGAACCATCATAATAAACACGGCATGCACTCCCCTGAACTTTGCGTCTAATATGTGAGACTCCCACATTTCAAATCCAGGATCACTCTTTCGCCATAATCCCTGGACTACGCGAGACCGAAGATCCGATGGGATATCATCAGACAAACCCGACTTCATAAACTCGAATTGGACAGTAGTTGCGATAGCCAAGCTAAAAACTGACCCGAGCATGCGCATCAAGTTTCGCGTTGATGTAGCAACGGCGCGATCCTCTGGTCTGGATAAGGCCTGCAAAGCGACGAGAGCTGTATATATATTAGTATATCAAGTTTGAACACCCAGTATAGATCCTGGTTCATCAATCTTACCTGGCTGAAGAATGAATCCGACGCCGGCACCCTCGATGATCAATGCTACCACGTAAACGCCAATTGGAGTTGTCCGCGAAAAGAGCACCTTCAAGCCCGCACCTAACAGCCACAGCGCTAATCCGCCATAAATTACGGGGCCAGGCCTGAAATCAATTAATGAGTAAAGGAGCCCACTGGGAGCGTTATAGGGAATGAATTTAGGGCTTACCTAGCAAGTCTAGACGTAATTTGTCCCGCTACCACACCAGCGACGCTTTGGGTGAGAAGAAGAGGCAACATTAGTATTGCGTTTTGCAATGGGCTGTAACCCCTGACGTCCTGGAAATACATGGGCAAGAAGTATAGGTCTATTTGCCACACGCCATTATACAGAGCGCTTTGCAGGTAAATAACGCTCGTGGATACCTGATTGAATAAACGAATTGGTATCATCGGGAGTTTGGCGATCCATATTTCCGCCACGCAGAAGAGGACGATGAAAGTGCCTCCCAACACCAACAATGAGATGATGACAGCGTTATTCCAGGGGAATATACTTCCGCCTGAGTTAATAGGTATCTGCCGAGTCTTAGCATGAACATCAGGTAAGTATCAGACCCGAGACTTACAATAAGAAACAGCACACCAGTTACTACGGTGAATAAACCGAACCAGTCTATCTTTCGCATCTTCTCCGACCAACTACCCGTCACAGGTTTCAGGGGTAAGAACACCCACATCACCGCCATACACTATGACAATGTTAGTAATCTTCCACAATAAAAATGTTACGGTATATATTGATGACTTTCCAGACACATAAATCATTATGAGTAGGTAGGTATCAATACCATGAATGAATTAAAGAGGAAACCTGAATCTTAGGATATAAGCGCGTCCAGGAGATATACTCACAGCAGTAGCAAGGATTGGAGGAACCCAAAAGATCCACCTCCAGCCGTCTTGAGAGTTTTTCATGATACCCGCCGCGATAAAGGGACCGGTACTCGCGCCCAAGCCTATGGCAGAGCTCAATATGCCTTGATATTTCCCGCGGTCCTTCAAGCTGACCAAGTCGCTAGCGGTAATCTGCACTAGCGAGCTAATACCGCCGCCACCGATACCACTTAGCGCGCGACATACGTAGAGCCAAATGACGTTTTGGGCAAAGCCGCAGAGGATATCTCCGACAATGAGGAATCCAATACAGGCCATCAGAACTACCTTTCGCCCGAATATGTCGGATAGACGTCCGTATAGAGGTTGGAATGCCGTTTGTCCCATTACGTAAGCGGTGCCGGTCCAGGTGATGGTGTTGCCGGCGTGTAACGAAGTCGATATAGATGGCAGAGCCGTGGCCACAGAGTTGATATCGAGGATCGATATGAAGTATATCGCGGCTAAACATAGATACGCGGTTATGAGTCGTGGGAATGGGAGACGTAGTGTCTGGTCCTGGAGCTCCGTGGTTGGTTCCACAGCTTGACATTGGACCTCTGTGATGGAGTCTTTCTCCTGTGTTCCTGTTCCCGCTTCGAGGGACGACATACTTTGAGTGGCATCGCTATGATCCACAAGTATAGGTCCATTTCGTTCGCTATATTGATCCAGGCTCGTGGCGGAGGCCGTGGTTGATGGTGACATCTTGCGGATATCACTTTGTGTTGTCGTGCTTTACTCTATGGGGTATGGATTAGGCGATCTTATTTCATCGTCCCAGGGAGCCTGTGACTTTATCTAGATCACAAGCTGTGGATTGTAATTGTACTTTATCTATGTTCTACCTCCAAGTACCCCCTTTAATCAGCATGATGAGCTCATATCGAGATATGGCTGCCTGGAGCACATAACCCAAATCGAAAACACCATCAAAGAATACGATATCCCCATGTCTGCGAATCTACTTCCGTTCGTAGCTAAGCCACCGCATCTTGATGTATCATTGATTCGGTGACATGAATCTGAGCGCATCTGCTAGCAGCTAGCTCCGGTTTAATCCACATAGGAGGCAACTCGATAATGAAACTCTTCTAGAATAGTAGACGCCTACTAAAAATGCCGCAGTGTTTACATTGAATACATCCGTTAAGCGATATCTGTATTCCTAGATATGTTCCCGGATATCTCAAGCCTCAAACTATAGAGACTGGCCGAGAGTAAAACGGGATCGTCAAGATCCGGGCATTATTCTATAAACGGCAACTTACTGTATCTAAGTAGGAAAAGTCTCTTCATATGTATTATATATTCCACCGGGATATTAATAATACTGACAAACAAGTAAGGGACTTTTATCAGATTTGGTTGTTTAGCTTATTAATAAGCCGCCGAGGGAGGTGACTTCTAGAAGTTCTAGCCAGATCTACACATGTGCATGTCCGGGGGCATTAGCTTGAAACGCTATCAAAGAATTACATGCATGAAAATCCCGAAGTCCTAGGATAATAAAAACATGTTTATCAATATACTAGGTCCTAGGTAGGTAGGAGGCTAGAATGAAGTTAAAGGGGGGATCCATGTGCTAATCTTACTGTATGAGACTGTGATTTAAGGTATCCCCTCATCTACCTGCACAATTAAATTACATGCGCCAAGGCCAGTAATGGGTGCTGGATGTGTAGCACAGGGGATAGCTGTATCGGCACCTATCCCCCACTATAGTTCCCCAGGTTAGCACATGTTTTTTTTCACTCTCTTTTCTCGCCTACCACTGTCTCTCAAATTACCGGCCAAATAAATCTCGTATGTCTAGGAATCCTTGCTCTTAACCGGGACAACAACATATAATTATATATGTAGTATTGCATAGTAGTAATACACGGACGGAAATTCATTCGGAGCTCTACCATGTTCGACTTAGTAACCTCTTTAATCAAGATTAAACCCTAGACAGAAACGATCGCGTCACGGCTCTTATGCAGTTCCTGGAGCCGGAAAGCTTAGTGATAAGCTTATACCTTAGCGGCTGTAACGTCACTAAAATAGAACCGGGATACGCGATCCCTCTTCGGGGAGGTGTTATTAGTGCTCGAGGTCGAATTAAGCAAATCGTCACACGACAATATTCTTATTCAACGCACCTAACTCCGCCTAATTCTAGGACCCGAATTACTACACTATGGAGGTATGATTGGTTCTTTTGTAGTATCCGTTACAACTTGAAGGGTCCAACCGATCTAATCTCGAAGACCTCAATGACGCTACCGGCGGTATGAATCATCCAAAATGGAAGAGATCTGACCAACTCCGGTATTTAATCTAATAAGCTGCATTGGGTTTCATTGGAAAATGCTGTATAACGGCCCGAGGCGAGTAATATTGGTACTACCTTGGGAAGTAGGTACCTGACGCTGTCTCGGTTGACCATCATGTCGCCCTATGTAACCCTGAAGTTCTAACCTATCTGCATCTAGTATGGCTTGTTTCCTTTTAAAACTTCACGACAATTCGAATCCCAGCTAGGCAGCTGTCATTGCTAGATCGTCCTTACAAAGCTTTGTAATCACAACTTTTCGTTCTAAGGGCCGGTAACATAGCCATCCGATAAATGTTACCTAGGCCTCGTCCGGATATATTTCAATTACCCGCATACCACCATAAGACTCAAAACACACATATTGAATAGTATAGGGCCGACATTCATGTCTATCATGTCTAGTAAGCCAGACGCTATGAGAGAATGATGACTTCGAATTGTTGTGTCCAACGTTTACCCAAGTCACAATGTTCACCGATATAACCACCATCGCGAATCGACATGTTACTAATTATATATCTACCTATGTAGATATATAGTGTTTAATATATTAAAAGCAGGTTAAAGCAGGTAATGATCATAGACTCTCCTTCTATCAGCAGCTCCGCAAAACCCACTCACCCTACTACCATGGCTCAGCTAGATCACCCAGCAAGTTTCAAGCTCCTCAGCCTCTTCTCCCTAATACCCCACGCGTGGGCAACCCTCTATTCGCCCTACGCATTCGACCCTCTCAAGCATTTAGGCAGAGTATCTCCATATTTCGAGCCCCGCGACGCTCAACCCTCTTCTCCAGACGCCCCACAAGGTTGCACGGTGACTCGCGCTGCTTACCTATCTCGGCATGGCGCTATCAATGTAAACGACGACGATTATGAGGACTGGATCGAACCCTTCCTGTCGAAGTTTCAGAACCACACAGGCACCGACTGGTCCAAGATACCGCCATTAAACTTCCTAGCCAATTACGTCTCTCCATTCGCGCCTGGCGAAGAACCAGAGACGCCGACGAGGATCGGCGAGTTGGAATCCACACAGCTCGCTGCGGACATCACCATACGATATCCAAGCCTCAAAATCCCCTCGCGCGTGTGGGCTTCAGCCCCGGACCGAACGTTCTTTTCCGGGAAGGCGTTTGTGCGGGGACTCCAAACCGACGACCACCCCATCAACCTCGTTAGTGTCGTCGAGGGGCATCAAGGTGGCGCTAATAGTCTGGTGCCGTACCAAGCATGTCCCGCATACCACGAGGGAAACGATGAAGCGAAAACTTACCGTGAGATTTTCACGAAGCCTATTAAGGCGCGCTTCAATTCGCTTGCTCCTGAGTACAATTTCACCACTACTGATGTCGTCGGAATGATATTGCTCTGCGGCTATGAATCTGTCATCCGTGGTAACTCCCCATTTTGCAACTTAGAACTCTTTTCGCCAGATGAGTGGTTAGGTTGGGAGTACGCGGACGATATACGGTATCATTACGACGTGGGATACGGTAACCCGTTCTCTGGCATCATCGGATTTCCGTGGTTCAACGCCACTGCCGAGCTACTGATGCGCGAAACTGCCGACGAGGATTTGTATGTGAGTTTTTCGCATCGCACGCTTCCGTCTATGGCGTTTGTCGCGATGGGGTTATTTAATAACTCCGCGTTTGGAGGGACTGGTGCGGCAATCAATGATACGATGCCGTTGGATCGCATTAACCCTCGGCGGGCGTGGAGGACTTCTGAGATCACGCCTTGTCTGGGAAATTTAGCTATTGAGAGATTAGCCTGCAAAGGGAGTTACGGGTTCGAAGATGGCGATTATTATCGTCCGCTGGTGAACCACGCGCCGCAGCCATTGCCGGGATGTACCGATGGACCAGGTGGAAGTTGTTCGAGAAGCGGATTCGAGAGCTTTATCGAAGAAAAGGAGAAAATGTTTGGCGGGTTTTCCCAAAGGTGTCAGGTCGACTATGATAACAGTACGGATTTCGTTTCTTTCTATGAATAGTTGAGCTAGTTATATCCCTTACGATCGTATGTTAAATAGAGCATAAAGACATACCGAGCAGCCCTATTATTCCGCGGAGGTGGCCTTAACGAGGGATCCTAGCATTAGGTGGTGCTCGCGGGCTAATCGACAGCCAATGGTTTGAAGACGGTCTTCCAAATAGGGAAGGTAGAATAATACCGTTCACAGGTATTAATATGCGCACTGTCCTAGGTTAGGTAGTGAGCTCGTAATTCAAATCTTCTAAGCTCTATTCTAACTTATCCCTATCTCACACGAAGGTATCGGTGAGAGATATCGCATATTTGTCAGGACCCTTTCCTAGTACGTGGTGTTCGGTATGAATGAATATTGTGCCCAAGCCTCAAACTAAGACTTGGTCTAATTAGCGGTGTCCCCACTAAGGTTTAGTGAATAGCCGCCTGAATACAGTGAGCTCGGCCACTAAAAAGTGCCTAGCAACAGGTCATATCAAGCTACGCCGCTTTCTAAAGTTAACCCCCAAGCAGATGCGCAAAATGATTTCTACCATCACCGAGGGACAAAGCTCTACCACGGCAAAACACCCCCATCAACATCCACCATCCCATTCATCTCAATATCCCCATCCCTCCTCCCCAGAACAATATCGACAAGCGCAGCAGCAGGCTCCCTCGGGTTCCGCGCACCGCCCTTAAGACGCATCTCGCGGCCCTGTTCGCCGGTCAAGTTGGTAACGCACCAGGCCGGGTTGAAAGCCAGGACTCTGCATCCCCACTCAGCGTAGTTATATCTATGACAAGCCACCAACATATTCAGAGCTGCCTTGCTCATGCGATACGACTCGCCCCGTATCGCGCGATGTTCGAAGTTCGGGTCAAGTCGTTTGGTTATGGAACCCTGCTCGGATGAGACGTATATGATGTATGGCTTAATCGCCTTCTTGAGAAGCGGCTCTAGGGTTTCCGTCACTATCATTTGGCCGAAGACGTTGGTCTCGAAGGCCTGGCGGAGGGCGGTTAGCTTGTCGACTTGCTGGTAGACGATGACGCCTGCGTTGTTAATTAACACGTCCAACTTTTCGAATTGGGTATTGATTTGTTCTTTGGCCGCTTGGATTGAATCTTGGTTGGTTACATCGATCTGCAGTACCGATATCGAGCCCTTTAAGGAACCGCCATGAGCCAGTTGTAAGTTTTCCAAAGCCTTTTGACCTTTCTCTATCGATCGACTACCAAGGAAAATATGAAATTCGGCCGACGCTTCTGAGAGGGCGAGGACGGTCTCGTAGCCAATGCCGCTGTTGGCGCCTAAGATCAAGATCAGTATACTTCTCACGAACTATTTACTTCGCTTGCCCTACCGGTAATGAGAACAACAGTCTTGTTAGAAGCCATCTGAATGATGTGAAGGGTTCGATGTTAGTGCTGAATAGAAAGTGGCGAGTGTGGTCTTTTCTGCAAGACTCGTTTTCAAGATATCAACTGTATTAAATCACTACGATCATCTAGCTATATAGTAAAAATCTCGGACTACGGAAAACAATGAAAAGACCAAAAGTCCGTTAACCCGGTCGACGACAGGACACCAGCGACTTCTGAGGGACTATACGTATATTGCATATCAATGCCGACGATCGATGTGCATGGATGGATTTAATCAAATCGCCACAGCGAAAAAGGATATAATGTCCGGCTGGCCCTCTTAACTCCGTGTGGCATATGGTGGACGTTATCCATGTTCAGCTAGGACAATACCCCGAGGGAAAGGCATAACGGGCGTTACAGGCTTCTTCGATGGCATTGTAGTCAAGGTGCAGTACGTCATGTCGACGAAATGTTCGGCTCTCTAAAATCTACAATCCGATATCAACCGAGGAAAAAGGAGCGCTAATCTCGCTATTAGTATAATATCGATATAAACCGGCGGCCTAGGGATTGAGAAAGACCTGCTTCGTCAATTAGTAAATGTATCAAAGTTAAGGAGTAGTGGTGAGACTTATCCCCAAATTAGGGGGCTGCCTCCGCTCAGTAAAGAGCGGCAGGCAGCCTAGGACTACCCCCATTGGCCTGTCCTTACAACCATACAGCCCACAGATACCCTCAAGAAGCGCATATTGCACTTATGACACTGGTAGGTTTCCGTATTGGTGCCACCCAATTCGCAGAGGTCAGATTCGGACAAGTACTAAACTTTGACTCCAACTCGAGATGGGTCCCGGCTCTGCTCCCCACGAAGAGTGTCACCAAACAGATTGCCCAACCGTGTGCCATGTTACAGCCCCCAGAACCAACATCCGACGTCCCAAGCCATCGTTGACAAGTCTTTAGTAGAAACCGGCGAATCGCATCACCTCAAATAGCACCGATCCTGGTCTCGAGAGAAGCTCTTTCTGTTGAACGCACTGCCCACGTGGACTAGTTTTTGATTCCTCTCCTGTCGAGCTCGAGAGCAGCGAGGAGGGCATTTCCGTACGGCCAAAAGACATCCGTAAAAGCCGCACTGTCGTCTCTCCTCAGACCACGAATGGTAGAGGTGAGGAATATCCACCGATCGCCGCGAAGACGACCGACGAACAGATTTTGGCGTCTTCCGTCATCGTGGGACGGAGCCCACGAGAGGAAGTTGATGCGCCTGGTCAGACCTCACAAAGTGACACATCGATGGCTGTTGCCGAGATGCGGTGTCGGGAGTTGTAGCAGAGCTGGAAGGTGGAGTGGATGGATCCGTTGCGACTATGACAAGCCAGGTTTTACACTTTACACCGACGACCGCTGACGGTTGGATTGTGACCTGAGATGAAAGGGTTCCGAGAACAAATAATATGGCAATAAAAGTATGTCAAGAAGCCCTAGACGAATTTCTGTTGTAACCGCATAGTCGTCGCTCATGCAGCCTAGTCAAGAGACGGCAGCATGATTCCGGCGAGCTATACTAGCGGTGGTTGTGATGAAATTGCCGTCAGGTTCTGACTGTATGTGGCCAGTATTACGTTCCTCCCAATCAATCTCAACGGCACAGGCAAGACCCAGAAGGGTGACGCCATGTCTAGCCGACAGCAGCAAGCCGCTGGGAAATCATCTTCCACCCCACCCAGCCCTAGCAAACATCACCGACACGGTAACAAACGACCAGAGTATAAGTTCCAGCGGCGCAAAGCTGACGAGCGACTCCAGACCAGGAGCTCTTATCGGTAAGACTCATAGCAGAGGCCCTCGCACGCACAGAGGCGACTGGAGTCCAACCCCACCCTTCCACTCCTCGAAACCCCGATCTGCCAAACCTACTTTTCAGCAGGGCGAGGCATCACAGATGTAACAAGGCGCTTATAAGGCGAGGCATAGACAACTGTAAACGCAAGACTAGAACCAAATAGAAACTTAGGGTTAAGTTCCGAAACACCATTCCCTAAATCGATCCGTAGACCAGATCCAGCTGGCCACCTTCGCACGACAATCCACACGCGGCAGTACTCATCAGATCCCTATTGATCCCGAGCAGCGACGTGTCGTGCGAGGCTCTTTTTTAGAGTCGAGATAGGGGACACGAAGTCATTCCTTTCGGAAAACGGGAATCGGAGGACTGTGGAGTAGGCGTCGTGCGAGTTGTGTAGGGCTCGATCTTCCCGACCAGCGAGAAGATGAGAGCGAAAGAGCTGCCGATCGAGGGGATTCGATGCTATTGAGGATGAATTGATTCGTATCTCGGATTGGACATCTACTGTGGACTCGTCTCCGGCGAGGGATTAGGAAGTTGGTGGAATGGGTTGTAGGGGTATGTGAGCTATGATGATTGGTGGGAAGAAAGGAAAGTAAATAAATTGAAAGTCGCGTTGAATTTAATTGAAGTACGCGTTCTGGGGTGGTACAAAGTACCTAAGTATTTATATTTACAAGCATATTTTTATATCTGCATAATCTATAGCTAGCTTGTGTAAATACATAAATGTATCTATCCACATCCCAAAGCTCCGACAACCGTCATGCTTAACAAATCACTGAACCTGTGCGATGAAAACTCATCCAAGCAGCTAAGTTACAACAAAATATGAATTCAGGATAGCTTCAAATTCAACTTACCTTCTATAAAACCACACCCGCATGTTACAGGTTATATACATGATGGGGGATCAACAAGCTCATGGACAGGATGGATCCTTGGCATCGGCCATCGAAGAGACTGGGTTGAAGGCATTTCAACCTTCAGGCGATGAAGCATCTCGTTTAGAAGGTCAGCGAGAATTCAGCGCTCTACTATCGAGGTATGCATACAAGCTTATCTATAATTGGTGTATCTTCTCATACATCATTACAGGACCAAGACGATAGCACTCATGTCTGCCCTGACCAAATTGACTCAACCTGACCGTGTCCCTCCATGGCTTCGGATTCATCTAATGGACGTCCTCACCTTACTTCCCCAAAGACCAGATGGAGTGAGAGCTGCGTTAGAGTTCGTATTTTCTGTTCATCCAACGAGTACGGTGAGGGTGACCGAGGCTGCGACGCCTCAGAAGCGAGGGGCCAACATCACCATGGAAGCTCTTAAGCTGGCTTCCAACCTATTGTCTGCGCCTCCCGCTACGGTCGCTCCAGATCAATGGTACGCTGGAATCGCACCACAACTTCTATCTCTCCTTGACGGAAAAGAGGGACCAGACCTCGTGAAAGCCGCCGCCTACGTCATCGGCTTTGGTGTGCTGGGGAGAAAACAACTTGGTGCTCCTGGTATGTGATATGGGATAATTGAATGTGAGGGAGAGGCTTAATGAAAAGTTTGGCTAACATCACACTCAGGAACATCCGGGTGGAAAGCATTCGCTGAACCCTTGCTCACTAAGATAAATCCTGGTTTATCGCGAGAATCCAAGAATGAGACTCTTGTATTTAGCGCTGGTCCGGATGAGGTTATCGATCTACGAAAAGACATTGTCCTGGTTGAAGCCGATGAGTTGCATATTGCTCTAAGGCGTTTGTCATCTCTATTAGACTCGCATCCGAATCCAGGTTTAACGAAGAGGCTTCTTGCGCCTTTGACGTCATCTTTGTGGACGTTAGCGACCTGGGCGCCTGCACCCAAGGAATTTGACGATCGATACCGCCATCCAGCCGACACTCTTCTACGAATCTATTTAAAACTCGCGGGTTCCCCGGAGAAATTTCAAGCTATCCTCGGTAATCTCCTTACAAATGGAAGCGAAGATGCATCCAAACCCCGATGGGTTTATGATCTGGTGGGCGACTCCAACCTGCAGGTGAAACGGCCACGAGATGCAAATACCGTAGGTCTAGTATCAAATCTAGGTCTCCTAGAGCCTAAATCAGATGCATTTGTAGAACTTTTGCAATCCGTTGGAACTGATTCGGATATCTCGACGTTGTTTCTCAACCTTCTCCGTAGCTCACTCGGATCTACGGAGACTACTCTGGATATTAAAATACTCGCCGAAGATGAATCAACAAAAGACCCTACAGCACAGCTCATCGAGGCGAAGGTACTCCAGAAAATGATGGAAAGGGAAACGATGTCTGAGAAGTTAGTTACGGGCTGGAAACAGTCACTTGAACTTGTGAGCCAATTTCTGGATCGGTCGCAGGCCTCATCGACGGCAACAAACGACGACACTACAGCTTTGGCCCTAAGTCTATTGAATCTTGTAGTTACTGCACCAGGTTTCCAAAAGTCGAATGTCCCCGCCGACATTCTCGAATCTATCGAGGATTCCCTTGAAAGGATTAGCAGATCTCAAGACGCCGACGTCTCACACACGGCCCGCAACCTTTCACTCCTCCTCAAGTATCGGGACGCCTTAGACGACTCCTCTGAACAAATAATGGCGCCAACAGACCGACAAATAGAAGATCGCAAGACCTACAACTTGGCCATATCATATATCACACAAGCAGATTCACCTCCACCAGTGCGCACTGAGGGTCTAAATCTCCTATCCGGGTTACTACGGGCTAATAGTCCCATCCTCGACATCCAGGCTACACTAGTCCTCCTTTCATCCCTCCTAAACGAAGATGACGATTACATCAACCTAACAGTCGTCCGGCTCTTCGCCCAACTAGCCAACAAACATCCGCGCTCAACCCTAAAAGAAATCCTAGACCACTACGTCGACGCCAACGAGCTCGAACAAACCGACACCCGTCTCCGGTTCGGCGAAGCCCTGCTCCAAGTAATCCAACGCCTAGGCGAGACCTTCTCCGGCGAGCCCGCCAACCAAGCCGCCGAAGCCCTCCTATCCATCGCCGGCCGCCGCGCCCACCGTCCCAAAACAAAAGCCAAACAAGAACGCGCGGATCGCCTCCAACAAATGCGTAATAAAGCCGCCCGCGACGCCTGGCAAGGCGAAGTCCCATCCCTCGCGGACCTCGACTCCGACGAGGAAAACGAAGACGAAGAGCAAAAAGCCCGCAACGAAATCATATCCCAAATCGTGTCTGGCTGGGACAGCAAGCGCGGCGCCGAAGACATCCGGATGCGCGCCTCCGCCCTGTCCATCTTCTCCGTCTGCATCGAGACCAATATCTCCGGGCTTTCTCCCCCCCTCATCGAAGGCGCCGTCGACTTATGTCTTGCCGCACTTACCCTCGAAACAGGTCCTGAAACAGGGATCCTCCGCCGCGCGGCTATTATTCTTATCCACCACGTCATAAAAGCGCTTGCGGAGGCGCGGGAGGGCGGGAGGAGGCTTGGGTTTGCGCTTGCGGAGGCGAGTCGCGAGCAGGTTGCGCAGACGCTAGGGTATGTGGCGCAGATGGATGGGGATGGCTTGGTTAGACAGCATGCGAGGGATGTGGTGGAGGGGTTGAGGAATTGGAGGCTGGGGGCGCTGGTTCCGGCTGTTTCTGAGATGAGGGGCGGTGGTGATGGGTTTACGCGGTTGGTAGGATTGGATGTTGCGAAGCCGGGGTTGCCGGCTTTGGAGATGGGGGTTAGGCCGAAGATTGAGGAGATTGAGTAGGCTGCTGCTGTTCTTACGTGATGAGATGCTTGATTAATAAAATCATCGAGAGGTGGTAGAAGGTGCCCCGTTGCAATTGCGTTTGCGATTTGATACTGCGATCGCAACTTACTGGGATTGAAATCATTGTATTCGTATCTGGGTATCATCACGCGCTGATGTCTCTATGCTACTAACATCGTTTTGTCGTCAAAATCCTCCAATAAACATAACCCTACCCTAAACAGCTTTCCACATGACCTCATACTCATCTACTCTTCCTCTAGCCCCTTCGGCCATAGTAGTTCTCTATTCCAAAGACACCGCATCATCCTAATAAAGACGAGGGCCCAAACGACAATCAGAATAGCGGCCATAACGCACCCACAGATGCGGAACCCGTTGCTACCTAGGGCTGTAGCCAAAGCCAAGGTCGCGGTGACGAGGGCCGTGTTCGGGAATACGAAGGACCACCAGGTCATTTGGAAAGGCATCTTCCTCTCGGGACGCACGTATTTCCATAACGAGCCGACCGACACGAGGAAGAACCAGATACTAAGACCCCATAGCCATATCCCTATGATTGTCGAAAGTAGTCGTAGGATGATAACGCTATGAGTCGAGCCTTGAAAACTATCTGGGATGACGACGTTGGCTTGTTGGCCAAGAGAGACTATTTCGCGTCAGCCATAGTTTTCGACTATACGGCTGTTACGGGTTAAAACTGTAAAAAGAATACTCACCCAGTCCAGCCACAGTAAAACCGCTGGGTCCGATAGAGATGAACTAAGAAGTTAATGTTAGGAAGGTCGCCCATATAAAATATTTAACTGCTCGTTCATCTACAACTTACCACACCAGGACGTTGCTCATCTCTAGGTAACTTTTGAGTCATGAGACGGTAGATGAATGCGGCACATATCATGAAACTGATGAGGAATCCGGTGCCCTGTACAGCAATTGCACACATCCCTATCGCTAGCCTGTTGATCGGCGGATTGTCCGAAGCTACGCTGTTTGCTGATATAAGACTACTCGCGAACGGTGCAGTTAGGAGTAGAGGATATCCAGGGAATACCCAGACCGGTGTCATGGTGTGAATAGGAAAGATCCTACATGGGACGGTGATCATTAGATATAGCAAAGCGTATGAACTAAACGTGTTGCTTACTGAGTTGACCAGAGTATTAGATACATGCCAGAACTCGCTAACACGCTGATGACGATGTAAATCCAAAACAACCATTCCATCGTATGTTGAAGCCAAGGCCCGGTCATAGGAATTCCATATTGACATGCGTTAATCAAGATGGTTGCGGCACTGTTACTGTGGTTAACTAAGGCGTAACGATGCATCGGTAGCTTCGTAAAATCATGAACGACTTACGACACGACCTATTTAGGATGTAAGTAACACCATATGCCAAGGACTGGAAGCGAGCTTACCACAGACGGGATGAAAAGAGATTCCATCTGGTCCAGGAATGAGTGCATAAAACTCCCAGGGACCATGATGAATCTCATCGTGATCAAGACACAATTCATGATAAAGAGGCATACGTTGAAGAGGAAAAAGATAAGCCCGATGTACCATAGCCAGTCAGCCTGGTATGGCGTCCATACTATTTCACCTACTATTAGATCTGCGCAATCCTACCATAATAAGTGATACTCACTGGAGTAGAAGACGTTGGCAACGCCGCCGGTTGCCTGAGTTGAAGTTGTTGAGCATCATGTGAAATAGGAGGGACTGCATAACCCGATAGAGGTTTATTGGCTTAGCTTACCATTGTCTAAATCGGCATTAGCGGATAAGTCATGCATATAGATGAATTTCACCGAGGGACAATGTCATTTATCTTAGCGTACCATCGTGAACCAAGTCCATTGATGACAACATATCCTATCACGAATTCCAATCTTCTGGCCTCCTTTATGTTTCCTGGCATTGGAGATCATCCTGGCTAAACTGTCGGGATTGGGCTGTGGAAAGAATGGAATAGGAGGGGGTCTCTTCTGCCGCTCTCGATGCGATACTGACAAGACTGGAGAACCACCCCGAGTAAAGTAATCCTCTCCTGGTGTCACATAGCCATTGAGGGCGGCCTCGACATCAATCTGACTGCTTATAACTCTGGACATTTTGACATGCAAAAGTCGTCAGGAGTTCGGGCGAAGAGCCTAGAGATTATGTAAATGCCGACGAGTAAGACAGGTTCGACATGAGCCAGTGCCGAGTGGAAGTTGACGAGAGTTGTCAGAAATACCACGAGGTGAAGTAAGACAGAGCCGACGTTTGAAATAGACATAGTACGGCCTCGGATGCTACCGGAAGTGGGAGAAGAATTTGCGTGTGAAAGAGAGCGAACCACCGAGAGGAGTGATTTAATCACCTAGAGGTGTAATAGAATAGCCCTGGAGCTTTATCCCCCAAGTAGGTACCTAGGTAGATCTAGCAGTCTCCAGCTAGTAGGCCTGGAAGTATAGGGCACTAATCTTCACTTGCACCCGGATGTTGATGGTGGATGTGGGTGGATGGATGCTACATAAGACCTGGATGTTTGCCGGATCAGCGTCGTCGGTCTTTGAGAGATTGTAACCTTTGGTACTTTTGATGCTCCTTATGGTTGTGAACAGGATCCGATTGGGAATGAATGAATGAAACCGCCTATAATACCTGCTACTGATGTATATATCTCATAACCGTGACAGCAGGCGGTAGTTGGTAATGCAATCCGTTACGTGGTTGAAGTGTTTATGTTCAATGTTGGTAAGAGAAAATAGCGGCAAATGAACCGGTGAGAGCCCTATTCTTAGTACCTGATTTATTGTACTTGTATTGTACCCGTACACTTTGGCTAGGTACTTCAGTGCCGTATCTTATCGCTAATAAGACACCAATGAAAGTTCAAATTCAAGGGAAGCCCCGCAAGTTATCTTGAAGCTAGTGTCCGGGTATGACGGCATAGTGCATGTTTGTGCAATAATCTCTTTATCTGCGTGTATATCTTTGTTAATGGTCAATGTGCAAACCAACCTGACAACATCTTAATCAAGCACAAATAGCTACCAGGTAAATATCCGACTCTTGTCCGATGTATCCATTCACCAAGATATCACGAACTTGGCTGCTTGGATATGACAGCAATGTTGCATGCAAGGACTAAATAGATACATATTACCTACTACTTACATGAGAGACTCCACCCAAAGTTGAGAATAAGGCAAATTCAAATAAAGCTAGCGCTGGAACTTGGTGGGGTCTTCCGCCTCATCGGACCAAATCCTCGGGTTGGGGGCGACAACACCTTCCTCTATCTGAGAGAAGCCTCATGCAGTTGCTTTTTCCCCTAAGCTGCCTAAGCCACATCACTCCTCCCAACAAATAAGCTTCGTTCTATTTCTTCCCTTCTACACCTTCTTATATACCCGTATCTTTAAATTTGGCACTGATGGAATATATACCTCGTCTTAGTCTTCTTACTTTTATTTGACTTTTATCAATTGACACTTGGCGCCTCAATCTTAGTATTCATCATATCGATAATTGTATCATTGATTATTGTCTTCTTCTTTTTCTTCTTCTACCAACCTGTTGCGAACTTGCGAACGTCGGATCCCTTGCTCTAAATCCTATACTCTTATTAAGCCTATACCTAATGGATATACTGCGCGTATCGTGAAGCTGAACTGGACCTTGTCTACGAACCCTAGTTGCTCTCTGGGAACTAGGGACATTCTCTCCCTTGCCATGGGGTTAAGTCGTGGACCGCCTCAGAGGTGGTCCTTGAATGATACATATGGTTAGTCAACTAAGCGAGAACTTCAAACCTCGAACGTCTTTGCATAGCATATGTCTTAACCTTGGATCAATGTCCCGATCTCGGCTAATAAGACCCACCTCTCTACATAGGCTTCATCGCAACTTTCTTCGGCGCACAGACGCGAACGTATACGCACCGAGCTGCTTCGAGATGTATAACGGCGAACCAACAGCAGTCTAGATCGTTGTCAGTAGCGCAGGACGCGAACACAACTTCGTCCCGTGTCGAACCTCAGAATCACAATGTTGCCCCGTCTCCGCGCCATGTCCTGCGTGGCTTTCACACGTATTTCGTCACACACCTGCCACAATCGTCCCTGCACCCAGATTCACGTGCCCCAACCGGTCCGCATCACAAGCTGCCTCGTTCCGCTGCCGCTCCCCATAACTCGAATTCCGGCGCTGCACCCGTATCGCCACCTCACCTACCGTCCAACCGCGACTTGACCGTTGTCCGCATACCTCTGCGCAGTGCCAAGCACCATTTTGGGGCCGCCGATTCGAGGGGCTCCCGACCTTACAATGAGGACACCAATCAGGCGGGCACCATAGATATGCCCGCGTTCGCAAAGCGCGCGCCTATCAGCTTGGTCAGGAGTACCATGAATAAGACTGGAGAGGCGACACCGGCTGATAGCGCGTATGGGGATCCCCAGATTTTCTACTTCGGAGTTTTCGACGGCCATGGCGGAACACAATGCAGCGACTTCTTACGAGACGAACTTCACGGTTATATCGAAGAGGCTGCTGAGGAGTTCGAGTTAAAAAGTAGCCTCCGTTCTCTGCGAAAAATTCGAAATCCTGATTCAGATTCTACCCAGGTGCCCACGACTCGAATCTTGTCCGATTCCGAATCAGGCGGTCGGAAGAAGTTGGATCAATTGGACATGAAAGGCTCGGCAGCTGTCGCAGCCAAGGCCGATATTCCCGAAATAAATAAGCACGGGGCAATTCAAGAAGTCGATAATGCCAAGGCTATCAAAGGCGACAAGCCCGTCCCAGCTAAAGCTTCGCATTCTAAAGCTCTTGATCTACAGAGGGATCTCGTGGCAGAATATAAAAGCACCATTGGTGGATATTTCAGACGTTTCAATCCTCCGCATTTCCATTTGCGACAAGATTCGGATTCCCCTGAACCTCCCGTCAGTATCGAGACTGTTCTCACATATGCCTTTCTTCGCGCCGACCTTGACTTTGTTGCCGCTCAGGCCCGTAAGCCAGACCCGGATGACCCTTACGTATCTGATACGGCGTTGAACTACGATGAAGTATTAGGGAAACCGCATCATATACCTCCATCTGGCCAGTATATTGGTGGGCGCACGCGGTTTAAGGGGGGCTCGACGGCCTCGGTTGCTCTCATATCGACACCAACGCCCGCGCCGTTCTGGCACCCGGCGGCGAGCTCTACGCTATTAGTCGGGCACGTAGGTGACACGCGCATCCTCCTATGCGAAACTGCTACCGGTCTCCCTCGCCCCCTAACTTCGGACCATCGTCCGAGCTCCCCAAGCGAGTCCCACCGACTACGTCGATTTGCGGCGTCTTTCGTGACGGACTCGTTCGGCGAGGAACGGATCCAGGGTCTAGCCAACTCTCGAGCTTTCGGAGACATGGCTTCTAAGCGATTAGGCGTCTCCGCAGAACCCGAGATCACCCGGACGGAGCTAGGACCCGCTCAGTACAGCTTCATTGTGCTCATGTCCGACGGTGTTTCCGGGACGTTAAGCGACCAGGAGATCGTAGACGTAGTCAAAGAAGCTAAGACGCCGGAACAGGGCGCAAGGGATGTCGTGGCGTATGCTACGGAAGTGAGCAATGACGGCGACAACGCGACGTGTCTTGTAGTCCGTCTTGGCGGGTGGGAGCGTAGGAGCGAGGGTGGGTTGGGGAGCTTGGGGACGAAGGAGATTCGTGATTTTAGACGTAATGAGGCTTTGGATCCGCGGCGGGGGATGAGGTAGGGGGTTGGTTGATAGAGGGGATTATATATACATATACATATGCACTTGCATACGGGGTTGGCTGGTTTGTAGGTATTCAGGTCGATAGTCTAGATGGATGGGCTAGACCCCTAGAGCGGTTCAGGGGGCATAATTTAATTTTTAAAATGATTTGGGCGTTATGTTGTAGATAGATAGGTAAGGATTAGTCGACTGGTCACTGAAATGCGATGGTCTCTTGATTTGTCTATGATGGGTTTTCTTGAATTGAAATGCTCGAACGGCTGACTGTAACGTTTAAGGGGGGGAAAGCTTCATTAAGGTTCAGGGCGAGATATAAGCGTAGGTGCCAGGAGTTTTAAGTTTACAGGTGTTGCCTCGATATACAGGTAGCTAGGTACCTAATGGATACCTATAGGTTGAGTTAGAATTCGTCCAGTGCCTCTGATCTAAAAATCCATATGTAACAAACTGCCTTAGACGTGTTATGAATATACGACAATTACAACCTAGAAATACTGACTGCAACTAGTTCCTTCGATCCTCAAAACTCGGCAAATACGCGATATCATCACCAATCTCGTCCCCTTCCCACTCAACACATATCACATATCTCAAAACCGCTCAAATATAACAGTCGGAATTCTTTTTCATTAGGTGTTGAGCATGATCCTAATCATCCCGCCCAACGGTCGTTTACACACCTATCTAAGTCACCTTCTCTCTCTAGGCTGATAAAAACTCGACCACACGCACGCCTGACATATTAAGCCACCAAGTCCAAGAAAACAGCAATTAAGGTCGGGGATCAAAGTTGAGCCGGGCTACCGCGAAAGACCTAGGGCGTCCATACGCTTGCACGACGACATGTCGAACTGTTCCGCGATCTTCATCTTCTCCTGATCCGACCTGCCCCACCAGGTGTACGCCTTGTCGATCAGATCCTGCCTAGTACGCATCTCTGCTTCGCAACGGCGACCTAGGATGCGAACAAACCCGGTCTCGGCTTCTTTATCTAATTGCTGTAATTTGTAATCGTTCCATCCAACGATATCGTTCGGATTAATGAAATAGTCGACGTTTAGCCTCGGTGTCATCCGGCGGTGAACCAGGGGCGGCGACGCCTCATCGAACACCATCGTCGGTATCTTCGGTTGCAGGTTATCGCCCCCGGAGAAGATAGACGACAGCAGAGGGAATATGAAAAGGAAGATAATCGGAAGCAGGCTAATGATCGTGTCCCAACCCGTCTGCGGTCTCTGTTCGCCCTCAGCCTCTCCCCTCGGTCTCCTCCTCGGACCCCCACCGCCCATCTGATGCACACGAAACCCTCTATTCCCACCGATGTTAAAAACGAACTGCGGTCCTGTATCAAAACCTATTCCAAGTCAGCTTCTACAAACGCTTCAATCCCCACACAAGAAGGGGAAGAGGGAGAAGGAAAAGGACATGCAACTACTCACCGCCGAACGGACCGCCAAAACCACCCTGGAAGAACCGCTGAAACATCTCCTCCGGACTAATCTCATCGTCCCACATCCCCCCGCCCCCAAACCCAGCCCCGGGCCCTCCCGCCCTCGCGTTCGCAAACCCGCTAAACGGATTCCCGGCCTGCGCCCTCGCGCTCTCGAACCGGCTATCCGGATCCGTCCCGAACCGGTCGAACTTCTCGCGCTTCTCCTTGTCCCCCAATATGCCGAACGCTCGACTGACCATCTTGAACGCCTCGTCGGCGTGCTCGTGTCCGTTCTTGTCGGGGTGCGTTAGCAGCGATTGCTTCCGGTACGCCTTTTTGATGTCCGCGTCGCTGCAGGACGACCGGACGGTTTCGAGTCCCAGGATGTCGTAGAAGGCTGTCGCTTTGCACCGCCGGATCCGTAGGACCGCGGCTTTCTGCTCCGGCGTGCATTTTCGCTCTTGGTTGCCTTGGTTGTGCTCTCGTGGCCGCGGCGTGCTGCGGTTGTTGCCGTCGACGCCGGAGGAGGTCGCGCTGGGCATGGTCGTTGGAGACCGTGGGGTGGGGTGGGGTGGTGCGTATAGGTGGACGGATGGGAGGGTTTGTCGGTGCTTCGATTTTGTAGGCTTGGCTTTTTAGAGACGTGGATGGATGGATTGGTTTCGTGATGGGTATCTTGTCTAGGATTATGGGTATGAGGCTCTGTGTGAAACGGTGACGGTGACTACCTAGGTATGACTAATGAATGGATGAATGGATAGAAGAAAAGGCTCTTTAACGACGACGCGGAAGGGAGTTGGCCGAATCAAATCAGGGAATGGAAATGATTGGATTACTCTCGAATTGATGATGTGAGGCTGAAAATAGAAGACGATCTCGTATGTTCCCAAGTTTCTGATATTTTTTTACTATGTAGATGCATGGATTCGTTTTGCAAAGTGGCTTCAAAAAGTCAGCAATGTCCAGATCGAGGTCTTGCTAATTGGGGCTTACTGTGGCTTGCGCCTCTGATAGGCAGACACGGTGACCCGTTCTGCCCGTGCAACGGCGGGTGCACTGGACGACGAGATAAACTGATAGCTGAGTGGATCCCAACGGACCTGAGTGACGATACAGGTTCGATTCCGTTCGAATACATGGTACATCCGTCGCCCCACCCAAGAACTCAAGTTCTTTTGATCTTCCAATAGAATAATAAGGATTTTTCTAGCGGATTGAGCCTCATCATCATTGACTTGTCAATATCCAATTTTTGAACCTGATTTTCAACTCGATTTGAAAAGATCTTTTACAATATCGAAGCCTGATACCACCATAAACCAGTCGATTCTTCTACCGTCTAAACCGATAGTCATTGACCTTCCACTACTCGTTCTTTTATTTAATAAATTTGAAAGAATTGGCTCTCGTGACCTTTAAAGTATAAAGAAAACGGGAAACGAGAGTCTTGTTTCAACATCTAGAGATTGGAATTATTCAAATATGGCAAACCCAGAACCGACTCCAACCCTCCAAGAGCGGATAGAAGGGTGGGGAAGTATGTGCATCTCTCTTATACTCTCCTGAACTCATATTAATCTCAAAATCCTCATTATTATCTGTCATTTCATGGGTCCGATGAGTTTCAGGTACTTAAGACATGTAAGTAGCTAACACGTACGACAGATTCCTCCCTAGCTCCCACGGGTCTCGCAACCCTAATAACGGCCTTGCATTTCCGGCCGTTTCAAGTCCGGCCCATGCTTTTCGTGCCTATTCTTCTCTTTTCCAGCTACTCGAACCTACAGGGCTTCAAAATGGACAGTGCTGGTATGACTGCCGCGGCGAGCGGTACTTATGCTCTAGTTGCTATGAGAAGACGACCAGTTAAATTCATGAGTCGTTTCTCTATAAGGGGCATTGTAAGGGGTGCCGCTGTTGGTCTGGGAATCGTCAACGCGGTAGCTGCTAGTTGGGTGTATATTAATGGCGATCGTGAGAAGGAAAAGGATGAGAGGAAGAATAATCCTCGATGGGTTTAATAGATCAAATCATTAGCATAAAACAAGACCTATTGTACAAAAATTACCTACGAGATTCACGAATATCACATCATTGATTTGCAAATATCTCCAGATTGTTGTGTCAAATAGTCAAATTGAGTTATCCCAAGATCCTTCGATCCATCATTTCGGTCTCTCTAGACAACATGGCCACGAACTTCTCAAACCAAGTTCTACCAACTACTCCATCCCCTGTTTGATGATCGCCAATTATCGAGATTTGATGTAGTCAAAGGAGAAAAAGACATGACGGACTCGTCTATCAAAGGCGATCCGTAATAAACGCCGGGAGACTCCTCAGCACTTGAATGGTCTCCTAAACCGACCCCCCCTTATGAATCCTCTCGTCCTATGCATCTCCAATGAGTCCAATTTTGTTTATGATGCCATATGCAATATGACTTTCCCCATCTCCTTCTGCCTCTTCCCCCCTTCTAATACAATGCGGGGCAATTTATGCGCAGAACATGCTTCGTGCTCCATACTCCGGATCTACCAGACATGCCGAATCGCAAATCTTTCTTTAACCTGTTCCTCCCAATTATCATCCAAATAGTAGGTAACGTAAACTTCATTCATCTAGTGACCCTTAATGTCCATGGAATTCCAGTGGTAGTAGTAGTATCATCCCAAATTAAGTGGTTGTAAGTAGTAAAAGTTTGGTAGAGTACATCCAGACTGATAGGGTGAAAGAGGCCACCATCACCATACCGTAAAAGGTATTTTGAATAAATGGCAGGCGGCTCGGTTTTGGCACGACGTTCTTGAGGTCAGACAGGCTGAAGTCGGTGATGTATTTCACGTCTGTCTCCCTAACCTTAGGCTCAGCGAATTTAGTATATTCGCGAATGATACTAGTAGTATCCCATTCGCTAGCCTTGCGGAGGATGCCGACCACGCATCCGGTTCGGTGTTTTCCTTGGTTGCAGTGAATAAGTAGAGGGTAATTCTTTCGGTTGCCGACGACCGCGATGATAGACTGCATGGTCTTTGCTGGAATGTCGGCCTTTTTAGTACCGGCCATGTCGAAGATTTCGTGTTTGATATGGTTACCCTTGATGAATTCTTGATAGCCGTCGGGAAGTTCTTTGCCGACAAGGGTGACGATTGTCTTGAGGTTAAGAGTACGCATGAACGAATAATCCGGTGCCTGAGGATAGCCGCTACGGTATAGTCCGGGGGCCACCATAGCAAAGTTGACCGGTGGAGTGGTGGTAAAAGGTAGGGGCCGTTCGACGGCGATGTCCTTTGCGGAGATGTATGCTTCTCGTAGCACTGCTTCGGGGGATTCCGATCCGATATTGATCATATAAAGTAATCGAAGTCGCTCTTCGTCGCTGTGAGCCATTGCTTTACAATCTTGTGCGGGTGCACGGTCCCCGTCGTGAAGGAGATGCTTTCCAGATATCATCTTCCCCATCTTTTCCAGGTCGCCTTAGACTTGTGTGACGTATGTAGCGAATGAGATAGAATCTTGCAATTGATTCCGGTACTTCCGGCTAGATTTCTTGTTTGTACTCAGAACGGTGAATTAGAGCGTGCCAGGTCTGGTAATAGATGCCGACGATGTTTATATCAAGGGAGGAGGATGTTAAAACGTGTTGAAAAAATGAGAGGATTGTTTGAGAATGTCGTCCTGTCCGCGAGACGCGTGATCAAAGCGAATCGAGAGAACCCGTCATGTTGGCAAGATGTAATGTGAGTATCATCTTGTCTGATTGAGATAGGTTTGTTGTAGGTGTAGGATTTAAATGTGTGAGTGTGTGGTCTTTTGTTTACCCGAGATGTATTCGAGAATAATGGAAGAGTTTTAAGTGTCAGGAGTGGAAGAGGTGGTTGTTGTATGGAAGATGTTGTGAACAATAAATGGAGACTGGGGACTGGAGAAAAAATGGAAGGGTTTGTTCGGTAACCGCGCTATTGTCCTCGGTGGATCTCCCTTATAAATCATGTTAGGTCAAACTTAGGGGTCTTTTCCAAGGCGAACAAGGCGAACAGGGCTAACTAGTGTAGGTAAGTTCAGTGGAGTTATCTCCGTAGCTCTAGCGCTTTAGCAGCTTTAGCTCAAAACTCTAACTTTAGGTGCCTACTTGTAGTACAACGGTAGTACAATAGTGACCTATTAACGTTACTTTGACTATTGAAACGGATACTTTGAAGCTTCAATATATCAAAAATAGGGTCAGTCACTGGTTTTCCTTTCATAGCAATGATCTACTAGACACCAGACACCTAATATTCAATGCCAAACGAGTCACGGAAATGTTGAGTCTAGTACCGTATCCATTGAGTTTATGATAATTTCTATCAGATGTAAGTAGCCAGCTTGATACATACTTCACATCCTCCGAATAGGGACCCCCTGAATTTATGCATGTACGTGAAAGGTTACTTGCGGTACGAGGGGTATCGTTCGAATGACCGACTGCTCCTGACTCAGAATGGGGCAGAACGGGGCAGAATGGAGCGGAACGATCTGGGTAATGAGGAAATTAAGTGGTAGTACGTCTCAATTCAGATCCTGATATCTTCGTTCCATGGGTTTTTGCAATGCAGTCTAGAGCCTGCGTATGTACGTACCTGGAAGTTTACCGTATCTTCCCTTCAATGTTGTAAGAAGGTTTAATTTATCAGGGGTGATTGGACGGTCTGGCTGCACATTATGTATAAAGTAGGCGGTGACGGGTAGATTTATGTCAATAACCAATGACGCAAGTTCTACTGGAGTACTGGGGACTACTGGGGGCGTACTGGGGCTTTGGGATGCGCTAATGCAGATTAAGTTTAGCTGAAATCTACATCAAGTAATGTTCAAGGTACCCCGCTACCTGCGCCGTAATTCGCTATTTTTAATTTGGCTCTTACTATGTACATTGTAGAGAGCGGCTTTAGCGGCGGGGAACTAGCATCCGGGGACCGTGCCGGTCTCATCTCGTCTTTCAAGGCTCGTTGCTTCTGACGGAACACACCTCAAGGTTCCAAACAACTACATATATGCCTTTTGTGCATCCATACATGGATGCATTTACTGGGCAGCCTGGTAATCCACAATCCAAGAGTCACGGGTCTATTGCGCTTTAGCATCACCTAGTCAACTAATCACCTACCAAGCTGCTTGGTAGTCAACTACCAACCTTGGAAGGTAGCTCTTTTGCCAGATTCGTATAGACATCGCATGATCTTTCGATGATAGCAGAAAAGCGCAGGACTTGTCGAATCAACAAACGAACATGGCCGCACCACACAACGCCACGAAAAGCATTTCTGAACCGTTTAGAAGACATACAGATGATACTGTTTTAGTCGAATTTTGTCTTTGATGAGGCAACCACTGATTTAAGAGTGTTTGGAAGAACTTGGAAGCAATTCCTATCCTTCAGCATTGACTACCGGTAGCCAATGCCGATGTCCTGCCATCCGACAGCCTAGATAAATCATAGGAGTGTAGAACTATGGAAAGTTTAACACTGGCTCCTCTGATCTACTCGCCACTTATATACACACATCGAATATCTATGTGGATAAATATTTTGTTGACATCTCATAGCGTTACCCTAAACATCCAAGACACCGTTCAAGGTCACCCCATCTAAACCGATTGGATGGGCATTGACGGCTATAGCGGTTCTGGTTCTAGACTATTCTGTCCTAGCTCACAAAGAGCACAAGGGCGCTCTAGGAAGTCGACGTACCTTTGCATCTAATTTTGCTTCGCTCAGTCATTGTCGAGATGCGCGGCCGTTCATGTGAGCGCAAATTTCGCAAAAGCATTACCCTCACCTCACCGCAAAGCTTACCCTCGAGTGAGTCAAATCCATCTGACTGCCTTCATTGATACCCTCAACCCTCAAAGCTGACTTGGGTATAGCCGATATCGACATAACGGCATACATAACGACGTACATGTCGACGTACATGTCGACGTAACTTACCTACATATCTACCAATGCTCATACTATCCCCGCTTTCCTTCATCCAGCCATACGTAAACCACCTGCATGCACTATCTTCTCTTCTAGGTCGGATACAGTATGTGGGTTTATGAGTTCTCTTCGATTTATTCGACATAAAGTTATGCTCGTCTAGCCTCGACCGACACGTGTCTTCAATTTGGTCCTTAGCAGCTCCTTTCCTGCACATGTACAGTAAGACGATCCATTAGATCGTCACGAAAGTAGGTAAGTAAGTAAGTAAGTAGGTCGGTCGGTCGGTCGGTAAGTAGATATTCTCGCATGCGTGTTGTGATGCAGGTACTTATCTCGGTGCGCCGATATGCTAGAGAATTTATTATATAGTATATTCTTGGGCATATGATGTCGCTTACTCACATTCACGGGACAACACTCGGCTGCGGACTCGGAGTAGTACCAACGATCCATCAGCCTTACATACTAAAGTACCCCGTCCTGTTCGCCCCAACAATAATACCGACCAAGAAACGCCATCGTAGCCAAGCTTGGAACTTGGAAGTTGACAATCATTTTTTTATAATATTAGTCATGCCCTATACAAGATACTTCTCATTAAACCCCCCGTTTTCATTCGTCTCCGGGTCTCCGATTGAAAAGGTGGTCAGATTTCACCGCTAGATGTCTCGCAATTTTTCATTTTCCAGTAATATCTTATCGTATTACTTCATCTATACTATAGCTACCTGTATAGGCGAAGGAGGGGAAAAAAAGAGAGGAAGAAAAGATCCCGCCATCTACGAATTATACGCCGAAGGATGCCCGTTTCTCCGTAAAACCCCCACTGAAGATAGAATTGACATTGAAGTAGGAGAGAAAAAAAAAACCCAAACAATTGACAAATCAGATCAAATCAAATCCCACATCTCCGTTCTAGACTTTTTGTTGTTGCTGGTGTTGGTGTTTTACCGGATGTCTCTGAAATCCCGCTGCTTTTCGTTCAAACACCGTCTCGCTCATTGGTCTGGCCGGGATTCCCTCGAGCGCCTCGTCCACAAGCATCGCCACATCTTGAGCGCAGCCGAAAGACAAACTCCAACCGGCACCGCCGTGTCCGTACGAGTGAACGATGCGGCTACCTGTCCTGCGCAGCTCGCGCTCGACTCTTACGTTTTGACCTCTGAACGGACGGAGTCCTTGCGCCAATGGATATTCGGGGTCCAGGCGGGCGTTTTCTAGACCTGGTAAGAATTTCTCGCATCTTTCTCTCATCCGGCGAATAATGGGCGTGTCTAGGGTGAGATCTAGATTCCACTCGTGAGGCTCCGTTATACCGCCGATTACTGCGAACCAAGATGTTAGCCACTCCGAATCTTCATCTCGTCTTATCTCGTTATATTTATTGATTTTCATCTTTTTCATTATCATGGTATCAATCAGGAAGGAGGATAGAAGTGTCAATTCTTGAATCAGTCGATTCTTGACGTTTTGAGATAGTCCCTCGAACGATGACGCCTGAAGAAGGAAATTAAGAGCGAGATGCTTACACAAGATATTATCATTTCTGGGGACGAGGAAGATGATCTCGTTGGAAGAGTGGGCGGCATCTGCCGTAATAGTCAGAGCCGCATCTACTTTCGGGAAGTCCGACCCGTCGTTAATGACTCGGATCAGCCCGCCTCTGATCGGGTAGACGCTCTCGTCGCCGGCGAGCTCTTGAGCTTGAAGGCCCGTGCAGTTGATTATGACGTCGGCCTCGAAGCGAGCCCTCAGCTCGTCCTCGATCTCGACTAGATCGTCGTGGATGGTCTCCGTGACGAGCTCAGCTCCCTTGCTCTCGATCAGCTCCGTCAGCCAGCCCATGGCCTTGTCGGTGTCGATGACCGGAGCCAGCAGCTCGTAGGCGTCGACGGCACCGTACGATGGGTCGATTCCCCTTTCGTCGATGATGTCAGCGCCCCGGTAGAACCCTCTCACACCGCTGGCCATGATCTCGGTCATCTTGTCGACTTGCGCCTTATCGCTGTCGACGGGTTCCGGGAAGAAGAAGTCTGACGGCATCATGCGAACCCCCGACGCCTCGCTCAGCGTCGGGATCGACGCGATCCCGTCCCAGATGTGGTACGCCGTCATCACCCAGTGCTTCGAGTGCGCCAGCGAGATCTTATCTGTGTGCTGGCCGCAAACGGCAGGCGGGAACTCCCAAAGGGCCCCGGCGATCTGGGACGTCAGACGCTGCGTGTCGCTCACCCACGCGCTGCTGACGATTGTGACGCGGTATCCCCGATCGAGGAGTACCCAAGCTCTTGGAAGGATGGTCAGCTTTTGGCCTTTTTTTCTTCTCTTTTTTCTCATTGGCTCATATGCTCGCTGAGCTTAGGCGAGGAGATCGAGTGTGGTAGATCGATCCCCGGAAGCCCACTCTATTTCTTTCTATGGATTGGGATTTCAACTCACGATGTCAACCCGGTGACGCCACCACCGATTATCAGGACGTGTGGGGATTTGCTGGTAGGCCTTCGAAGTGGTTGGCCTACAGGCGAGATATCTCTCCAGAGAGTGAGCGGCATTTTGAATGGAAGTGGGATAGAAAAGTTGTCTGTCTTGGTAATAGTTCTCAAGGGGGCGAGTGCCTCTTTGAGTATATCGATGATGGATATGGGGTAACAACGATTGGTATCTATGAGATGAGATCTGAGGAGTTGTTGATTGCTATGAGATGTGTCTGATTGAGTTGTTGCCACTATCTGGAGATGGGAAAGAATGTTATATGTTATATACTCAATGTTCGGTAAGGGTTCGTTCGCTGTCGTCACATTTCCTACATGCCTGTACTGCCCCTTTTGGAGTATGACGAGGAGAGCACATCCAGGTACTCAGCACGGAAGGTTTTCTCGAAGTCTGACAAGTTCTGTGGGAATCTATTTTTGTGAGTTCGGTTGTTACGTTGTTACACACTCTGCGGTACTTCTCAAGATGGCGGACGGACCTACCGCCCAATACTTAAGGTGCTGACTCCAGTTTAGATCATGGGAGTCATGTACGCTGTATGGTGTCCCATCCGACCAAGGGTATAGTCTCGGATGAGGTAACAGATTATGCACTCTTCGTGAGTCTTCGCCTCATATCCGCCTTGTAGGGCTGCTCAGTGTGGAGCGGTGGACTGATGGTAAGCGTTTTCCTGCCCGCCTTTTAAGCCGCGATTCGCGTTGCATGGGTACTTCCATGTTAGACGGTACAGAACGGTGGTGTTCTGCCTTGGACTGTCCTGCAAATTTCTTCATTGACCTAAAACGGACTTGTTTCCGTGGTTTACTCGATAGGGGGTAAACATCTGCTAGCCTGTATGTATCACTCTAGCTGCAGTGAATACAAGTGAAACAATCCTGCTTTCACTGCCCATGAGAAGTCTCCGTTGTGAAGCCTGGCCGGCCGTGCCATAGCCAGTACCTCATTAACCTTGTCCGAGGTACTGATGCTGTACTATGCTATGTGATAATGCAACGTCTGGGAACCGCCTGCTAACTCTCTTGGCATATTCTGCGAGCAAGGCTGACAGAACATGCCGTTGCCGGCTACCGGCTTACAATGACGACGAAACATCATGAGATATTCGGTCGAGGTTAATCTGAGGTGCTCACCGATTCCGACTGTTCAGCTTCCCCCGACTCTCCACACTTTCTCACTATTATATAATTTTCTATTTTGAAGCTGTGAAGTCACCAATCGCGTCATCTATCTTTGTCATCGGTACCTGGGCTCGTACGACGAATTAGGTTCTTTCGTAAACTTCAATATTGTTAGCTTTCCTATCATCTCACCACAAGCATATCATCCCATTCGCAAACCGCGTTGAGGCGGTGAATAGCGCGGTTTACACAGCAGCAGGATGGGCCAACCGTTACTACCGTGCCAATCCGAAATGGCGGGAGTGCTACAGATACAGCTTGCAGCTTGCAGCTGGTACTCGTGGCCGCCACATCTTAGCATGCGTAGGTACCTGTAGGTTCGAACTGCATGTCAGAAGCTCGCTTAAACAATGCCAATATATGCCCAGGCACCCACGAAGGAATGGCGGCGACGAGCATCGTTTGGGATACAAGTTGTGTGTCTAAAACAATTGTGTGATCGCTTTCTGCAGGTTCTTTTACATAACCGTTACCACTTCGAGAGCCAACGTCGTTGATTATCCTGACTTAGGTGGCCAACGGAAGTCAAAACGTTAAGAGGCACAGCTCGCTTACCAGAGCCTCCATTCCTTCCTTGCCACCTGCTGAACCGGCGCCATCGTCTCGAAAACTAAGGTTAGTTGATTAAAGAGGCAGGGTTGAGAGTCCAAGCCATTGCTCGATGATCAATTTCACTTTCAATATCATGACTCCAACTATCCTAGCTAGTCCCTAGTACCTTGAAGCATACCTCCCGGACCGAATTGCTCCTTTTCCCCCCGTGATGAGTTCCGTGGCACAGCATGCGATAGGAACCTGTCGGCCACGCCTCCTCGTGGCACTCCTTCCGCATATGCGTCGTGGAGGCTTACCGCCTAGGCTGGCTCCAGAGTCGTCAGCATTCTGGAGATATAACAGGAGTATGTGCGAAAGCCTGCATGTCATCCTATATCTCCTTACTTGGGATTGGTCTGCAAACAGGGTTTGATATGTATGATACACCGAATCACAGCTAACACTACACCGACATCTGGGACAGCTGAGCTCCGATTAGCTGAAAGTGATGATATGTTACTAAGTATACAATATCACACTTCTTAAATGATATGCCCAGGCGATGGCTAGATAGAGAGATAGGTAAACTTTGAGATGTTATTGGCTTTTGTTATCGTTACATACGCTTCACCGAGAGCTCTATTAGATAGGTACGACCAACAGCAGCAATTGTAAGTTGGTAAGTTCGCGCTTAGGTACCTACCTACCTACCTAGTAGTGACTTGGATTCATTTTCTTTCAAGATGATCAATAGAAAACCTATGGATCGCGGACGTAATGAAAATTTCCCATGTCAAACATCGAAATGTCGATCTCATAATCTCTATAACCTGTTGTATAAACTACTCCTCATCTACGTTCCTGACTTCCTTGTACTCGTTTCCACAACATCTTCTGTCGCCCCTGGTATGTTACTTCACGAGTTAAGCTGAAACCCGGAGATTTCGTCAGTTAAGCCACAGCCGAGGCGGCACAGCTAATAACTGTCCAACATAAGAACCTAGTAGTCCAGACCAATAATAAAAGCTGGGGAAATAACCATCGCAGGCATCATTGTCGGCTTTTAACTCCCGCTTTTTAAGATCCTTACATCTCCAACTCACCGATATATGCGGCAAGGTATACCGTTTCGGCGGCGAGGTCCTACCATCGGAGAGCCCTAGTGTCGTACATCGTCAACGAAAGGCCACGAAAAGCTACTCAGGAGCTAGGCATGGCCGAGGTAGATCTCACATCGGTCTCTAGATTTGGCATCGATGAGCGAAAGGAAGTTTTTTGCTATAGGTTCTATCTCCCGAGTCTAACATTTCATCGGCGCTACGATAGCCTATAAGCGCGATGATAGGCCGAGACAGTCTCAAAGCTTGCAGTTCCGATAGGCGCGGGTCCGAGACGACGAAGGAAAAGTTGCTCTATTTCCTTGAACATCACTACTAAGTATCGTGACCAGTGGAGTTGACTTGCTGATAAATCATGACGGAAACGGGGAGTTCGTGTGGGAACTACTGACGTATTACGAATCTACCTATGGATATATCATTTTTAATCCACTTACCTAAGTGGCCGAGGTACCTAACGGTGTCGTGATATGGTACCTCGGTATGTAGGTGTAAGGTGTATAAACGACTTGCTTAAGAAGGTAAGAAAATACGAACCATCACCCTTATAAAGTAAAGTACATTATTAAGTCACTGTCATCCGCATCTATTAAAGGGTGTTATGACACGCAAATGGAAGAATGAACCTATCCGTCTCTCGTCAGAGATTTCCTCCCCCACGCCATCTGTCAGCATCTAGAAACCATTACCTTCAATCTTCGCCATCCATAAGCGGAATTTATGCGGTAATGAATCCCAGATCGATCTAGATCATCATTATCCGAAACTTGAGTAATGACTGCTTACTTGGAGTAGCTGTTACTGACTTGGACGATTCAATGATTCAACTACCTACTTACCTACCCACCTACAGAGGTGAGTAGGTAAATAGAATATTGGAAAACCTAAGGGGATGATTGAACAAGGTTATGATGAGTGTTGGGTCAGATGTGGAAGATAGGGGTCTGAGTAGACGTCCCGGAACGCCCCGACCCCGGCCTCCCCGGATTATGACGGACTTACTATCGGTCTTTAAAATGATAGCCTGTTGGATTATGGATATTCCCCAAGAGCCTAAGAGCCTCCCAGCCTCCATGGCAGCATGGGCACTATGGGTGGGTAGGGCTGCAGCCCTACGATCTTAGATGGCACGTTGACACTCTCACACCTTTACGTACTGGATGCCGGCTACCAATGGTATAATTTATGTAAGTATGACTGCCTTACATTCCGCACACCTCCTTTAGGAGTCATGATAAAAACGCGTTGCGGTACCGGGTATGTAGGACCTAGGTACGTATGACTCCTTACAGTGGCTTGCTGTGCATGGCATCGGTGGCGCAGCAAAAAGCATTTTCGGGTATGCAAGTTCTGATTGGGCAAGAACGATGGCGAAGCTAATCAAAATATTGCTGAGGTAAAGTTTTTTTCAGCTTGATTAGCGCCGCCTATGACGATATAATAGGATACTTAGGTACATACCTAGGTCAAGGGCGGTGATGAGGACCTAATGGAGGGGTGAATTCATTTGGGTTCAGGTTGTTTCTTTTTCTTCAACCATCTTCGAATCTGTTCCTATTTTCTACTTACAGTCTTTTCAGCCTACCTCATTTATTATTCATCCTATATCTGAAACTCCTATTGCATCGCAAACTGGGTACATTAATTACCTAATTAGGTATCATAAGGAGATATACTAAAGACTAAAGTCTTACGTCGGCACTGTTTTCCGTATTAGCACCAGAGCTGTAACCTGAACTGCCCAAAGTGTCAAAAAACAGCCAAAAACTACCCCGCCACTCATTTCATGTGCTTATTGTTCCTCTAGCTCTTGCTGCATAGACCGTTCATCTTACCAGCTTCACTCTACATTCAAAGTTTAATAAATCATTCTCCAATCAAATAAAGAAAAAAAAATATACAGAGAGAGGTGTGACACCAAGGTTAGGCATTCGTCATGCCATCCTCACGTTTCAGCTTCGGCAGCTTGCTGCTGGTCATCGCTATCGTCCTGGTTGTGATGCCCGGCAAAGTCGCTGCTTTCGGTGCTGGAAACATCCCTTCCATTGCCCAAGTCGAAGGCCACAATTGGCGCCATGGAGATATCGAAGATATGCTTAAGACTATCGCTTTCCTTCATGGAAAGAAATGGACTACTCTTATGGTTCAACGTACGTACTTTGGAAATTGGCTTCGCGATTATTCGCAAGCTATAGATGTAGGGAGTTTGAAGGGTGCGAACGCCGCCACCATCCGCGTCCTAGTTTGGGTCCTTTCCTTCCTCGCCAACGGATATGCAACCGAGGAATTTGAGGTGACTGAGGAGCGTCTTGGCGTCTACAGACCTGAAGAGCACATTGATAATCCTCTTGGGTACGCCGACGGTGATGACGCCAGGACGTTCGATAAGCGGCTTCGTGGCCCCGTCTCACCTATTGAGACAGAGATCGACACTCGTACTGGTATGAAAAATTACATCTCCAATGAACATGGTAGCTGGGCGACAAGTGCCGGTTATCTCAGGTTCAGCATCGGCCGAAGCATACATTTCGGTAGGCTTTACTGTCACGGGTCCCACGGAAAAGGAAAGGAAGAGGATCTGTGCGAGGCATTGAGATGTCTTGGACAGTCGCTTCACTGCATGGAAGACTTTAGCGCCCATAGCAACTACTGCGAACTCGCATTGCGCGAGCTTGGTTATCATGAGGTTTTCCCGCACTGCGGATCGGGATCCGAGATCCACCTGCGCGGCAAGCGAGTCTTCCCCCTTGTGACAGGTACATTTGGTGGCGTCGACTTTCTGCACTCTGTTCTGGGTGAAGCCAACGATCATTTCACCCAATCAGAAGTTGATCAGTTAGACATTGCCTTAAAGAACTCCGAACAGGGCGCGGGAGGTGCGGGGCCCTCAAGCGGCTCACGTGGATTTGGCGGAGGAATTGGTAGCGGCGCAGGCGATTTCATCTCCCTTGTCAGCCAGTTACCGGGAATAGGAGGCGGGATGGCTTCCGAGGCGCGTGGCTTGAAGCGGATGGCCGAGGATCAGGACAGGCGTAACGAGCAGCAGGATTCGTACTACGCTACACGAGCAAGCTCTGGCGCCAACCAAAATATTGTGCCTGGTATGAGCGAAAACTTCGATCCTGTCAAGGTTTCAAAGCAGATCTACCCCATTCTAGAGTTCCGTGACAAGATCGTAAAATCGATCAATAGGGGTATTGCCAAGATCCCAGGCTTGGAGAATCTCCTCGAGCATATTAGCGAGACATTAACTGCCTTCGTGCTTGGTCTGTTAGCTCCATTTGTGAGGCCTATCATCAACGCTGTCACGAAGGCGCTGAAGGATGGTTCCTCGGGAGTTATCAACGCAAGCGCCCACTCGCAGCTAGAGCCGTGGAAGAACCCTCAGTGCACCGACCCAACCCACTCTATGCTTTCCAAGGACCATTTCACTAACATCCTGAACCCATGCGCTGGCCGAATTGCCACGACGATTCTCAAATATGTTGTACCGTATGTAATGCTATTTTTTTTAAAAAAAAACCTAATTTCTCTAAACATGCTGCTAACATGCCTCTAGGAGAATTCTCTATGCCTGGGACAACCCCGGCGTACCTGTTGACGAAGTGGTAAATGACGTCCTGCGTGCATTCCACCACCCAGCCCTTCGAGATGAACATGTCGAAATCCAACGCGAGATGTTTGACACTGTACGCAAATGGGCTGATGAATATCCTCGACGCCACGAGATCAACCACGTCCTAGGATCGGATTCGGTGCGAAATGGTAAAAACCACATCCTATCGGGACAGAAAGGTCATTCTCACGGAGGCGGTATTTTCGACGGTGGCCTTAAGGAGCAGCTGGGTCACGGCAGACCTTCTACCTCGCTATGGTCACAGTGTGCCACCAGAGACCTTAGCGCGATGGGAGCTGGAGAGGGGTTGCGACCAACATCAGACTATGGATCAAATCGCCCAACTTCATCTAACTCTTATAACTCCCAAGGACATTCTGCACCGAGCCCTAGCTATGGCTACTCGGCGCACCAAGCCCCGCCCCAAGGCGGTGGCGGCTACGGTCATTCCTCCTCACAGTATCAATCATACGGCCAACAAGGATATCAGCAACAAGGCTACGGTGCTCCTCCTCAGGGCGAGGCTTCATCGTATTATACCTCATCACAGCCGCCGCCCCAAAATTACCAAAGTCAGGGATACGGAGGACCACCACCTCATCAACAAGGAGGATATCCGCCTTACGGAAACCAGCAATGGGGAGGTGGGTATGGAAACGCGCCGTACCCTTGAGAAATCATGATCGTGGGGGTTGGGATTCACTAGGAATGGCGTTGGTACATGAGTAATGATTTTGCCCTGTTGAGGCTGGGGCGTGGGAGATTCCCGTAACAATACACTTTTTAGGATGATTTTCCAAATTGGCGGGTTTGACTTTTATGTGTTATGTCTTGGTGATTTGCTATTCAACGAGAGACTAGTAGAATTGTTCGGCCTGGATAGTAAGAGGTAGGTAAAGCCAAGCGGAGGCTTCCGAACTAAAGAAACTCACAAGGAATTAGATATCAAGAATATGGCCTATTGGACGGTCATTCTGGCACCCTGGACGCTCTTATTCGTGAACAAATACTAGCAAGATTTGATTTGTATTCATGCTTATCCAAGCCGATCCTTTCTTTTCTACCTATTAACAAAAATCTCAGCTATTTCCCACCCAACAAGCGTCCCCTCTTCAATGGCTCCCTGACCGGAAATTCCAAAGCAGCAGGTAGCTCATCTTGATTCCAGTAATTCGTCGCATACCTCAACCAATGAGCATACGTCCCAGGAACATCATCCGAGCCCTCATTCTCCCTCCACAAGGACCCCAAAGTACACTTAAACACCCTAATAATCAACCCATGAGCCAACTTAAACCCAAAACTCCTCTGCAAACACCCCTCCACAATCTCCCTCGCCTGCTTCTGCTCCGCACTCTCCACCTCCCCGTCCTTCGGCAGCGCAAGCGACATCAGTTCAAACGCCTTCCGCCCGTCCCATCCCGTAAACACATTGATCAGCTGCGAGCCCTCCATGTAATCAATTCCATATACCCGCTCCGCAACATACTTCGGTCCATCCCACCCATCCTCCTCATCCACAAGCCCCATCACCATCGTTATCGCCTGCCCCTGAATAATGTAATCACTCAACAGCTTCTGCACCTCCTCCGCGGGAATCACTTTCCCCTCTTCCTCAATTGTAAACGACCCGCCCATCAACGGCACCCCCTTCAACAACTCACTATCGCTCATCCCTTCCGTACCCGTCTTCCCGCCTCCTTCGCCCCAGAGCGCGAGAAGCAAGCGATGGCAGCGTTCGAATAATGGGTTTTCTGGGAGCGATGCGAGGAAGTAGTTCGCTAGACAGTCGTTGTTCATGTTATACGACAGCACCTCGAACGGGGACCCCGGATCCCCAACCGTGCTCCGCCACAGGCGGTCCAAGTCTCCTATCTGCAGCAGTCCTACGTCCGCGTAAACACCCCCGTACCGCAACAGTAGCGGGAACCGCACGAGATCCGAGGCGTGCTGGACGGCGTACCGTCCGCTTATCGTGCCTTCGGTGAAGGCGCGCGGGAAGACGGTGGGGTCTGTGACGGGGAGGAAGTTGGATACGTTGGAGGGGGAGCCGGGGACGCGGTCGAGGACGCGGATGGTCCAGTTTTGTTTGCTGAGGCGCCGGTGCCAGGAGCGGATGTTGCGCTTCGTGTAGTTGTGCATGCTGGCGTAGCCGGTGTCCCAGAAGAACCAGATGTTTTTCGAGCTGGTGACGGGAGGTGGGTTTTGGATTGTGTGGTCGATGGAGGCGTCGGGGCGGGTGTCTAGGAGTTCCTGGGGGATTAGGTGGAGGCCCTGTGGGAGCGGGTAGGGTGTTGAGTCGCTCATTTTGGGTTGAGGTTGCGTGGTTGTGGTGATGGGGGATGTGAGTGGTGGTAGCATTCAGCTTGCTTTCGATCTTTAAACCTTGTTGTTTGAATTGCAAATTTGAAGTACAACATATGAGTTGTTCTTAGCCGCCGACAGGTCTCTTACTTATACCTCCTCAGCCTGGTGTATGGCTTGAGGCCATACCCATTCTGTTCAAAGGCTGCCATAGCCACGGAGCAACGATGACTCAAACGATAGCTTCTGCAACTCTAATTGAGAGGATTTCTAGGGTTAAACGAAATGCGGCTGGATTGTGAGGCATAAAATCGTGGTTCTGCAAGATCTAGACGCCATTGATTCATGATGACCGTCATACACGTGACTGCGCTAGCGCTTGTAATCCGTGATCCTACAGCGATTAAAACGGTGACGGTTAAGACATTCATGGTGTCACGACAGCCTTAGGTCCAGCCTAGATGGCGGTGAGTTTAAGACATTTCAAGCCACTTCCCCTATAAGTCCGGTGCTAGGAACTGGTTATTAGCAATAGACAGCGGAGATATAAATGCATCTAAAAAGGCACAAGAGGGGGGAAAGGACGCCAAAATCCCGGGAAGAGGTTCTATATCATATATCATGAATTAAATTGACATGAATGGAATAGAAAGAAAGGCTCTCTCATTATAAACAACCTACTAGGTACCTACTCAAAAAAGAGTGTTAGGTGCTTGTGAATTTGATTGTAAACGATGTTGATATCTAAGGGTTGCTTGAGCAGATATTAAGTATAAAGGAGGCATTGTCGATTGGAACTAAATTATATACAAGTAACAATATTATATCCTTAAAGAAACTACTAGGTACCTTCTGATGCGACTTCACTTTCATCAATGACTGATGATCAATGTTAGGAGGAAGTCTCGTGATATCGCGATTTCCTTAGTTCAAGAAGCTTTAAGATGGCCCCACCCCGCATTGTCGCGTCTTCAGCTATTGCGCCTGTAGTCCAGGGATCTGATGAGATAATCAGTACGTACTGTGCTGTACCTATCTAAATTCAGCACTGAACTTCAATGTTGCACTTACACACCTTCTACTCCCATTTTACTATAAAGCCAAGATGGCATCTCCATCTTCGAATACTAGCAAGCGGAAAGCTAAAGACAAATCTATATCGCCCCCACCTCTCAAGCGCAAAGCTCAGAGCACCATATCAAGTTCGTGTGTGACCTATTAAACATCTATGGATCTCAACCGTACTTCTATCTGATCTCTATGCTAACCGCTTTGCCGTTGGCTAATCAACTTGAGTAGAAGGCGCCGTAGCTAGCTTTTTTACTCCGACTTCTCAGAAGCCAAAAGATCGAACCACGTGGAGCGAGCGCGCCCCTAACGATGACACACCTCCCACTTTGCTTGTAGGCCGTTACGAACCCGAGAATACAGAAGAGTTAGATCGTAGGAGAAGGAGGAAGATAGCCGCGTTTGACCTGGTATGAATAGAAGCCTCGTTCCTACTCCATCGATCAATGACGACAAACAGCTATGATGCTGGGAATGGATGATTAACCAAACTTAGGACTCGACTCTAATCACGACCGCATCCGGCAAGAAATTTGGAGACGATCCCAGCGATTGGAAATGGTGGGATTCTAATGTGCCGTCTCGCTTGCGCAAGTTATATACAGAAGAAGAGTAAGCACCAACAGATACTACGTCGGAAACCACATCGCCCTTAATTTGTCGACTTCTATGCATCTGTGCCAGCGACGCTCACATATTCCTCTTATAGTTACCGCGTTATCATCCTGAGCAACCAAGCCGGCATAACGTTGCATCCTGATCCGAAATCTAAGGCTCCAAAGGCCGGCAATAAGAATAAAGTTGAGAAATTCAAGCAAAAATGCAGTGCCGTGCTCGCGCAGCTCGACCTCCCAACCACAGTCTACGCTGCCACTGGGCGCGACATCTTCCGCAAGCCGCGAACTGGCATGTGGACCGAGCTCTGCCGCGATTACGAGATCCCCGAAGATGAAGTCGAACTACAAGGAAGCATATTCGTAGGCGATGCCGGTGGTCGAACCGCGCAACTCAAGAACTCAGAGACGGGTGCGGCGGCCACCGCCAAGGATTTTAGCTGTTCGGACCGCAACTTCGCGCACAACGTTGGCATATCGTTTAAGACTCCCGAGGAATTCTTCCTTGGCGAGCCACCTCGAGATTTTGTTAGAGATTTCGATTTAGCCTCCTACCCATATCCTAGGACGAATGCGGCAGATGGCGATGATTCGAGTGATGTTGCTTTCGAGAAGACTAATGAGCAGGATATTGTCCTGTTTTGTGGTCCGCCAGGTGCCGGCAAGAGCAGCTTCTATTGGCGTCACTTGAGACCTCTAGGCTACGAGCGCGTGAACCAGGATACACTAAAGAGCCGGGCCAAGTGTTTTAAGGCGGCAGCAGAGCTTCTCGGCGGAGGGAACTCAATAGTGATTGGTAAGTACTTCTCGTGCTCATCTTTCTTCCTCTTCGGCTATCCTACCTCCCCCCTTTCATTATTCGATTTTCTCTACCTTCAACGATCCAGCCGTCCAATAGGTCGACTAACGAAAGCTTACAGACAACACGAATCCTGACACAGACGGAAGGAAAGAGTGGGTTGAATTCGCGCGGAAACACGACGTACCTATTCGTTGTGTCTGGTTCAACGTGCCTAAGGCACTTTGCGAACATAACGACGTCGTTCGGGCTCTCAACAAATCAGTATGTACAATCATTTCGCTTCAGACTAGGCGGATATAATATTTCAACAGACTTACAATCAATGCAGATGAACCCTGAAACTCGTACAGCACTCCCTGCTCTCGCATTCAATGGGTTTTTCTCCCGCTTCAAAGAGCCGAAAGCTAAAGACGGTTTCCAAGACGTAATTGAGATGGATTTCAAGTTTAACGGGACTGAGGAAGAATACGCCATATGGGGACGTTATTGGCGCTGAGATTGCAACACTACTAGTACCCCTAAATCATAAGTCCGAAGACTTCCGTACCAGTGAGGAGCTTGGATATTTGTGTCATAGATATCTGGGTACCTACATAATGATGACTAACAAAACATTAAGACTTTGTTCCACATAGTAGCACACGATTCCATGAAAACAATCGCGAGAGGAATTCATCGAATTCTATTTATCTATCAACAGCATCATACAGAGTCTAGGAAAAGAAGCAGGTAGATCATCCCGCCTCACGCTCGACTTAGGGGTATCAGATCACGGTTTTCTCCACGATCTCTCTTCTTCGGCGAATCTTCTCATCCTCGTCTCCGTCTCCCGCGAATGATCAACCCGGAAGCGCCAAAAAAAATCATGCTGAAGCCTTTTGCAGGTGACCGTACGTAGAAAAGATCAGGGTCTTTTAAAAGCGCCTTCAATGCTAGGAACGATTCGCAGCTGAGCCTCCCTCTCTCTTCCGCCTTTCTTTCTTTCTTCGTTCCCCTTTCTTCGCAAAAGCTGTACATGCAACGCAGGTATTAGATAGCGGGGCCACCGTTGAGGTTGGTTGGTGGTCTGGCGTGGGTTGAATCGCCAATGATGTGTTATGTTGTGTTTTCCCTCCTCTTCCGGCGGACTCTTCTTCCACACCATGTCATGTGTCCAAGCCGCTCGCTCGAACTAAAATCATTCATCCCCCGCATTCAAATCATATATACGTCCTATATCCATCCGCCCGCCTTTCCTATTTCCCTCTCCTGCCACTACCGAAATCGTAGCATGTCGCGCATTACCACCACACCCCGTCCCCAATCTTCTTTTCTCTTCATTTGTTTTTTTTTTAGAAAAAAAAAAGCTGGGGAACGGAATGACACAGCGTAAAACACTCAACCGAACAACGCGGCGCCCCCGGTCTCAATCGCCTCGATCTCGGCAGCCGTAAGCGGCACCCGGCGGAACCGCTCGGGCAGCTCGTTACGGTCGAAGTACACGCCCTTCGGGGGCTCGATGGGTCCTAGTCGCGACGCGGACTGTGCGCCAATGCCGTCGACGGCGCCGATGGTCTTGCGCAGGGGACCGTGCTGCTGCGCGTGGTCCCGGTATGAGGAGAAGGAGACGTGGGAGTTGCTGTTGCTGCCGCTGCCGAAGCCGGCTGGGAGGGCGCCGGATGGGGAGGCGGGGTGGGGGTGTGGGCTGTGGTCTACGTGCTCTGTTTGGGTGAGGTTAGCAGTTGGGTTTTTTACCATGTGAATTGGACGGTTGTGGGAGTGGGAGAGGTAGGAGTGGGAGCTGGACCGAGGTTGCAGGTGTCGCAGATGTTAGAGACGTACCAGGAATGGATCGCTTGCCGATGAATCGGATCAGCGGAGTTCTCTCGGCATGAGCTGCCGCTTGGCGGAGGACTCGAGTAGAGAACATTGTGATTTGAGGATTTGTGGTTTATGTTTTGGTGTACTTTGTAAGGTACGATTTAAAGGCGAGTGGGAGTGTGGAAGATATTTCTCGCTATATTTCGCTTCCTCGGCGTTATATAAATTAGTAGCGGCGGGGGTAAATTATCTGAGTAGTAGCTGAGCTCGGACTTTTGGTTGGGGGAAAACACGATAGTTCGGTGGTTGCGGCAAGGTGGTAAGCAGCGCGTGCGTTCTTTTGATGTACGTATAATTATAAATAATATAATTTTCAACCTATACACAATATACAAGCAATTGGATTCAATGACGTTTTAGGAGAGTTAAGGACAAAGAAACCTTTTAGATATGGAGTATAAAATACATATATCTCTTTCTTTTCCACTCTATTATTAATGGAGTAAGAAGTAGTGGTCTTGGGTTTGACGATTCACAATGGACAAAACTCAATAATAAGAAGGTTCCCAAGATCAACTTAAATTGTGGGATGGGACGAGCGGAAAAGACGCTAAAAACACCTATGCAGGGAAAAGACTAGGAAGAAGCTAGGGAAAAAGCGAAAAAGACTAGGATGTTCGAGCGCTTGCGCCGATGGTGGAATCGACACCAGTGGTGACTGCCTAAGACTGCCTAAGACGTCCTAGGATTACTGGATGGTGCTGGGTAATACTGGGTAAAAGATGTGAGGGTTTGCTGCAAGAGCTGCAAGTCGTTCCTGCTATCGTACCACTTCCGGGGCTATCGGTACCCACCGATAACGCTCCCAAACTTCAGTTGCAGCGATATTCGGAGTTCTTATTTTTGTGCCCAAATCGAATTGCCAAATCTGCCAACATCGTCAATGTCTACCCAATAGACGCCAACCTCTCTGGACGAAATTTCCCTTTTTGAATATTTCGTGATTTCCGTGTTTTGGGTGATCTTCGGTCGAGATCCCTCCATGCATATTGCAACATATCATTACAGCCAACGGTGCATATCCCGCGGGCTCGTGACATGATTCTTTTACTTTTTCGAAACTTCGCAATATTTGGCCTTTTGGGTTTCAATATTTCGACGTTGGTCACATACGTACAGGTTCAACATATAGCGGTCTATAACGTCGCACAAGTATTGTTACTCAGGTGAGATTCCTTTCCTTCGGGATTAAGATTCCATGATAGTGAAGAATGTCGTTGGTGTTGTACATGGGTAAGGCTTGGTAAGTTGGAGGTATCTGGGATGGCACAGATCCCATCGACGAACCCCTCTTGTGGAATATACCTAACCATGTCTTAAAGTCTTGGTATTAAATGCTTACTTACGAGGCCCTGAAAACGTACGTGACGTACCTAAGAGTTCTTTGGCATCACAAATAATGGACTCGAAATATTATTCGTCTTCCTCTAATATTGATACTGATACCAGAGATCAAACAAGGTGATATATAACCTACAACATTCGATATCTGCAGCTAGTTCATGTACTATGCCTAATGGTGTTGAGCCTCTAGCATCTACATGCATGCAGATGCGACATCCCACGCGTCGTGGGTAACTCCGGGGCAGCGGGGACCGGGGGACATCTGCCCACCTGGGCACATTGGAAAGATATTGGGAGTTCGAGGTTGAGTCGAATCAGCAGCAGCCCTAAGTCGGACGCCAGGACCGTCGGAGATAGCATCCCAAGTGTTCTCATTGAACAGCACTAGGTGACTGGGTATTACCCTCAAACATCGCCTTCAGGTTCTGCACTTCTGCATTGATCATATGATTTAGGAAGTACGCTGCATCCTCCCGCTCGAAGGGACCACAAGGGGAAATGTTGCTGCTGTACGCCCTGTGAGAAACACCCATGGATCGATGTACAACCCACTAACCAATACCCCGACATATCCCCAGGGTGAACTACTCCGGTTTTATCCAGCTTATGTTGATGGAAGACCGATACGGATGCCACAGCCTAGCAACCATTAAAGCAGCCATAAAGCCACGTACGTAGGCCGCGGATGCACTATGCACTATACTTATAACAGGAAAGCACTTAATCTACACGGATCAAGACTTTATATCCATGTGATAGAAACCAGAACCCCCTCCTGGATGCCCGACAAGCAAGTTAATTTCTACCACCCGAATATTCGTTCAAGGTCTGTCGCATCGCCGACTCCGGGTTATTCGCGTAGACGCGGTCACCGACGCCATTCACAATGTGGGTAATCTCACTCCCAGGCACACCAGTAAGCCACACCGTAGTCAGGTGGTGCAGCTTGACCCCATCTACCTCGGGGATTTCGATCGCGTTCTCCAGCTTTGTGGGGGAGTCGCGGAAGTACGAGTAAATCCCCAGCCCCCAAGCCTCATGGTCCGTGACACTATCCGCAACCTTGTACGAGGCAAACCCGTTTGTTCTCCCGCCTTTACTCATCCACGACTCTTGGTTGGGCGGATCGTACGGGATTTCGGATTGGTAGAAGTAGAGACGACCGCCGTTTCCGTTCCAGAGCGTTTGGTACTCGCGGTGGTGCTCGTTGAATAGTCCGTATATCGTCACATTGTCCCCGTTGACCACCACCCCATTCTTCGTGGGGTTGGCATCCCAGGCAGCCCCATCACCATGGTCCGCGCGCCAAAGCCACAGCTGGTCACCAATTACGTTGCGGCTATTTATAATGATGCCAATATCGTTCCTGGTACGACCTGCTGTCCTCACCGTTAAATCGTAGAGGAATGTCGGGTTTGACCTGTGATCGGCTGAACTATTGGGGGGTCCGACCTCGATAAGTGAAGGTGAGTTAACCTCGCTCGCGTCGATTATCAGACCTGCAAGTGTAACACCGTCTACGTCCGCTACGGACACTGCCGGTTGGCCGCTTATAGGAATGAGCGATGGCATTCCTAAACCGAGGATGATGGTATCGGCCCGCGAAATGCGCAATGTGTCGTCAAGTTTATAGATACCCGGCGTGAAGAGAACATGCTTCCCGGAATTCAGCGCCGAATTGATGCTAGCCGCACTAGCAGTAGCTGGCTGGGCTATGTAAAATTGGTCAATAGCTATCGACTTGCCTGGAGTCGAGGAACCATTCGTCCAGCTGGGACCTTGCGTATCAGTCTGCAGTGCAGGGACGAATACCGCATATTGACCTTGGTCGGTGATATAAAGGTACGGCTTTTCGCGAATGATGGGTGTTTGTTCCACTGTGGTGTATGGCGAGGCTGGAAACGTGTCTTGGCTAGGTGCGCTAGAGTCGCCGACGAATACCATGTTCCACACAGCATTAGCCCAGCTGCCGTATCTATTGTTTCGCGATAGCCATTGCTGCTGTGAACCAGGAAGCACCTGATTATCGACCACCGAATCAGCCATGAAACCTCCGGAGGCCCAACCTCCAGCTCCCGTGCTCGGATCCACCTGAAATAGCCAGAGACCGCCCGAGCTTAGGATATGCATACGGCGTAGCGGCGCTGCTTGCGATACGGCTATCGTCGTCGTGTGGTTGGTGGCTTCCGAGGCGTTGATAGATAAATTCTCAAATGCCCTCCAGAAATTACACGTGGCGTTACGATTCGGCATCCAGTATGCCGGCACGTTTGCACCTCCTTCGATTAATACGTCGTCTGGGCTCCGGCCTAGTCCCGCAACCTGCGTATAGAATCCCACATCAAACAGCACTTTATAGACACCTGGCTTGAATAGGAGCGCATAGCGCTCAGCACCAAACTCATTAGCTTCCATCTGTTTGAAGATAGCCGTTGCCTTTGCCTGTATATCAGATGCGGGCATGCTTTGATCGAAGATAAAGACGTTAGGTCCGAAGATAGTGGTATTTGCCGAAGAGATGGAGCTCTGATCAATAACAATAGAAGCCATTGATCTCGAGAGCTGAGTAGAAACCGGAGAGCAAATATTGTCCCAGTACTTCTCAGTCACCAGCCTTAGATTTTCTGCAGAAAACCTCTCTACTCCTCGCTCCTCAACCCTCGACCTCATTTCCGCATTTTGCTCGAGTTGATATAACTCTCTTTTTACTACACATCCCTCGGTAGCCCATCTCGGTACCATATCTTCGTAAACCACATTCCTCTCACACCGCAGCATCTCAATTAGTTCCCCAGCTGTCCTTCCTCGCATTTGATCATCACTAAATAAAGTCTTCGCAAATGCGTAGACGCTTTTCCTCTTCGCATCCCCTCCGCACCTCCAAATTAGATAATTTAATGCCTCGTCGACGGTCGGGACGGCGAAGACCTGCGCGTCGAAATGTGCTAAGCCGAGGACGTCATTGTTACCTAAAGCTGATACAAGATGCATGTCAAATCGCACAGTACAATAGCTCGCGGCGAGTGACGCAAGTCGTTGCACACGTCTATCGGAAATGCCGGTGCTTTGTGGGAACACCAATGTGATCTCATCGGAATGTGTGTAGGCTACGGTGGCGTCGGGGAAATGGGTTAAGAGTAAGTCACTACACGTGGCTATCATAGCTTTGTGGATGGTTTCGTCAAATGGTCGACGGAAGAGTGAGTGCGCTGTGAGGCGCGAGAAGTTGTGGCCGTTTATGTGTAGAATGATTGGAGATGATGCAGGTAGCGTGATTTCAAAGGCTGCTTCGTATTGCTTCATGCGGTCTGCGAGAGCCATGATGATATACACACGGGTAATTGATTATCACAAGGTATAATGAAGGCCGTTCAATACCAGCGAAAATGTGTTGAGATTATTTGAGATGAAGTTGAAGGGAGTTGAAGAAAGTGCAAGCTCATCGGGATCGGGTTGAGTTAGGTACATACCCCTCCGCCAGACCCACCGAAGTCCGGATCCGTTGTTCTCCCGCTACTTCTACGGTTACTCGCCGGGTCGACCCTTCCGATATAATTTTATACGGATAATTGGTCTTGAAAGTAACATGTCAGCAGTTCACAAAATGAGGCATGTTCTTATAGCTGACCTTTTAGAGAAACAAGAAGGGGTTAGGTACCTAAGGTATTGAGAACATCGAATACGACTGAGACATAAAAGAGGTCGAATTGCGTGAGTACCTACCTAGTAGCTAAGGGATCTATGGAGTGCTAATTCGGTAAAAATAATTCCTCGAGATGAAAGATGCCCATGGTAGTTCAAGATGAGAGACAAATGGAATTACCAACGAGGATCATCCCTCCCCGAAAACTGCCCTATACAGGAGGTTTCCAGGGAAAAGGTACCTACATACCTGTAAATACGCCGTAATGGAGCATTAAGATCTCGATTCACCCAAAGATGAGAGAACTAGAGACTAGTTCCTAAGGGCGCATCAACCATAGATGGAATTGGAAGGATTACGAAAAAGGAAGAGAGTTTAAGGACCTGGCAGGGTGACTTCCCTAAAAAGGACTCTGAGTCGAATACGGAATGGCCGAGTTCGTGTACGCTATGGGGTTCTATCTGCATCTTACTGAACGCCGGCAGAATGAATGACAGCTCTCACAGCTTAGCCATATATCACTGCCGAACCCGTACTGATACCCACCTTCTCTCCGGTCACAGACGCACGGCGTTGCATTAGCGCTGTCTTTCCCTTATCGAAAAGCAAATGATTGATAAAATTTGAAGTCGCACGAAGGACTATAGGATGAGGATCACCGACTTGTCGAATGAGACAGCTTACAGCCAAGTAGCATCCCGCACAGAGCTTCCTCCACTTCCCCGCCCTCACCCCCCTGATCCCTCCGCAATCTCTCCACGGCTTGACCCGGGGTAACCTACTGCGGAGATCTGCATTTCTGAGGAGTGATATTCGGGTTTTTTTCAATCAGATACCGAGATGACTGGATAATGTGGGTGCGGAAACATCGCGGGTGATGTCGGCTCGCCACATCAACCTGGATCTCGAAGTGACTTAAATAGTAGACGTCTCGTCAGAAATGGCGGTCGATTTTTGTTTCTAACGGTTGGGTCCCGAGTCAGGTCCCTAAGAGTTCAGAAAATGGCTAGCGCAAAGTCCCTCGAAGGGGTCAAGATGGCCTTTACAGAGGTCGAAAACCAAAAGGAAGCAATTCCAAGCGTATTGGCAGGTCAAGGTCTCGACGAGGAGCAAATCGCCCAATTCAGGAAGTTCACCACAGCCGACCCCGAATTCCATAGTAAAATCACGAAGACTCTGAGGCGGAAAGTCGACTTTCGTCTTATGCCGATGATAGCGTTGATGTTTATGCTCAACTTCCTCGATCGAAAGTGAGTCTCGAAGCCTGCGCCTGTCTTCGAACATTTCTGACCAAAGAACCCAGCAACCTCTCACAAGCCCGTCTTGGAACCCTGGAAAAAGACCTTAATATGACAGGAACGGATTTCAATCTCGCGACGAGCATCCTGTTCGTCGGATATCTTCTCATGCAACTACCTTCGAATCTTCTCCTAACACGGGTTCGGCCCTCGCTTTACCTTGGCGCGGCTATGACGATTTGGGGGACAATATCGGCAGCGCAAGCTGCATCGCGGAATTTCTCCTCTCTTGTTGTGTGCCGATTCTTTCTTGGTCTAGGTATGTTTTTTGAAACTAGCATCAAACTCGGCTTATCTAACCCATTCGCAGCGGAAGCGCCCTTCTTCCCAGGAGCTATGTTGCTGATGTCGAGTTGGTATACACGACAAGAACTTGCTCTTAGGATCGCGTGGTTCTATTGTGGGCATTCGTTCGCAAATGCATTTGGCGGTCTTCTCGGCGCGGGTGTCCTCGCGAACTTAAGCGGTGCTCATGGGATTGCGGGATGGTAAGTAGGCGATAACCTTTGAAGAATACCGACCTGACGGGAGAATAGGCGTTGGTTATTCATAATCGAGGGTAGTCTCACGATTGGCAGTGCCATCTGTTCGACCTTCATCCTCCCAGACTACCCATCAACAACAAGATGGCTCTCCTCAGAAGAGCGCGCGTATGCGCAATGGCGACTAGTTAAGGAAGTAGGCGAAGCAGACGCACCCGGGGCCTCGACGATCAAAGAAGGGGTGATGCTCGCACTGCGGGATCCGCGACTATACTTATTCACGCTACTACAACACGCTTCGCTACTCACCCAGACATTCCAGTATTTCTTCCCGACTATATTGCAGACTTTAGGCTACGGTAACATAGAGACGCTTCTCCTTACCGCACCTGTCTGGGCATTCACCTTCTTCTCTTCGCTGGTCGTGACGTATACGTCTGGACGCTTTACAGACCGGAGTATTCATATCATCTGCTTGATAATGATCTCTTGCGCGGGGAATATCATCGCGGTGGCAACTCTCAACACGGCTGCTCGCTTCTTCGCGCTTTTCTTGCTGCCGTTGGGGGCTTTGCCTGCGTATCAGGTAAGACGCCTACCTAGTACCTAATTCACTAGAATTTTCATGGGCTTGAGCTATTGAAGGTGCGACTGCTAACTGATAATTCCAAAACTCATAGATCCTCCTAGCGTGGGTAGCGAACAGCTTCCCGAGACCCTTGGTCAAGCGGAGCGTATGCATCTCCTTTACGAACATGATCGGGAACACTGCTAATATCTACGGCACCTACATGTAAGTACTTTACCCACCAAACCTTTCCCATAACGAGGCGCATACTCTACAGTCAGATACTAATCAGTTTTCACCTCAAGGTATCCATCCGTAGACGGACCTCGCTACCTCGCCGGCGGTGCAGCTACAGCTGGTGTCGCGCTCTTTGTTGCGCTGCTGACTCTAGTCGCAAGACTTGAGCTGCAGAGACAGAATAAGAAGTTAGCGCTTCGTGAGGAATTTGAGGCGGAGGGGAATACGGCGCAGCCGAGAGACTCGGAAGAAGCTGGGGCTGCTTCGGTTGGGTTTAGGTATATCCTATGAAACTAGATACCTGGGTAGACTATTAGGCGATAAGTCGAGTGGCATGTTTAGTTTGTTTGGTGATCTTAAGGGTGTGTAGAGCGGAAATTATTTGCGTGGTAGGCTTTGGGGTGGTGGTGTTGGCAGGTGTTGTTCGATACTTTTATGAGTTAGCAACAATTGATATCCTTTGCCTCCCGTAGACTCATGTACATTGACGACAGCAAATCTAGGTACTTGTTGATCATGTATAGGAAGGTACCTCTAGGTAGCCATGTTGTTAACTGTGATCCTACCCTCTAACGTATGTCGTCATGTTTGAAGATGGCATAGTCAGTGATGCACACCTTTAAATAGACGTAAGCATTATCGACAGTATCAGCAATAGTCCAAGTTGACTTCTTACGTCACTCAATCACATGTTTCTGTATAATGATACGCTGATGCAAAAGTTTTTGTCCATGGTATTCTTTTCTCCTTAGTCCAGTTCAGATACTGCTCCTATCTAGCTACTAGGCTTCCAAGGCGGTTCATGTACACGTTTCTTATTTCTTTTTACAAGATCTCCTCGTCACTCCCTAAGGACAACAACTGTGGACCCTTTGCTAAGCTGAGCTGAGTCGAAGCCGTTCCTCGAGGAGCCGGAGGCTGCGGTCGTCCCTGTGTGGACGACGCAGCAATCTTAGATCGTCCCCTTCATCCGCGCACCAGACAAACTTGCTATGCTTAGTAACATTGCCATCCTCCTCTCTTCCTCCGTTGATTCTCATCAGATAGACAAAGTTGATGTACAGTCGGGTACAAATATTGCACACATACACGCGGACGCGTTACAGGAGGTAGCCCTCTTCCGTCGTTTTCTTTGGTTGTAAAAGATTTTTCCCCCAGGCGCCGATGCGATGCGATGCCGATAAACGCTTCAGGTCTCGCAATTGAGTAACAAATGAGCAAACAAGCAAAAAACGAACAAAGCAAATAAAACCCGCAAAAAATTAAAAAAAGACATTCAACTCATTCCCCCCCTCATAGTCCCCCATCCCCTCTATGCTGTACCATCCCGATTGTCTCTTTTTTTTCCTGATATGCACCCAGTACGCTATCCGCGTTTGAGGCGCTCCGTAGGAACGCGCGCCATATGTACTTAGGATAAAAAAAGGGAGGGGGTACAGAGAGACAAAAAAAGGGAGAGGTTTATGTATGTTGCCAAGCTGCCATTTTCCTGCCGATCTTCGCCTTGTATGTGCAGGTGCATATCTAAGGTAGGTCGCCGAAGTCCCGGAGGAGCACCAAGGCCGGAACAGCGATAGGGAAAAAGAGCGGCAAAGACAGGGAAGTATGTGCATGGAGGCTTTTCGGTCTCGGACCGAAGCAGCCTCAGGTAGATTATGGTCCAGACGATCTCTTTCTCTTTTTTTCTTCTCTTTCTTTCCAACCAAATAAAAAAAACAAATAAACATTTCCGATTCGCAACGCCGACGCCGGTGCTATGCAGCTCATGCCGCTGTGGCGCGCTTTGTACCTATTTCCAGGTTGGGGGCGTGGTCTTAAATCGTTCCTCTAAATGGTAAAATGTGGTATCCAAGTAAACGACAAATGGTATCTCTCTATGCTGCAAGACGTAAAATGGAAGAAAAAATAGGTTTCCGAAACGAGCGTAAGTGACGTTAGGGTCGTGATGGTCGTAAAGGTTAGTCGTAATATCCAGGCCGTTCGAGTTTGCCAGCCGCGTTATTAATATAGGTGAGGTAAGGTGAGCTTAGATGCTACCGTATATTGTATGTAGATCTCACTTCCTCAAGCCGACCTTGCCGGCCAAATGACGCCAGAAACCGGGTCCTTTCCGGTCGGCGTTGTCGAGGGTCATCATAGTTGCCTCGCGTACCATCGGTCCAACGATGTCCTCATCGCCGCGTTCGGGAAACTTACCCTCGGCGTCCATCCTCGGGACCGTGGTTAACATGGCTTCGTCGAATTTATCGCAATCGGTCGCTTCGCCGCTAGCGACAACGGCCTCTGCGATTTCATCGTGTAGTTTCCTCCAAACCCTCTGAGTCTCAGCCCACTTCTCTTCGGTAAGCGAGTAGGTCTTAGAAGTCTGCCCGTAGTGCTCTCCTGTTCGTGCGAGGTGCTTCGTGTAGTTGACTCGTGCGGCTTCCCAGTCTGATCGGAATTGGCGTAGAGAGCACAGATCTTTCATTTCGGGTTCATACGGCTTCGGTACTATGGTGTAATTCGCGTGACCCAAACGGTCGGACCAGGCATCCGGTGCGGGAAGCTGAGACAGCTCGACCGAGTCAGGCATGAGGCGGAGCGAGGAGTGTGACCCTTTAGCGCTAAGCGGCGGAGAGATCATGCCTGTCGCGTAAATTTCCTCTTCGAATAAAAGAGGAGAACAGGCGACGCTCGGCGATTGTAGCGGAGAAGGTTGCGCTAGAATGTACTCGGACGAAGTAGAGGTCATCATCGGGGGGAGAAGAGGCGTTAGGGTTTGCTTGCGCTCGTGCTGAATGGCGAACAGAAGTTCTGTGGCTTTTCTGGCGTCCACAGCCAAGTCTAATGGCATTCTGTCACTGCTTCCGTTGCGCGACAAAGCAGGAGTAGGTAGTACGGGAGGCTCGTTCGAACGATCCAAACGGTGTCGGAAACTTGCTGATATCGAAGACGAGCGACTCGAAGAGGTCCTAGACATAATGGGCTGTTGATCAAATGCGTAGTCAGACACTGGTGAACTGATGCTAGACGGCTTCGACGACTTCCATCTCGAGAAAGAAGGGAATCGTGAGCCTAATCGTTGGGAGAGACCTGCGAATGGTGACTCTGAACCGTCTCTGCGTCGTTTTAGCGACGAGCGAAGGCTAAAGCTGAAATCGCCGTCGCTGAAGAAACCGGCGTCGTATTCGGCACTTCGAGTCTCTCTGTAAAAGTTTGATGTGCTTTGCACTAAGTCGGTATCTCGATGGATGCACGGCTCATCGCCTAAGCCGGAGCTTGTTAGTATAGGGAAACGGGGTAACAGCGTATGTATAACAGAGGTAACATACAAAGGCAATGATATAATTCAGATGCATCGTCATAATCGACATCGGAGTCTTCGAATTCGTCCTCGAATTCAATTGGCTCCTCCTCTACATCGGGTAGCACGCGTTTGCCTGAGCTTTGTGCTGTTTGCGTGGGAGACGAAGGGCTATCGGAACTGGCTACCGTTGCGAGGTCGAAAGACGACATCGAGCTAGAGCAGCGCAGATGTCCTCGCGCCGAGAATGTTGGTGTTACTGGAGACGTTGCGTCCGACGAGTAGGAATCCACGGTGTAGATATTGTAGGGAACGTCGACCTCTAACTCGCGTTGCGCCGCCTCTTCCTCTTCTCTCTTCCTTCTCTCCTCCACCAAAAGCGGTAGCTGGAGAGGTCGTAGTCTGGGTGACATGATGCTAATAGTAGCTAAATCGTGGCGAGTACGCCGCCCGTTTACTTTCTCTCAGAATTATGTCGAAATTATCGTACACTTCTTGCTTAAATCGCGTTATCGTTGTTGTTGGTATAAAAGTCACTTAACGGCGCTTGTGTTTGGTGGGGTGATGTGATGTGATGGTACGTCAGGGTAAATACATCCAGGATCCGCGGCACCGCTACGTTGGGAAATAGATTGTCGTCCAGAAACAGGGAGAGAGAGAAAAAAAAATAGTTCGCGTCTCTCTTTTCGGTTCTAGTAAACCGCTTCTAAAGTCTTATAGAACAAGACCTCAAAATGACAACGACAACGGCAATGGCAAGAGGGAGCCTGAGATGTGGTGATAGATATGCTGGTATCCAACCTCGTGACAGGTATGTTTTCGAACAATGTCCAATGGTTAGCTTAGAGGTATATACGTGTACCAGTAGCCTTTTTTTGCCCTATCAACTTTTAAGTGGTCACACTGGTCCACGTGTCTGGGCACTGTAGCTTGGGGTAGTTGAGTTCCGTGGGGTCGTAGTCAGGCTGCCGTGCTGTCTCTCAAGAGCTATACCGCTTCTCCAATCAACCTGGCGGTATCGATTCTAATATGCCAGTCCTGACACAATCACTAGGCCTTCCAAAGGGTCGTCCTCTCTGCACCTTAACAGAATCGATAAGTCTTCGCGAGGGCCGTACGACGTAGGCTCAGTGATTCAGGCGAACGATGACTTGCAGTCAGTCATATATGTATCGTGCGAGTCCAAGTCTAATAAGAGTTTATTCCCAAAAACTCAGGTTAGACAAAAGCTGCTTGTGTATCGGCGGTCCTCCAGAGATCACGGTTATATTGCGCGAGGGTGGGTAGGAGTAAAAGAGAGAGAGAGAGAGAGATGAAAGTGCACATGTGAGAGATGTAGAAGCCTTTTTTTTTTTGGCTTGGATGGCTTTGAGATGAAGAAGACTTGCAGGGTACACTAGCTGGCTGGTGAAAAAAACGGGATACTCTCGGGTGGCTTGACTAGACATGGATCCGGTTCGACTTGGCTACTGTGGATGTTGCTCCACTGACTCCATGACTGAGGACCGGCCCTACCGCCCTGAACTCTCTGACTTTTTTTTTCTCTTAAAAGTTCGTGGACTTTTCCCTTTTCTGATCCTTGTCTCTTAGCTTGCTTAGGAGCCCGACCAACTGGGATGACACCTCGACCGCTTGGGCTTGCTTACGGGTCTAAGCTAACAAGTAACAGGGGGTCCGGGGAGAGCTCCCAGCAAGCTACTGGACCGTGAATAAGAGAGACCCTTTCGGCGGTCGTGTAACTATGCAGCAGCTATGTAGGTATGTCGATACATTACATTCATAGTAGTATTTCCCATGTGTACATATGTATATGTATAGGTAGGTAAGTAGGTAGGAGCGTGTATGCATGTACTATGATATGTGAGTATATGTACCTACCTACCTACCTACCTACCTCCCTATGTACGTAGAAACGTAGCTGGTAGAGGTAGAGGGTAGGAAGGTAGAAATAATAGGTAACGAGTGAATGACCGCTCTCGTGCATATGGGAGATCCACAGCCAACTGATTCCTGAAGAGCGGATTTTCTTTGACTCTTGACGCCCTGACGCCTTGACGCCTCTTCATCGGAAGTCTACTTTAGTTCTTCTCCACCAGTCAAAATTTATGCTGGGTCACCGCTGCTACCTAAATATTCCAGAATCCAATCCCCAGCAACCTGAGACGAAACAAAGCAAAATAAACAAATAACAGGAGACATATAGTTCTGTAAATGTAGCCGCAATAGCAGAACGAGGAGAGAAAGAGGCTGGGGAAGCGGGGTTTGTGATATGTATCATACATAATATCTCTCTGTACAGCATTAAGTCACTTGGTACGTAACTGGATGTTCTGTTTGAGTCTCAATCTCGTGTTGTAATACATCGAAATGGTATGTACATTTTGGGTCAGAGCAGATGCGGTTAGCTGACTGAGGATTACACAACCTCGAAGTACCACCTATGCACATTGCACACATCGTAGATTGTAGAGCGCATGCTAACTATGAAAGTAGTGCCACGGTACATGTGCAATTTATGAATCACATACCTTAATATGAGGTACATACCTACAGAATCAGAATGGTACGCTGTAGAAAGTACTATGCTTGCTATGTGCTATTATGTGCTATGAAAATGACTTATGGTCCACTTACAACATGGTTTAAAAAATAAAAAAAAATCCGCCTCTTTAGATCCATCTTCCGACCTTCCCCTTCTTGGGTGCTAACGGTCCCGGCTTCGGTTCCTGGTGGCTACAAAATGCGCTACATATTTGAGCTAGGGCAGGGGTATCATAGCTCGACTTTCATCGGATTACCACCCTCACAAGCCGTCGAATTGGGTTCAAAGCGTGCTGGCTGCTGACAGAGTGGGGATTTAGTTTAGGTAGACCTATGAGAAGAAGACAACGATGGCACAGTATTTTTGCTATCGGTGACAAGAACACGGTACAAACAGGACGCTAGCAATAGCATAGGATTTCAAGTACTACGTGATATTAACACTGTACAATCAATCCATCGTTTGGGTCAAGATATCGTACATACACAGCCCAGCTTGACCGAGTCATTGGATTTTCTGCCTCTCACTGCTCTGGCAGTCTCTGGTTATCGGCCTTAGACGAAAGACCACTAGCCACGCAGCCACGTCGACAACAGATGGGAAACGTGATGAGGGCTCAGATACCCAGTCCTCCGCTTCTCAAGGCGATCACTAAGAATCTCCCCAGCTCCCTCCCGATCATCTGGTAGGTATTTCTATCCTGGAGGCTAGTGTACCCAGATATGGCAATTCAAGGGAGGCATCATCGTGCCTTAATAATTTACCAGCCATTGGGATAATGATGTGTACAGCACGCAATGACGGAGCAGGGTATCTGAATGTTTCGAACTCATCGAGCCCTTCTTAGCGTCCAGCCTTCCTTTCCAGCCTGCCAGCCTCAGCGGTCTACGCTCCGACATTTACAGGGAGAGCCGGACTCGCAGACTCGCAGACTCGGTGAAAAGAATACCATGCCACTTCGATCACCGCTCAAAGTTGTTTCGTGACTTTCGTTCAAAGACTATGACTAGGAAGTTCTAGTCTTGTTAGTAATCCCGGCTTAGTAGCTTAGGTAACATGGATTGACGGATCTTTTTACCAAGATCTTCAACTGCCGAACTAGGACGCGTTTGATTCGTTTGATTCGTTTGATTGGAATAGAATTGTCGCGTTGTTTTCTTAAACGAGCGTGACGTGATGTGATAAGAACAAGTTTATGTACATACAGTACATATCAAGGTCATTTTTCCATGTAAGTACATACATTCAGTATCATCGCATCGGATTGGCAGATCTGGTTGGGTGAATTTTGAGGCCGACCGCCCGGTTGGCGATGGTTCCGTGCCAGCGTGCCAGCGTGCATGTGGGAGCAGAATCTACTCTCCATCCCGCCTTTTCACCGACGATTTGACTAAAAGAAATGCATGTCGCTCACATACCTACATACAGCGTACATTTCAACATGTATCTAACATTCCATTGCATCTAATTACGTAACTTCTCAAGCCTATTGACTCTTCAAGTGTTGTTGACTTCATACTTACCTACAATACATCAACTTCTTTCTCGATTCAAGATTGTACATCAATAGGTATAGGTACTAGGTATTCTGTACAACGCAAACATGATCATAGGTATACTTGAATTTTTAACAATACATACGAGTGTATCAATTATATTATCAACAGTTGAGCTCACCCTTAAATCTTTCAACTTAGGCTTTTGACATCAGACCATCCCAGCGCAAGGAGGGTTCTTTGATGTCGTAGAAGTTTTCTTTGACGGGCTCCTTGCATATGGAAATGCGCCCTGCCTCAGTCAGATGGGTAGATAGTCAAAGCTCAGTTGCGCGGTAGCTTTGCAGCTCTCGCACTCCAACGGCTACGCGCGCTTTCTAAAGCACATATCCTTCAACGTCCCGTCCCGTCAGCTGTCGATACCCTCCCGCTTCGTCATGACCCAAAGAAAAGAAGGCCTTCTCTTGTCATCGGCAAGTCAAAGCAGAGCACCCTATCACCGCATATTTTTGCGATACTGCCGTAGATTTTGTGTGTCGTCTGGTCTGCTAAATCATGCCAACTCCTTCGCCCATCTTTATCCGTCGTGTTACTCACAATTTTTCTACCTAGTGATGCTTAGGCTTACTCTTAAGCGCGTGTCACCAATGAGATCTCTTACAACATGACAAGTCGCCAATTCTATCTAAGCTCGCTGACATGGTGTAAGGCAGCAGTATCTTAGACGAATATCAAAGTTCGCGTGGTAACTATTCGTTGTCATACGACGAATTGTTACTCAGGATCCTTAGTCACGGACGTCACGTAATATACACGCTCACACGCTTAAGTGTAGAACTTCTAGTGAGAATAGAGTGGTCTCATAGACCCGCTATTTTCACTCTAACGGGAATGGGTTTCCAATGGTAACAATGATTGGTGGAATGGGGTTTTTAGAGAAGCCGCAGGTACTTGACCAGTTGCTATCCGGTGAGGTTTAGAGCCACCTAGTCGACATATGATTTCCTGTGAGCAAACTACTACCTAGTGCTAGTATCACTCCTTCAACCCTAAAATCGCACATAATCCATGAGAATAGAATAAAACTAGGCATCGCCGCGCAGAAGGAAGCCTCAATGTAGGAGTCTAAAGTCACATATTAATCCTTTAGCTTAGGTCATTCAAATCCAACTCGAAGTCTTCCGGATTACTATATTTCTCTAAGCGTTAAATACAATGTCGATCGCCTATATTGCCCTGGTGTTGTGCGACCTGCTATCCATACTATCATACGCACTTTGTTAATCGCCTGTACCTTGCATTAGCTTCAGTAAGTGTGTAGGGCCATTAATAATAGTACATATTTATTTTGGCGAATGTCGATATTAGCACACCAATATTCCCACTGCCTCGAACGACTTCAAATATTGCCATCCTTTATTCCTAACTTCCCAACTAAAACCCACCATACAAGGTATGCTGTAGTATTGGCTCCGCCGAAAGGTGTTAGGGAATATGATCTGAGCACCTTGTAAAATACCTATGGAAGACCTCGG